ACTGCAGTAACAAATTAAACTATGGTTTGATAAATTCTTACTATATAAATTCCTAAGTCTAACCCTTTGGAAAAAGTAGAAAAACCCTCTATAATTAATTTTCCAAACTAGAACTTTTATAAAGATAATACTAAATAAAATCATGTTTTAGTCTCTTTATCAATATAGTAATATAATTTATTTTTTAAAATTTAATTATTTCTTGTATTTTATTTAACTACAATTATACATTTTACTTGTTTTTATTTAAAAAAAAATTAGTACTATGTATATCAAGGTCTAAGATCTATAAAACTATATATAGTATCTATCTTTAAGATATAAGGATATGTGTCCTCAGTAATGAGTCTTGTATACTACCATATAGATCTACATTGCTCTGATCTTGTTCCGACTGTCTACAGACTTATTTTCTGACAAAACGGCAGTAAATGTCTTGTCCAACCCATCGTTCGCCACTACCCTAATTATTGTCCATTACTACTTCATCTGACGTTGGCTGTTTATCCTCTTTTTCAGAAGAGCCGTCGGTAATGGCCTTGAGATCCTTGACGTTGCGAATATCTTTCCATCCAAGCCCCCAAGCGAATACCAAGACGGCAACGCTGACACCGAGACCAAGGTACATGACGTGATCGATGCTTTTGCTGTAGGCCGCGAGCACAGCAACTAGCTGTGATCCAGATACCAGCTTACGAATGGAGCGAACCCCGGCGGAGACGATGATATCCGGAGCATGGCCAATTTGTTCAGAGCGCTGCTGAAGCTGGTGTCGAAGGCTGTTGCTGAATATGGCGTTTGCAGCGATCAAAGAGGTGGCGGCTCCTATATTTTGCATAAAAATTATAATGGCCATCGCGAGGGGGATCTGCTCCGCAGGTACGAGGTTTTGTATGGCGATGTAGGGCTAGATCGAAGAAAGCGAGTCAGCGGATGATCATCATCCTGTCATCAAGTGTTGAACTTACAGCCGCGGCTGTGCAACCGCTTCCGACACCGTAAAGAATCTGGTATCCGATCCATTTTGCAACGGAGGTCGTCGGACTTAGTTGTGACAAGAGCCCATAGCCAATAGCCGATATGGAGGCTCCCACAAGAATGAATGGAAGATAGTAGCCCAAAACAGAGACTGTACAGCATCGGTGGTGGTCAGCCACCAAGAAGTCAATTGGGAATCACAAAATGCCGAGCGAAGATACTTACTCAAGACGCCAGAGACCATGGTAAACATGACCAACCCAAGTGTGATTGGGAGCATGTGCACGCCGCTCATCAATGGCGAATCATCGCGGATCGCCTGGAAAAAGATTGCAATGTAGAAATCAGCCACGAGGACACTGGAAAGGCTGAAAAACATGGTCATTGCAGTCGACCAGATGACGCGGTGTTTGAGCATGGCAAATGGCACCATGGCCCCGTCACCCTGACGATGCTCCCAGACCAGAAACAAGCCAAAGGTGACGGCAGCCCCAGCTAGCAAGCCAATTACAACCGAACTGTCCCATGAATATTGGTTACCGCCATACTGCAGACCCAGGAGGAACATGACGGCCGCGGGACAGATGAGAAAGAATCCAAGGAGATCCAGAGACTTAATGGCCGTGCCGAGAACCTCTAGAGCTGGACGCTTGGGTTTCGGTTCAGGTATATTGTTGAAGAGAAGAAAACCGCCGACGACGCCGCCCAAAGGGAGATTGATATAAAAGCCTAACACATAAAAGTTGGTTTTGGGGGGTTCTTCAAGGTAAGAGATGATTTAACGCACACCATCGCCACGACACGTTTGAGGTGAAAGCACCTCCGATGATGGGGCCCGTCGCAAGTCCCAGCTGGCCCATGCCCATGTTGAGCCCCATGAAAAGTGGTTGTCTCCTTGTTGGGAGGACGGCGGCAATGGTTGTCAGAGCACCGTTGGCCACCCCAGCAGAGCCCACGCCCGAGATGACACGGCCGATGATGAACATGGGTGACGACTGGGCCGCTCCGCATATGGCAGACCCAACCTCAAAGACGAAGAAGAAGGCAAGGAATGTCCACTGCATTATGTTCAATGTAAGCATGTATTTTTGTCACGGAGAGGAGGGGAGACAGGTAGAGGGAATATAGATCAAGACACGCCTTTGTGGAAAATTGACTGTATAGTTTGCCGCTCAAGGGTTGGAACGCTGCACTTCCAAGCTGATAGGCTCCACCATACCTGAGCAGGACGATTAGCATTTTGCCAACCACCTAAGTAGTATTGGTGGTTGTTAAGATAGATTCCGCATGTACTTACCAGCCGACGTCGACCAGAGAGTCAAACCGGGAGGTAATGGCAGGAGTAGCTGTGGAAATGACAGCAAGGTCCAGAAAAAATAGGAAATAAGCCAGCGTAACTGATGTAAGGATAAGGTAAAGAGGAAGCCCCGATGGATATTTGTACTTGGGCTCTGCGTCGTCGCTGGAAGCTTTCTTGTGAATCCTTTCTTGCTTCTGCACGGAGGTGAGCTGCCAAGACTCAGACGATTCTGTGGCATCGAGAGGCCTATCGAGAGTTTGAGGTGTCGTTTCAGGCATTGTAAGATATGATTTTAATTCAAGCGCCAATTGCTGCAATTAAAGGACGTGTGGAACTGCCAGTAGGAGACCATTTTCGGTACAGGACCGTGATGAATATATAGGATGAAACATCCTTGTGCGGCCTTTTCATCTCTTTCGGTCATTTCCCAATTACAAATGCAATGCATTTGTTCAATTCCAGAGCTTTGATTGTGCTTTCATGATTCGGAATGACATCCAAAGCCGGTCGGAATGATATTGAGCCGTCTCGCAGGACCACCCTAACCCACCCGGATCGGACCCTGCCTGTCTCCGCAAAGCTGCTCTCGGGATTTAAAATGTCCGGTCCAGCGCTAAATGGGATGGTACCTGCTTAAGTCAAATATTTAACCTGAACGGGAATGTAACAAAGTCTATCCGGGTCTCAAGGTTGATTATTGTGACCTCCTGGTAAGAGGCTGAGTAACGGAAGCATGCTATAAGGTAAGAAAACCAACTTCAATTATAAAGGGTCGCTAACTATAGTTATTTAACCTCAACGCTTTAGTTAGCTTTATTTAGAGCCCTTTGTACCCTGGCGTTCTAGCAGGGTCAGCAATTAAATCACCCTGCGCAAGAAAGCTATCTGTGTATCATACTTCAAAATTTTGTCTTCCAAACCTTCCCGTGCTCTGCCTCAATTTCCTCAATCAGCTGGTGTATTTCTGTTGATTTACTTCTAGTATTCCGGTCGACCTCGGGGTGCTTGCTAAACTCTTCAAATCGGCTCTTCCATAGTGCCCACCTTTCCGGACATAAGGCGTACTTCCGTCCCTTTTCATCCCGAGGCTTTTCGTCCCACAGCGGTCCTCCTGCATAAGCCTGATACTCATAGGAACCATATAGATGGCGACCACCATGCCTGATCCACTCGGCGGCTTCAGCGACGTGGAGTGCAAGGTCGGCATCGGTCGCGGGGTTGCTACTAAACCGGGCGTCCTTAGCTCCCCAACTGAAAGCAAAACCTGATTTTTGGCCCTCAATTTGATATGTCCCCTCCAGACACTTTGCCACGTCCCATATACAAAGAAACTCGATACCTCCCATTGCACCACTGCCCATCAAGCGTGCACCGAATCCTCGCAGGTTCAATTGACGCCGGTTTCGAGAATCCGAATCCCATCCCTCCTCGTCGGCCTTCATATCATTTCCATCTGCCATGCTTATGAGTACTTGTTTAATTTTTTTCGCGTTTGGTCATATTTCTGCAGCTCTTACCAGATAAGGCTCGAAATATTTTGGGGAACTCGGAACTACTGTTCAACCATAATGGAAATGAGCCAAGTTGTTCGTGCTTTGTATGTATGATCGGCTGCCACGGTGATGTTTTGAGAGCCTTCACGAGCTCGACCAGCTTATCCTGAGCGCAATCCGTATATGGAATCTGCCATGCAATTTTGCAGATTTCATCCCAGAACCATAAGTGGAATCCTCGCCAGCGGTTTTCCAAGTACTCATCGAGTGCGTCTTCAATACTCTCCTCCCCTTCCTCCATTGTCTCTGCCAGCTGGGCCTTTCTCTGGCTTAGTTCTTCGGCAGTCAGCGACATGGCGTAGAGAGAGTTCAGTTTTTCTACGGCGTCCGAGAGGGCATGAGGAGAATTCGATTGTACATAATCGTGAACGACATGAAATAATTTAAGATCGTCTTCATCTGGCTCGATAGCTTCCGTTTGAAGCTGTAGCTGAGACATGACTCTTAATCGATTCTCTGCAATGTATCGAACAAGATATATGCTTTCTGGCTGTTGTTCCCCGAAGAGTTGAGGGAGCACCTATGTGCGACATGTTTTGGTCGGTCGGATAAGTATGATCGGTGATGTTAATTATTACCCCATTGAATTCCTGTGACACATACAGTCGGCTTTGAACCCCATTATTAAAAGACTGCTCGCTGTAATAATTCGGTCAGCTTAGCCCCATTCTGAACGCCCACGAGCATTCTTGTCTAGTCTTAATATTAGTGTCTCCTTGGCGATACTCGAGAGCTGCAAATAGCGAAGAATTCAGTAGATTAAAATGACGACCTATTCCTCCCTGCCTAATAGAGCTGATTCCGTATAATTTCAGTGGGCTAGGCGTTCTGAATTATGAAGCATGAAAAGGAGTTTTTATCCCCTCTCTGGTTCTAATCGTGGTCGGCATGTCATGTAGAGTTATTACTCTTGCAGACTTTGCTAGTGATCAATATTTAAGAGACAGTGTTACAGTCGAGGTTTGTAGTAGGAAGGTTTAAATTATTATATGGAGAGAATTGGTAAAGGTGTTCAATGGGCACTCTATAGGGATGTCTCTTGTCACCAACAAAAATTTCATTGTAGCGGTATTTACAAGTGCTATATACAAGTAGATCAGTGATTTTTGTCGGGATTTGTTGTTTTAAATGGCCCGGCTTGAGCAGCCATGTTAATTTAATAAAATTCTATCTATTCTTTCTGGAAACATGGCAGCGTGGATCTTCAGCTAGAGGCAGAGGCTCGTTCGTCATCTGCGGAATGCCACTCCAATGATCACCGCCATTAAAAGGTGCAACACGGCCAGCTGTAATGGTTCCCTTATTATTATTATCGTATACTTGAAACCAATGGCCAGCTGCACGCATGGACCCGCTCATGTAGCACGAGACCTCGTCGTAAAGTTGTCTGTAGTCATAGGTTGTAGATAGAATGCCTCCATCGGCTGTATTGAAATCTACAGCAAAGTCGATCCCGCCCCAGGTAAAATACTGTGAGCCATACCATCTTTTCTCATTCTCTATATTTCCCTGTTCTGCTACCGGAGCACTGCCGTTGCCAAAACCAAACTTAAACCACGGTCCTTCGGTAGTGTTTCCCAAGTATGTAAAGTGCATTGGGTAACCACGGGGATCGGTGAAGCCAAATACTGGACGCGAGTTGCTAGCACTGGCATCCCGACGCTGAGCGCTGGTAGCATTTTTGCTGTCTCCAGTATCGATTGAAGGAGTACTATAAAAGCCAAGATGCTCTACTGGCATACCAATGATGTCTGAAAGCTCTTGGAGAAGCTGATAATCAACATCATCACGCTTCCACCCTCCAATCTGGACGCCATTGTTGTTCATCCATTGCTGGATATGTCCTAAACGTACACCAGACTGGTATATAGCACCTCCATACATGACGGCTGTAGCGATTGCACCACAGACGCAAGAGAATTGATTTGTCTGGCTTTGGTCAAAGTCTCGACACGAGCTAACAATGGATAACCAAGAGTTTGCCTGGTTGACAAGGGTAACCCCAATCATTGCAACCACAAACCAAAGATAGCGGTCTCGTTCTTCAATTTCTGTGATGGCAGCTATACAGGGATTAGAACTTTAACAATATCACTTTCCACCACTATGGAATACTGAGTCTGTGGATTTGGTTTTAGCTTGGGCAATCGGAAACTTACATGCATGACTCGACTCCGGCAATGCGATATCAGTAACCGTAGCTCGAACAGCAAGGCCAGCTTTCTCATTTTTATGAGACTGCCAATCTTCTTCATTTGGAATTGGCTGATGTGCGCCCACCAACGGCGGCTGTGGAATAATCGAAGCACAAACCTCAGGGCTATAGTCCCGAAGCTTAGGCGTGCAGGGGAAAGCAATTAATCTGTACGATAAGACCAGGTTTGCAATGACAATGACAACAAGAAGATATAAGCCTGCTCGTGCTTGGCGGAGGTATTTTTGCAGTTGTTGAACGTCTTCCCGGTGATGGTCCGTTAGGTAGGATGATTTCGGACTCATATTGAACGGTATATGAACTAATTGAGGCAATTGATAGCATAGATAATACTCGATGACGGCTGCAAAGAATGCAGCAGAGATCATGACATTTTATACAAGTTTTTGGTTCGTTTGCCATGGTCTCCACTCCAGTCGCATGAGTGTTGAGTTGGAGTGGAGATTTGGTTGTTGTTCGAAGCAATGCATCTGTATTCCCATTAGTAAAATACGAGAAAGAAATAAAACTTTCTTTAAAAGCTCCACTACTGAAGCAAAACGGTTCCACCTTCGGCCAAACGTCTTGCCTGACACGGGAAGCTCATCCGACTGTACTGCAAGCAATCCTTGCTGCCAAGATAGACTATCTGTATAGCCGACTATCTCCGTAGTGGCTCGAGGGTTATTATCATTAGGCTGACGGGTATGATAGTTCTCATTTAGCTACTTACGGTAGATCAATAGCAACATCATTGTATCAAGAATTTGCAGAGAAGGAGTAAGGGGAATTTTGAAATACGGTGGTTTAATTCCAAGTCCTGGGATGTTAACGAAGCCAAAGCAATGCGCGTCTGTGCATTCGTGCCAGCCAGCGGTGGAAGAGAAGCTTTGCTGGCTATCGGTCTGCAAGGGTCGGACCGAGTCGAGCACTAAACCCAACTAATTTCTGGCTACTGTAGTTCATTGTGACAGTGCACTCAGACCTAAACTGCGACCGGAAAGGTTTCTCTTGGCTGAACAGGAAACATTCCGATAATGTATTGAATAGTAATTTACGCAAACAACGAATACAGGGCTCATTTGATGGCAGTACATTATTTCCTTTCAACAGCCTATTAAAACCACATCAAAGCTTTCCACGCCAGATTGGACTCCATCAACACTACTGTTGATGTCCTTGCAACGTCTTCTGCCTTCGAGTGTTAGCCATAAAGACAATATTCCCTGATAGACAAAGTTCTTCGGTGCTTACCATTTATTTCACCATCCAAATGTCTCGGTATGCAGCGAAATTTTATCTGCTTTGCCTCGCAAAACTCTGGACTGTGCCTTGGCAGTGGCATTGGACAGGTCAATTTTCAGACTTTCGGGACCGCAACCTATCATAGTATTAGAATTTATGCTAATCGTAAGAAAATGGAATAAAAGAATTTGAGTGCGTATAGCTAGGGAATGGTTGGGGAAGGGGACCAGAGACGGGAGCTAGAAAAATTGAACGAGTGACGGTACGAAAACATATACATCTTTAACACAATTTGATAATTTTTCCTCGCTCCAGTCAATGGTGCCCATGCAGAGGGAGAAAGTTAGTTACGTACCGTATATCATGATTCTTCTATGCCCTTCAAGTAAGCCAGGTAAGAGATCTGGTAGATATGGTCGCTCGGGATGTATGGATCTCAGCTCGTTGACAGTGTGTCGTATCACCGCAATAGAATCCTCTTGTGGCATCGCTGATGCAGCGGTTTCCGGCACAATTCTTGTGTTCGAATGTAATGCTGCGGCAGCTTCGACTTCATCCAACTTAAGAGATGCCTTTCGTGCCGGTACAGTCTCATTTTCGGAATCCTTACGGGCTGGAGGCAGCTGCAGGTTCGCAGACGAAGAGAGCTGTTGTGACTGTTGTCCCTTTTCCAGATCATGATCAGGCTCGTGAGTTTCATCAATAGCGAGTGATGATGATTTCGCTTCTTTGGCTACCAAGCTGCGATGGGGAGGTGGAACAATATCAGCCATGCCAGCTTTCCTGTTATTTCCTGTTACATAGAATTCCAATTTTACTCTTTCATGACCCGCCAGGCGCACGACTTGCGCAAGGTCAGAAGTAATCCATTCAAGGTGGTCGGGATGTCTGACCATCCATATGAGATGAATCACCTTAACCCGGGACGTATGTTCCTCCCTGCCATTGTAGCCGTGAGATTTTCCGTCATCAGATGGACGGTCTTCTCTCTCTGAAGATGGGGTCGTTGGTGTTTGGCTGGTGTGACGCATCCTCCGCGCAAGGTGCAACATCCATGGCATACATGACGCGACTCCACCTCCGCCTGCTACGAATACCACACAATCGTACAGACTTGACAAATCTTCCACGATTCCGCCGTACGGTCCATCAACGTGTACCGAGAAGATACCATCTGCATCGAACATAGCGGAGGACTTATCATCCTTAGCAATTTCGGCACAAGTATGATCTTCCAGACGCCGGGTTAGGCCATTGTATGAGCGAATATAAAATGTCATTCGCTGAACATCTCCATAGCAGCTCACTTCATCCTCTTCTTTCGAAGTCCCATGTAGGCCGTGCCTACAGCATGGTACAGAAGCAATCGTGAACGGATGGTTCTGAAGCATCGACAAATGCGGAAAGCGTAGCCAGCAATGCTGGCCGGGTGTCCAGACAAAATCCACTGGACCAAAAATATTCACTTTTGTCATGTCTCCCGGAAGCACGACCGCTTGGGCAGGGAACCCACGATACCATGTCCCCGATCGTAGAATATTGAAGGTCTGCCATTTGACAAGTAAACGACCCACAATCGATGCAAGATAGACTGCTAATGTAGCCCAAAGGTAGGCCCATGAGTCAAGTTCTTGTCCGGCGTGCCAAAACATCAGGCCCAGATATACAATATAAAGCAATATATGAAGACGGTAGAAGAGGTTATATGCATAGCGTCGAATCCAAGGAATGGATAGAAGGCAAAGTCCGACGAGCATGCCGAGTGCAGGGGTGCCGGTGAACTAAGCAAGGAAAAATATTGAAGTTAGCATAAGTATATTGATATGGGAAATGCAAATCATTTTGACCGTAGGAGACTCATTATAGAATTATGTGATAGGAGGGAAAGGTAATTCAATCAATAAATAAAATTAGACATACTTCATACGCTCCCTTTTTATAAAACTGCTTTCTTAGTGCCTCTGCTCCTCCATCCCGTATTGGCGCCACAATAAAAGGAACAGTGTGCACAATACTCAAAAATAAACACATGTACGATGTGTAGCGGTGTAGAACGTTCAGCTTCTCGTGGCTGATCCCCGTCAACATGCTGACCAAGTTTACTTTGCCTGCCAATGCAACAATGATGGGCGTTAAAGCAATGGCCATGAGACCCGTCCGGACAGCGAGAGGCGGGGAGCCAAATCCTCGATGAAGGCGATAGTACGGTCGTTGGACAAACGTCAGCAAGAGCAGATACAAGCATGTAAAAGCAACGAAGAGAAAAATGCCGACACTTGGGAGGCCAAGTGAGTCCCCGAAGCGGCCGCGGATACGCCGATAAGAGATAGACCGGATGATTGCAATGATTTTGTGCTGTACTCTGGTCGACTTGGACTTCTGGAGGCTCGGTGCCGAAGGAGACAAAGCTCTAGGATATTGATTCCGAAGTAATTTGGTTCCATACACTAGCATCCCTAAACCAAGGGCGACGATATAGTACCAGGTTACATAATGGCCGTAGAGAAATTGAGATGCCCAAGAGATTTGTTGTTGAGATGCAAGGTGGGCGGCCTTGTACGCTGCGCAGGCATCGCTATTGCATCTTGGGTCGGTAAGAGGGAGATTGGTGATATTCGAATTTGAGTTCGGTGACATATCCATCATAACATTCCTCTCGGTGAAGGCAGTCGTATATTGCTGAATTTGAAGCAGTTCAAAAAGAAATACGTCTGGAGTACTTCGCGAAATTCACCAGCGCTGGGCCGGCAAGAAGCGAAAGCTCAGAGTATTCTGTCACGGAATAGTAGAATTTCAAGGCAGGATTGATGCTTGCAAAACATTTCCTGCTACTAGGGATGTTCTGTACATTAAATAGCTTGATTTGATCTTCCGTACATGCACACTCAGTAAGCCCTATAGATCACCCACATACCCAATGACAGGAAGAAAGTCAAAGAGCGGCCTTCCCGATGGGTGATCATGCGGGAGAGCAAGTTCCAGGTGCTTTGGCCCACTGCGGGCAATTTTTCTTTGACCGTGTGCCATTAAAATCAAAGAATATGTCCAGCAGCATTGTGTAAAAAGTAACAAGCCTCGTAATCATCCGCTGCCCGGAAAATGGTGAATATCAAACCCGGAAAATGTAGGAATAAATGTATTGCATGTGGCTTGTTTACAATTGAAAAAGATTGGACCAGGAAACGATCCGGTGTGACGGTTCCGGATCTGATGCATTAATCGCTCGAAAATCATTTCTCTAGTGCAGCTGCTAGTAAGTCCATCGGGACAAGAATAATTGTATGGGGGACCTTGGTGTTGATATCGAAAATATAATTGAGGTGATCCGAGGGAAACTTGCTCAAACTTGCGCGTGTCAAATATCAAGCCCCACAAATTAGCCATGTCAAGCCCTGGAGCTAGTGATGCTTGTCCAGTCGATAGTTTGTACTGAGGTACCCCGCTGAAAATCATTAAACGTGTCGATGCACTAAAATATGCCATGGCTTGGCGGGTCACGTTTGGATTGAACAATTTCGAGAGCTTCTGCCCCGATGATACCCCTGTCGACCAAGCGTCGCACATAATCTGTTGTCCATTCTTGGCATCTTCGGTTTGTCGTCTGTTAGGAAAGTCAAAATAAGGGATCCAAAGACTTCGCTCAAGAGGTAAGCGTATATATCTACTTACATTATTTACAGGAGCCCTAAAGTTTTCGCTGATACGGGGCGGAGGAATCTGAGATGCCTGGTGCTCTAGATTATCTTGCGGTCTGTCATCGATGCTTTGCTCGTTGCTTGTAGAATCAGCGACATTGTCTGCAGAGACCTCTCCGATCGGGAACATTTCATATGGCTCCGTAGTCATGGCTGGTGAGTAATTTCGCTTGAATTCGAGGACGAAGCCAGTCATCGGTGCTCCAACCACTTGAATCAATGTGCCTATATCAGGCTGACCATTCGAAGGAATAAATATTGCAAAATGTGCTCTCTGTCTCGAAGAATTCCGAGACGATATGAGGTAGATGGTTCTCGTTGCCATGATTGACGCTGATGGTAGTGAGGTCCGAGTAACGCTGTTTAATCGCGGATAGTTCGTTGTCGTTCTCCTAGGAGTTTTCCTTCTTAAACAACTCAGAGTTCAAGTAATAGGCAGCACCAAAAGGCCAACCGAGACAAATTGCAAGACGTACTTTAGGTATTTATACAGTACTAGGGCACGAAAACGTTCCCATCCAGGATCCCGACCGGTGGCCAACTTCAAACGCACATAACTTCCCAATCACATAATATGATTTATTTCTGAGCGATTAGAAAAATAGAGCATCATACATAGTATAATATAGTAAACAATTAAATTATTTCAATATTTAGTTGGTCCTCCATGTGCATCTATAACTGCCTGACAGCGATCATGCATGCTTGAAATCAGACTATCAAACAGACTCCGAGGCAAAGCAGACCACGCAGTTATACACATACCCCCTAAATCTTGCTCATTGACAGTATCCATGTCAAAGTCTTCCATTAATTCCCCTCCACGATTATATACCTCCTTTTTGAGAGGAAACCAGCTGTGTTCTATAGGGTTAAGATCTGGAGAATAAGGTGGCCAGTCAAGGAATGGAATTCCAGCATCCATCAGCCAGTTCCAGACAATTGTTGCTGTGTGTATGGGGGCATTATCCTGCATGAAAATATAGTCAGGATGTTGAGCCATAAAACCTGCAAGATTGGACTTTAAACACTGCAAATAAACATTGGCAGTAACACCCTTTTTTGCAGCCTCTGGATCTCCTCTCAAGACCTGGGCAGCGACAGGTGTATCACCACAAAATGCAGCCCATACCATGACCCTTTTTCCCTTCCATGGTCTGGCTCCAACAAGGTCTGGATTCCACTTTTCTTCTGGCCTCCAGAAGACCCATTGTCTGTCCTGGCCTTTCCCCTCCTCCACCAAGCATTCATCAGAGAAAACTACATTTCTCCATTGCCAGTCCTCCCAATTAACATGCTCCAGGGCAAATTCAAGCCATATAAGCCTATCTTCAGGTGAAAGAAAGGGCTTGAGGGGTTGTCTATGCTTCAAAATTCCATGTTCTTTGAGGTGCCTTTTGACAGTGCTCCAGGAGACAGTTGGCACAATGTTCTGGTTGATTTCCTGCAAAGTTTGAGTTGGCCAGGCCTGAGCACTAGTGACAAGTGCTTCATCCTGCTCTCTGGTAGTCTTCTTAGACTTTTTCCAGGGTCTCGAGACATTGTTGACACAGGAAGAAGCAAGTTTCTTAGTGTTGTATACAGTCTTCCGCGAAACTTTGTATTTGTCAGCTATCTCAGCTTGCGGAACTTTAAAATTGAGAGCACCAATAATCTCTGATCTTTGCTGAGCCGTCAGCTCTTTTCCGGGTTCTTTTGAGGCCATTTTTGCTGTAAAAATCGCGATAGAAAGTTGTTGACATGGTGGATGGGTCCGACATTTTCGTGGTGTTGAGGGTGTAATTTCGCGCGCATTCCAATGGGTAAATATTGGTGACCCCTGACTGAATGGACGCCTCGATTTTGCTCTCAAAGCTTAGGGATGTCACTGTGTTTTTTAACCGAAGGGAGAGTACTGTAACTCGCTCCCCTGCTCGTGCAAGCCTGCGTTTGATACCCTGCCCGCTAGAGAAAGTAGTACAACAGTACGATATCGAACAGTCGTTGAATTGAATACTTCAAGATATTATCATCTATTTCTAGGCTTTCATTTCTGTTGACCTTTTTTGTGCCCGGGAAGGTTCGAAAGCGCAGCCAAATGGACAGTCATAATTTGTTTGTACTTAAGAACGATTGGGCAATTCCGAAATTCTTAATTCAGCTGGAAAAACGCATTTCACTGCATCGGTGACAAGATCTATATGAATATATTATTCTAGATCAATTAAGATGGAAGGCTAGTGTGTCTCAACAGAAGGCCAATTCTACCTCGACGAAATTATAAGAAAAACCTTAAAGGGTGAGGACGATAAGAGAATCCGTAAACACGAATCCTATCACTCGCTCATCCCAACCCTTACTCATCACTGCCCCATTTCTGTACATGCCTTTGATAGACTGGTGTTGAACCGGGCTGATGCGCAACAATTGTTTGGCCAGTAGAATTTTCTCGACCCGCTCGGTCTTTGGGCCACCCTTTGACCTTCTGGCCTGGAAGGACCCAGGCACGGTTGCACACGCGGTCGAGCATGGCATGCTGGATGCGAAAGAACCACGACATATTCCAGGTACCGAAAGGCGAGGAGCCAGAACCATGCAGGCCATAGCCATTAGGATCGTACGTAACGGGTTGGCCAAAGTTGGGATCGTAAAGAGATGGTGTTGCATTTCCTTGCTCTTGATTATCTTCATCGGATGATGGTATGGAGCGAAGTGGTGAAGGAGTAGTATCAGTCTCATGATTGTGCTTCAGCCTAAATTTATTAATAGGCCACTGATATACCCAGTTAACATGGATTGCCAAGTGCAATGTTTTTTCAGAAGAAGAGGAAGGATCCAAGGATTCTTGGCCAGACGAGCCGAGTACAAGCTTGGTTACAGTGTCACCTGAATGCGTAGCAACTGTGACATGGCCAGCATAATAAATCTCCATTGCAAGCTCGTGGATAAACAGCTCCACAGTGTCATTGTCAGTATGTCGTGGAGAAGTATTCTTGTGGATTGTAAGTCTACGGAAATAATTAGCCCACGCCTCGTCAGGCAGAAGAATATTATTACTTGCATTTTTGATGGGTATCCAGACGCTGCCAAAAAACAACTGCATAAAGCCTCCAGTTGCTGACGATTTAACCTCGGAACTGGATTTGCAACCGTTTCCGCGGTGTTGTTATTCATTGATTCCATTAGAAGGCTTTCCGGAGAAGACTTATTCTCGGCCGATGATTTTGATAAAGTGTCGTCTTGTAGAAAGGCTTCGACAGTTTGCAGACGTCTGATCTCAGAACAGTCGACTTTGAAATCAAAATCAATTGTTTCTGCACCAGCAACTGCTTCGGTGCTTGTCCTAGAATCATCCTTATTGATGTTCTGGTCATCTTCTTCTCTGTGCTGCGTCACAAAATGTGTCCCGCGAACAGCTAGGAATGGCCTGGGCGGCTTAGACACAATCTCTGCGTCAACAAAACTCGCCAACGAGTTGACGGAAGATCCAAGCACCATAGACTCTTCCATAGGGACAACGAAAATCGAAGTATCGTCGGAATGGCTTGACTCGGCCATTTTCGTGCAGTGTATTTTTTGTCTGAATGGGAATGTTTCAGGCTGGATTGACAATGAGATATGTTCGAGTCTGTCGAGGACGGTTAAATTATAAACGACAAACGCTCCAATGATTGTAGTCCGCTGAAATCACGGGAAAAAGGGAAATACTGGCAATCAAAAAGAAATATGCATCCAAATAACAGAAATGTAGATGTCCGGGGGTAGGGCACTAAGACGGTAAAAGGCCTAACTAAGCACAGCCTCGCCAAATGGAAAGCCATAACCAACATAATTAGGCAGCCATCCACAAGCAGGACGGAATACCTACCGAGCTCGAGAGGGGCGAATGTCAAAAAGGGACGGGAAGCAGGGTTTCCCTGAAGCGGGAGAAAGCATGGCGGACCGCTCACGTTGTTTCACCCTCGCACGTTCGAGGCGGAGGTGACTGAGGTGGATTTAGCCCGGGTAAAAGTGGGACTCGGACAAAACCTCCGTTCCAAACAGAATCGAGAAAAAGAGACTTGCAGAAGGAAATGAGTCTTGATAATAATTGTGGCCGAGATACCCAGGCGGTTGCCAGAATGACTGTTGGCATCTTGTCATTGCGATGCAACCATTCAAGGAGGCGGTCGGGGCATTGCGGGTAGAGGAGTTCGTCATAGTGGATAGCTGTGGCACAGGGCATAATTAAGTGAGGCACAGTTGCATACCTTAGTTAGCTGAGGATTTGGTATCATGTCATCTCCACAGGCTGTGACCACGGCAGTGTGATTTGCGCAGATCACCGGTATGTTCCCGCGATCATGTGGCGGCACTGGATATTATGCACCTACCAGGTAGTCATTAGCGGTCGGCGACGACCGGATCCCACCAGCCATCGCGATGCAATTAAGCAACTCCGCCACAGGTACACAGCTTTCATTTGGGGGCCGCCTCGCGATCTGCCTACTTATCTACAATAGATCTTGATCATCGATTTTTCTGGTGGAGTCCCGGGCCGCTCGTCTACCGGAGGTAAACCGGTTCGATATCTCTAGATACAGGAACCTCCTCTAAAACAGTGGACTCCCCCTGCTTTTCAGTCAGCTTGTGGACCCCATTTTACCAAGCAATGGTCCCCGCAATATACGACTCAAATGCTTGTGTTATATTCCATGTTGGATTGCCATGGCAATTTCCCTTAGCTCAATGTAGATCTTCCATGAATTTGAACCACGGTTATAGTTCCGGCCCCACTGCCGCAGGATAACTGTTTTTCAAGACTATTATAGTGTCTTTCTTTAGCCACAGATCCATTCCACAACCCGACAAGGCTGTAATCAAGTGCTCTTTCTATGGATTTGTACCTTTCTATAGCTGCAAATTTCACAAATTATACATGCGAGTCATTACTGCAGAGAACTTTTGATCATCGTCTAACCACCACTCCCCATCAACCATTTCTAGCATCCTTGAGACTGCGCCACCGGAAGGCACAATATTCCGGAGTCCACCGTCGATCGCAGCCAAGTTCATGCATCTAGGCCAAGCCATTGTTAGCCTCGCCCGAGGGTTTATCATCCGAGTAAGATGGCCTTTGAGTGCCTTACCATCTCACTAATCAGTTTCCACTTATGTGTCGTCCAGTGATCGTGGGCGTGCTGGAGGGAGCTGATTTCCGTATCATTTACGGCGCGCAGCCGTCGCTGGAGCCGGCTGTATCTCATCTGCAAGGCAGCAGTCCGGATCTTTTTTCCCCATTTGCTCTGAAAGTATAATGCAATTTCCTTCCAAGACTTGCGCTCAACGTCTCGTAGAGATAACAAACGTTTCTCGTCTTCGGTCAAAGATATTGATGGTAAGGTGGTGGTCGTTGCATCACTCGTGGCAGGCGTAGATCTGCTATTGGCAAATCTACTGTGCTCCTCGCATTGAAGAACCTCTGATTGATCCGAACCAAAGTCGATATCTGACAACATCATATGTAGATCATTAAGTTGGGCCATCTCGTCGCTATGACATGAGATGTGATTTGACGTTGAGGATGAGGTAGTCTCGACTTGGTCATTCATTGTAGATTCTAAATTCTGAAATTTTCAGCCTTAATAATTACTTAAGAACTGCATATTATCGTTATGATGTTTGACGTACCGAACGGTCATACGGCATACACATACTGTGTATGCCACCTTGGCAAGCGGTGCCAGCAGCTGGCAATGTAATCGGAGACCAGGACACGTTTGACATTCTTTGTTTGCAGGTGCAAATTTGGGAGATAATTGATCGCTATGCTTTGCTCTGCCCAAGCAAGGGAAAGTCATGATGCTTCAACAAGTCACAATATAAACTATTGTCCTCTTGTGATGATGTATTGACAGTGCGGATTTATTTCCATTCTCAATTTCAGTAGAACCTGAGCTGCAAACTCAGCGAGACAATGGGAGAGACATCCCAAATCATTCCCGGCAGACGCTAGAGGTTTGACCCTTGACTGAAGCCCCTCTTCTCCATTAATAATGGCTTGCAAAGCTCAGATCATGTCAGTGCAGAAAAAAAAACAAAATCGATGTTCGTATTGACTTACGATTGTATGTCACAAGGATGGGGGTAGAGTTCTATGAAAGAATGGTTATCGCGTTACTTTGCAAAAGAGCGGAGTAGTACGTAAACGCTACTCAAGATAGCTCGTTGAGGGAAAGCAGGAACTGAAAGCGGCGGGGTTTGATTTGCGCCCGTTTTATCTTATTCCCTGTAATCAGAACACCCTTCTCGTAGAAGGATACCCGGCACTCAATACCTTAGGTAGTGAAATGCCTCCTGGGGTGTAGTCGCCGACTTTAACAGCTAAGTCGCCGACCTTCAACAACAGCCCAGGAACCCGAAGCTCATTACAGACACGAACTTGTAAGTAGTGTATTAGAGATGAAGTACCGATTGGTTCAAGCTCTTAACTAAGGTAGGTAACTTCGTTTAGCACTTGTACGTTTCATGGATTTCCAACTCTCGCTTTCAGGGGCGAAGGTCTATTCAGGGAGGTCTAAACACTGATCGCCGGGGTGCTACTGGAGATCGGTGGGTTGGAAGTTAAGCTAGCATTATCACTAATCAACCACCTATGTTCCTTGGTAAAAGCTGCGAGCAAACATCTTTGGCATTGTAACTATTAGATCATTAATTGGTCTGTGCTTGATTCGGGTAGGCTCAGACAATAGATGAGTGATATAGCCTTTGCTTCTAATTCTCTGGAGGGATTCTCACGCAAGACTGAACTCGTTACGGTTGGGTTTGCTCGATACTCAAGAGGTGTTTTAGGAGAAAATATATTGCATCCATTCTCAAGAAGTCAAGCTAGCTAACATATAAACAATATCAGGTATGTACGCTGAATCAAGTATATCGACCGAAGCTCTGTTGAGAATAGATTGGCTCCTGTTCAAGTCCTCCACCATGTAACGGAATCACCAGGATTGATACCCTAGGCAGAGCACTCATACGGGTATGGAGGCAACTCCTCACCGCTTGGGAACAGACCGGCCTGATGGTTTCCAGTGTTGTTACCGTCACTGTCCAGCACTGCACCAGATTTTCCCTCATTGACACAGCCAGAGATGACATTCTGCAATACATCCGCTATACCGCTCCCACTGATTGTCCAAGTGTCACACTCAGACTGGATCGTTGCCTTGCAGCTACCATAATCAAAGTTGATAGGGTTTTCTGGTGAAATATTGAAATTCTCGCTGCCAAATTCGCTAATTTGAGAAACTAGCTTGTTGCAGTCATCAATACTTGGGCCAGCATCCTCGTCCTATCAAAAGCGTTAGCAAAGGGATTTATATTGTAAACACCAGTATATGCTCTTATGGAAATACATACAAAGCATTCCAGGACGTCACGCTTTGCCAAAGCATTGGGTGTGTTGAGCCCTGAGCGCTTGGAAAGATGCTAAGAAACAAAGATTAGCAAACACTATCCCAAAGCAATTAGGATATTATCAAGAACATACAGCTACTCCAGCGCCATTACTTTGAGGCAAGCCAGAAACAAGTCCGGTTGCGAGGGTAACAAGGAGAAATGAAACGCTTGCAAGCTTCATTTTGTAGAGTATGGACAGTTGACGATTTAGAGAGTTATGAATAGAAAATGTAGTATGACTGCAGAGTATGGAATCAAGCTTTGAGCTGGCTTGACTTGAGTTTATATAGATGGCTCCACGGAGTGGATGCTCTAAGTACATCACCAAACCCAAGCAATTACTAATTTTTCCTAGTACTACAGTCATCCGTAAGGGAAGCGTGTGTTGGAACTAGTGTTATTGTAACATTACAAGTTGTATATTGGGCAGAATGATAAGAACGATTGGTTAGCATAGTATGTCTCTTGCAACTCAATAATACCTTGATGGCAGACTTTTGAGCGGGTATGGAGCATATGTTAGATGTTATGTTGGCTGTTGGATCTGGCCCGCAGATTGTTAGATGTGATGTTGGTTGTTATCAGGCATATCATGTCAGGTATGCAAAAACTGGAGATTATAATGTCGTAAACTCAGCAATGCTTTTGAGACAGCATTTAGATATAAAGGTGTTCCCTGATCACAAGGTCAATCTCTTTAAACAAGCCATTCAATCTGTCTTTACTTTTCTTCTCAACTCTAAGAAATCAATCGAGTCTTGAGTACCGCGAATCTTCAAAATGAAGCTCCTCCAACTTCCTCTTGTATTCTTCGCAATCTTTGGCTTCAGCAGCATCGCCTTTGCCGATGACGCTAATGGATGCGTTAATTAGTATGGAACCTTATAAGAGAATCCCCAAAAGGAAATTTTACTGACATATTGGCAGTGCGGACCCAGATCACGGAATTCCAAACTACTGCTATTGCAATTCTGGTTAGTTCGAAGCAACATGAAGCGTGACAAGATGATTATTTGCCTTCTGGTATCTCTCTGTGAAACTCAGCAACTTACACCTTTCAGGCAACTGCTACATCGACACCGATGGTAGCTGCACTAATCTGGGCGCACAAATTTCTTGTCCCTACACACGTTAATTGCAACACACCACATATTGGAGGAGATGGGGAATCCTGGCAATAGAGAAAACGGTAGATATTTTTCTGGTTTCTACAATCATGTGTCCGATGATATGAATGTATAGCCTATCGCTAGTACCAATGATATTTGTCGTTCGGATTTGCTTCTACCGCCCATTGGTGCTCTTTCTTTGTCTTCTTGGTTCCCATGTTTATCCATACGTGATTTTGAATTGGAGGCCCCGTAGACATAGTAGCTTCTATGATCTGGGATCTTTCGATGGTGACATCGGCAATGGCAAATGCAAATCATAGAGAAGTAAGTCTGTTAATTCTATAGACACTTGGACATTGCGCCGAACAAAGTGAAATACTTTGAAGAGTTTGGTGTGAACATTAAAACTGTCATTAACTTCGTAAAATCTATATATTAAATATATTTCCAGATATTTTCAATTCAGTCCGTCTTATACACGAGCTTGGCGCCAGAATACTTGCCCTCCCGCATGTCCTGGAAGCCTTGAAGAGTGCCGGCCAAACCGCCTGGTCGGACATCGCTGGGGTGAGGCTTCAGCTTGCCCTCCGCCAAGAGCTTTCCAGCATAAGTGAGTATCTTGGCAGAGAACTCGGCGTCCTTGGGGTTCGCGGGACAGTGCACGCCATACTTGTCAAAAGTTTCGCCAAGCGCGGTGTAAGCCAGGGTCCAGCCTGACTCAACGTCCTTGCGTGGGAACTCGCCGACGGGCAGCAGCGAGCTGTAGTGACCGCCTGCAGAGCTGATAGCCTCAGCACTGAGTTTTGCCGTGTCGTCTGTGGCGACAGTGTCAAAGACGAGCTTCAACGAGTCGTTGGTAGCCTTCTTAATGTCGGCCGCACAGGAGGGTGACTTATAGTCAAAGACTTGTTCGGCGCCGACTGACTTGACGAGGTCGAAGTTGTGGGGCGACGCAGTGGCAATCACCTTGTAGCCAGAGCTGATTAAAATGTAAGCATTCATCCAGTTCCAGCTTGCTTGAGAGACAAGTCTAATGGGTCTTACAGTTTGGCAAACTGGATAGCTAGAGTACCAGTGGCGGTGCTACCGCCGTAGATCAGGATGGGCTCGGCTGCACCCTTTGAAGTGTCTGAATCGCCAGGGAAAGGCAATTTAAGTGCCTGGTAGAGACCCTGGCCCACAGTCGAAATACCCAATGGGAGAGTTGCAGCTTCTTCGAAAGACACGTTATCCGGAATCTTGAAGTTCATGTGGGCTTTGTTCACGATATAGTCGGTAAAACCGCCATCTTCGGGCTTCTCGGCGTGGCCTTCCGGTTGGGATATTGTCAATTTCAATTCGATTCTGCGTTCTGCCAATGTGGTTTCCCGGAACGGGGATAGTAACTTACATCCGTGAGCCCAGCCGGCCACACGGTCGCCAGCTCGAATGCCATTTTTAACGTCGGAACCAACAGCCTGAACGACGCCACTGTAATCGCATCCGGAGACAGCTCCTTCGGTGCCAACGAAGTCAATGGACTTCCAGTCGGTAGGGTTAAGCGCGACAGCATACGGCTTGATCGCAAGGCTATCCGGAGCGACAGCCGGGCGAGGGAGGCCGGTCTTGAGTTCCGCCTTGCCCTTGCCTTGAATAATGATTGCAGATCGGGTAGCCATGGTGCCTAATCCACGGAAATATAATCTGTTTGTTCTGGATTTGAGATGGACTAGGAACAGGAGCTTGGTTGAGTATTTGACTGCGTCAGTCTTAAGCCGTGTCTGAAATGAGAACGGACTGCAAGCGCGTGGGGTCTTTCTAAAGGATGAATGGTTCGAAGCTACTGGCGGTCAGTATGGTGGGGTCGAATGGGATGGAAATCATCCATATTTGTCAGTTGTGCCATCATTGTTAGCTGATTAGTGATCTCATACAACTCGGCATTTGCAAACATGATCCACGCTCGAACAAGACCAATTAAGAAAGAAAAAACCAAATTCTGAAATGAGGAGAATTAACAGCTTTCATGATTGAATATACTGATTCTATTTCCAACTCTATTTATTAGATCGGCCATGTTTTCGTCTCTTTCTATCCTGCGTTCGAACTTGGAAAATAAAATTGTGAAGGAACGAATTTCGTGACGTCAGCTGTTCAGATCGGGGTTTGCTCGGCCCGAAGCTGCCAGAGCAAACAACCCGTGTTGCCGTTCGCCCGATCGGATCGGTCGCAACGCCGCGTCCATGTCAACTAAGGTTTGGCGACATCTAGGTAAGGTAAGTATAAGCTTCAATTATTTAGGCCCTCGGCCCCTGGGCCATCTCTAGCGTCAACAAAACTACGGAGTATGCTCTCGAGCTCGTCAGTCTATCAATCTAAAATCTCCGACCTCTATTGAAACACGCCAGGTCACGCCTCAGCTGAATCTGTCACGAGAAGAAGTCGGCACGCGTAAATCCATCTTCTACGACTTTGGCTATGCCGGTGGTCGCTTCTTTCGATTTTGGAACCAAGTGCCCAAAAGGATGTTCGTAGGTGAAGACGCGGTCGTCAATTGACTCGCACAATTCAACAAGATATTTACTCTGAGCATAATAATGATCCTGTCGCCCATAAACATGCACAGTAGGAATTTCAATACGGATTTCGTCCAGGTGTGGGTGGAATCTGAAAATTCGGGGCCCAAAAGCGGTTTCATCTTTGCCAAGCTCGGCGGTTCCGGTGAAATCTGACTGAAGCCCATCATATTTGGTGAACGACTTCAGATAGTCCAGGTCCGCGGCAGTCGTATCTCCAGTGGCCGCATAATAATCTGTCACGTCAAGGCCGTGGTTCGGTGAAATAGAGAATGGAAGACTGGCACAAACGAATATGGCGAGGCGGAAGGGCGGTGGAATATACGGATGCTCGATCTGGTGGTGTAGAAGAAACGATGCCGCTAGCGCTGCGCCCTGGAGTCGTGGTAGTCGTCAGTTATCGAAACACGACACGCCAGCAGGAGAAAGAGAATGAAGAAGGGGTGACGCACCTGGCTAAATCCCATGACAGCGTCAAAAGGACCCTCTTCATGCACAATTTCCCTGAGACTCTCATGTGCCTCTCTGACGTTATCTATCGACGGCAGATTGTAGTAGCACAAGTAAGGCGCAGCGAAGATCTGGTCGACATTGTCTGCCGGTGGGCATTCATGCTCGCCTTCGACAAAATCCCATGTATAATGCGGCGGAAGGATGGAACGAAATGACGCTGTATTTCTCAATTTAGCATACTAGACAGGTGAGCTTGGGCGTTTTTCAAGATCTCTTGTCTTTTGAAGTTCGGCGTCCAATAAGATTCGTATTTATCGAAATCAAGGGAGACATGTAGAGAAATCGAACATAAATCCCACTGAAAAGAGGGGGGAACAGGCGCAGAAGCGCAAACCCTTCCCGGAATCACAATATGCGTGACATACCTGTCTGTGCCTCAAAAATCTTCGCACTTGTGCCCATGCCATGAAGACATAATATCCTCATCGTATATGCTTTGTCACGTGGGACATGTCACCATAAAAGACCCCAAAGTAATATTTCAATAATAATTCTCAAGTTGGTTGATACCCTACAGCATAATCCGGCGTGGGAGAGAAACGTTGAGGGAATAGAGATATTATGAATCTATGGAATATAAGACACATTGATCCCAGCTGCACCCACCGTTCCCCGGCCCCCACCATGCAGATGCGGGGCATTGAGGGGGGGGGACAAGGGTCGTTGCACCGCAGAAAGTCAGCGTATTATTTCTCGCCATGGCCTTTCACTCGGTCAGGTAGGTAGGGCCGACATGAGACTCAGCACACGTGCTCATCAAGAATCTTCAAAGCTCTCAAAGTCTAGGACATACCTGACTTGCCAACACGTCTTTACTTTTGATCCCGTATGATATCCGTTGAGCAATTGACAGCACGCGTGGATGGTCTCACCCACTCGACCCAAGCTTTGTCGGGAAATTGATAATCCGTACGGTGACTTTTTAAGGCCATTATGGCAATATATCTCCGAGATCGCCTAAAGGACCCTCCAACTGCCCCTCTCCCTGTCTCGCTCGTTGGCTCCTCGGCATTTGTCCGTCCGCACCGATGCAGCTGGGGAGTCAGCGATTGCGCCATACTTCGTTTGGTCGGAAACAGCAATATTATTGCGCCCTCCAAGCACCTTATCAGTGATTCAGAATCAACAATTCTATGGGTTCGTTCAACTTCCCCCGGTTGATCTCTCGACTCTCACGGCCCGCTGCCTTGTATCCTCAAGCTTCCTCTAGAGCTTCTCAAGCCAAAATATCGCCCTCTATATCCTTCAATTTCAGTACTCGTAATATGACGTCGGCAGCCGAGGCATTCCGTCCCGCTGCACGGGTTGCAGGTCAGAAGCAGGATGTCTGGTAGGCAACGGGTCCACGAGCTTGCAAGGCTTCTCAAGTGCCTGGATTCTGATCAAATGCGTCATGATCTAGGTCAATCGTGAATGAGGCAGCTGCCTCTTCGCCGGTCCAGCCTATCGTAAACATGGGCCAGGGTTTCTTGTAAGGCTGATACCGTCTGGCGAGACAACCTGGAGAACAAATGCTAATCAATAATAGTGGCTACAATCCTCCTCAATTCGTCATCGACGCTGCAAAACAGAGTCTTGATCGGGTGGACTGCAACCAATACGCCCCTACCAAGGTCAGATCGCCTTTTCTGAACGACAGAGTGCCCGTCACTGATAGAGAGATAGGGCCGGCCGCGCTTAAAGAAGGCTCTCGCTGATGCGTACTCCCCATTCTACGGACGGACTCTCAACCCTGAAACTGAGATTACCATCACTACTGGAGCAAACGAGGGTAAGAGGGAACACGAAGCTCGTTGCTGTGACACTGAGTAACTGACGGATGACTCTAGGCATGCTCAGTGCCTTTATGGCCTTTATCGAGTCTGGTGATGAAGTTATTATTTTTGAGCCATTCTTCGACCAGTATGTTCAACCAAGTAGGCGTTCAGGTGCAGAAAAATGCGCATATGCTCACCATGTACAACAGATATATTAGCAACATTGAAATGGCCGGCGGTGTGATTAAATACGTTCCTATGCACCCACCAGTAAAAGGAGCTATTGAGACGTCTTCCGCCTCGGAATGGCGCATTGATATTGAGGAGCTCAAGAAGGCCATTACACCGAAGACAAAAATGATTGTACGTGCTCAATTTTGTCCCAAGTATGCTTATTCGAGTTAACCGCCATCATCCAGGTTCTCAACACACCGTGAGTATCCGAATCAGTCTCTATATATATTTGAAAATTTTTGTTAACAATGTGGCAAGTCATAATCCCGTTGGAAAGGTCCTCTCCAAGGAGGAGCTTGAGGCCATTGGAGAGCTCTGCGTCAAGAACAACATTCTTATTCTTTCCGACGAGGTATGTCCGCCTTTCTTCTCGTCCGTTGCAGTCTAGGTTCATGGGTGCTGATCGAAACAGGTCTATGACAGACTGTATTACGTCCCTTTCACACGCATCGCAACCCTCTCACCTGAGCTCTACAACCTGACTTTGACCGTCGGCTCCGGCGGCAAAAACTTTTATGCCACTGGCTGGCGCGTGGGCTGGCTGATCGGTCCCGAGCACCTCATCAAGTATGTGTCAGCAGCGCACACTCGCATCTGCTACAGCAGTGTGAGCCCACTGCAGGAAGCTACAGCTATTGGCTTTGAGGAGGCAGACAAGCACGGCTTCTGGGACGAATCCAAGAAGGAGATGCAAGGCAAGGTCAGAAAGTTTAACGAGATCTGGGACGAGTTAGGATTGCCTGTAAGTTTCTTCCTCTTCACTTCTTAAACCAATGCCGCTATTGCGCATTCGATCTCTCAATACTTCTGCGTCCGCTTGCTTTGGTCAAACTTCCTAGTGGACCTTTCAACGCTAACATCCCAACAGTACTCCGACCCCGAAGGTGGATACTTTGTCGTCGTCAATATGGAAAAAGTCAAGCTTCCGGACGACTACGTCTTTCCTCCGCACGTCGCTGAACGCCCTCGGGATTTCAAGCTCAGCTGGTTCCTCATTATGGAAGTCGGAGTCGCTGCTATTCCACCTACTGGTACGACTAATTTCTCCAAACCTATCTGCTATAGGAAGTTCCTCTCCTGTTCCAATACTGACAATTATAAAAGAATTCTACACCAAAGAAAACGCCCACATTGCTGAAAATTATTTGCGTTTCGCCGTCTGCAAGAACGACGACGTTCTCGAAGAGGCCAAGGCCCGACTACGCGGCTTAAAGAAATTCATCCAGGCATAAGCCCCACGCATAACTCGGCCCCCGTCGTATATTGTAGGATCTCATGACCTCACGAGAAGTTTCCAGCCAGTCGAGATATTGATTTGACTGAGTTTGCTACTTTTGTTTAGTCATCTCTGGACGAAGTTACTAGAATTCTTGACCGCCAGCTAGATACTAGATGCTAGATGCCGCGTCCCTACACTACCCTTGTTTCCTGGCGTGTATTGCAAAAGCGTATATTGCAGTTTTTCTGAGGTATATAGATTATAGCATTTGCCCTTCTTAGCAAGAGGAATAAAGCAAGCAAATTTGTGAAGTGAAAAGCCTAGTCCTTTGATCTGTGAAAATATCGAAATTTATTGAATTGTTTAATTTCTTTCCGCTTACAGTTGGTTTGGTCCCAACAACAGGTACGCATTTATAATACGCAGGTTGAAGAGCCTGGAAGGAATTAACCCTCAGTCACCCGGAAAATGAATTAGGCGCATGTGGTAATGAAAAGTCTGGATAAATTTGTGTATTATTCATGCTATTCTCGTAATCTAAGTTGATGCCGATGCTTTCCATCGAATGGTGGACAATTTCAGTTGTATTTGAGTACCGCATGTACAACTCGATGATCGCGCTGTGCGAATGTACACTGATTGAGGGAAAGATACGACTGTGATTTCGTGAATAGCGGTAATGAAGGGGATGGGGAAGGAAGGAAATGGTGTAGTATAAGTAATTTATTAATATGAGGGTGTTTGCGATTTGAGGATATTAATTAAATAAGCGCTTGATTGTAAACATTAGGGTTGAAGGGGAAAGGGGAAGGGGACGAATTGAATGGGGGCTAGTTAAGGGAAAGAGAAGTAGAATGTAGAACAGTAACTGATCAGGGCAACGATCTTTAACCACCGGCTTGCGGAAGGGCAGTAGTATCAGCGTTTCTCTTTTCGTTGACTCCGCCAAATCCGGATTCTAAGATCGTGCTATTGGCAGCCACTGATGTAGAACAGCTGATCTACGCCCAATCAGGGAATTGATCCCCGGTGGACTAGATGCTGCCGTCGTTCAGAAAGCCGATAAAACTAGGTGTGCCAGGAACCTCAGAGTGCTCAAAGCCCCATCCGTTCCAGATACGTCCCTGGTTACGCTGTCTCTTGTCAGTTTCGGTGGTTCCAGGGAAGCCCACCCCCTGGGCACGTGCGATCCAGTCGGTGACATTGGGATGGTATCTGCGCCAGGAGCGAAGAAGCCAGACTTTTGCTTCTACCTCTGCACAAAGCTTCTCTAGTCCAGCTTGTTCCCAGTGGCGGTCGTCCAATGGGAAATCTTGTTCTGGAAAGTTGGCTGTGAGAGCTCTGAACTCAAACAGGAACTGCCGATCAAGCTCTTTCTCGACCGTCGCAGACCACTTGTTCGCTTCGCGAAGAGTAAAGCGGAGACAACGGTATAAATATTCCGCTGGTCCTTCGATGGTATGATCTGTGCCTGATTAGTATTGGTCACGGCCGCAATTTTAGGAGAGTCAGGAGCCGGGACATACCATAAAAAGCAATATTGAGCAAACGATTGAACCGATCCTTTTTCGGATCGTCTTCATTCCAGTAGACAAGGACTTGGGCAGTGGTGCTGCCATGGAATTCCGTTCCTTGACGCTGAGACTCCGCTACATCGTTGAAGATGGCATAGTCGCAATTGACTTTGTACGCATTAAAAGCGCGTTGCCGGTTATATTCCCTGCTTACCCATCCATGTTTGTTATGGATGAAAGAATGGTATCCGCACATGTAGTCTGGCATAGTATAGCCATCTGTTGGGAAAGGCAAGGGACAGAGACCGCAGAGGATTGCGTGATGAGTGGAATCTTCAAGCAGGTGCTCCACACTACAGTATCTAGTACTGGAGTGTGGTCCACAACCATAACAGAGTAGCGGTTGTCTGTGGCGTGGGTGTCCCTCGTCAAACAGGGGTGCATTGCATCCTTCCTTAGCGCATATATGCTTAAGCTCTGAGAAAATACGAACTGAATGACCCTCTGCCTCCCAATGACGATACCAGCGAAGACGGTCATCCTCCATATACTTGGGGCTGTTTGGATTCGCGCGTTCATCATGCCAAACAACCCTATCAAGGAGATCCGGTGGGGGAAGCTGAGCTTGTGTAATGGGCTCCGTCTGGCAAGCTTGGGCTGATGCATGCTTGTTTTGCTTATTCTTTGTATCGTTTTTCGCATTGCGGGTTGGTTCGTTTTGAACCTCGCTATCCTGCTTTCCCTTGCACTCGTATATCTCAAGTTTGTTTGGCTCTGTGATGTTGAAAGATCTATCAACCACTTTCCTCGCCGTATTCTCGCTATTTGGAATTTCCTCCTTTGTTTCGGCATCAATTGGGTAAGCAGTCATTCTTCTCGGGGGGCTCTTGGGTGTTTTCTCATCCTCTTGCTTCTGGTTCTCCACAGGCTGCCCCGATGCTATACGTTTAGCTCGAGTTGCATCCGCGATGAGGAGATTCTGCAAAGTTCCGGATGAAACAGGAGTGCCCTTAGCCGCGCGACGGATGCGTTCGGGCTTTCCAAATGTGAAGAGATCCAACGGAACAGCGGTCAGGAAATGGATATCTGTCTTAGGTTGCTTTCTACCCAAGCCGTCACCCTTTGCTCCACTTCTAACAATCACCTTGTCATCCTTCTTGCGCCAGTGCTTCTCAGAACCTGTCATATGTTGAATTCCCTTGTCAGACTTAGCAGCGGAATCGTCCGATTGCCCCTGCTTCCCTGGGTGATCCAGGACTGGAAATTCGGATTCATAAAGGGCGAACTCATTTGATATGACGGGATTCCGAGAATCCACCTTCGGAGGAATATTCGAACGCTCTGTGGTTAAAGTATCGCTTGAGTTACTTGCTTGATATGCAACCTTCCGGTCCTCCCGACCGAGGTTTAGTTGCTCTGTTGCTTCTTGGCAAGAGGGGCTTTGAGAAACTACTGCCTCCATCAATGAATCAATATCTTCAAACTGACTGTGAAATTCGATAGCTGAGGGTATCTGGGCGGAAGACCTAGACGACGTACGGTGTCTTAGGAGCTGTATGCTGTCGGAGCGATCCCGTTTGGCATTTTCCCTTTCCTCGATCCGCCTAGCACGAGCTTCTTCCAGCGACGGTGGACTGTCTTCCATGGTAAACCGCTTCAGATCCTCGACAGGTCTATTTTGAGTTTTGTTGTACGAGTTAAGTTCGAGCTGGGTCATCGACTTTGACTGAGCAGACTTAGTTTTGCCTTTTGATTGTAGCCAAGCACGACTGCTTGACGGGCTGATTTTCTGCTCAGGTTCGCAACTGTTATGAATGACGCCTTTCCCGTCTTCTTCTAAGAGACCAAGTGACAACTCTGGCGGGATGCCTTCATGTGTGACTGATGAAAAGATTTCTAATTCATCAATCGTTGTATTCCGCTTCGAAAGGTCTGCATGTGGTGATTCAACACCTGACACTACGGTGTTCGGGGCCCCTCGCGAGTTTGAGGAGTGAATGACAGAGCTCTCGGCACTCTGGTTCGAGGCGTTATTGGCATATCCTGGGCCATCGAAGGTGCTTTCGCACTAACGTATTGGTCAGTTTTATATATAATTCTAGTTCAAACCTGATTTGTAGCTTACCTCAGAATACTTTTCCGCGTTTGCTGGTTTCCCATTGGCTGATTTTGAATCATCTGTTCCACACGGATTGCAATGTTGAGTTTCGGAATGTGATTTATCATTGTTCTGCAATGGCAACTTTTTCCCTTTGCGTTTATTCTTTTTCTTTGATTTCTTAGATTTCTTCCGCGTAGCTGGGGCCTCGGTCATTGGATTTAAGCCATCTTGAACCAATTTGGATTCCTCAACATGCCGTGGTTCTTGGGCGGAGGCCGTGGCGCCTGCTGTTGACTCCTTCAACGCGGCTTTGACAAGTAAATATGTACCGACGAGAGACTGCCTATCAAATGCTTCAAGCATCTCCTTTTGTTCGGCCTTATTCTGGCTCTCTTTCATTTTCTTCTTGTCCCGTTCTTCAACAATGATCTCCCACCACTGTTTCGGAAGCTCCGGTACATCTTCCGAGTTACGATTGAAGTAATTCCGAGAGACCTCTCTCTGGTGCGCTGCGCACTCTTTAGCAACAACATCCTGTCACTCATTGTCAGAAATTTCGCCGAAAGCACAAACAAGAAATACTCACGATAGGTGCGCGAAAAAGCGGGTCTGGCTGGGTGATGACTTGGAAGAAAAATTGACCGGCATCAGTAAAGCACCATCGATAAGTTCGTCTGAACATTGAGTCCTCTATCAACTCAAGATAGAAGTCGTCTCCTTCGAGCCAACTTCCCGCCTGAGTGGAAGAGGGGGTTGGGGCCATGATCTTTTCCAGCTGCGCCGTCGTTGTTTTGGAACCCAAACAGCGATGGCTAGTGGAGAGAAAAGTGTCGCCCGAGTGTTCAGTCGGCTTCTCTTCAGACGTTTCTGCGATGGGAGTTTTCTCAAAGGCCATACTGTGTGGTGGTTGAGATGATGCCAACAGCGATTGCTGAGCAGGCTCACCAGTATCTATTGAGTTGAACCTGGATGGATAGACCAGCCGATGCATAGAAGTTTTCCATTGCATTATGGAGGGCCATTCGTGCCAATGCGGTACCAGCTGTGTATCTGCGCAGGGAAACGTAGGGACCAAGTCGGCGGTTTCTAGAATTGGGCTGTTTGTAAGGATGACATCGCGAGCATCGAACAACAGTGAGCCACTATCAAACTTCACGAAGAGAAAGAATAAACAGAGCAAGCAGCAGTCAATTTGAGGGTAATATTCTCATGTGAATGGAAACATTGCACGCCGATTCACCTGGGGGAAAAGGGAACGCATGAATTTTGGATTTAACAATCGTCTCTGACTCCCTGAAAGAAAACCCTGGCTTCTTCATCAATAGTGAAGAGTAATCCAGATATGACAGTGAAGCAGCCTTTGGATATTGAGACCAATCCTGCCAATAATTTTAATGATGCAGCCTCCAAGAAGGAATTCCAGGGTCGCTTCACGCAACGGATAGCCAATCTGGGGATTCCCCCCATTGTTTAGGTGTCTTATTTTGGAGAAAACTCTCAGGAAGTTTGCGGCATAAATTTCCCCTGACATGTTCCATGACGCATTTTCGCCAGGTTCATAAGCCGGACGAGGTTGCTGATCCCTTTTTTCAAGAGTAGCTGTCCTTGAATCATTGGCAAAATGATTTCAGGGCCAAATAAAGATGCTCATGTGTAGCATCCAAAACGCAGCACTTTCATATAACAGTGTAACATGATAGAACTGTATGGATGCCAGATATCAGCATTCAACGGTAATGGTCAAACAATGTAAACGCCCAACTGGCCATGGTTCATTAACTGAAGCTGTAAAAAAAAAAATATGCAATTTGACGTGAGATGAAAGAAAATTGACACAAAGCACAAAATTCAAGTCAGACAACGGCAAACACTGTCTTACATTCAGTCACGCATCTCAAGGCAGTATAAAACAAATGAAATTTCGAAAGATGGCAGTACATTTGCAGCTAGAATTATTCGATGCGTAGAGAAGCATAAGAGTCGAGAAGAAGCCTTTCAAGTAGAAGCAGAATAAAAAAAAGACCAATCAAGAAACAACAATGTCGTCAAGACCATCTATATGTGATGAGGTTGAGGTCTACTTACTACGTACGGCAGAGATGAACTGACGTCTGGAGGTGAAGCCGAGGCAAGTGGAAGCGATAAGCCTATCTGAAATGGGATAAATAAGCTAAGCGAACAGACAGGGAGTTTTACACCCGAGCCAGGGCATAATTAACCGAAGGTCAAATTGTTTCGGATGATTTCAACTCCTCATGCTGTCCGTAGCAGCAATTCTTTCGTTTATTACTTGCACGTGATCCAATTCATTCCAACTTTATGCCACTCGCTCAAAGTCCTGCCTTCTTTCATCGCTGAGAAAACCCCCACCTCGTTCGCTGGACGAGGGCGAGAGCAGAGCAAATTGTTTATTCAAGGTTCTTTTTTTGAATTCTAGTTGCCTGTGATTGCTTCATTTGCACGCTCTTCGCTTTTCAACGTGGTTGAAAGAAGTGCTTGTGTTTGCCAATTAGAGTGCGACAGTCGCTTTGTTCTGCAACATGGCGGATCAAGCAAACATATCTTCGATTCTAGCTGCACTAGGTATTATTTTAATCCAATGTGATGTCGCATGTTTACTTCAAATACTTATAAGCCGTTAATAGCTGCACAACGCCCTGGAGGCACACCAAGTCAAGTTGCGCAACCCGTGCCACAAGCCGGTCTCTCTCCCGTTTACCCTAGCAACCTTGCGACATCAACTCCTCCGGCTGGCTTTGGTGGCTTTGCGCTTCCCCAGCCCACGAACACTGGTAGCCTTGATCTCAGCAGCATTAGACCAGTCAATTCTGGTTCTGTTAGCATTGCGGATGCAATCGCGAAAGCTAAAGGAATAGCGGCCGAGAAAGGATTGTCTTCCTATGATCCGAGCCGCGGCAGTGGAGGTATGCACCCTTGTCCGCTCAATATTCTTTTATTATTGGACCATTCTCATCGAATTGAAAGTTACAAATCGTGATAGCGATCCCAGATTGGCCGGTCGTTCCTACCGCCGCTCTCGATCCAGATCTCGTTCGCCCACGCGCATGCCCCGAGAGAGTTTCCGGGATAACTATAACCCTTACCGCGACGAACGCCGAGACGACCGGAGAGGCGCAAATGGCCGTGACTATGGCCGAGACCGCTCATACTCCCCTGGACCTCGAGGTCGTCACGATGCCACCTTCTCCCCGCCACCCAGCCGGAGCTATGGCGGTCGTGGTGACCGTTCACCCCGAGGAGAGCCCGCCGATGACAATGTCGAAACCATACAGATTGAATCTGGATTGGTTGGCTTGATCATTGGTCGACAAGGCGAGAATCTGCGCCGTGTGGAGAGCGAAACAGGTACTAGAGTCCAGTTTATTACCGGTCCTGACGCGATGGGTCCTATCCGACAATGCAGAATAAATGGTACTCGAGCTGCGAGAGCCGAAGCAAAGGCCGAAATTTACCGCATTATCGACGAAAACGGCAGTGGTCCAAAAGCAACAAGCGTGCGCCCCCGACCAGGAGTTCATCAGCCAGCTCTTAGAGAAGGCGAAGACAGCATGCAGATCATGGTTCCTGATCGTACTGTTGGATTGATTATCGGCCGCGGCGGTGAGACAATTCGCGACCTCCAGGACCGCAGTGGTTGCCATGTCAACATTGTTGGAGAGTCAAAGAGCGTGAACGGACTGCGCCCTGTCAATCTTATTGGTAGCCATCAGGCCGCTATGAAAGCCAAGGATCTGATTATGGAAATTGTGGACAGCGATACCAAGACGATGTCGGGTCCCCCTCAGCGGGAAACTCCCCGCAATTTTGGATATGCTCCAAGCGCCGATCCCTACGGCGCAGCTGACAAGGTCAACGACACAATCATCGTTCCGTCAGAAGCGGTTGGAATGATTATTGGCAAAGGTATAATTTCTCTGGGAAACGTCATGCGACTAAATAGCTAATTCATCAACAGGTGGGGAAACCATCAAGGAGATGCAGAGTACTACGAGTTGCAAGATCAACGTTTCAGCGCCGTCCGGGCCGACCGACATTGAAAGAGACATTGGGCTCGTAGGGACGAGGGATGCGATTGAGATGGCAAAGAAGGCTATCATGGAGAAAGTTGAGACTGTGGTAAGTCAAGAGAGGTGGGAAAGGCTAGGTCACAACCAATATTGACGCTTTGATAGCAACAGAAGAACCGTCCAAGCCGTCCGGCCGACCCATATGCTGATAGATACTCACAAGCCCAGCAGCCATATGGCTCTGTGCCAGGGCAAGCGATGCCCGCACAAGCCGCAACTCCTGTTGCAAGCTCGGCCCCTGGAAACGTAACAGGAGGTGATGGTTCCGACCCTTATGCACCTTACGGTGGTTATCAGAATTATGTTGCCATGTGGTATGCTGCCATGGCACAACAACAGCAGATGCAACAGCAGGGTCAGGGCCAAGGTGAGCAGCCAAAACCACCAGGGACCGCGTGAGCGCAAGCTTGACATGCCGACTGTTGTGTGACTTTTGACTGCATGATACGCCCGATCTCTCTCTGAGCGCTTGACACATGCTTGCACGATTTGATGCTACGTCATCTATTTTTATTATGTTCATGGTGTGACTCTTGCCCTTTTGGTTCTGGTGTGGACGGATTCTCTTACCATTTGAGTCGCACAAGGTTGTTGCCTCTCAGATTTTGATCTGACCGCACAAGCCAATTTCCGGGGTCTCTGAATTTCCTTGAGTTCTTGATCAGCCAAACCACGGAGTTTGGCGTTGGGATGAACGACGATGAATCATGCTGCACTCGCCCTCTGGATTCTGTCTCCTTGGGGGGTCTGAGACTGATGATATGCACGGTGTCTTCTGGCACTGTATTGGTGCCCTGTTCATGTTCACTTTGTGCAGTGATCTGTCACCGTCGAAAACCATTTTGTTTCCTGGGGATACTCTGCTTGACTTGTGACTGGCAGGCATGTGTAATCATTGATAAAGCGAATTGCACGGCAATTGAGCTGCATTTGAACAATTCTGCCTTATGTTTATTCCACAATCGAAAATTCAGCTTGTAGTATGACTATGGTTGATCATGAAAGTACAAATTTCGGAGCGTAAAAGGCTGATATGGGCAAAGGAATCTCCTTTACAATTGTAAATATAGTCAATTTGAAAAGAGCGGATTTAGCAATCTCAATCAAAATTTATTTCTTATTTGTTTTTATTTGTTTATTTTTTTTAAATCAATAGATTTCAAAAATCATGGCATGATTTACAATTTTCCTAAAATGATGCATGTTTGCCGAGATGTCAAGTTGTGGTCTGATTCATGCGACCTTGTTTGACGTCATTCTGACTTTCGCCATAGTAGAGTATCACAAGTCTCCGCAAATCTGTATAAAATCAATTTATTGGTTTTCATCGTCATCTACAATAACAAATGAAGATGTTGGTCATATCAATGCAGCTGCTAACATAATGGTTCGGTACTTCTCGAACGATCAACCACTATCCCGGGTTGAGCCACTGCCGCATCTAATCAATTCTCTGGCGCGCATTATCACGGAAAACTCGCCTGACAGGGCAGCGGCAGAGCCAGGGGGCTTATTTCATGGAACTTTATCTATTGCCTATCTCTTCTTCCGTCTGTCTATCACCCATCCAAAGATTGACGTTGAGGGTAGGCCTATGAGCCACTGGTTTCAAGAATATTTTGAGCAAAGCCAAGTTATTAAATCATCCATTCCAAGACCTGGAAAATGCGGTATCATTCAGGACTATCTCCTGTCTCTGGCTCTATACATTGCTTCTACAAAAGATGAGGAAGCCGCGCAAATGCTTTGTGAGCAGTCTTCGGTTCTGGTCGAAGATGATGATTGCAGCCCGGAATGGCTTTATGGATTAGCTGGGTACCTCTATCTTTTGAGATTAGCGATGAAGTCTTTGCCTTCCGACGCAAAAGTTCAGAACTATGTGCAGTCAACCGCTGAAGTTGTGGCAGAGAAACTGATCCGCATGCGCCGGCCATGGACTTGGCATGAGAAAGCTTACCTTGGCGCTGCTCACGGAGCAATTGGAATAATCACGCAGATTGTACTTACGGTGCCTTCATTTGCCAAGGATGTTCAAAAAGATTTAGAGGATGTCCTTGACCTTCAGCTCGAAAATGGCAACTGGCCATCATCACTTCCGGATGGCGGGATTGCAGAAACGGCCGGGAAGGATAGGTTGGTTCAATTCTGTCACGGAGCACCTGGTGTGATTGTTTCTCTTCTTTCTATCATGAAGTATTTTCCCGAGCTCAGGCCACGTATCGAAACTGCCATTCAAAGAGGTCGGGAATGTATCTGGGCTCGCGGGCTGCTGGTCAAAGAGCCATGCCTATGTCATGGTATCTCCGGCAATGCCATGGCATTGGAGGGGCGCCAACTTGACCATTTCATGACCTTTACCACGGAAGAGGCTATAGGCAGGCACCAATCATCAGGAATTATGACAAGCAGTGACAGTCCTTATTCGTTGATGGGTGGCGAAGCCGGTCGAGCATGGGCTTGGGCAGTGGCTGAAGGTAACCTGGCCAGGACCATAATTGGTTACAACGACATTTGATGTTTACCCGTTGGGAATTATCAAAGTCTTTTCAATCTTTCATTTCTTTGTGTCGACGAATTGTTGTTTCTGAATTGGCGGCGTTTGGCCAAGCGGTTTTGGTTCCTAATTTAAGCATCTTTTGACCAGTGTCTTTTGACTTCTGGCGGCTGATTTTATAAAAGTTCACAAGTGAATTTCCTTCGGCCATGGCTGGCAAAGTCTATCTCTTCAGTCTCCATCAAGATATCTATTCGGAACCCCGGTGATGTGAATCAATTCAATCGCAGAGCATAGTAGATATCGAGAACATCGGACTGTAATGGAGGACATTGACTTTGGTAGTTTCCCTACCATGAATTGAAGAGTGGCCAGTATACCAACATATATTAAGAGATCGATCTACCGAGCCTGTGAAATTGAGTTAAAAAAAATTTTGGAAGGAGAACATTCATGCAATAATTTTGCCATTATGATATTATAGACCCTGCCTGACAGCGACAATTGATATTGATATGATAGGCACACGGACTTTCCCCGGACATGGGACGCTAACTCGGCTCGCATACCAGATCCAGTAAGCCTATAACTGGGACAACATGCGAAAGACGAAAATCACACAAGTTGAAATGAATGAAAGGTAGCAGATTGGAGTGATAAATCATAAGATTGAATATCATAAATGAATCGTACGCAGATATCACCCTAGCCATATCATAGTTATTTTCTGAAGCAATTCTTTCCCAGGGTTTTGAAGGTACAAGTGCTGAAAGAGTGGGGCAGCAACCCTAAACTCGGTCGCTAAGCGAGGCCGCACCAGCGAAATTCGACGGGGCTACACAACATTGTTGAAGGGGACTCCGTTCGAAAGGTCTCACGATCACCAAACGCACGACGACAACTAACCCTCTCTCAGCTCCGATCTTGAGCACGCCTCAACCCCCGCGGCCAAGATGAAGTTGAACATCTCCTACCCGGCGAACGGGTCGCAGAAGCTGATTGAGGTGGACGATGAGCGCAAGCTCCGCGTTTTCATGGAACGACGAATGGGCCAGGAGGTCCCCGGCGACAGCGTTGGCGACGAGTTCAAGGGCTACGTCTTCAAGATCACCGGCGGCAACGACAAGCAGGGTTTCCCTATGAAGCAGGGTGTCATGCACCCCACCCGTGTCCGCCTTCTCCTCGCCGAGGGCCACTCTTGCTACCGTCCCCGCCGTACTGGTGAGCGCAAGAGAAAGAGTGTCCGCGGCTGCATCGTCGGCATGGACCTCTCTGTCCTTGCCCTTGCCATTGTCAAGCAGGGCGACAGCGAGATCCCCGGCTTGACCGACGTCGTTCACCCCAAGCGTCTTGGTCCCAAGCGTGCTACCAAGATCCGACGATTCTTCGGTCTCACCAAGCAGGATGATGTACGTTTTTATCCCTGTTCCGCGATAAAGAAGAAGAAGCAATTGGCGAAAATACTACAAGAGGAGGAGACGAAAAGCTTTTTTCGCATGAACGAGGACAACTGGGTTACAACAATTGGCGGAACAAATGGCTGATATGGTTTGGAATTATAGGTCCGCAAGTTCGTCATCCGCCGTGAGGTCCAGCCCAAGAAGGAGGGCGCCAAGCCTTACACCAAGGCCCCCCGTATCCAGCGTCTGGTCACTCCCCAGCGCCTCCAGCACAAGCGTCACCACATTTCCCTCAAGCGCCGTCGGGCCGAGGCCGCCAAGGATGCTGCCGTACGTTTTCCCCGCCTCATTCACTTGTCCTATTTTTCCCAGGCTCCAATCTCGGAACCTTGATAATCGAAATCAATCACCGAACAGTCATGATTCAAAACATCTGCTAACATACTCTTTTTAGAACGAGTACGCTCAGCTCCTCGCCAAGCGTGTCCACGAGGAGAAGGCCAAGAAGGACGAGCAGCGCAAGCGGAGAGCCTCTTCCCTGCGGAAGTAAATGTGATGGCGGTAATCTGGGGATGATCCTTTGCATCTGGGAAGCGATTTAGATTTTCAATCTCTTTGTAAAGGCTATGTGTCGCCGGAGTTTGGCTGGAACATCTGGCTTCCGCTTTTACAGGGTAGAAATAATCTACACGGAAATGCAGTTTCAACGGGAGAGGGTGAAATTTGTTGTACTCTTTCTTCTAGTGGGAATACATTTTGTTGGGTTTACAAAAGAGAGAACCATTTAACGAACTCGACAAACAATTTCTCAGAAGTGGCGACAACAACTGGAAATGTGGACGGACGGCCCATGTCTGTACCGAACCCAAATAAAAGTGTCCAACTTCGTTTTCTTGATTTCCATTTTCCGTCCCAGTGTCAGGTTTGCTCTGCTGCCCATTTGTCCATGTGCGACCCATTCATTGTTTTCCGCTTTCACCCGTGAATGGTGTCTCACAACTCTGATGGATTTCTCTCCTCCCATATCATCGCCCAGTTCCACATCTCGCCCGCCCGACCATAAACAGGATCAAATCCCGCCAATTCCTTTCTGTCTTCACATGTCAAATACACGCAACATTTTCGTAAACTATTCAGTCGTTTGGTTATGCCTGACAACGCCACACTTTAACAAGTATCACCTTTTGGACTCGTCCCGGAAGTGGTTTTACCAGCCCATCTTGAATACGCTATCCAAAACTGCCAAATCCAACATGTAACTGAGCTTACTTCAATCCTCGAATTTGCAACCCAATATATCAATACTACTACTCTGTACAGAGGTACTCTGTACAATGTAGAGAAATATTTAGAGATCAACACCAACTCCAAGGCCGATAACCTCATGTACTTACTCGTATCCGAACTACCTAACGCGGCTGAAGGTTCGGATACATGACAGGCCATGACATGACATGCCATGACAAGCACGGTAGGACCTCGGGTCTCAGGCCTTGATATAAAGCACCCCAAGCAATCACATCCTTCATCTTGATATAAAACCAAGCAACACCGACATGCGTACAGCTCAAAGGCACATCTGGTTTTGGATGAGGGCGAGAAGGGATAACTAATTGGGGTGGTACACTGAAACCAAAGGGCACTCATCCCGCTCTTTCAAGACGTAATAATGTAACATGTTCATGTTTATGCATACGCATCGATTTCGCATAATTTAATGAAATGTGAGATAAATACATGACTGTCGATATTTAAAAGGAGAAAAATGTTCAAAACTCCCACCGGTCATTAGGAAGAAAAAAAGAGGGGAAAAAAAAAAGTGCTTGAGAAGAAAAAGAAAGAAGAAAACTCCTAGACCCAATATTTGAAATACAACTGGGACCATTGATGACCACGAGGTATAAGAGACTAGAGCAAAGCCTAAAAGTGAAAAGTAGTTTACGGGTGGTCCTGCCTCCGAAAACCAGCATCCATGGCTTTGCCGAGTCCTCTACTCGATGATCATGGTCATGCTCGCTCGGTCACCTTCCGTCATCCTTATCTTCGTCGGGTCCCCTATTTTATACCTCGAAAGGAAAAGAAATGGGGAGAGATAAAATGCTCAAAAGGGAAAAACAAACAGATTTTTAAGAGGAAATAATTTAAGCAGATGGAGCGTGGCTGAACAGGAAGGACACACTCTCGCCATTGTGAGTTCGTCGGCAAGCTTCGGCGAGCTAGAATCACGAGTCAGTAAAGAAGATCAAGAATGAGAATCAAGGGAGGGCATGAGCGCCTACCGTAGGGCTAATATCAATAGTCTCAATGCGAGGGCAGAGCTCCTTCTTGTCCTCGTGGGGGACAGTGTTGGTAACCACGACACGAGAGAGGCGGCTGTTGTTGAGGTTCTCGATAGCCTTGCCGCTGAGAATGCCGTGGGTGACAATGGCAATAGCTTCGCGGGCGCCGTGCTGCATGCAAGTATCGGCGGCCTTGCAGAGAGTGCCGCAAGTGTCTGCCATGTCGTCGACAATGATGGCAATGCGGTCTGTGACATCACCGACGAGGACCATGCGGGAGACTTCGTTGGGACGGGCACGCTCTTTGTGGATCAAGGCGAAACCAAGGTCCAGACGATCAGCGATAGAGGTGGCTCTAGAAAAACGGTACAACGTCAGCTGCACTTCCTTTGGCAAAGCAGCGATCAAGGCCTCTTTAAAGGAGAAAGCGACATCGAAGAACACAGGAGGATAGGACTCACCGCTTAGCGCCGCCGGCGTCAGGGCTAACAATCACGCAAGACTCGACCTCGAGATGTTCGCGGATCCATCGGAGCGTACTGGGCTCAGCATAGAGGTTGTCAACGGGAACATTGAAGAAGCCCTGAATCTGACTAGCGTGCAAGTCCATGGTGATGACATGGTTGCAACCAGCGGTCTGCAGCATGTTTGCCATGAGTCTGGCGGTGATGGGGGCGCGAGACTTGTCCTTCTTGTCTTGTCGAGCGTAGGGGAAGTTGGGGATAACGGCGGTAATGCGGCGCGCGGAAGCAGTTTTGCAGGCATTGATCATAATAAGAAGCTCCATCAGGCCGTCATTGATGTCGCCGGGGGCCGTGGACTGCAAAATGAAGACTAGATAGCAGAAGAATCCAGTCAGCAAATTGGTCCCCAAAAGTCCTTGGAAGAAATCAAAATCCCATGTCTCTTTCTTCTCCCACTTAACACCCAAACGGTCCCTTGCACTATTCCTTCGTCCGGCCCTACGTCATGCCTGCAAAAAATGACGTTGCAGGAATGTCCTTATATGCCCGGCTGTCCCTCTATTTCCCTTCATCAAGCTTCGATATGAAATTTTGCCTCCTCCTTGACACAAATCTCGCTGAAAAATGTAGGAGAGAAAAAGTCTGGTTCAGGTCATACCATCTTCGTCTCTGACAGACTCTCCAATCGTGACGGAGGTCTCTTGGTTCGAATACTGCAGGACCATAATCTTGGTCAACTCGATTCCCAGCCTGTTTCATATTCATATAATATGTCAGCAACCTTTTTGTATTCACATTGGGTCTTGTACAAGGTCTGCAGGACTGTAGGGCCTTCGTGTAAAGTCCCCGGTCTTCCGTCACATTTGAAGCATAGAGAGAAACCGGACTCCCAAACACAGAGAACCAATATAAGATCATGACCATAGCTAGAAGATAAAAATGTAATATAGATTTAGGCGTACCTATCGGCGACCAATTTAGCCAACACGGGGTGGCTGTTGCCAGTCAATAGCTTGATAGAGTTGGTAGCCATTGTGCAATGATCGAGAATTCGAGGACGCGGGAAATCGTCGGAAAGCAGGAATTCAACCTTGAGACAAGGTGCCGAAGCAGAATATCTCTGGTCAGAGAGGGAAAGAGACTGGTGACGGTGCTTCAAAGTATGTGTTATCGCATGCAGGTGATAAGTTCAAAGACCCTCGTCTTTCAGATAATTATTTCTCACAATCCTAGAAGGATATTTCACAAGCGAGAGCCCGGAGAGGGACAACGGCGCAACCGACCCAGCTAGCAAGAAAACACTACGTAGTATGCCCAGCAAACCTTATTCACTCAACACCACAGAAAAAAAAGGACTTTGGGAAGCATGATATATAATCCTGATATGAGAGGATGAATTCATTATGTATTTGCCATAGTATGACCTATATACATGGTAAAAAAACCATCTAAAAGATCTTCCACGCAATCGAAATCTCAAGGCTGCAAATTGCTGACGTAATTGATGACTAAGTTTCACATAGGACGGTAGGCAAGAAATGGCCTACCAACCCAACCATGTTTCAAATCATCAACGGCTTCACCTACACATTGTACAAAGATCCAAGGCATTTCTTGGTTCATTCAACTAGCTAATGTATGTAATTTTGATGCTAAAACTAAACGTACAAAAAAGAAACGCTCCTCTACACATCGAGTGCCAAAAAAGGAAGAGCAAAGACGACCTGCACTTCGTCTTGGAGCTCATCCCGTAATCCTTGACATGAGTAGAGTAGACATCTTGGAGCCGGCAAAAGGAAAAAACAACAATAAACCATGAAAGATCAAAGGCCGAAACCTAAAAAAAAAGGTAATAAAAAGAAAATTGAGAACCGAGGCAAAGTTGCATGAGCGATGAGCAACCATGGGCCCAGGCAAAGGAGAACAACGATGATGAAGTGATGAACTAGAAGCATAGAATGTCTAGCGCCGGAGAAATGCGTATTAAACAAACACCACGCCCCATGGCCGCATGAACAATGCGATTGGAATATGCAATTTGGATATTGTGACCCAACTTCAAAACCCATGAAACATTTAAGCGAAGCCAAAGTAAGAGCTTCCGACAGTCATTGCCTTGTAAAGTTGTTTGCGAAGAGCCTCGTAGCTTTCATACTCGGGGAGATCGAGTTCTAGTAAACAATTGTTAGTGGCTGTTTTCCACAAAAAATAAAGGCTCCAACTAGACTTACGATTGAAGCACGTGTGAGAGCTCGGCAGCCGGTCTTTGCTGCCATAATCACGGTGGATGTTGAACCGACTGAAGCCATTCATGCCTTCAAGCTCCTTGAATCCGTTGAGGGGCACTTTGCTTGTTCCAGTAACGAATTGCAGCAACTTGGCGCGCTCTTCCTTGTCAAAGGAGCGCACGGCACGCCAGAACCACTGGATCTGTGGTGAAGAAGCTGAATAGTTGTGGTATTCGGTGTTGTTCTTCCAGTCGTCAACATCAATGTCAGGTAATCCAGAAATGAGCAACTCCAGCTCCTGTTCATTGAAGATGGAAATTAATTCCGCTGGGACAATGTCATGGAAACCTATCCAGATGTTAGTGTGCATTTTTAAAATTTTCATATCTTGCCAGTTGGTCTTACCTTTCAAGAAATGCTCGAGTTGCTCACGCACAGAACCAGTCATACGATACTCTACTACAAGACGAACGTATTCGTGCTTGTTCTCTTCAGTGACCGGAATGTTTCTGCCGTTTTCGATCAAGTCGATAGTCTGAGATTCTCCAAATGCATCAGTCTCTACCGAAAATGTTTCGGTAATAATGTCCGTAATATCATTTTCCAGCATCCAGACTAATGACTTGTAGTAATCTAGGTCAAGCGTCTCCATGTCCTTGATCGAGACAGGCTTGCCGAGGATGCGCTTATAGACTGCACGACTGAAATGGCAGTCAAGGACTCTACCCTCGTACAATGCCTTGCCAATGATTCTGCCAATGAATTTGAAGAACATAAGATGTTCCTGGTTGACAGAACTCAAACGGTTGGGATGGAACGTTGTCCGATCCGCTGCCACTGGCGTGAATAGAGCATAATCAGGGTTGAACATTTGTCTTGACAAGACCTGGAACCATTCGCGAGTAACACCTCCGGCGTCAACACCTTCCTCTCGATGGAATCGAATGTTGAGCTTGCCGTATTTCATTTCCTCGCCAGTTTTGAAATAAAGTGACTTGAAAGAATCGAGGAAGACTTGGTCTCGGCGGACCTGAAGTTGGAGTGGTGGCTGAGCATGCCGTTCGGCGCCTCGAGAGTGGAGGCGCCTTGTGAAGTAGTTGCGTTTGTTGTCGAATTCCAGCACCTTCGGATTCTTGACCAGTAAGGAGAAAGTTCCGCTCATCAGTTTCGGATTGTGGCGAACGAGGTCATTAAGTATCTTCCGGTGTTCTTCGGTAAAGTTGAAGAATAGCTGCTCCATCGGAGACTCGGGTTCTGGGCTTGAGAAACCGAACTCCTTCTGTTCTGTTCTAGCCAGTGGAACATCCTTGAGGGTAGTATTCTTGCAGACCACCATGAGCGCCTCAACCAGGGGCAACAGTATGGTTGCAACGTTGAGCAAATTATCTCTTTGTCGAATTGCAATCAAACAGTCGCTGAGCTTATTCCAGAGCAAGCCAAATGTTGGATTCTCGTACAAAGCAGTGAGAATGTCAGCCTTGGCCTCGCTTGCTTCTACTTCAATCTCCTTGTCTGACTTCTCCTTAGTATCAGTCCGCTTCGGGTCAAAGAGATAATCGAGGGCGGTCAAAACACGTAGGAGCTTAGCTTGATCGGAACTTGCAGGAGAAAATTTGGCCAGCGCCATGCCTTGAACCTCAGTGCCAGTCTCGGCTTGTTGAATGTGGGGAACGAGATCGTCCAGATCTTTCAAAATTGAATGCCCAAGACCCTGAGCTTGTGCGATAAGCTCCCTTCCGAAGATATCTCTAGCCTCTGGCAGGGCAGAAAGGTTGTTGATCGTAGAAAGGGTTTCTCTGAACGTCTTCGCACTGCACTCACGCGCAGACAGAATGTTCACCACGAGGCGCAAATTGCCCTCGGGCACTGCGGGAGGTGTCAGTGTGCGAGGCTTCTTAGGCTTTGTACCTTCATCTTTAACGGCCTTGTCATCGGGCAAAGAGGTCGCTCCAGGAGCGGCTTCGGTTGGCGCATTGGACTCTTCAGGGGCTGATGTAGATTCAGGCACCACGTTCCCCTCTTCCCGAACGACAGCCTGATTCTCAACTGAGGTGTCCGCAGTCGGTTCAGGGTTTTCCTCGCCTTGCGTTTCCTCTGCAGCTTCCTCAGGCTTATCCTTTTGATCTTTCTTCAAGAGCATGACGAGGGGATGTGTAATGCTATTGAGAAGGCTCGAAAGATGTTCCATGACTGTTGCGTTTTCCATGATCATCTTTCTATCTAATAGGCCGAGCAAAGCGTTCAGAGCGAATTTGCTAGCTTTGCCCTCCTTGGCTTTGCCCTTCTTGTTTTGGCGGTTCTTTGCACTGGAGGAGCCATCGTGTTCAGTCAAGAAGAAGGAAGGAACATGTGGGTTATACTGTGTAAGGAACACAAGGGAATTTAGACATTGCTGTACAACCATCAAAGGCGACATCTCGGAATTATGGCCTGCAAACTGTTGGCCCGTCAAAGTTCGCTTGAGCGGCTGCGGCGTCTTCTGCGATGACGCATTCTTTGCACGAATGGACAGATGAGCAAAGCTTCTCTCGACAGCGGATATATCGACACTGCCATCCTGCAGAATATGCAGAATCATACTAATGACTTCTGCTCGATTCTGTCGGTTCTCACAGACGTTCTGCAAAATTCCGTTGAGTGTGTGCCGAGCGCTGCCTTGGAGAGGGATGAACATCAGGCGCAGAAGCGTAGCAACGCCAGACTTGTCCAACATTTGTACAACTTGTTTTCGCTGCTGCTTCCGATTGGCTTCATCTGCTGCGTTGTCGCCACTATCAAGAACATGAGCGCGGTTGATGCGAGGCATGTCCATGAACTGATGCAGACGACGGTCACCACCCAAAGCTCGGGCCTCAGCAGCGATGGCTTCCGGTAATTGAGCAAGAACTTCATCATCTTGGTCCATCAACACGGCTTGCCGGAGGTTAGGATCTAATGAAGCTAGGAAACTAGCGGGGTCCATATCTTCCGCTCTCGCGACAGCTCCACCATTGGCAGCAGCCCGCCGTCGAGCCTCTTCGCGTTCGCGGCGGCGACGATCCTGCGCTTCTTGTTGCAGGAGTTCCTCTCTGATGTCGGCCGGCAAAGCATCCAAAAACTCTCGGCTGATATCAGTTGGCTCTTCACCTGCTGCTGCAGCTTGCGACCGTTGTTCTGCCAGCTGGTGCATGATGACTTCTTCACGAATATCTTCTGGTAGCGCTTCGAGATACTCGGGATCAATATGCATATCAGTGATGTCGACTTCTTGGCCGCGAATCGTTGTGTGAATCCGCGGAGCAGGCACACCTGCCTCTTCGATAGCTGCTGTTTCAGCTTGAGTGGGCTCAACCCCTTCCATAGCATGGCTGTCATTGGTCTGCTCCGCGGTAGGAGCGGAAGCCTCCTCAGCCTGTCCACTAGCTCGAGCGAGAGCCGCGGCTTCGGCTGCTTCCCGTTCTTCTTTTTCGCGTTTCTCCTTCTCTTCCTGCTCGGCCTTTTCCTTTGCGATTCGTTCTTCTTCAGCCTTCTTTTCTTCCCGTTCCTTAAGCTTACGCGCTTCTTCCAGTGCCTTTTCCTTACGGATCTTTTCTTCTTCGATGGCAGGTGGAACCATGACCCGGAGAAGAGAATTGATGATCCGCTGAGCCTTTTCAATATAGCTAGCACCGAAAAGAAGACGTGCTTCCTCTTGCCATCTGACTGTAGTAACTGTTGGCATGAATGTTACAGCCTGTGCCGGATCATCACGAGAGGGTCGAGAAGTCTCAGGTTGCGGCCGCCTGAGACCTAGCATAGATTGGAGGTCTCGGGGAAGCGCACCATTTGGTCCACCGGCGATATGGAAATGAAGCGCACCGCCATGAGATTGTAGTGCGCCGAGACCCGGGCCGCCCGCCTGGCCAAGCGCAGTCATAAGATTGTTGATCAACGAGACGGGACTCTCAGAAGTAAAGATGCCTCGACTAGGGTGAACAGGATCGATCGCATGCACCCAGTCACTCATTGGTTCCGGGCGACTTGGGCGTCCGGCGCCGGCTCCAGCTCCTGTATCACCCACACGCTGAAGAAGAGGGTTGGTTCCATCATCCGCTCCGCGAACTCCAGCAGGGCGGTGAGAGCGATAGGTGGGGATGAGCATTCCTCGATCACCTGGTCCGCCTGAAGGGAAGATAGACCACGGGCTCAGAGCTCTGTGGTGATGGTGGCGGTGATGATGGCCACGGGTCAACAAACCAGGCTCATCTGCCTCCCAGCCCCACGGCATGTTCGAGAAGCCGACATCTTCATCGTCAAAGTCTGGCTCATAAACCATATCCTCATCATCAATATCTTCCTCATCCTCCTCGTCATCTTCATCTTCACCCAGATCGTCCTCCATATATCGGTCTGGGTCGATGTTCATGTCAAGCGGGTCCCCATCCAGATGTTCCAACGCTGTAGGATCGCCGTCATCTTCAAGGGCGCGGACAATATGCCCTATCGGCCCGTTGTGGAGATCATGCTCGTCACCATGCATACCAATCGGAGGCTCTTCATCGTCGTAATCATCTTCTTCGTCTTCGCTCTGCCACTCGTCATCATCTCCCTCATCGAGGCTTTCATCCTCATCAATTTCCTCGCCCATGTCATCAACAACCTCAAGATCTTCGCCTTCATCCATGTCTTCGGATCCCTCCTCGTCTTCATCACTTTCGTCGTCATCACCCTCTTCATCGTCGTCGATAACGACTTCAACGTCCATTCCTACATCTCCTGGAAGGCCTTCCATTTGCCCCATACCCTCAATATCTTCGTCTTCATCGCTGACGACATCTTCATCGTCGTCAGGCATTTCTTCATCATATTCCATCTCGTCGTCATATTCATCTTCATACATATCCTCGTCATCTAAGTGCAATATTAGCTTCAACATCTCGACTAGTATTTTTAGACGATGACCAACCTTGGGAACCTTCCGAGCTCGACTCTTCTTCTCGTCCTGGCTCAAGCATTCCTAGTGTGGAGTTCCGGAAAAGATCCGGCGTCTCTTCGCGGCCCTCTTCATTGTCAGACACGGATGTTGCAGTCGAGATCTCGTCGTCATCGGTCTGTCCAGGAGTCGTAGATAGGCTAGATGTAACGCTAAGGTCGATCGCAGTTTGTGTGAGAAGTTTCAGCGGTCGAAGGATGTACTTGACGGCGCGCTTAGAGTTGGGGAAATTCAGGTCGACATCAGCGATAGAGCTCGTCAAGACAGCAATAAAGTTCTTCTCAAACATAATTCGCGCCAATTGCTTCTGCGACGCAATAAGGAGATCAGTGCCAACAGTGTTGCTTCCAGAATTTGGACGCCCGGTCAACATGCGATTGAAAAGATCTGAGAGATTCATCAAACGTGTATATTTGACGTCGAGAGCTTCGTTAGAAGCACAGGCGTCCTTGTAGGCTTTGAGGGCGTGCTCAAGCACAAACTTCCGGACAAAAAGAAGATCGGGCTCTTCCTCTCCATCCGAAATATCCCGTCCCTTGTAGAATTCCCGCTCGCCAGTCTTGAAGCAAAGAGCAACAATTGCAGAGATGGCCCAACTAGAGGTTGCCTGCTTCTTCCTGAAAGCAATGTCCTCCGTGTGATTGAGTGTGCCCACGGGAATCACGGCGTTGAGCAAGTAATTGAGAACGCCAGAGCGCGGCTTAGAAGGAGTGGCAGCCTGGGGATCTGTCTTTCGAGAGAAATTGATGAACTCAACTTTGGTACGGTTGTAACAAGACAGGAGTTCCGTGAGGCACTGCAAGATGAAGCAGCGATAAATGTAAATTGGGTGCTGGTCCGCCTTGAACTCTGGCTTCTCGCTCCTAGGAACCTCTCCTTGTTGCTGAGATGAACTTGGAGGCGGCGTTGGCGAAGGAGAATCACTAACTGTCATCTCGACATCCGGTTGACCAGAGCGGGATGCGTCCTTGTTTGCACTCTCTTGAGAGGAGGCCGCTTCCTTATCATCCACATCTTTATAGGAGAGTAGTTCACATAGCAGATAATGAATGACGCCATCAGGATGCTCCACAACTGGCGCTTTTACTTCTGAAGGCTTTTGCTTGTCAGAGGCTTCAGAGATCTCGGTTTCACGTTGCTCTGTGTTGTCCTGCTTCGGTTTACTGGAAGCTTCGCCGTCCCCGGATCCATTCTCATCCTTCTTGAGGACCAGCACCTGCGGTCTCTGACCTGAATCAAAGCGCAGAAGTTTTAATTTCTCATTGGTAACCTCAACGAAAAGCTCCGGTGAGCGGACAACGAGATGATACATTTGTCGGGTATAGGTTGTTGTATCCGTCTGCCGTTGCTGGCGCGTGTGAAACATTGCCTGGATTTCGCTGCGCATAATCTGCTTGATCGTTTCATCGTCCTCAATAACGTGCCGAAGGATCAAGAAAAAAGCGCTCTGCAATTTGTCGCTAGTATTCCCTGCAAGCTGCTTGATCATGACGAAAAGGCGTTGCATATTGCGCTTATTGCCGAGTCTACTTGCAAGATTGTGATTTCTGGTAAGAATGACAAGGACACGGACGACCGAGAGCGCAAGAGACTCCTCCTTGCCAATCCGAGGTAGAATTTCGATCAACGCTTCGAAAAGTCGCTCCTTGTCATTGGCTTGAACCATTGGTTCATCCAGCTCAGCAACGGGACTTGGTGCTCTCGGAGCGTCAGCACTTGGAGGAGTCCACTTAATTTGACGCGGCTGGACATCTTCTGAAAGAAGCTTCTCAAGAATGAGCAAAATATTTCCTATCCATGGAGACTGCGCTCCCGTCTGCTCTGGAGTGACTTTTATGAAGTCCATAAGGGTCGAAAAATTCTCTTTGAGCTCGTCAAGCGTAGCGTCATAGAACTCTCTATCCTGGATGACTAGAGCGAGTAAATGAGCATATGCTGCGATCTTCTTTCCGGCCGGACGATAGTCCTCCTCTGACTGGAGAGAAATAAGAGACTGGACAAGGATCTCTCCAATTTCCCCGCGCATGGTAGCCACATTGTTAGCCTTTGCTGCTGCTGCGGTGATCAGGTCCGCCAAATCGAACGTAATGTCGTCATGCCTGTTTAAAACATCCAGACATCGGTCTATCAAATTCGATCTGATTGCTACGCGCTTCTCGTCGAGATCATCGATTGTGACAACGTCGGGAAGCTTTCCGGCTTCAGTTCCCTGAACTTGACTTGGAGGTTCTGGCGCATTGGCTGATGGTCCATGACCAGCGTCGCTGTCTCGACTTAGAGGGATGCCCAGGGCACCGCCGAGTCCGAGAATATTGTCAATGCTCATTGCGAGCGAGCCATGCTCCTCCAGACTGTCATCGTCAAGAGGGATGCCCGGTGCAGGTGGCGGCGCGGCGCTACGGGACCTTGACGAAGAACCGCCGGCGCTGTCAATTTCTATCTGGGGGTTTTCGACAAGAACAGAGTGGCCGTCCGGTCCAACGGGAGGTGCCATTGTGGCTTGCGTATCATCTTGCTGACCTTGCAACCTGGATCCAGACTCTTGCGTAGGGACGGGCAGAGTCTGCTGCTGCGATTGTTGCCGTTCTTGATCGGCGTTCTCGGGTATCGGGTTCCTCGATACACGGAAGTGACTCTGTTGAGAGACGCAATATTCCTGTGCCATGGACAGGTTGTTATTACATCTGAACAACGCCTCTTGAACCAAGCTTTCCTCAAACCCCTTTTCAGTCAGCTTGCCAACATTATCAGTATTGACTTTCCAGGACTTGAGAGCTGTCTTCGTTCGCGGAGGGATTCTATCCGATCTCTTATATGCGCCTTGCTCATTCTCGCCTTCAAGAACGATTCGGAGAATATCGATTAGGCTTTTGATAATGGAGCTGGAGGATTTATCGACAAAATCGGACTGCCACATGGCAATAACACTGGGTAGCACACCCATGCGAAGCTCGACCAGGAATTGGCCGGGAGAAAAGTAGTCCGGTTTGTCCTTGTCTCTTTCTCTAGAAGAGATTGCGATTGTCTGGCTTGCTTCGATGATATATTTGGAAGTTATTATTTGAGAATAGAAGGAGAGGATGATCTTCACTCCTCCATATGCAGCGGCAAGTCGGGCGGATGCATCTTTGTCAAGAGCCGACTTTTCCGCCGTAGGAACAAGCGCCTTAAGCTCCGCGAAGAAGACATCCAAGATCTCGTTCAGTGCTTCCAGGCCCCCTTGGGTTTTGAAAGACTGCAAGACAAGAGTCAGGCACTGTGGTTGAGCTCGTTCAACGCCACCTAAGAATTACCGTTGTTAGCCACTTGTTCTATCCTTCGATATTCAAAGGGGTCGCTTACCTTCAATCATGAACTGACTAATGGACGATAGGATAACGATCCAATATGAATAACGATCCTGAAGAGAGGGAACCTTGTCTAAGGCAGGAAATTTGAGCTGCGCCAATGAGGTTGCTGCGAGAGCATCTGCAACCAATGAAGCATTCTGTTTCGGGTAGGCATCGAGGCCGCGTTTTGTGATCAGGGATTTGCCAAGGCTCTGGAAGAAAGGCGTAATCGACGAAGGGATCTGACTGAGGAGATATCGAAGTGTCTGAACATTCTTGAACGGCGCAGTCTTCTGGTCTTGCTCAAGCTCTAGCTTCTTGTCCTTTTCCGGCCCCTCTGGTTGACCAGAGGCGCTCGCAGGCCTATCCCCTGTTGAATTAGAATCGGCAGAGGCAGCATTGCCATTATTTGTTGAGTTTTGCGGTACATCCTCGGATACAAAACCTAGGACATCGTCCGCATCTTCATTTCCCATACCAAATCCTTTGACCTTCGTAGCCTCCTTCCATGATTCGGGAATACTCTTCTGTAACAAAATCTCCTCGCGAACACAAGCACGATGAAGCCTTCCCAGACTGTGAACAAGCTCGCAGTACATGTCCACGAGATTGGCCTGGCTAAAGACGGTATTGCTGGAGCGGTGGTTGAACATTGGCGGAGAAAATGCTTCATAGAGGATATTGGTAAGCGTATGAATTGCAACAAGGGATTTAGCGTTTCGAGTGGCATTTTCGACGAGCGGATTTCCGTGTTCCTTGCCCTGTTCGACTTTGAAGCTTCCTTCCTTGCTTGTCAGAGAGCCGAAGAATGAAAATGGATCCTGGTGATCCATGAACGACTCCAGCTTCTCCACAGCCTTTTGCGTTCGTTTGATGAGAGACGGAAGAACCAGGTGAGGTTTTTGCTCTACCAGCATATGGATAACTCGGGCAAGCTCCTGGCTAGCTGCTTGGTTGTTGAAGTCATATGGAAGGCTGGGGAGAGTGGCAAAATCAAGGACATATTCAACGCCGCCCATTTCAATGAAGCCGGAGCACAACGAGGCATTGGAGAAGAATCCGCTGAGGAATTTGACTGCGACATTGATGTAAGTGGAAACTGTCGGGTCTGATTTGCCTTCCTCCTTGTCTGAAAGGTCTTCCAGTTCCAAGGCTTTCGAGTCGTCAGGTGACAGCGTTGCGGACTGGCCCTCGGCAGACGAGCCTTCGAGGTCCTTCATCTCGACATCTCTACTCTGATCGCCAACGCTCATCATATGTTTGGCGATTTCGTAGGCTTCCTTTTCTTTCTTGCTGAAGGGGCCCGAATCGCCGAACAATGCTTTGCGGCCGCCGGCTACTTCGAGCTGGCCACTGCCATTCTCCACCCACAGCTTGGCGCCAGCGCCGCGAGACCACGCTCGAGTGTGGCACAAGAAGTCGACGCGCGCAACCATTACAACCACCTCAGTCATGATTGCAGGTTTCAGAGCAGGGTGGTGTCGCACCAGCTCGTCGAAAGAGCTACCGAGGATGCTGGGTAGATCAATTTCAGAGTCCATGCACTTGACGTGTTCCGGACTCTCAAAAATTTCAAAAAACTTGTCCAGGGCATCGGAAGCCTGGAAGAGTTGCATTCCGGCAGAGTTCAAGCAGATGGCCCCAAACGCTTGGGGTATGGTGGCAATAGCATCGGTCGCAGGTATGATTCCTTGGGCAAGAGGGCCATCGCGAGCTTGAATCACCTTGACTCTCCGCTTGATCTGTGGGCCTGAAGTGGATTGATCCGTTCGGCCCTCGGTCTGGGTCTCATCGGTGCCCTCTCGAGATGCTGTGGCCGCTTCTTGCGCGCTTGGGGTCTCGCCAGGCCGGGCGGGTTGTGTATCATCGGCTTTAGGCTTGTCGGCGTCGATCGTTTGTTGGGTAATGGCTTCAAGGAACGTCTTGCTCAGGCCGGCTTCTGCAATTACGGCATAGCTTGTGGGCTCATTGTGTATAAAGTTGTTGAGGATGTTCAATGCGCCACTCCAGACACTGGAACCATAGATCTTGGCATTCCCAAGAACAGTGCGCAATGAGGTAAGAAGTGGAGGCGAGTCAATGAGATTCCGCAGCAATCGATCAAAATTACCCCCACTATGGGACATCATGTGGTTGATAAATTTGAACACCCACCGAAGAATTTGCTGCTGTACATATGGTATCTCGTAGTCGCAAAGTTGATTCCGGTAAGAAACGGGCATCCCTTCCCCTTCTTGTGCTCGTCGAAGGGCATGGTCAACCTCATACGAGGATAGGTCTGCGATAATGTCCAGGCCCTTCGCGTTTGCCAAGACCTGGAACGCATCACGGATGCTGTAAACGAATGTGTCCAGAAAGTTTAGAATCTTTGGATGATTGCGTTCGGCCTTGGTGGTCCGAAGCACGAGTGCCTCGAGGAGGATCTGAAGAAGACCAGCAGAGACAAGGGCGTCTCCGGTCCGAGGCGCAGAGGTCGGGAGGGCACCAAGAAGAGAAAAGAGCGCATCCCGCCATTCATCGTCTTCTGGAGAGTCTGATGTGCCGTCCGGCTGTCCGAGCTCGGCAATTGCCTTGCGAATCACGTAGAGAAGAACGCCATGATTTACATTCACGCTCAATGCGGCGCAAATGTCGGGTGCCTTGGACTTGTGCTTGGTGAGCGCCTCCAAGGTACCCAGGGCAAATGTTTGGAGCACTCTTGGCACGCCGGAAGCGCCATTGCCGGGCTGGTGAATAAGCTCCGCGAGTTGATACGCGAGCTGAAGACGGCGTGGCTCATCGGAATCTTGCTGCAGAATCTTCTGCTGAAAAACACTTTCCGGATGGATATAAGCCAAGTTGGTGATGGCGAGCATGCGAATGGCGAGAATCTCGCGTCGCGTCTCCAACCCGCCCATCAACGCTCGTGCCACCCGAAGTCGCGTGAGCAGATCGTAATGGACGTCCTGGGGAAGCTCGGGCACAACATCCTTGAGAATATCGAGCAGAGACGAGTTCGACACTCTAGAGGAGGAAATCTCAAGGACTTTGGCGCCTCCGGGTCTGTGCTCCTCCGCACGGCTACCGGAAGACTCGGCAGGAGTCGAAGGAGTTGCATCGGGGCCCGTAGGTCGATTCTGCTTTGGCGTTCTGTGGGCACCCAATCCGGACGTGCGTCGTACGGGAGTGGGCGTCGAAGGGGCTTGCGTGTTAGGGTGAGCCGCGGGGCCGGGGGTGGTAGGGTTCTTCTGCGTGTCCTCTGCGGCAATCGGACTGGGATAATAGGAAAGCCACACGCCTCCCCACTCTTCCCATGGCTGTCCACGGTAGCTCGAGGATCGTGCCAGACGAGCCTCTGGGGTCGTGGAGGCAGAAGAGCGACCACTGTCCGCTCGCGCGAGTGCGGTCAGGTCTGTGGCATGAAGAGGGCCGACAGCAGTTGATCGCACCGAAGGTGTGGAATTAGTCTTTTCTTTTCCCTTTGAGGGAGTGATCGAAGGGCTGGAGGAAAGGCCGGCGGGTGGCGGTGGGAGAGATTTGACAAAGGGAAGAGCCAGTTTGTGCACTCGGTCCAAGTCAATATTGTAGTGGCTCGCGAGGAGAGCCTGGTTGAGGTGCTGAGCTGAGGAGACCGTTCGCTGGCGCGAGGCATGATAGCGCTGTGCCAATCGTACAGTCAAGCGTAAAGTACAGGAGAGGAGTGATAGCGAAGTAGTGTTGAGAAGATCATTCAGGTACTCGCTGCTTGCGTACAAGCTTCGATTGCCACAATTTTCCAGTAATATTCTGGAAAACACAAGCAACGATTCAATCAACTCCCTATCTCCCTCAACACCAAAGCCCAACTTGTCCAGCTCCTCATCATTGGTGCCCTCCACCTTCGATTCGTCCTCTTCGGTAGCGTCTCCTCGGAGGAGCAGCCGACGTGAAAATGGTTGAGTTTGCGGTCCAGCGCGAAGAGCATATTCCTGGGTGAAGAGTTCAAGAATTCGATCGAAGCGGTTTAAGAGGGAAATCCAGTGGTACAGATCACCTCGGGGAAAGGGCCACTGTCGAGGGAAAGTTGCGAGCTGAGAAGGGAGCTTGCACAAGGGAACTTTTGTCGACGTGTTCACAAACTGTGACAAGGCCGGAGACTGCATTCAAGAGTCAGCAAGTCAAAAACCAAGGGCTAGTCACCATCTTCACATACCAGAGTTGCCTCATGCTTTGGCCCCGCTGCTTTCTTTATTTTACCCATGGCGGCGGATTAGAGCGGAGTCAGATAAAAGCTCGAATATAACCGCCGCTCACACGTCCAACGATAGTATCACCGTTGAACGACTCTATAAATTACCGATTACGGTCGAATATGTGACTCGTGTTGACTCGACATGTAAAGGATGCAGACGATGATCCAGATCGCCCGCTAAACGATCAAAATCGAAATGAAGCTGCAGGTTAGCAAAAGTCAACTCGGGGCAATCGAACCTTTCAAATAAAGACGCCGTCTCTTGCAAATGCAAAATGTAGCCAAATGAATTTATCAGATGGGTCAAGAACGGAAGGAACGTGGTAAATGAACCCGGAGAAAGTCGTAACCAGGCAGAGTATAGGTGATTGGAAGGTTTGGTGTCGAGTAGGCGTAAGTGGGACGCAAGAAAAGAACGGTGCAGGTCGCTTTTCTTGGGAGCCTCACGTCTGAGCTCGAAGAGGATCAAGACCGTACGGATGAAGGTCAATACTAAGAGAGGGAAAGGGTAAGATTAGGTAGAGATGGGAGAAAAAGATGAAAGGTTGACAGGTCAAAAAGGTCGTTGATTCCGATGGTTCAACTCACCTTCTTTGCGTTGCTGCCAATATGAGGTAACTTAAGTGAAAGGCAAGACCGAACCAGTGGAACGGGAAAGAAGCTCAAGTACAGATACGACCATCTATGCGCCATCATAGGCGCATTGACGAGTACCTGAGACATATAGTGGGACTAGAGCCAAAGCGAGCAAGCGTCCAGTCACTTTAAGTCGCTTTACCTTCGTCACTGTTCGCTCCACCTGTTTCTGGCCAATCGCCGTGCTGTATTTGTTTCGCCTCATGAGTGAAGCCGCAAGATTGTAGTCATAACAATCGTCATGGATGGAACTTTTTTGTTTTGACCTTGTCAAAGGACGCCGAACAGTTTCAACAAGTGAATTGGGCAGCTAAGTTTGATGCGATTATATATTAACTATATTTTTAGATGCCGCCACATGAGAGTACGGTTTATTAGGAAAAAACTTTTCCTCACCTTTGAGGCTGCGAGTCTTCATCGTCATGTTGTACTCTGTAGCTTCCTCACCCCTCGCCCCCATGTCAAATGAAGTAGGGAGTGCGTTAGTGAACCGTTGTGCTCCTGCGAAACGCCCTAATTTCGACCCGCCAGCCGCTTGGCAGCGCGTCCTCGGTTTCGGTATCGAGATTGTCGCAGATCCATCTCTCAAGGGTGTATATGTACACTCCAAGAACTGATTTAATCTTACGACTGCAAAAAGATTAATTTTTCACTAGAAGCCGAGAACCCAATATGAGATGATCCGTGAAAGAACCGTAAGGCTGGGATCGAAATTTTGATGCAAATACGATTTTATAATTTGGTAGAGCTTGATGTTATTATTATTATAATTATTATTATTTTTTAATCTCCTTTCCCCTTCGTGCTCAATTAAATATGGCAAAATCGCAACCACATGAAATAGAGGAACCAAATATTTTGATGCACCACGAATCAATAGGAAACGTGTTCAATACTCGAGACATGTGCCACCGATAAATAATGATGATGAGCATAACAATCTAGATAAGGCGTGGGGGAGCGCAAAATGACGCATGGGTCAAGGTTCAACACCATGTGAGATGCTCACGGGTTGTCCTTGACATGCAATTGTGGTGGCGCTATTTTCATCCCTCCTGCGAGATGCACAAGCTAATGACCTGCATATGCGCTGCACAATAAATCTCTCCTTTAAGTAGGTAGGTTGGCAGTATCTTTTTCATGAAGTATAGTTACAGCTTGACTTGCCTCTCGCTGAACAATCATGGTCGTGAGGACAGAGTAGGCTAAGGATTCCGAGCTACAAATTGCGGTGTCACCACCTTTTGCTACAAGCGGCCTAGGTGTGGTGCAGTCGTATATTGTAGGGCTATATAAAGCAGGATGAAGCACCGAAGAAGAAAAAGCACGGCGAAGAGAACGCTCGTCAGGCCAGGCCACTATTGCGTAAGCTCTACCGTGGTCCGATGAAGATTTAAGGCGGGACGAGGATTGATGCAGCGAGGCGCAGGCAAAAAGGGCAGGGGGAGGGGAGAGAGGGCTGCGGCAGATGCAATGCGAGGAAGTGCGAAGTATACGGCATCGACTTAGCTCCGTAAAGCTTAATGCGACCATGGTGAGGCCTGAAGGGGAGGGGGAGACTAAAAATGTTTAAGCTGAAAGTTACCCGTTCGACGGAGCAGAATCAAGCCCCCCTTACTGCGACCAAAATAATAATAGTTGATACCTTAGTGCTCTACAGTTAGTGGTAACTCTCCCTGCGCACCGGCCACGTTTAGCTCTCCGGACTGGAACTGGCTGCGATGGATGGAGGATGGAACTCGCTGCAATTCCTTCCCGACCCCAAAGGGTCCTTTGGCCCAGAACCCCGTGCTGTGCTGCTGCTCTGTTGCTCTCCTGGGCTCCCCCCAAGAAACCCTCCCACCCCCCCCAAAAACACAAATCAATACAAATATCCATCTTTCTCAATCTCACAACATCCCCTACGATCAAATCCTATAGGCACCACTCCGGTGTGCATTCTCATCCCTTTTCTTTTTTCTCTTCCATTCACTGCACCTTCTCAATTGATTGTGCTTGCTCTTTTTCTTCATACGCTCACTTCATCACACTTTCTCAATTTCTTCCTGATAGCTGTGGTTCGCACTTTCCACGTTCATTCCTTCGTTTTCACCGTCACGTTGAGCGTGGCCATATCCATCATCAGCACACGACACTTCAGAACCCGTATCGTATCGTCTCAACATCTACGTGAGCGCTGGTCGGTACGCGTCATCATCCATCACATCAGACAGAAAGGAACGCCAAAAACAAAGAGCACCTCTTTGCTTGCGCCGACACTATTTTCCCTCTGCAATCAACGGACAGAACTTTCGAAGCCAAAGATAATTGCCAAAAATGTCTGAGCATTCAGACACCGAGAAGACTGTGAAGTCTCATCACCCCGAAGAACCCAAGCTTCACAGCGAAGAGAGCTCAGATCGCGAGGGGGTGAGTTGTTCCTTGTCTCACATCCAACCCTCTCTCCAAGCAACTGAAACATAATGAACGGGCTCAATGTGTGATGGAGTATCCATGCCTCTGCACTGGATCCAAAACGCTGCTCCATCGTTATTACCGTCCTTTTTCCTGGGAAACGTTACTCTGCTAAATTTCCTTTGGCGGTGCTAACTGACTCCTCTGCTTAGGACACATTTGAAGATGCGGCCGATGCCCAGGACGAGGCGCCGGGACAGCCTGCCTCACCACCGCTGGCCACGAGATCTCTCATTGAACGTCAGCCGTCATCCTCGTCAACCACAACACCAGCCGATCGAAATTCATTAGACTCGTACAAGGACTCCGAATCGACCGAGACCGGACATAAGCCCACAGAAGAATCAGAAGCTGATGAATCAGAAGTTCAAAAGGGCGCACAAAAGTCCCCAAATCTTACCTCTCACCGAATCTCGGTTAGTTCGCTGGACGATGTTAACCTAGAGGGTGGCGATCCTGGACCGGTTATACATGAAGCTGCAAGAGTCAACGCGACGCCGAAATCAAATGGAGCGCCACCTGCTCCGCCGCCAAAGCTCCCGACCCGGGAACCGTCCGCTTCGTCCCAGAAATCGCATGGTCTTTCCGGCCCTCTCCCTTCTGTTCCATGGGGCCCGCCTCCCGTCCCAGAGAAGACAACAGCTCCCCCGCCACCACCTCCTACGAGAAAACTCACCGGTCCGTTTGCCTGGCTGTCGAGAAACACTAGCGCGCCTGCCAAGGAAGTCTCATCACCACCGACGCAAGCTGTTCGACGGAATACAGCTTCTTCCCTTGCTACATTGGGCAGCAACCCCGAACTGACGTTAAGCCGAATCGACGATGGCCATGAGTCGGACGCAAGCTCCGCAAGGCGGCCAGGGCGTAATAGTCTTCGAGACCGTTTCAAATTTTTACGAATGCGGGAGGAAGCCGGCATCACCTCCCTGGAGGAAGAAACAATCGAGTCCCCGAATAACCAGGGTGGAGCGCTTGCCGGCTTAATTGGCCGTTCTGCCAGTGTCGGGCTAGGAATTGGAAGCCCAACTAGTCTGGCCGATGAGAAGGAAGGCGGCCTTGCGCGGTCTCCAGGCCCCTCACCAATGCCCAATGTGCCTTCTGTCAACACCAATCTGGCACCCGGAACCGTCTCCGGCGTCTCAGCGGGGCCTTCTGCCATGACCGACCCTGCTGCGCCCGTGGATTGGGATCTCTGGCAAAGCGTAGTCTACGAAGGCCCAGCGGCCGTTGCGCGATCGAGCGCGGATGAACTCAGCCGGGCCATTGCTAGTGGCATTCCCAGCGCACTGCGTGGTGTGATTTGGCAGGTGTTGGCTCAGAGCAAAAATGAAGAGCTCGAGGGTGTCTATCGGGATCTTGTCATACGAGGAACGGATAAAGAAAAGGCATTGGAAAAGCGGAAAGGCTCACAGCCTACTCCCAACTCCACATCATGGAACGCAGACTCGGAAGGTTCAAGTCCGCAGACGGCTGGCACCGGAAAAGAAAAGGAGTCACTGGCATCGTCGGCATCGTCCATGCACTCGGAAACTTCGACGCCAGCCACGACAGCTTCCAATGGCCTTGTATCTCCGCCGCCGACTCACGAGAAGGATCCGGACGCTTTGGCGAAGGACGAAGCCCGGAGGAAACAACGAGCAAAAGAAGATGCAGCAGCCTTGCAGAAGCTGGAGAAGACCATCAAGCGCGACCTGGGCTCTCGCACCAGCTTCTCAAAGTATGCTATGAGTGCTGGGTTGCAGGATGGACTCTTTGGGGTGTGTAAAGCTTACGCCTTGTTTGATGATGAAGTCGGCTACGCCCAAGGAATGAACTTTTTGGCCATGCCACTTCTGTTTAACGTAAGTGGTTGACGTTGAGAGACTTTTAAGTGCTATAACAGCTGATCTGAAATCATGTAGATGCCCGAAGAGGAAGCATTTTGTCTTTTGGTTCGTCTGATGAATCAGTACCGTTTACGCGACATGTTCGTCCACGATATGCCGGGTTTGCATCTCCATCTCTACCAATTTGAGCGACTTTTGGAGGATTTGGAACCAGCGCTATACTGTCATCTCCACCGTCGAGGCGTCAACCCAGAACTCTATGCGACTCAGTGGTTCCTTACTTTGTTTGCTTATAGATTTCCTTTGCAACTCGTGCTCCGCGTGTACGACTTGGTGCTGAGTGAAGGCCTCGAAGGCGCCATCCTCAAGTTTGGTATCGCATTGATGCAAAAGAATGCAGAGGCCCTGCTAGGAATGAATGACATGGTCGCTCTGTCATCGTTTCTCAAGGAGAAGATCTTTGACGTGTACATTGACAAGGCCCCATCGCCTAGCTCGATACTCGAATCTGGCTTTTTCGGCAGCTCTGGAGGTGCCGATAAGGAGGTCTATCGCGCTGATGTTCTGGTCCGAGACGCTTGCGCCGTCAAGGTCACGCCTGAAATGCTCAAGACGTACACGCATGAGTGGGAAGAGAAGGTTCGCTCCGAAAAGGAACGCGAGGCAGAGCTTGAGTCGCTCAAGTCGAGCAATATCCAATTATCGCACAAGGTGCGATCACTCGAGGAGCGGACCGAAAAGTTTGACACGGAACATGTCCAAGTGGCGTCGGAACTGGTGCGTACCAAGGTTGAGAAGGAGGAGCTCAAGGACGAGAATGAAGCGCTGCGAAACGAGATTGAAGAGCTCAAGGCCCTGGTTGAGCGTCAGCCGGCGGAGGTTGAGCAACGACTCAAGGAGGAGATGGATCGACTCATGCAACGCAACCTCGAGGTTCACAATGAGAACCAGTCACTCGAAGAACAAATGTCGGAAATGGAAAAGGACTTGGTAGATACAAAAGTGCAATTTGCAGAGGTATGTGATGCTCTGAAGCAGATTGAGTGGTTGTATGTGCTAACTTTGTGTCTTTTCAAGTTAAACTCGAATCATGAAACACTAAAGCAAAAGTGGAGTGACCTGCGAAAGGTTCTCGACGATTAGAATGGGTGGGACTCATTTTCTTTGACCATTTTTATTTTCAATTTTCTTTTTTTTCCTTTTGAGCATTGTCAAAGCTCAAATCTGGAACCCTGCACTTGCATCTCCCCGGCGCCATGAGTTTATTGCTTATATACCCAGAGTGGTTATCTTTCTGATAAAAAAGGTTGTACGTAAGCTAGTCTACCTGGAACATGTAGAATTGACGTAAGAGATTTGCACAATGACTGGCAACGTTGATGTGACCGTACTGATTAAGATGCAAGTCAAGACGAAACATGGTCTTTTTTTTTTCTTTCTCAATTTCTTCTTTCAATTTCATCTTCTTTAATTTGTTCAAGTCCTAGTACTGCAGATTGTGAGCTGGCGCTTTCTAGCAATAAGATGCTCTGAATGATGCTTTGAATTTGCAACACGCAAAGCTGCTGCGTAGATATCACGCCCCTTCGCGTTACTTTCGCGACACGCCATCCCGCACTTTCACCTTCGGAGGTCGCTCCATGACCTCCGCCTCACCTCCGCGACAACCCAAGCCTGCGACCAAAATTCAGAGCTAATAGTCAGTCTATTGATCAACTGCAACACCATTGCTCACAATCTCAAGAATCTCCCAATCATCAAACCACCAAAAAAAAAGGCAATTCTTAGCTGAATATCCACAATCGGGACACATACAAAGACTATCGCAAAACCACCACATTGGTAACAAAATGCCTTCAATACCACTCTATCCTCCTTCACACAATCAATTAGATTCGTGCGCGTCAAATCCTTCTTCTGCTTCCTCTTCTGTTTCTGTTTCTGCGCCAGTCGCAGCACCCGCACCCATACCCAACCCGCTTCCACCGCTCCTGCATACCCCGTCTGGTCTGGCCGTTATTGAAATGCAGGGAACCATCAACATGCCCAGCGCCGAACTGGTGCACGACCTCGATGACGACGACGATGACGACGACGATGAACGCAGAGACGGAGAAGAAATGGAAGTGGAAATGGACGACGAGAGTCTCGCAAAAGGAGGACAGGCAGCCAAGCATAACAAACGGCCGAAAAGCAAAGCAGCATATGAAGCCGAGACGGCAATCGGACGCCTCGTGTTTCCGTATTATTCGCCCACGGAGCCTACTGACAATAAGTGGATGAAACGCGTTCATCTGTACGTGGGCAGACATCAGCGCATGACGGGCGAGGTGAAGAAGTTGGTTAATCCCTTGGCTGTCATTCGGCGGCGGCAGCAACAAGGACCGGTTGGTTCTGGGAAGGGGACGGCGAATGAAGTTTCGGAGAAGGGGGCGGATGTGGATATGGATGTGGATGTGGATGCGGATACTACGAGAGACGGCACGGCAGGGGAAAATCGAAATGGGTCAACGGCAAAAGGTGATGACGAAGAAGAAGAGCTCGAGATTGTGGATATTGTGCGGTACAAGATCCTCTTTTCGCAGCGGCCGGAACCGGTCAGTGGGTGATCATGTTCAAATTTTGAGCATCTTTTCATTTGGACAAGCGATCAGAGGGCTTGCAACCGGATGGACACTCCAATTGAGACGCAAAAGAAGATCTTGCAGGAAAACAGGGAAATGATACAAGATCATACATTGTTATGACTTGTCCATTTTCAAGACCATCTACTGGACCAGTAGAGACAAGTCGATCCCCACGAGCAAAGCTTCATCATTGAAACAGTCTCAACAATCTAAGTGTCGAACAATCGACGCGTCTACCCCGACCATGGAGTTCCATATCAAAACACGGACCCTTCGAGAAAAAAGAAGCACATCAACTCCAGGAACAACAATCTAGCAAAAAAAGGAGGATGATCCACCCTAAACTCCAAACACGCCACATGCAGGACTCTTTCAATGCAAATTCTATCCCAAGAGTCCAGTAAAAGCGAATTTCCTCGTCTCCATCTTCGGCGTTGGAATCTCCACCGTCTCATGGGCGGGATCATCTGCATTACTATCATCGCTTTCGCTTCTCTTCAACCGTTGCGGATCCCACGCATGCTGGGACCGCCACCCGGCGAGATCCTCGAGGATCTTGAGCATGCGCGCTTCTCCGCAGTCCAAGCAAAAGAGGACATCCTGGCATGCGAGCTTCATGCAAGCTGTGGTGCGGACGTAGCATCCATTCGAGAGCCAGCTTGTAGCGCAGACGTCACAGCCATTCTGTTCGTAGAGCTGAAGGAAGCTTGAGGGACGTTTGTTAGCTTAGTTCTTGCCGAATCTCTGGGCTCTCCTGCGATGCTACATGGACGTAAACATAAAAAAGGAAAAAGCAGAGCACATAAAAGAAAAGAAAGCCGCCGTGGGGTTTATGATGGTGGGGCGGGGAGGCGGGGAAGGGGACCATACTATTGCTTAATCTCCCTGCCAGTCAACTGCGCGCGCTCATATGCCTGCGGGCTCTCGCACTCATAAATCGCCATGCAGCCATGATTCTGCATATTCTGCACCACCGAGTTCTTATTGGCGCCGTACTGCGCATACGCAAAATACGTCACATTGTCCATGAACCTGTTGATAGCGTCTGCGCAGAACTCTGGGCGGAGGAACCGACAATGGTCGTGCCGACTGCCGTATGCGTCGCCGTCGCAGTTTGATCTGACTTGTCGCGCGGGATACGCGTCTGGATGGCTATTGCGCCACTCGATGCCGCGGGATATATTGGCCCAGTATTCGAGATGGTTGGAGAGAATGTGATGGTGATGATGATGGTGGTGCTTGTGCTTGTGTTTTTTATGTTTCTTCTCTTTCTTTTCATTTTTGTGCTTGTTCTTCTCATCTTTTGCCTCCTTGTTGCTCTTGTCATCCTTCTCATTCTTGCCATTCTCGTTCTTCTCATCCTTCTCCATTGTATTATGGATCTCATCCATGTCCTCCTTATCAGGATCACGTCTTTTATCCAAATTCAATCCACTACCATCTTTTTTACCATCTTGTCCCATTTGCAAGCCATCTTTACCGTGGTTTTCCCTGCCCTTTCCAACCCTGCGCTGATGCGACCGCCTTTCCAATATCTCCAGTATCTCCAATCGCTGCAGACCAGGCGGGTATATATTCATCGGCACACCAAACAGGTTCGCTCGCGACGGGAGAAGCACTGTCGTGTTTCCCCCGCTGCTTTCGCTCCAGTTCCCTCCATGACGAAGAAGTTCTGCCAGCCGGGATACGCGTCGAGTCATCCCCGGTAGCCGCGGGAATTGAGGCCATCGCGTAAGATGAATAAACGGATTCGGCAGTGCTTCGACACGCGCTGGACCGGTGTTGGGAAAGGGTGAGATGAGAATGACCAAGAGCGGGATGATGATCGCGGTGAGACTTAGGAATCTCATTGTCTTTGTGTATGGTTGGCGTTGCTAGCTGCGATGTCGACAGCTGCAAGCCCCTTTTTCGTGCTCTTGGTATTCGTTCTATCCTTTTAGCCCTTGGTATCAGTTGCTTGTCTCTCCTTTCTTCACCAGTCGTATTAATCTTTTCTGTCCGTCTATCTGACCTTCTCTTTCGTCGTATTAATCTCTCCTGTCCGTCTATATACCTTCAATCTTGTCCCGTCTCAGCTCCGGGTCAGTGGAACGTCTTCTTATCACGTTTTAGAATCGCAAAGCTCGACGTGAGCGTTCACAAAAACTGAGATGGCGATGATGAGCGGGGGTTACGCTTTGGTTCATGAAATAGGAAAGAACAAAAGAGAAAAGAACTTTTTTTCCTTCCCCCTCGCCCCTTCCACGCTCTTGCCCTTTTTCAGACCCTGTCGCAATTTTTTTTTTCCTGCCCGTCCTGCTTCACCGCCTATGACGTGGAATCGTGGGGGTAACTGGACAGTGTGGCATATTTGCAATCTGCCCGGCTGTTATTTGGTATATCTCTTTCCGTGGTCTCGATCTCTCTTTCCTTGTATTCATGTGACTCTGAACTCTTTCCGTATCCGTCCAGGAAGTTCTACAGTTGGGAAGGTTTACATTGCAACTTTGAAGCTTACGTGTCCTGTTTGTCCTTTCGGTGCCGCATCATCTTTACGACTTGTTTAAGCGCACACATCACAGCAGCCCGTAAGTCGTTTCCGTCGCTTTTGATGATATGTAAGGTATATATCTGCAATCATTTGAAAAATCCCAGGGATTCGGGCAGGAGGTAGATGAAGTGTTAATATAGTACTATAGAGACGAAGGGTAATGTATAAAGTTGAGTCCTTGGGCGGCTGAGGGGGATGTGCCGAACAAGTAATAAAGAAGTCGACAATGCTAATTGATTATGATATGCTATTCAAGCCAGGTTGTGCTTGCTATGCTAATGTCAATGCTACGCTATGCTATGCTCTGCAATGTCAAACGCCCTGTTTTGCGCATCAGGGCAAAGAAGATAAAAAGCAAAGAAAAGATAAAAGCATCCTATGTGCAAAAATAAAGTGACGCTCATTAAGCTACCTAGCTCCATAAAGTCCCATCCCATTCCCCGTGCGCGCTATTGCGACACTACATCCTATCCCGCCCCATCCCATCCAATCCCGACCCCGTACCGTGTGCCATGCCGTGGCAAGAAAAGGAAACCCCGGGCTTTTGCTATCCTGCCCAGTCCACAAACCGATCTGCTGAAGATGAAAACTCGCCTGCACACCGTAATTCGACCTAATGAAAAGATAAAGCAACAAGAAGATGCACAAAATGAATGCAGAAAAAGAAAAGAAAGAGGAGTCGATGGATAGAAAGGAAATATCGAGGGAGGGAGAATAGAAGGGCTAAGGTTATACTAGTGGTTGGTATGCCCAGAAGATGGAAAAGGTACATTGGTACCAGCAAGGATCGAAGAGGAAGGAGAGGATGAGGATGAAAGCTTAAAAAGGGGGAAAGTTCGATGAAAAAGAGAATGCCAGAAGAAATAGTGTGCTGGATGCGGCGCGTGTACGACGCATAGACAGTGAGGGAATTTCGAGAGCGCAGAAATAAGACCTTAAATGAAAGCCTTGAACAGCATCTCAACAGCTTTTTGGCAAGGGTATAATGCAAGTGATGCAAATGGTGATGAAATTGCAAGCCCGATCAGGAGTCGGCATTCTTGTCTCGCAAGAATATTCTTCGGGTGCCTCCAATGCGGCCAAGCTCGCCCCAGTCGCTCTTTTTCTTCTTTTTCTTCTTCTTGTCTGATTCAGATGCCTTGGCTTGTTCCATCATACGATCTATCCATGCTTGCTTCTCAGCAGACATTTCGTGCTTCCTGCTCCTTGGGCCTGCGAGTCCCAAGGCGATGTCATCCTCCGTATGAGACGATTGAGACAAGAATGAATAAGCCGATGGTGGCGTATCTTCTATACCTCCTGGTGTGAGGGCCGGTGGTGTACTGGGTGGCATATTGTGGCTTCGAGCAGGTCCTGCACCGGATAATCGAGGTCTGGTCTTTTTGACACCGAGGGATGAGCGCGGTCTTTCAGAAATTATCTGCGGCCGGCCAACGGGAGACAAGTGACCATCAGATGTCATGCTAGAAGCTAGCGGTGAGTTTCTTGCAAGCTTATGGTTTTCGAATTTCCCCTCAGATGCCGAGCGTCGTCCATGATGGCTTGCATATTCCCTCAGGTATTCGGTGAGATCCGCCCATCCGCCTCCCACGCGGACCATGACTCGTTCACTATGGTCACCGACGGGTCGAACGTAGAGTTTGATTGGGGCCTCCCTGTCCGCCCGCTGTAAGTGGTAAAGCCTAATCTCATTGTCTCCAGGTGATCGTGCCAGTGTGTCAGAGCTCAGTCCACGGCTGAATGGAAAGCCGGGATTACTAGAAAATGATCTTTGCGGACGTAATGCACGTGGCAGTGACTTTGTTTTCGAAACTATCGCATCATGTGAATTAGAATGACCTTCCGCTGTCATTTTAATCGGACCATTGAGACTATGTAGAATGGATTTAATCTTTCGGTCGAGGTTCTCGTCGACGTTCTGGACTGGCTTAATTTGAATGTCCCGGCTCGCCACATCGGAGAGTGACTCTGTCGCGGATGGTTGCCGTCGTAATCTCTTGGCAGAAGCTTGCCTCAGATCCTCGATAGACTTATGCTTGGCGGGTACTATCGCTTGGGGGCCCACAAACGGCTTGAGACGCAGAAGAGCCATGCCGGGACCCTCTCTAGAGTGTCTCAGAGACGGTGAAGAGTCTGCTGATCCAAAACTTGGCCTAGGTATGGCTGACGGTTTGAAGCCGGCTTCACTAAGGCGCGGCTTCCTAGATGATGATGATCTAGGAATTTTGCCCTCGAAACTAACCTTTCTTGAAGGTGGAAGAGAGTTGAAGTTGAAGGTCAAGTTGTCCTTGTTCCAACTCTGTGCATTGCTAATGGCTCGTGACTTGCCATCAACTGAATCACTAACAAAGCTATCATTACTGTATACGGCTGAATTGACAATGCCCCGTATATCTTGGTCAGCCCCAGAAGCGCCAGATTGAAGCTTCGGAAGCTTAGAAGCTTGTGGCTCTCCTGAACTGGTCGGCCGATTTTCATGATATTTAGTGAAGAATCTTGGGTCCTCAGGTATTGCGCTTTCTGGAGACAAGTGAGAGCCTCCCTTTCGTGAGAAGTAGTCTGCACCCAAGGTAGTGGACTGCGGAGGAGAATCGGCATTATCAAGAACGATGTCAGGCGTCCGAGTAGCAACCAACGGCGAGTTGGTATTCCGATGGCGGACATCAGAGAAGCTAGAATGCTCGGCTTCAACAGCTTCTGGCCCGTGTGGGGAGGTGGTCCACACGCCGGTCACGTCACCAGAGCTTTTATTTAGCTCTCCTGCCATTAAGTCGTCTACGCCACGAATATTCATTTCTGCTGTATGGCGCACTTGCGGTTGGCTCCGTGGTCCGTCTGGTGGTCCATGCCGCGTCGGAGAATGGGGCGGAACGTTTTTCATGTTGAGTCCTGAAGATGCCTCTGAAGAGTGCCTGTGTCTTACAGGCGAAACCCATGGCGAGCCAAGCTTTCGAGCTGCAGCAACAGGCGGCGCATCTGACAGAGAAACATCAGTTCTTTTATTGCTTGCTCCCGCTAAACTGTTTGACACATGGTCATCCGACGAAATTGTTTCACCGCCTTGACCAATGCTCAGCAACTCCAATTGTCGGTTGAGGGTATGACTAGAAATATCTGCCTCTGCTATGATGTTTGCCTCCGCCCGAGGCTCCAAAAGTGAATCAATTTCCATTTCATGGCTCCCATGAGTCGGATCTAAGTCGAACCTTGCGCCGTCTTGGATAAATTGCGCTTGCTGCTGGACAGAAAAATTTTGGACGGTAGAGGGAGAATCAGAAGTACGAAACTTTGCCAAGTCGATTCGCGGCTCTTGCTCCGTTTGGATTGAGGCTTCGGCTGGAGTTTTTATTGACTCGCTGAGAGGGACGAGGGGTCGGCCCGCCCGTACGGCAGATGGTGCATCAGGAAATGCTGACAAAGTATTATCTGTAGCTTCGGACCTCGATTTCTCATAGTAATTCCACTCAGGCTCTTGCACACGATTATCCGAAATAATATCGAATGCACCAATCTTATTATTTTCTAAATGGCTGCTGCGTGGCTGGCGGTCGTCATTTCCGGGTTCCTCTGAAGGCAACACATCAGACTTCCGGTGCTGCAGAGCCATCAAATCTCCCCAATCATCAACCGCGCCATCTACCAACGGAAGATGATCAACAGAAGGTGCTTTGTGGTGCCGAGAATATCGCCAGTCATCTCTAGAGACAGCCTTTTCTGCTTCGCTAACCCAGTTCTTGTACTCCGCCTCGATTGCCTCCATCTGATCTATCCAAATATCTGGGACGGTATCCTCATGACCTTCTAGGGCATCTAGCATACCATCCAGCTCTTCTCCCAGCCTGACCACCTGCTCTTGAACGGTATTTCGCGTCGCGATGAACTTCTCTCGAGTTATAGATGACGAACCGTGTGCATGTTCAACGGCAGACAAAGAAGCGTGGGGCTCCGGTCCACGAGGTTCAGCGACAGCCCAGCTAGAGCGCAGAGCACCTTCAATCTTTTGAAGATTGCTAAGGAATGTTGGTACTTTTCGAAGAACAAGTAGTCTGATAGTCCAAGTATTGAGTAGCCGGTTAAGGCGTGCAAGATAAGGCAAAGCCTGTAGGGTCGTGGCGGTGATTAATGCAGTAATATCTTCTAGGCGTGTGTAGGACGACAAGGTCGACACACTGGTTTCCTGGCTATAAGAAGATGAAGGCCGAGACCGCGAAGAAACATGGGCGTCCAACGCATGCTCTTTCAGGTTTTCGACGCCTAGTTCTTCGATATCCTTCCTGATACTCCTGATACGGTCTTCGTGTTCGATTATTATGGAAGCTGGAAACGCACCGATGAATCCGTCACTTCCGCGTCGTCCACCTTGAAGATCTGAGTAGCCCTGACTGACAGAGTCATGACCTAGGTCGTTTTTGTAACTCAATTGTGCCTGCCTAGGGGGTTCAAATCCCGAGCTTCCGGGCCAATCCCAATTTTCCAGCTCCAGAACCCAATGTTTCAAGGACTTTGCAACAATGGCGGCCCGTGTCGCCAAATCTTTTTCGACGGGGGAAGCATTTTCGATGCTGTTTCTTAGCTGGCTATGAAAACGGCTGTCTGCAACCGGCTTGTCGCCAGTCGACAGTGCCTCTAAAATAGCATCTGGCGACAGATCTGCCAGTAATAGATCGGAGGCCCAGTTTGAGTCACGGTCAACCTTTGAGAAGCGCCGTGTTTCGCTTTTTGGTTGCGGATGTGCTGCGGAGGGAGACAGTCGATCAGAGGGAGAAAAGGTCATTGGCGCAGACATTGTTCGTGCATCGAATGACATGCTTTGGACCAGGTAGTCCTAGGCACCGGTGCATGACTCGGTGTAAAGGAACTGGAATATCGAGATTGACCACGATTAATGGTCCAGATTGCGAAAAGAGCGGAGAGTATAGTCGAATCTAACTTGAAGATGGCCAAGGTAAAGCAGACGCGTTGATTCTAATGGGTGGCCGAGAAGCATTGTGTTTACAAGCATTGCTGTTCCTCCAACGCTCTTTCCTAGACAGCCAATGGGCCTCGGCGTGCAACGAGCGGAAGTGAATTAATGAGTGGACCGACTTTGGAAAAAAGCCAAAATATTGCTTCAAGGTAGAATGCCCGCGAGTTGGTCGCCGATATGATTAGGTTGTTGATGGCCCTTACGCCAACGTGAATTGAACGACCGCCTGAGGTCTGTCGGCTGAGGAGACGCGGCACAAACAAATCCGAACGTGCAAACCTCCCCGTGGTTAGACTTTATTACATCCAGCCCAAATCCTATTTGCTAGCTTCACAGCACCTCTTTCGCATAATAGATTGATTTCAAAATGGCATCTCAGTAAAGGCTTTGGGTATATTCATATTATCGTCGTGTCGATCCTGATGTACAGGCAGATCAAATCCACGTGATCAACTAATTTACAAGGAGCAACTTGCTGACTATCGCGACCAAGATGGGGGAAAATAGCATAAGAGACCATTCAAATCAAGCTCACAACTTCCTCCGCTTCTTAACAGTGCTTGATAGATCTTCTTCTCCTTTTTCATCCGCTGCATCGTCACCAGCCAATTCGTCGGCTTCATCATCGCGCTCGTGCAAGCCAGCAACGCTGCGACTTTTGACGGCAGGAGGCTTATTGTCCATCTCTTCCACAGCGCGCTCTGCTGATCGCCATTCGGCGACACTCCGTTCCACTGTCTCATACATTTCTCTAGTGTCCTTGACAACCCTGCCCTCGTCCTCTTGCATACTCGCGACCCCTTCATCATTATCATCCAGCCCATCTGCCTCGAAAGCTGGTCCAAATCCCCTGTCAGGATCCGGGTTGTACATGACCGCGTTTGCAAACATCCTCATCAACTCCTTTTCCAACTGTGCAGAGTTGATGATACCCCTTGGTGGGACGACATCAGGAGTGACTGGAACCCAGAGATTCGCATTTTTAGAGGGCGTGGAAGCGCCTTGTGCAGGGCTACCTGCATTCTCTGCGTCTCCCTGAGAAGCAACAGCAGTAACAGCTCGCGCGCCCGCCGCAATAGCTGTCTTGATAGACTTCAAATCTTGGGGTCGAAGAATGAGCTCCTTGTAGCCAGGAGCATCCTTCTCTTTAACGGGGCCAGCAAACATGGAGGCGTGCTTGTGTGCGGTGATATCATTCATGATTGTGGAGCTTGTACGAGCAAAATTGCGTGTACTCAGGACATGATGGGGCCTTTGGGATGGCATAAATTGGTCTCGAAGCTCATCGGCCGTTTCTGGGCTTGACAAATGGCTTCGCTTTCGCTTTGCGACTCTCGTAGGTTCCAGCTGCTCGGAACCTCTCGAGGTGCCTTGGCGTCGCCTGCGCATACCCTCGTCGGCAGTGGCTTCCGCCATATCTGTGTCCTCCTCAGCGGCAAAGCTTGCTGGCGTTGGCGGTTGCTCGCGCTTGATCTTGCGCGCACTAACAGCACCATTATCCATTGAAAGCTCATCTGCATGGGACATGACCGATTGACTGCGGGTTCTTGCTCGAGTGACGGCAGAGGATGATGTGCTCCTTCCTCTGGTGCGTCTGCCACGAACGCTGGTCATTTTCTGATCCTTCTCAACCCGTGTCGTACGCTCAGTTTGATCTGCTGGAAGTGCATCTTTCTTCTCCTCTGGCATTTCAGTCTTTGTAGCAGCCTCCCTTCGCGGCCTTCCTCTCCTTCCTTTTGGAGTTTTCTTTGGAAGGCTAGCAAGCGAGTCGGCAGGGGAAGCGCCTCTGTCACTAATGGGGCTGACAGATTCAGGACGTGGCCGAATAGGCGACGTTTGTCCCTGAGAGCCAGACTGTTGATCGACATTCTTCCATCTTGTTGACGAGGTCGAAGTGTCAAGGGAGAGAGCTGGAGGATGCGGCCTCCCATTGAGGCCGCCAGTGGTTGCAGGAGGAGTTTGGACAGGAAGTGTCTCGGGTAGATGAGGGGGTACAGAGTTTGAGATCCTAGGAGGTACTTGTGCAGCAACAAGTGGCCTCGAGGGATCTGGGGTAGTTGGGAAGGCCAAGGAGGTGTTTGGCCTCGGAGGCTGTTGAGAGGGCTGTCTACTGTTCGCCTTCTTTGACTCAATAGGTTGATATGGTGTAGCTGGGAAAGGTGGCAGAATGACGCCACCTTGTCCTGGCTGGTAGTAAGGTTGGGGATGTTGTTGAGACTGAGAAGGACGGAGGGGCGGATGTGTTTGTTGATAGCTGGGATAAGGATAAGCAGTAGAAGGGTGAATATTTCGCTGCGAAGCGACTTGTGGCGTATGTAGTTGTGCAGGAGAATGCATGCCATTAGGGGCAGCAACGCCTTGCGTAGGCTGAAAGGTAGTCGGAGGTGAAAAGGGAGCTTGATGGGGTGTGCTTGGGTGTGGAACCGGGGGCCTGAATTGCTGTTGCTGGGAGAGATTTTCATTAGAGGTAAGAGCCGGCGAGACAGCACCACGTCCAACACCAGGAGAGGGCTGAATGATGGCAGGCGAGGTTGGCCTCAGATTGGAGGGCACTGGTAGGTGGGTTGCTGTAGTGGCTGGTGACGCCGGATATTGAGTCTGCGGCTGTGGAGCTAACGGAACCGGTCTGGACTGAGGAGTTGAAGCCATCTGGCTTGCCAAAGGCGAAGGCACACGATAGCCTGGACCCATCTGCTGAGAAGGCGGACGTTGAGGAGCCTGTGGCCGTGGGAAAGATGGTCCCGCCTGTGCCTTTGACTGGGCCTCGGGGGCCCCTTGAACCGTCCCATGAGGAGCTGAGGCAGGCAACAGATTATTTCGACGGGAAGCGTCTGCTAGTGGCGCTTCTGATACCGGCTGCGACGCGACTTGCTGCTTGGGAATTATAGGGGAAGCACTTGCACGTTCTCCCGCCTGTGGAGTTGCTGGAGCTTGTCCCCCGCGATCTCCCTGATGACCTGATGGCGTGCCAATTCGGGAGTCCTCGGTCACCTGAAGAGCGTTAGCAGGAGCTCTTTGAGCCTTTGGCTGAGCTTCCTGCGGGCCTGCTTTCGCCGCATGCACCGGTTTTGTCGCGAGGCCAACCTCTTCCTGAACAGCGGGCGTAGCTGGCAAGCTCGAGTCTATAGAAGCAGATTGTCGATTGACAGTTGCATCCAGAAGACCCTGTTCAATCTCCCGAATTTCCTGCTCCAAAATTTGAAATTTGCGCTCCTCTTCACGAATTTCTCTTGTCGCAGAGTCCTTGTAGCGGGCATAGAGACGGTCGACTAGATGTGGTAGAAGCTTCGTGTGCTGCACCGCATCTCGAACGGGCGGTAACGGAGGACTGGAAAGCTTTCGCTTTTTTGACTCGGTGGAAGGTTCAGCATTTTGACTGCTTTGGTCTTTGGTCTCCTCTTTGAGGAGACTCTGGTAGAGCTCCTTCAAGGCATCCGGGTTAAGTCGACCACTGTCGTAAGATTTGGACTCGCGAATAAGAGGATTATTCTTGAGGAGATCGGAGATGCGACTAAAGGCTGCTGGGTCTGGACCGAATGCAGCGAGAGATTGAAACAAAAACAATGATTCGAGGGGCGTGTAGGCTGCCGGGGCCGTCATTACCCAAAATCCAGCTCGCGCGGACTCGCAGGCTCGGTCGCGGTCCGCTTGATGGGGTGCAAAGGGAGCCAGCTTGAAGAGCTTCGAGAGCGATTAGCGACTGAAACACGACCGTCACGAGGACTCGAATCTCACCAAAGAGAAGATGAGATCGCCTTAGGATGTCTCATCGAGAATCAAAAAATATGAATCGTTGTTGGCAGGATGCGACCGTTGAGAAATCCCCATCTGTCCCTTCCTGAAGACAAAGTTTCGACGGAAGTTGGAGCGAAGGATCGGACGGTATGCTTAGTCATCAGGATGAGAGAACACGCGACCGTTTTTGACTGTCAATGACGACCGACGATAATGACGACAAAGGAGAATGAACAAAGACAAAAGACGATAAATCATCACAATACGAGTAAGTATTGATGCATTTTATCAATAGTCTATTCTTGTTTTTGAAATCAATGTGAAAGATCAATGCTAACAATCATCCAGTGTAACTATTGATCAATTTTTTTTACATGTCCACATATTAATCAATGCCGTGCTCTCATCAATTCGGCTAGTTACTTCTCGCTTTTCGAGCCATCTCACGAAAAGCATCCAACGGAGTAATGCCATCATCGTATAATTATTGTGGGTGGTGGGTTGGAGTGGGTGCAAAGAGACATGGCGTCGGGGTTCGGTTGGGCATGGGAACGGCGGTTCCTGCATTCGTTTCTGCGCTGCTTCAAACTACGGTACTCCGGGTTTGGTAGTAGGTAAGTTATGCCGGTCCTCTCCCTTTTTGTGACCGGCACTTTTGTGCGGCGCAGGTGAGCGCCAGACTGATGGGAGAAAGCTCTCCTCTCCTCCCAAATTCCCCCCAGAGTTGTCCCCTTAACGACATGTTTTGTCCCTTGCGACCTCGCTAGGGGGGATGCTTGGGCCAAGAGCCCTTCATTCGCCGAGATTAGGTTGCGCTGATCTCAGCCTATTGGGGTGGATTCTCTCCTCGAACCATTTCTCCTGAACGGTTTTAACTTACCGCGCCTGTTGCAGCTAATAAAGACCCTGTTTCCCCTGTTTCCCCTGCCCCTCGCCGCCTTGAAGTGAGTAGCTTTGAGCTTTGAGCTTCGAGTTTTGTTTCAGCTTCAATCGTGCCGTTGTTGGAACCTTATACATCCAAACTCTTTTTCAACCTCTATAAAATCGAATTAAACTCGAGTGTGACGCGTGTGAACAAGCTACTCAGTGCATTTCGACAAAATGTCTACAAGCAACGCGGAATGGAAGTCAAACAATCGACGACCACAGTCGTGAGTTTTAGCCACTGGGGAAAAAATATACTGTATTTTTAACGCTTGTTACATTTTCAGGACAATGGCCCTAGCATTCTCATCAGATCTAGATGATGCTTTCAAAATGTTTAGTAACGTCGAGGACAATTTTGAAGATCGGTCGCGTAACCTCAACAACAAGTATGTTGACATTTCGAGCTTCTCCCGCCCCTTTTAAGAGCTCAACATGGTCTTACACAGCTACCGAGCAGGAAGCAAACTCTGACGACTCAAGAGCAAGAGCTTCAAGCACTGGAAAGTCGACTCCGGGAAACTGAGGACCAGCTCAAGAAACGGAGATCGGTCATTTTTGGAAAGAAGGTCTCAACAGGATCTGAGCAAAAGAAGCCCTAATGAATGAGCGTTCTCATCCATGCGCAGGAGGGAGAGACTATCAGCATATAACCATCATTGGGAGGAGTATTGCAATCAACTTGGGGACAGTTATACGGCGTATCGACACTGCAGGCAAATTTTGGAGTCGGGCATAATAAACCATGGGCATTTTCTGCGATAAAATATTTAATAGCTAATCTTCGCCTGGGCGGAGCCGCCAGTACCGTCTATTTCTTATTCAAGGAAGACGCATCGTTATATCCCTTGGGGCAGACGAGACTCTTCGAAGCAAGCACCACCGTTTAGCTTACCGATCAGTCTTGATCTTAGAAACGTGTGAATCTATAGAGTATACACAGCTTTTCATTTCACACTTGTTTTGGTAGCGGATACTTCAGCATCATTCATCAGATAGGGCAATTCATTCTTGCTGATGATTCACATCGGAATGCATATTAGAGAACATGATACCAAATAGATCTATATCAAGTGTCGGCCTTTCCGAAAGAATTTCTAATTTTGGATGTTCGACATTTGCCTCCCGTTTTCCAGCCCAGTGAAGATTCTCAGCATGATTTATTGCCGCTATTCATTTTTTTCTGGAAACACTGCAGGCCCAACTTCTATTGATAATCATCTACAGATCGTGGTGGACTGTGTCTATTGACAAGTGTGGTCAATAAGATATATGATCCAGGTTTGGCTCTCACCGTCTGTTATTAAGAGGTATTTGCTTATTGACACGTCGAATAGCCTCACCATTGACCCTCTCGTCCGTTTCGTATCTATATATGCCAAGCTCTGGTCACTAAAACTACGGATCAAGCGTAGCTCCAACCCCTCTCCGTCCTCGTTACGCCTCTTACTTTTCTTTGCATCCTGTCGTCAGCACTCAAGTGCAGCCGCAGCAGGGATTCCTAGGAAGAGCTCCTGTTACTTGTGTGTATATGAAGATTTTCATTTCCCGCAGTCGCTCAATTCGTGCTTTGTCACGGCGTCAGTCGTTTCGGCAACTTGCTAGACATTAGCAGAATCACTCGTTGTACGTTGCAATCTCTCCAATGACTTGGTTCATTAGGACAAGTCCAATTGCACCGATCCAGTCTTTTTGCTAACCTACCGACCATGATGCCATATAGTTCTCTCCCTTTCTCTAAGTTGTACCAAAATGACTCGTGGCGTGGCAGCGGCGTCTACGCCTCTCATACCAATGGTCGACATCAACCCCAAAAGTCACGACGCTCACTCTGTGGATGCCTCGTTCGGGGTTGATGGATGTTCGTCCTACTCCTCGGCCGTAGATGAGGTACATTCCGCCAATGCCATGTGCGCACAGCAGACTTCTTCCGCTTCTTCTGTTTCTACCATCGAAGACGACGACGACGACGACGACGACGACGAGAGTACGCCGCTCTTCAAATCATCCTCTTCAACTTCGTGTTCTTCTTCTCCGTCTTGCTCGTCGGTCTGCTCCACCTGCTCGTTCTGTTCGGCAAAGAAGCAGCACATCCCCATCGCGGCATATCCGTCAACGACGAAGAAGCACGCTGCAGCCAAATCTTTCCATCCCAAAAAGCTCAGCAGCAATGTCGCTTCCTTCTCGGGACGTTTCGACTTTTCTTATCGCAATTTATATTACACCGGAGGCGCACGGGACGCTGCAGGACGCAGCGTGCTCGGCAACGGCGTGGGTGTTTCTGTCGGAGTATGTGTCTTGATGTAGCTATCTCAGCAGCAAGCGATATGAGAATACAAGTGGAGTCTTCATTCTTTCGCACTTGTTTTTCAAAAAGCTAGTCGTGATTTATATCCCAAAGCATCCATATACGCGTCTGCAGATTTCGAGACAGAGATGAAGGAGAAAGACATGTCCTTATGAACCTCATAGTCTCCGCTGCCCAATAATGTAATTCAAATACCCTACCGGCCAGGAATGCATCCGGTGTCCAGCGCGAAACTCCCATCCATTAATATTTATTTTCTTCTCGTGCTGATATTTTCCAACGTCATCCTCGACCAAAGGACCTGTACCGGTGCTGCCAGTTTGCTTATTTTCCTCTGCCTTCTCCTCCTTTCCACGAATGCTGTTGTCCGCGGCGGTAGTGGCGGTCGGCCGCACCAAATCCACAACCTCCTCCAACGTTCTCGTGCGCAAACTACTCACCACGCCATCAAACACCAGCACGACTGGAATCACAGGAACAAGGTACGTGAAGAAGAGCATTCCCCAGTCGTCAAACGGACACCACAGCGGCGTCACGACCGCGAGGAGCGGGATAGTCAGAATAAGAAGGAGGATGAATGAACTTAGATGTCGGTCTTGTAGCTCGATGATGCTATATCGTATGATTCCGTCAGTGTATGTTTTCACCGCACGATGTGAGAGGTATGGATATAGCTATCAAAAAGTGACTTACACAAACGCATCAGCACTGTTCATCGAATTCCGCAATACTTTCCGCGCCGTCGTGTCGTCGAAATGGTGAAACCCGAGACAAAACAAATGTACCACTTTAGCTCTGTTACTCCTACTACTACCTTTTGTCCTGCTGAGCGCGTTGTTCTTTTCGGTGTCGTTTTTCGGTTTGTCGTGATAGTCATCCACCGTGTTTGATAGAGATATATCCTCCCCCGCCAAAAAGGCCCGTGGCGGAGCAGCTGCGTCCACAGGCTGAGCGACGAACCGGAGATACTTCGGCCCGCAAGCTAATTGCGTCCAGGACTCAAGTTGGGGCCGAAGATCAGATAGCTGGAAATACACGGGCCGCATACCGCGCTGGTGGCGGCGGGCATTGACGCGCTTTTCAATGACGGCAGTGGGGCCGCCTGCGCCGGAGCAGAAATCGAGAATCAGGGTCTTTTTGTCATTGGGTGTTTGTGTTTTGGGATTGTGAGTAATGTTGGGTGGTGTTGGTGTTGTTGGTGTTGTTGGTGTATTATGGTCGGTATTAAAGCTGGGGCTGTCAAGAACAGCGCAGACAATACCGGCGGCAATGTCTGCGGCGGCTTGGTCTTGGATATATGGTATATGATGCGTCCAGAGGAGATGCAGCATTTTGTGGATTCTGGCGCGTATGTATTCGGGGAATCTGATGATATTAGCCTTATTTTCGTTTTTTTTTTCTTTTTATCTTTTTCCTCTTGATTTCTCTGGCTTCGTATGTTTCTTTTGTTCTTTCTTTCTTTCTTTCTTTCTTTCTTTCTTTCTTTCTTTCTTTCTTTCTTTCTTTCTTTCTTTCTTTCTTTCTTTCTTTCAATCACCATTTCCCCCTCTTTGCTTGTATATATCAATTTTTTTTCTTTTCGTACGTCTTTTTCGTCCACTTTCCCCTTATGGGCAGCATCTTCAACCGGACAAAAAACTGGAACACAAAATCATAAACAATAAATAAATGAGAAGCCACGCACATGTCCAAGTCACAAAACTCAAATAGCCGTACTGGCTTAGCCGTCACCAGCGGACCGAGTGGCATTTTGGCGATAGACTCCGGCGTTCTCTAGATGCGTCTCTGACTCTTTTCAAAAGCTTATATGGGCCCCGAATTCTTCGGATTGGTGCTGGTCGTCATATATACTGGAAGTACCGGTACCTCTTTGGGTGCCAGTTTGGTGATCTTGGAGACTGTCAGAGTCATTCGTACATGCTTCGATCCCCCGTCCGCCTGCCCGCCCTCCACTGTGACGAATGACTCCGGCACTCTGAGCACTATGTTTTCCGCCAACGATACAGAATACCTCTGTACACATGTGAAATGCTCTTGTCCAGTATGTCATATGCCGGGCTTGTCTAATCAATCTGGCATGTCTAACTTCATCTGAGTGGCTGTGTACGTAGTACCGGAGTATAGTATACAATTGCATACCACGTATGCAGCTTCAACGAGGGGACGGCGGAATAAGTCCGCGACATACTACACACGCACGTGCAATGCTCATTAAACATCCATGTTTTACTGCACTCTTTGAGATAATGAATAAGTTACAACAATAGTACTCTTTTGGCAGGTATTATTATTTATTTTATTATCTACCTTACCTACACATATAGATATGTATACTCCATCTCACCGTATGTCGTATGTCGTATGTCCAGGTCCTCCGTCCATGGAGGTTGAGGTTGTGGATGGGGTCCTCGGTCGAGTGCACCGACCACCGTTGTATAAACTCGGCTAAGTTATGAAGGGCATAACTTCTACAGACCAGGAGCGAGGGAGACACAACAGACATAAATCTTATCTTAACTTGACGAAGCTGGGGACCAACGAATAGTTAACCAACGTTAATATAAAGTACTCCTAAGAGTAGTCTACGAGTATTCTTCACCAAAAAAACGGAAACCACGTTATATCCTGGATTATCCTGGATACGAGGATACTACTCCGTAGTATTCCAGGGCGGAGCGAGGAACCTAGGCGATGACCACCACGTCCACGTACAGCAGGGACAAGAGGACAACAGGACAAGGGGACAGGAGGACAAGAGGACAAAGGGACAGGTAACGGAGTAGATGCACATCCATCCCAAAATAAGTAAAGAAATGCCAACATTCTACAGCGAGGGAAGTTAATGCACGAGTGAGGTCTCGAGCCACCTTACTTTTGTGTTCTTATCAGGTTCAGTGAGATAGGCATCTTAGCACCGGCACAGGCACAGGGATCGGCTCTCTTCTCTCTCTCTCTCGGCGGATAAGGAGGATCTTTATGGCCCATCCGGTAGTTATCTATAACACACCTCTGTTGCTCAGGATGAGTTAGCTGTTACAGTGCAATGCATGCGGGGTCGTAAGATGATGATAAGCCCTTTTCGATTCGAGGAGGGCTGATATATAATAAAGCCAAGCTAGAAATACGATCAGGACTTAATTGAATAGCTGAGATATGCCTGGTCGCCATATCTGAGAAAAATAAGAAGAAGAAAATAAATAAGATAAATTGAGTACAGGTCTACTGGACTATTACATTACTATCTCTACATGGCCGTCAAGCTGCCTGAGATTCAGCGCATTGATCGCTCGAATGTGTCCGCGATAATTCAAGCCATTATCCAGGATGGCTGCTGCATTGTCAAGAATTTCACAGATGCCGAGACGGTGAGCGTGGTGAATGAGGAAGTACGGCCGTATATTGAAGCAGACAAGCCCTGGAAGGTGAGTGGAGTTTGAGTGTTTCCAATTGTGATATAGACAGGGATATGGCAGCGGGGATGGCAATCATCCTGAATATAACAAAATACAAAAAAAAAAATAAAGAAAAATTAAAAAGAAGGAAAGAAGGAAAGAAGGAAAGAAGGGAAAAGAAAAGAAAAAAGAAAAGAAAAAGACTGACTAGTCCAGGGGGATTTATTCCCGCCCGAAACACGGCGCTGCGCCAACCTCGTAGGTCGCAGCAAGACGGTGCGGGAGAAATGGTTCGTGGATCCTCTGATCCGGACGCTACTATCGAAATTCGTCGACAAGACCACGTCCAACTTCTACGGCGAGACCAAACACACCTACACCAGCGAAGCCGTCTGCAACATTGCTGTGACGTTCGAGATCGGGCCGGGGGGCAAAGCGCAACGGCTGCACCGCGACGACAAGAACTACCACGTGGACCATCAAGACCAGACGGCGACGGGGTATCAAGTCGGGTCTGATGTGGAAATGGCGTTCCTGCTGCCGGGCGTGAAAACGACGTACGAGAACGGCGCGACGCTGGCGATTCCGGGCAGCCATCTATGGGGCCAAGAGCGAGCGCCCAAGACCGAGGAGGCAACATATGCGGAAATGGACGTGGGAGATTGTTGGGTCATGCTGGGCGGGCTGTATCATGCTGGCGGGTCGAATATCACAGAGACGGAGAAGAGGACAGTGCATGGCTTGTTTTTCACGAGGGGATACCTTCGCCAAGAGGAGAATGCGTATTTGATGAACGCGCCGGAAGCGGTGCTGTCTTGGACGCCAGAGGCGCAGAAGTTGATGGGATACTCCCTTTCGAGTCCGAATATTGGGTTTGCTGATTTCAGGACCCCGATTCAGTATTTGCAAGGAGATGCGAGCGATGCGCTGGGGGACTTTGATGCGTCGCAGGAGAAGAAGTAGCTATATCGTGAATGATACAATGAAGTTGCCTATACAGTATGAAAAATAAAAATAAACTGCGCTTGTAAGGTATTGGAAGGTGATTATAGTATTGATAAAGTTGAGTGCTCATTGAATATCAGAGGAAAATACTCTTTTGAAAGCAATATTATAGATAAATCATTGGGCTACCAATTCGGCCTAAGAGCTGCCTGACACTGCTGGAAACAATAAGGTTATCAAAACATTATACAGGTTATTTCCTGACCCGTGAGTAACAGGAGTAAAATGCTTGCCTTTGGCTCGTGATATAAACATGAACTTCCTCGCTCGTCTCTACTCGATCGCTCCAGTCGGGTCGGAGGTTCCTCGGCTAAATTTATGCAGGTTTAGTGTTGTTGCATAAATGTCACTTATCCACCTATCCTCAAAGGGGATAAGATTCTTGAAGAGACTCGAGGTCAAGGTATTCTGCGAGTATTTCTGTAGCCTCTAGCTAGCCTGGGCTACGGCCTTGGAATCATTCGCACGTCATGTCGCATGGTATCATTGCATGAATTTTCCCTCTGTGAAGACCTGAGAGGAACCTTTTGAAATTGAGACCCTGCCCCCCCAAATTGCCAGCGCTGTGCATCCTTCGCCAATTGAATGAATGGCCTCGAGGTCGGAATTTTCCATCGGGAGCCAGCAAATTGGTGCCAATTAAATCATAAGGCTAGGGCAAAGCGTACGGAGTACAATCTAATCTCGCGCTGCAAGTCCACATCATCATGACCACGGGATCAAGGGGAACGAATCCCAAGTACCGGTACGAGTACCTTTTCCACTTGCCACTGCCTGCTTTTAGAATCCCTTCATACTCTCAGTCGGCACGACTTGGTACAAAAGAGTGGCCGGGGAATTCCCCTTGTCCCTCTTTAGCGGACCAGCCTCTTTGGGCGGGTGGGGTCCGTGTGGTGGCGCCGTTTAGTTAGCAGAGTTGAGCCCAAACTCGGATGGCAAAACCTGCTTTAATCCTCGTTTCTCTCCCTGGCGCGCACATCCAGCGCAGCCGAAGCTCCTCAAGCAAAAGAAGAAGGGCTGATCAACAACCGGCAATGATCGTGGGCCCCGTCCGGGACTGCCGTGTGGCGGGTTCGGAGAAGAATTAGACTTCTCAAGTTTCCTTGGAGGGGAATCAACTCCACCCCTCCCCCCTGGTGGTCGTATAGTGCAACCCCCCGGATGTGCAACTGCGTCATACCCTGTGGCTGGAGAAGCTGACGACCATGGAAATAACTGGACGAAGAACAAGGCGCTTGCGTCTTCTTGCGTAGTCGTTCCTTTTTGCTCTCCTCTTCCCCTTTCCATCACACTTCTTTTCCCTGTTCCAATATCCGCCCTGCATTAATTTGGCCGGACAAGGTCTTGCGAGAAATATATCATTTCGACAAAGTAATTTTGTTTTCCCTTTATCTGGCTCAACATCAGTTGCTTTGACCATTTTCGGGTCTCCCTTTCGACTGTGATACTGTTCCTCATAAATCCTCCCCTAGAGTTCATCACTACATAATCATGGCCGCCGAAGAAGAAACCAAGACCGAACAGCAGACCAACGCTGGCGCCGAAGGCTCCGCATCGGGCAGCGCATCTGCGGCAGGCAACGCCGGCGTAAGTGCTGGAAAGAAGCAGCAGCAAACGCAACAGCAGACCAAGAGAAAACCTCCTAAGCTGAACCAAAAGAAGCAAGAGGAGGCACCTCAGCAACAGCAGCAAGAACCTACTCCCGAATTGTCTGAAGCATCCGGAGGTTCGCGATCACCGTCGCCCGCCGCTGAGCCCGAGTCCGAACCCGAGCCTGAGCCTGCGCCCCAGAAGAAGTCGAAGCAGCGACGTCCTTCTCGCCGTCGGGGCCGGAGCGCCTATCAGGACAGCGACACTGAGTCCATTGCTCGTTCTGACGTGTCAGCGACTGGAGGCCGCCGGAATCGTAACCGCAAGCAGGGCAAGCAGCAAAAAGGAGGGCCTCTCGATAGCATTGGCGAAGACGGTCTGCCTGGAGGCGAGCTAGTCAAGGGTGCGGGCGACATGCTCCAAAACACGGCGGGACAGGCTGTCGACACTGTTGGAAACACTGCAGGCAACGCCGTTGGTGGTGCTGGACAAGCAGTTGGAAGCACCCTTGGCAATGCAGTTGGCGGAAAGAAGGAAGATGATGGAGGCAAAGACGAGCAGCTGCGGTTGCGGTTGGAGTTGAATCTCGACGTTGAAATTCAACTCAAGGCCAAGATTCACGGTGATTTGACACTTGGACTCTTGTAAGTCATCATCTTCTGTTTTCGCTCTCGTATGAGCAGCGAATTTCTTTGTGGGATGATTTGCTAATGGAAAATCGCAGGAACTAAACAAGCAAAAAAGTGTGGTTCCAAGGGCCACGTTGTCAAGCACGACGATGCTTCGAATAATGCGTGCACGTGGTTTGGTCTGTATCTGAATGGCCCAGTTGAGAAGCTGGGCGACACGTTTTCTTTTTTCTTTTCCCATCTTTTTACTACTGTTTCTACACTTTTCCTCCTCCTCCTCCTCCTCCTCCTCCTCCTCTTCTTCTTCTAAAGTGCTTTTGGTTTATTACGGGTTACGATTGGGATTGCCGTTGTTTTGGATATCAGTCTATGATTTTTGTATGATAATGATTTTGCGTCGACGACCAAGGCGTATCGGCTATATGATGATGATATCAGAATCAATCCAGCTTAATTTCTTACATCTATCATCAAAAAATTATCTACGATTAATTACGAACACATGAAGATACAGTATAGTGAGGGAGAAGCGCCCATTTCGTGCCGTTGCAGTGTCTTCTCTTCGCAGCATGACGTTTAACTGAGCAAAAGAGCTCAATTGGCGATAGCGCGGTCTGGGCAGCCAAGCTTTCTGTCTTTGTCAATCATCCTTCCGCTTTAGGAAATGGCGACTACTAAGACGGACAGAACAAATTATTGTCACTGACAACTGGCTGCTTCCGGGTCTCGCAAAGTACACTGGCACAAGTACTCCACGTGTATTCCCCTCTTTCACCCAAAGCGTAACCATTGGTTCTCACCGACAAACTGAGGTACAAAGCAGGAACTTTGACGTACTGCCAGTCTGCTGTCAGACGGAGTAGCACGAGGCCTTTGGAAATTGGACGACGCGTCAGTGCAAGTAGCAGGAAGGAACGAAGAGAGCGAAGCAATGACGTATGAAGTCACTCGTCGCTTGTTGGTCTTTACTCCACATCTCCACCATATACGATCGCTCCTTCCGGATTGATGTCCCCTCCACTTTCTTCCTTGTTTCAACCAGATGTGGCTGATGCCCTCGGTCTCATTCGGGCAATTTCCCAGCCACACCATGTCCGCGTTACCCTTAATTCGTGCCTTGTTTAAGCACAAAGGGCAAAACGTCTTTTAATTAGTTTCAAATTGTCATCGACGATCATTACCAGGAGGAGAAGCAGAGGTACCAGTACTTGTGGCTGGGGAGATTGGGATGCTTCCAGGCAAGCTGTGCCGGGGATCCGCGGGCTGCTCTGGGTGGCGCACACACTTCCCACGACCTCAGCTGCACCATGATGTCGTTTTCCCGCTTCATCATTGTGTCCTAACCGTGTAAGCATCCAATAATCTCCCACACAACTCTGAGAAGAGGAGTGTATCCCCCGGGACTTGCCACCTCAATTTCGCAATCCGGTTTGAGCGTCGTGCCTTGAAAGGAAAAAGAAAGGGAAAAGGCGGGTACGCAAACACCCGGTATCCTATCCTGTTATGGCTGGTAGGAAACGTGGAGAGAGAGAGAGAGGGAGCCCCACCTCTCCCGGGGGATGTGTGTGTAGTTTTGGCGCATCTACCTGCTTGCAAGAGGTTGTACCTGTAATGAATGCCCTGTAGCCCCGGGAGGTTGCTTGTGCCTTGTCACCCACCGTCATGGTCTTCCTCTCTCTAGTATACCTCTGTGCTTTGCTCTGACTTGCATCATCCTTCTTTATCACAAGATTTCAAGGATCCGGTCTGTCCTCTAGCACTGGCATCCTGAGCCTCGAATAACATAGCCTCGACTCGACCAAAGTTTCTCCCGGGCTTTTATCAGTAGATTCGTCCTTTAGTCTGCTCGCTCCAGACCTCTTCGTCATCATCCTCGTCCTCCTCCACTCCATAGACCGCTACTACAAGCTCCCTGATCCACATTCTCCCATCTTTTTTCTCTCGCAGTTGCCTTGAGAGAAAGAGTCTACTTCTCTTCGCCCTTCCAATTCTTCAACCTCCTCAGACATAGTCTGATCTGTTCTTCATAAACCCAGTCGACAAGACCTCAGAAACATACTATAACAAAAAAAAAATGTCCGACACGGAATCCGATACGGGCTACGTCTCGCGCAGTTCGTCGCGCCGCGCCAGAAGAAGACGCACCAAGGCCTCCGCAGGTGGTCAAAACGCCATGCCCGCCGTGCAAGAGGACCCGCAGCAACAAGCCCAGATGCAGGCGCAGGTGCAGGAACAGCAGCGACAGCAAGCACTGCAGACGATGCAGCCGTTTGACTGGATCGGACCGGACTCGACCAGCATGAACGGGCCCGTCACCAAGGCGCGCGCAGAACGCGGCGAGATTCCTCCGCGCCAGGGAAACCCGAACCAGGCTCTGGCCACGGGCGTGGGCGAGACCAAAGGTAGCAGTCTGGATGACCAAGACGGGCTCAAGTTGAAACTGGAGCTGAATCTCGACGTCGAATTGGAAATCAAGGCTAGCATACGCGGTGATTTGACTCTGGCTCTCTTGTAAGTTCTGGCCCTTTATTTTTTATTCAATTCTACTTTCTTCTACTTTATTTTTTATTTTTATTTTTTTCATTGTTTTTTTTTTAATCCCCTTCTACTCGTCCATTCATCTTCTCTCTCATTCTCTTCCTCTCGTACCTCAATGCTACTACGTCCCTTCCTTTGCACTGTCCGTCACAGGGCTCTGATTTAACCGTGGGCGCCTTTCTTAGAACCTAAGAGTTCCCCGGGTACATATAATAAAGGCGTCACGGGTGAGCACCTCGCATCAAACCATTCTCCCTCTCACTTATTTCCCACTTCCATGTTACCCATTGAGCGAGACCTGCATGCCCCCATCATCCCTCATCCCTCTATCCCTCATCATTCAAGCAGCAACCAAAACAACCATGGATACGGTCAGGAACAGTGCTAATAGAACAAAGGGCGTAGGTCTTGAGAGCTGTGAACCGCCACTTCCACGCCGTCTATTGATAATAAATTGCTTCTGTTCTTTGTTATTTCTAAATCCGACTTTTCTGGTACGAGAGGCACTTTTAAGCTGCCTTTAGTTGCCTCTGGGTTTTATACAGTTTTCTTTTATTTTTCCTCGAGAAGGACGCGGGATATTGGTTCTTTTTTTTCTTGCTCTTGATGATATGATCTGATCTGATCTGATATGGACACGGGATTTATGCTGAATGATCTATATAACGTTTTTTGTCTTTGTCCCCCCTTTTGCCCCATATTCTCTTCTTGTTTTTTGTGTATGTGGTTGATATGGATGGAATCGCGAGGAAACAGGCGTTTTACTATCTTTTTTTTTTTTTTTGGTTTAAATATAATTGTACCACGAATCACAATGATATAGTAGTGCTATCCTCTACTCCACTATGGGTAGTAATTTACTCTTTTTTGGTAATTTTTTCTTCTTGAATAAGAGCGCATAAGTGACCGGGAATAAAGACCAATTCCATCCTAACTTTTAGATACGGGATATCCATAACATCCAAGAAAACAAAACTCCCTAAGCTCGGATTTTTTAAGATTTGCGGAGCATCAATGCGATCCAGCCAAAAAGACGATAGACTGCAATAATACCGACGAGAATGCCGACCCATTTACCCGTACGATGCTCGGCGTAACCGTACGCGTCAAGCACGCCTTTGCCGCTGATTTTACATTGCGCGGCCAAGTCGGTTTGGTACATGCACTGACAGGCTGAAGGCGAGCCGGGACTGGAAGCGCAAGTAAATGTTCGATGAGAGAATTCATTGACCATCATGCCTTGGAATACGTAGGCCTGTGAGGGAGTAAAGATAATGTTAGCGTTAGTACGGGGAGATATATCTGGCCAGAGTGAACATATTTTGCGCAGCAGGAATAGCAGTAAACAAGGGGACTGTTATTCTCATGTGCGGGATGTGATATGAGAAATACACTTATCCAAAAGAAATACGAGATATGAAGCAAAAAATCACGAGAGAACGTACCTGATAGTCGATGTAATGAAAGACATAACGCCAAAAGACGTTTAAAATGGTAGGAGAGACGAGGAAACCTCCGACGCTCATCCAGAGCCCGTTGGCAAATGCTGTAAGGGCAAGAGAGACGACAAAGTTGGGAAAGATGGACGATATTAACACAACGAGGGACTCCGCGGCTACGAGGTCAAGGAAAAGCCACATGACCCAGACGAAGAAGGCATCGGCATTCGGACGGAAATTGGACAGCCAGTATGCGATAATGGAGAAGAGAATGGATATCAGAACTTTCAAGAAAGTCTTGTTAGTTATGGCGATTACAATTAAAGTGGTCACTTGAAGGAAACGTACACAGATAGGGTAAGCCGATGAGAAAATTGGATACTATAAAGGACGTGGCGCCGTACAGCCCATTGGCACGCTCTTTGATAAAGGTTGCCCGGTCTTCGAGATATGCGGGGACATATGCTACCGCCATAAAGGACATGAATGCCGAGCCGAAGAACTGTTAGGGAGAAACATGTGAGCGCGGAGACTTAACGATGCAAAAAGAAAGAAAAAAGAAAAAAGTGAGGATGGACGAAAACTTACAATTGCATTAATAAAGGGCTGGATATATTCCTGAGATGTGTGTAGACGAAGCCACACTGTTCCCATCATAATTGCAAGCCCTACCACACCTTTGTGTTAAGAGGTCATGAAATGAAAGTAAGAGAAGTAGAACGTGACCGTACCAAGATACATGATGATTCGAATACCATACGCAACGACGTCGCGATAGCTCTTGATGAAAGACCGGTGCAAGAGAGTGATCACAACGGAGAAAAAGGTTGCTTTTGGCAATTCCTCATCCGACAGTAGCTTGCCATGAAAGGCTTCTTCAACGAGGACCATCTCATGGTTCAAAGATTCGGCGTGATTTTTGGACCACGTTTCTTGAATGAACTTGAGACGTCTTAACGCACCGGTCCTATTTTTGGCAAAATCTACATTGGTCATTTCCAAGATAAACTCAGCAGGATTGGTTTCTTCCGGTAGAGGACAATCAACGCTATCAAGAAAAGACTTTAGATGACTTGGTGGCCCGAAATAGCAGGTCTGTCCTGCTGAGAGTATAAGCAACCTGTCAAAGAGCCGGAAAGTGGCTGATGACGGTTGATGAATGCTGGCAATGACCAGAATCTGATCTCCATGTCAGCACATATTTCATCTTCTCATTTTGTCCCGATTTTTGCCAGAAAACGAACGGCCAAGAGACGATTGTTGGAACATACATTACTCTTCCTTGCGACGCTTTGAATAAAAGACATGACCTCAAAGCTCGCTGTCGAGTCCAGTCCGCTTGTAGGTTCATCGAGGAAGAGAATTTTCGGAGCTGTGATTAGCTGACTGGCAACGCTGACACGGCGTTTCTGACCTCCACTGATGCCCTTGCGAATAGGAGTGCCAATCAAGGTGTTTGCTTGGTCTCGAATGCCGAATGAACTGAGCAATAGTTCGATTCGTCGTTTCCGTTGCTGCTTTGTGATGGTCCTGGATAAAAGTAGAATGAGCCTTGAATGATCACATTTGACTAGATGGCAAGTATTATAAAAAAAAAGGGCCTGAATGCCTACTTGGACAGGGACAAACGCGCAGCAAAATACAACGTCTCTTCGATGGTCAAAGAGCCAATAAGTGCATCTTCTTGCTCAACGTATGAGCTTAAACTCCAGAGCTGGGACGTGGGCACTTGCTGGCCGTTGACGAGAACATTTCCAGAGCACTCATAAGTTGATGGGTTTATCCTATGGGATAAAAAATTTAGAAGCGTAGTCTTCCCACTTCCAGATGCTCCCATAATTGCGAGAAGCTCCCCTGTTTCACATTGTTTAGATATCTCGACGGCACGCTGATTGCAACACGGACAAGAGGTTCGAACGCACCCTGCTTGACGTATCCGCTGACATTTTGAAGTATGTGTCGAGCAGATCCCGACTTTCTACCTTTCACAGTGGCTGTAATATCTTTCCAAGTGAGACTGTGGATAGCATTGTTAGATAAATGGGCATCCTCATCGCTATTTGACTCGAGATCAAGGTGCTCATGTGGTCCTTTGGACGCCATCATGCAAAGTGATATGAAGAAGATGGTCTCATTTTCCAAGCAAGACGGATGGATTGTCAATTGCTATATATATATATGCTTACGTGAAAAAAAAAAAATAGAATACTCATGCTTTCAATGAAGAAAAAGTGTCTAAATCGCCTTGTGCGTATACGGATCATGGAGTATATGATCCGTGCCTCTGGGGTTGAAGCTTGGACGTTGGTGGAACGAGGAAAGGGCTCCGTAGTAATTCCGGCGCCTTCCGGTCCCGGGCTGAAAGGTCGGCGACGTTGAACCCGTTTAGGAAATGGTCCGTGTCTCTTGATCTCCCCTGAATCTTCAACTTCGCCGTTATCATTGGCCAAGATCATCATATTTCACGTGAGCTTCTGGTTTCCCACCAAAGAGACACCAATGTTAGATCGACCTCCTATGTGCCAGTTCTCTTCATTACTATCTTCAGCTCGGCGAAGTTCTTCGGAACTGAATCTATCAGAAACGACCATTCCCTGCAATACATGGAATGTCCCAAAACAATGACCGGGCTTCGTCCGAAGCAAAGAGTAAGCCTGCATTTGCAACAACCTGCGTCGAATGCAGAGCTCGGCATGTGAAATGTGATGGCCTCTTGCCGTCTTGTAGACGTTGCAAGGGTGCTGGTCGAACTTGTCACTATATAAAATCTCGACGAGGCAAGAGAGATACCGAGCGCCTCATCAGTCCACCGCATGAACGAAAGCTAGATCTTTCGGCAGACTTTGCCCCTCAGACCAAGTTTCCTCGGGGACCTTTGATGGACGACAATGTTGGCAATTTTCAATGTATGTGCTCTAAACCCTCAATTGAATGGCTCGGGGCCTCGCCGCTTCGTTTCAGTCACATTCAGGGCTTGTTTCACTGCCTTTTGAAGTACCCCTGCCCTGCCTTTCCCACCCCGCCCCACCCCACTCCCTTCCTTTTTTTCTTCTATCTTTTTGATTTTCTTATCTTATAAATCGTATGATCATGAAAGAGTATGATCAGAAGCTTGTTGCATGCTCATTTTTCTGTATTGCTTTCAAAATGTCTTGAATGATTAGCCTATCAATGCGTATTTGTTTGAACCTGCTCTTTCACAATATGTGATACATTGCTGCCTCAAAGTTCTTCGGGCATGATCAGCTACAATGGACTCAGTCTTACGTGCCCAGGTCTCCTGCCCCAACCAGAGAGTTCTTCTCTCGAGAAACCCTACGAGATACTTCCTAACCAGGGCCTGCTTTTAGGCTCGCCCTGGTCAGTCGCCGATCCAGTTCCTTTCCAATCCGTTGTCCAGTCTCGAGATAACCCCGCAAGCAGTTGTTCTACTCCGAGCTTTCTTCCTGAAGACTCAGCCTCTAATGCATCCCTGTCGTGCAATGGAGAAGCGGTTCATTTTGACCCACTTGTTGGCAGCTTCTACTCGCACTTCCATCGGGCTCATCCTATTGTAATCCCGATGGGACACTGGCGGAAGCATGTACAAGGTTTTGAGGCGCAAGCTCTCATGACCGTAATTCATTTCATTGGCTCAATGTACGCCGAAGACATATCTACGACCATCTATCGTGATGCCGTATATCGTACCTTGAGCATCCAGCCCCTGCAATTGTCCAAGACAGGCTTTGCAGTACAGGTGAACCTTTTATTTGCCATAGGCCTTCATGCGCACAATGAGCCCGAGAAAGCAATAGAATACCTAAACAGAGCGATTGATATCGCTCTCGAACTGGGCATGCACCGGTCTTCCTTCTGCTACACTTATGGAGAGAATTGTTCTCTTCTGGAAGAAAGCTGGCGACGAACTTGGTGGGAACTCTATGTGGTTGAGGGAATGTTTGCCGCAGTCCACCAGAGCGATAGTTTTCGGCTTTTTAAGATACCAACCGACGTCCCTATTCCCTGCGAAGAGGCGGAATATTCGATCTGCGGCGTAAGCAACAATGCTCCCGGAAGTTTTTGCTTACTTGATCTAGACACTGACATTGGTAATCTTTAGCCTATCCCACGCCCTCGAACCTTTGAAGAATTTGACGACCGTGCTTTTGAAGATGAGAGTATTACATATTCTTCATTTGCGTACCGCATTGATGCTGTCCGTATACTTGGAAAATTACTCGCCCTTGGTGCCGCTTCTCTCGATCAACGAGACGCTACCAAAATCCAAGCCGCGGATGCCAGACTAACGAATTGGACGCTTCATCTGCCACCAGCCAAACGCCAACCGGTGGACCGAATGGGCAGGGTGGATGAGATCATGTTCCAAGGCCACATGATTATCAATGCGTGAGCAGACCCCATTTCCTACATATTTTTTCGCATTTTTATCTTATTCGTCTATTTGTCTAATCCTCTTCTCTACCTTGCGCAATTCTCGCTTGCTTTCTTCAAGCTCAAACGTTGACTAAATCGACCAGTGCCACGATTTTCCTTCATCGTCCTCTGTCCAATCTCATCTTCAGCCATGCCGGGCTCAAAACTACATGCACACCAAATATTGCCGCCGCTATCCCGTCAACGACCGCGGCCACAGCTTTCAGTCCGCAAATACATTCCCTGAAAGCCATCAACGCAGCCACCACCATTTCTAGCATGTTTGCTCTCCCTGGAACAATTCTGACACTGCATAGCCCCTTTTGCACATGTGTTGTGGCATTGGCGGCAGTGGTCGACCTATCAGCATATTACAGTAAAGTTGATCCTGCACAAATCCCTGCGCCTTCTTCGCTGGCCATTGGCAGCGGTGAGAGAGATTCCAGATGGTTGTCATCTGGCTCAAATTCCCTAGACGCTTCATCGCTGGAAAAGGAGCGAATTCAGCTTGATATCGGTGTGCTCAAGGCGGTCAAAAACGTATGGCCGATAGCGAGAGCCGTATTTGAACCTGTAAAGGCAATAGCCAGGGACCTGGTAGGGTTGATGCAGCGAGAACAGGAAAGAAGAAAGCGGGGCAGAAGCCATTTGGAGGAATTCGCTCACGATGTTCCCATCCAAGATTTCTTGCCTCAATTGAACTATCATACTCCTGCGCAAGAGTATGACTGGATGCAGTCTTTTGTGGTTCCTGCTATGGACGACCACTGGACTTCAGGGTCGCAAGCAGGCTCTGCTGACACCACGGATGATAGACATTCAAAAAGATCCAAGCCCGGAGATGAAATTTACAGCTAGCTAATGATGAACGGAGATACTCTAAACGTTTTTCTTCTGGGGGGTTGGGGTAACAACATTGAGTTTAACTGGTCTTATGGAGTCAATGATAGAGGAAACAGCTTTGAGAATCAATACGAGCAAATACAAATGAATTCAAGAAAGATATAAATTAAACTGGGGATTACATAAAAAATTGACTAAAAATAAGAACTAATTAAAAATAATTAGTTCTTTATGCCCGATGAAATCTGTAATTCTTATTGACGGCGGCCATCAACTAGTATAAATCAATAGCACTGTTCATAAACTAAGTGGATGTGACGATGGCGAAAAGCCAAAAGAAGTCTGAATTTCTGGCGGAGGAAAAGGGGTTCAACTCCCGCCGCAGGCTAGAAGGCCAAAAATTAGACATGCATCTGACTAAGCAGTAATGGAGGCACATCGACTGCCAGGCAAAATAGTGACACAGGTAAATTGCTGAAAGCAATGGAATTGAAACGCCTCAATACTAAACAGATAAATGTGAAAATTTCATTTGCATAATCCCCTCCAACAACAGCTGAAAATTTTACAAGACATTTGCTGATGGATGCACATGGTGGATATTTGAACTTTACCTCCGTACATCATTTCCTCAAATTATTGACGGGCATCGTGTTGATGTGCAATCTCGCTTGACCGGCGTTGTCATCGAGTTGTCCCAGCCTTTGTGACTTCTGATCCGTTTTCCAGGATCATTGCAGCACTAAAACAATCTTGCCTCTATTTCAAGCCAACCACATTGACAACCATCCGCTGGCAAGCAAATATACGAGGAAAGAGCAAAAGAGTAAAAATGTCTGCTCCGGGTCCTTCAGAGGCGCAAATCAAACAGCGCATCATCTCTCACATGAACTCTGGCCATCAAGATTCTCTGATCAAATATCTCAAGTTCTACTCTCATTTGTCATCCTTTGCGGCTCGCAATGCTCGGCTTACAGACATTTCCTTCTCTGGAATGGATATTACATCAAATGGAAAAATATACGTTGTTGAAATATCTCCTCCGCTCAAGTCATGGGGCGAAGCACGTGAACGCTTGGTTAAAATGGACAAGGACGCAACGATAGGCCTGGGACTCAGCGACGTCACAGTCAAGGAATATCGTCGACCGAAGGGTTTTCATGCCGTCATTTTTACTGTCTGCTTTGCAACATATGTTGCTTTTTCTCGGCGTTCCAACTTTATCCCTGGATCACTACTCTACGACCTCTTTCTGCAAGGATTTCCGGCTTTTGGCAAATGGCTTTATACCATTCAGCCTTTGCTTATCGTGACAATGGTGGCGATTCATGTTTTTGAAGTCACCTGGTTGGCTAGGACAAGGCTTCGAGTCCATAATGTGCCTGTGACTAGCAAATTATGGTGGATTTGGATGGCTTCTTGCTTCATTGAAGGGTTTGGATCGTTTCAGAGATTCGATGATATCGTTTATGAGACCAGAAAGGCAAAGGAGTCACAGAAACATTAACGAGAATTTGGGGCTGACAGCGGGGGCTAATAAACCGATCATTTGCTAGACCATGGGCGAACATATTGTTTTCCTCTCGAATCTTTGACACGCTGGAGCGAGAATAGAATGATATCACTTTAGATCAGCGAGAGACGTTGATAGTCTTCAAGAGCAGGCTGATAGACACATGCATTGCAATACAAAATTGTCTGTTATGGAAAATCGAATATGGTTTGTATCCGTGTACGAAAGTTCTAATGATGACAATGAGGAGAAATGGAACTGATAGGGGAGGAACCAATGGCTGCAACAAGGTAGGATCCACGGCAGAAGGCGTCTTTGGTGGTGAGAATCGCACGATGCAAGCATACTTCCTAATAGAGAAAGGCCATCAAATAGGAAAGCCCTCCTGAAGCCGAAATCCTTTGGACGGCGTTGAAAGACAATTGGGTTTAGACGCCTCGGTAAAATAGGCGAGAAGGATATGAACCAATCAATTTGGGATTAAGATGTTCAGCGCTGAGTTGAAGGGGTAGGGCTAAAACCTTGTAGCGACAAGCGAGTCTCCCACTGGAAATTTGGCTACGCATTTCGAGATTGGAAGACAGCCGACCGACGACGACGACCTCGACACCCCACGGACAATTCGCTCGGTGAAGAAACTACATCAGTTAGGTTAGTGAAGCATTTCGTGCTGCTGCTATCTCAAATGTTTCGGGTTGCAAAATTGGATGCTCTCTCGACGTACGGACCGACTACGACCGGCAGACACGATCACGGCTAGATGGACAGAGGTTGAGATGCGGCACATGTATGGGGATATGCGATAAAAAGTCAGAAACACGACAGCGGAGGATAGTCGATCATAATTCTACAGCCAGATCATCGCTGCTTTGCGTGGTTACTTGCAATTCCGACTTTCGAACGACGACGTCGAGAGCTCTAATCAGCGATTCGTGACATTGGACGGGATCTTTCGCGACAGCACCTCATTCATCCCTATCAGGAATGTCCTGGCTGACAGAAGATTTTGAACAGTAATCTTCATCAGACGCAAAGATGGGTATCTCTCGGTGAGTTGGACCAGACTTGTATAGAATCTGTTGAAGCAGCGGCTAATATGGAATGTAGTGATTCCCGCCACAAGCGCTCCGCTACCGGTGCGAAGAGGGCCACCTACCGCAAGAAGAGGTACGATATTTCAAATGAATAGACGATAAAAAGGATTTTACAAAGTTCTCGGACATGATCCTAATTTCTCGTTTACAGAGCCTTCGAGAAGGGCCGTCAGCCCTCCAACACCCGTATCGGTACCAAGCGTATCCACCTTGTCCGCACCCGCGGTGGCAACCAGAAGCACCGTGGTCTCCGTCTCGACTCTGGCAACTTCTCATGGGGATCTGAGGGTGTCGCCCGCAAGACCCGTGTGATCGTTGTGTCCTTCCACCCTTCGAACAACGAGCTGGTCCGTACCAACACTCTTACCAAGTCTGCCGTTGTCCAGATCGATGCCGCTCCCTTCAGACAGTGGTACGAGTCCCACTACGGACAGCCCATCGGCCGGAGACGGCAAGCTAAGGGTGAGGCTGCCGAGGAGAAGAAGAGCAAGAGCGTCGAGAAGAAGCAGGAGGCTCGTTTCGGCGCTTCCGGCAAGGTTGACCCCTCGATCGAGAGACAGTTCGAGGCTGGCCGTCTCTACGCTGTCATCTCGTCGCGACCTGGCCAGTCTGGCCGCGTCGACGGCTACATCCTCGAGGGTGAGGAGCTTGCTTTCTACCAGCGTGCCATCCGGAAGTAAAAAGGTGCTTTAGGCTTTGGACGGTGGCGTTGCGAGCAAAAGGAGAGAGGATTGACGATACCGTTGCTCGATTGACGGGTTCGCGACATGTGTAGGCGAACTCGACGGGCTGCGGAGGGAAAACTATCTTTCAGCAGGGTGCTGCCTACGTCGACTGTATTCCGCTGCTAGGGTGTCTCACTTCAAATAAATTACTGTTCTTGAATGTTCCAAAACGGGAATTTGCGTCCGTCCACTGCCGTTCTGTTTATCCTGTGATTGTCCTAGAACACGAACTGCAGAGGCCATTTGATGTCATTGCGTTCGTTGTCTTGAAAATGAAGATCGATTGCGCGTTCCAGAAAGGCTAACTCGGCCCGCCACGGCCAGCGTCGGCTCTGTAGATATGTTGTCGCCAATTCGCTCATTGCCACAGGTCATTTGACATGCATTTGTTCTCATGGAATACGTAGACAGGAGCAAAGATTGCAATAGATCGTCCTCGCTCAATCCACTTTCTTCAATTTATCACTAGTCTGTTCTAAATAAAGGTGTGCGATCTTGATGATGAACAGATACCTCAACCTAGGTACGGTCTTTACCTAGGTGACAAGGCACACCCCTCGCTCCTTGGGCCCATTTTACCCGCCACTACTGTAAAACATCCCGCGCGCTCCGTCATCGTCCAAACACATTATTTCGATTTGTTTTCATTTGTTTTCCTCTCCTTCCACCCACGCGCTGATTAACTACCTTACCTTACGATAACTATATATTTAAAGAGTGTCCGCGCTCTCCAACTAAGTCAGTTCTCAAATAGCCCATCTCGCCAACAAAGCGCATCCCTTTCGCGCGCTTGCTCTTGCTTATCGATAGCGCTATTTAGCCTTAGCCCAGGCACGTCAAAACGGAGGACAAGAGCCGGCCCGCCGCGGGGCAGGCAAATACCTAACTTATTGTTATTGTCCTCACTACTCTGCTCTGTACATATAAACACAACTCTCTCGCTGCTCGAATTTTCATTACATTACACTACAATTCAATACAGCACAATAGAGAGATAAGAAACAAAAAAAAAGGGAAAAAGAACCATGACATCTCCCGGAGTTCCTCCCGCCAGCGCAAACAACAGCAGCACAACAATCAAGACCCGGTTCTGCATCATATCCGACACACACACGCAAGCTCCGCTGCCCGTCCAGGCTGTGCAAGATGCATACCGCGAGCCTCTCCCCGCGGCAGACGTGCTCCTGCATGCCGGCGACATCACCAAGATCGGATATCTCACCGAATACGAGAAGATGCTGGGCATGCTCAAGGCCGCGGATGCGGAGTTGAAGCTCGTCATTGCGGGCAATCACGATATCAGTCTAGATGAAGAATATTATGCCAAATACGGAGAAACAAAGCACCGCTTCGTGACGGAAGATGTGAAGAAGTGCCGACAACTCTGGACGAGCGAGGAGGCGAAGCAGGCGGGGGTTATATATCTCGAGGAAGGCACGAACAGTTTTGAGCTGAAGAATGGTGCCAATTTTACGGTAATTTCCTTTCCTTTCCTTTTTTACCCCATCCCGTCTCCTCAGTTTTGCTTGTTCCAGCAAACACAGCAAGAGAGCGCTTGAATACTAACTCCGGGTTTGTTTCTAGATATATACCTCTCCGTATACTCCCGAGTTCTGCAACTTTGCATTCGCATACGACCATGACATTGACCGGTATAACCCTCCCTCTCACATCTCTTCCAACACCGCAGACCCAAGCACATCGGCAACAACAACGACGACGACCACAACAACGACAGCCACAAGTACAGGTATCCCTACCATCAAACGACGAACAGGCTACACTCCCCCCACGCCCGTCCCGTCTCATCCTCAGATCGACATCATGATGACCCACGGCCCGCCATACGGCCGCATGGACGCGACCACGCGCGGAGAAAACGTCGGGTGTCCACATCTCTTGCGCGCCGTAGAGCGGTGTAGGCCCCGATTACACGTGTTTGGACATATCCACGAAGGATGGGGCGCCGAGAGAGTTACATGGAGCAATAGTAGTACAGACGCTGAAACTGGTTCTTCCTCTTCTGCGTCGAGTGCTCCTGCTGCCGCCGGGATCAAAAATGTCCAGACGCTAGAGCAAGATAGAAAGGAAGTGGTCCGGAACAGATGCGCTCAAGTCGATGTCAGTTCCTCGAGTGGCAAAGACCCGTTACGGTTCGGGCAGGAAACGCTCATGGTCAATGCGAGTATTATGAACGTGCGATATAGGCCGGTCAATGCGCCGTGGCTGGTCGATTTGGATTTGCCCCGGAGTTAGTGAGATGGGTATAGACTGGCGCGGGGAAGGAGTGGAGGTTGGGGGAGAGAGAGAGGAGAGAGAAGGAGAGCAATAGTAGCAGATCTATTTCAATAGAAGCTATATAGATTTCCGTAAAAAACCTATCCATGAGACTAGCTGTATAAGGGCGATGGGAGACCACTACTGTATAGAAAAGGGGAGCTACGTGTGTCCAACGTCAAGCAGAGTCACAGCCCATCCCTGTGAGGTGGTGACACAGGGATCACCAAATGAAGAAGAGAAATTTAATTGAAAATTACAAGGACGCGGCTCACTTAAGAGTCTACATGCTGTATGTTGCTTTCTCAGACCCTTTTCAGTATTGCATGTAGTGCGGAGTGGCTTTGATAATGATCTACTCCTTAAGAAACCCTGGTTCAAGTTGGTGTGCGTTGTGGTGCTGTTCATTCTCATTCACTTTTTTTCGGCTTCGGCTCTATGTTTATCACATTTTCCGTCCAGCGGCCTCTTGTGGCTGACTCTTCTCCCTGAGGCAACGGATCTGCTCTGCTCTGAAGCTGCATAAGCTGCATCACGGAATTACAAATGCACAACTACAATTCTGTTATGCTGAGCGCTGGGGGCCTGGGAATTGAGAACTGAAAACTGGGGAACTAAGAACTGAGAATTGAAACTGAAAACTGAGAAATGTGTACCTCAACCTTCAGCACTGAAGCTCACACCTACTCTCACTCTTCAGCTGCTTAATTGGTTTGCCAACCGCCCCTGAAGTGTCGCAGGAGACGAGAATTTGGGCATCACAATTGACTTCCCGCTTGAGGCCAGCTAGTACAGACATTGGGTATTTCAAAGGTCAGAGGTCGTACATCGCCAAAGAAGAAGAAGAAGGAGAAGACAATGGAGGGAATCTCCAGCATGAGCATGGACGACGAAGTGTTTCTGACCCCGTCAGACCCGGCATTGCCCAGCAGTGTGTGCACCGAGGCAGAGTACCAAGCAGATGGGTGGTTGACGGTGGCATTGTATGCGTCGAAGAACCATCAAAAGAATCATGATATTTGTATCTTGCTTAACACGGTGCAGAGAAACCAACAAAGCACGGATGTCACGACTGCGACTGAAACTGGCAAAGAAAGCGGCGAGGCATTGGCGGACCAGACAGGTTGGACTCCAGTTACAGAGGAAGGAGGACAAGCGGCTCGACCGGAAAGAGTTGCAGAGCCAATGAGGACTCCAAGGCCGAACATTTTCCCCGTTCGACCCAGCAGCGGAACTTCAAACTCTCGAGCTCAGCGACAGCCAGATCAAGGGACCTGTGAGGGAGGTGATGATGGTCCGAGAGAGCAAGTTGAAATCGCGAAATCATCGTCAGAGTTTGAAGTCCCATTGGACGTGGAACCGCCACCGTACGTTGACTATTATGTCCTGCACAAAATGATGAAGCTTGTCAAGCCGTACAATCCGCAATGGACGCCGAAACACATGAAGACCGTCGTGGAAGCTCGCCGAAGGTTTTATCACGCTTTCCAAGTGTGGATAGGCGTGATCAATCAATGCACCGATTTGTGTGCGTATGACCGTATCATGAAAAACGAGATTCAGGCTAGGAAGGAGGCGTTTGAGAAGCGCTTGCTTCAGACTTATAGCATTGCGGATTTGAATAATTTGGTTCATGCGCAGTCAGCGGGCGATCTGGGGTTCGACGAGAAAGAGGCTCGAGAACTTGATACGAAGCTGAGTGCGAACAAGCTCCGGATTCATCGAGAGCGGAGAAACGAGGAGGAAGCTCGCAAAAGAAGAGATAATGCTGCTCGGGATTTGGTGCTCATCAAGAGAGCCCTTTTGGCGGATGATATGCCAGTTCTGGTGAAGATCGTGGACACTGTCAACAATATTAAAGTCCGTAAAGCTGTTCGAGGTACGTGTTTGTCAAAGCCGAGTCTGGCGCTGGAATGCTAATAGCCTGTTTATTATACAGACAGAAAGGAAAATGAACGCCCTAAAGCCCAAAAGGCTGAAGAGGGGAATAAGATGCTAAAGGAACCGCCGCGACCAAAGACTCGTGCCAGGAAGAGAAAGATCGATGGTTCTGTTGCGACAGCTCAAGTGTCAAAGAAGAATGGGGGACCGAAGAGGCAGCGGAAGACGTGATGTGTAGGGAGAAAACGGCTTGAGAGGAATCTGGGTGACTACTGCAGGGGTTGCGTTGGACCCTTGAGTGATTGGATCAATCATCCTGCTGTATTAACACGGATAATTTGACGACAGTTTAAATCAGCAAGATGTTGGCGTGACATCAAACACTTGGTATTATGCTCCGTTGAGCAGTTTGATGGATGGAATGCAGGTCATTCCAGGCGCATCTGGAATAGGTTGGTAGCGTACAGCGGGTTGACGGGCTGACCTCGATCCAATCACAATCTATAATTCCCCTCCTTGAGGTTAATAACATTGATAACAGCAGAGAAGATTCTCATATATTCCCGAAAATCAAATTTAAATTTCGCGACAAGCATCTCAACCACGAGCACAAACGAGCATGATGAATTGATCAACATCCAGGTAACTGTGAAGGAATTCCCTTCAACGTGACAATGCAACTCCTGACTTATGCTAAACCAAGAACAAAATGACAAACGTAGAAATCATATGCAATTTACAGGTCGTCACTGCTCTTCTTTCAAAGATGAGCGGCTGGAAGAACCGGCAGGCTTCGCTGGGCTGGACCAAATAGAACCCAACTTGTCATCGGCCCACCGACGGAGCTTGAGGGTATCAGCAACATGGACCATACGTCAATCCAAGATTTACTTACAGGATCTACTAGCCTGTTTTCCTTTTCACGGTCCATGAAGAAAAGAGCATAAAAAATACTAACTATATTAGATTTAGCTTCAGGATGGTATAGATCTCAAGAGCCGCGAGAGTCGCACATGTGATGGCGGTAAACTGTACAACTTTGACCCCTTTGTTCCACCTTGGGCGGGCCCATTTGAGTTTTGTGCGTCTTTTATATCTCTTTTCCAGCCTGAACTGGTGCTTGTGGCTCAGCTTTGAGAAATCTGGCGGCCATAGCTTCTTGGCTTTGTATGGACTAATGTAGACTGGCTGCGGGGGTTGTGGCACGTTCAGACGACGCAGCTTAGGGAAAAACATAATTGTCAAGAATCAGCAAAGTAGCGAATCAACTATTCATTGTATAAGAAATCAATCATGCAATTGATAGAACATGTCAGATCAATTCATGGAGATTGGCATTCATTCTATCAATCACTTGGTGGTTGGGATGTCGGGGAATCGGGGGTCTGGTGGAGATGATGACTAAGCTGCCGCCGGTGCCCCACGTCAAAAACCCCCAAAGGGAAACATTCAAAAGTCGATTCGAGTCAGAAAGGCGGGACGAGAGCGAAAGTGTGATTTTGTCCTGAGGGGCTCCAGTTGTCCGTTGAATCTCTTTACACTATCCATACCTTAGTTACCACAAATACCAAAGCCACCATGGCGGCAACACAGGCTACTCTGAGTGCCATGGACCCCAGCAAGAGTTCCAAAAACACTATTAAACTTGAAAATGTCAGTATTGCTCATGCCGATCAAACTGCGTCATTTGACTCTTGTCACGCTAACATTTGGGACTTTTTCAATACATGACAGACTGAGAAAAGAGATACCCTTATTGCGATAGAGAAGAAATACCAGCAAAAATGGGCAGAGGACAAGGTCTTCGAGCCCAATGCGCCCTCGACCAAGGAGATCCCTCTCCAGGACATTTCGGCCGCCGACCTTCGTGCCAAATACCCTAAATTCTTTGGCACCATGGCCTACCCATATATGAACGGCACTCTGCATGCCGGACACAGTTTCTCAGTCTCCAAGATTGAGTTTACTGCTGGTGTTGCTCGTATGCAGGGCAAGCGCGCCCTCTTCCCGATGGGTTTCCACTGCACGGGTATGCCCATCAAAGCCTGTGCCGACAAACTTGTCAGAGAAGTCGAGATGTTTGGCAAGGAATTCGAGCGCTGCCCCGAGACGAACATTACGAACAGCCAGCCCGAGGAGACCCCTGCGCCTACAGAGGCTGACACCAAGGAGGACATTACCAAATTCACCGCCAAGAAGGGCAAGGCTGCGGCGAAGGCGGTCAAGCTGAAGTACCAGTTCCAGATCATGCTTGCCCTTGGCATTCCTCTCGCCGAGATCCACAAATTTGCAGACCCGCAACATTGGCTCCAATTCTTCCCTCCGTTGTGCAGACGAGATCTTACCAACTTTGGCGCTCGTATCGACTGGCGCCGATCAATGGTCACCACTGACGCCAACCCTTACTACGATGCCTTTGTGAGATGGCAGATGAACCGTCTCAAGGAGTTGCAGAAGATTCGCTTTGGCAAGCGTTACACTGTCTATTCCCCCAAGGATGGCCAGCCCTGCATGGACCACGACCGAAGTGAAGGTGAAGCCATTGGACCACAGGAGTATACCGCCGTGAAGCTCAAGGTGAAGGAGTGGGCCCCCGAGGCTGCCAAGCTCGTCGAGAGCAAGCTGCCTGCGAACGCTAATGTCTTCTTTGTCCCCGCCACTCTCCGACCCGAGACCATGTACGGCCAGACCTGCTGTTTCGTTGGACCCAAGATCACCTACGGTGTATTCAAGGCCGGTGAGAATGACTACTTTGTCGTCACTGAGCGTGCTGCCCGCAACATGGCCTTCCAGGGTGCGTTCCCCAAGTGGGGCGAGTACGAAAAGGTTGCCGAACTTCCCGGTACCTCTGTCATTGGCACCCTCGTGAATGCTCCCCTTTCCATGCACACTGAGGGTGTCCGCATCCTGCCGATGGAGACGGTCAAGGCCACCAAGGGTACTGGTGTTGTCACTTCAGTCCCATCTGACAGCCCGGATGACTATGCTACCGTCCTCGATCTTGCCAAGAAGGCCGACTTCTACGGGATCAAGAAGGAGTGGGCTGAGCTGGAAATCATCCCGATTCTCGAGACTCCGTCATACGGTAACCTGACTGCGCCTTTCCTCGTGAAGAAGCTCAAGATCAACTCTCCCAAGGATGCCGCTCAGCTCGAGGAGGCCAAGGGTCTTGCCTATAAGGAGGGCTTCTACCAGGGTACCATCCTGGTTGGCAAGTACAAGGGCCAAAAGGTGGAGCACATCAAGGACAATGTCAAGCGTGACCTGATCGATGCAGGCGACGCTTTCGAGTATGCTGAGCCGGCTGGTCTGGTCATCAGCCGATCGGGCGACGAGTGCGTTGTTGCTCACTTGGACCAGTGGTTCCTCAACTACGGTAACGGTGACGAGGAATGGCAAAAGACGACTCTCGGCTGGATTTCCGAGGGTCTCAATACCTTTACTACGGAGACCAAGCACCAGTTTGAGAAGACCATTGACTGGTTGAACCAATGGGCCTGCGCCAGAAGCTATGGTCTTGGCTCTAAGCTTCCTTGGGACCACAGCTTCCTGGTTGAGAGTTTGAGTGACAGCACAATCTACATGTCATACTACACCATTGCTCACCTCCTCCACAAGGACATTTTTGGAAAGGAGCCTGGCCTTGCTGGCGTCAAGGCTGAACAGATGACTGACGAGGTCTGGGACTACATCTTCACCAGAAGAGAGCTCTCCGACGAGGTCGTCAAGAGTGGTATCAGCAAGGACTCTCTTGAGTCTATGCGCCGTGAGTTCCAGTACTGGTATCCCTTGGACCTTCGTGTTTCTGGAAAGGACCTTATCCCTAACCACTTGACCTTCTTCCTCTACATCCACACTGCTCTCTTCCCCAAGGAGTTCTGGCCTCGCGCGGTCCGTGCTAATGGCCACTTGACGCTCAACGGTGAGAAGATGAGCAAGCACACTGGTAACTTTTTGACTCTGGATGACACTGTCAAGAAGTACGGTGCCGACGCCAGCCGTGTTGCGCTCGCTGATGCCGGTGACGGTATTGAGGACGCCAACTTTGAGGAGAGCGTCGCCAACAGCAGCATTCTCCGTCTTTTTACTCTTAAGGAGTGGTGCGAGAAGATCGCCAAGCTGGCCAAGGGTGAGCAGATGCGCGATGAGATTCCTCTCCGCACTGGTCCCAAGGTCTTTTGGGACAAGCTCTTTGAGAATGAGATGTACAGTCTTGCCAACGAGGCTAAGAATCACTACTCGGCGTACGTTCCCAGAAATGCCCCTCTTCTTCTTTTCTTTTTGAGAAATACTGACCATTTATAGCACCAACTACAAGCTTGCTCTCAAGTCTGCCTTCTACGACTTCACCACAGCTCGCGATTTCTACCGTGAGAGTACCACTGCTTCCCGTATCGGCATGCATAAGGACGTTGCTCTGCAGTACATTAAGTTGCAGGCTCTTCTGATGGCCGTCATCACTCCTCACTGGTCCGAATACATCTGGCAAGAGGTTCTCGAGCAGGTAAGTCCCTTTTGACACACAATAACCCGTAACTCTTTATCAGTGTCTTCCTCCTTTCACAATACTATCAAGACTTGCAACTAATGCTCTCACAGCCGGCCACTATCCAAAATGAGCTCTTCCCTGAGCTCCCCGAGGCCGACGTCACTCTGCTCGCCGCACGCGAGTACGTCCGCACCACCACTTCGAACATCACTTCTGCCGAAGCGGCGCAGCAAAAGAAGAAGGACAAGGGCAAGAGCGTGGCCTTTGACCCCAAGAAGGCCAAGAAGCTCACCATCTTCGCCACCACGAAATACCCCTCGTGGCAAGAAAAGTATATTGACCTCGTGCGCGAGGCCTTTGACGGCGTCTCCATCAACGACAAGGAGCTCAACCCCAAGGTCGCCAAGTTTGGCGAAATGAAGAAGGCCATGCCGTTTGTGCAAGGTCTCAAGCGCCGTCTCGCCGGCGGCGAATCAGCCAACATCGTCTTCGATCGCAAACTCCCCTTTGACGAGCTCGACACCCTCAAGGAGATGGCCATCGGTCTTTCCCGCACCACGGGCTGCAAGGCCATTGAAGTCATTGCCGTCGACGAAGGCGGCAAGACCGGCACCGTCATCAAGTCTGTCGATGTCGTAGGCACCGGTGTCGACAGCAAGGGCAAAGAGGAAACCACTACCCAGGTCGACCAGTCTGCCGATCAGAAGCGCACTGAGCTGCCCCAGCCTGCAGAGGGCGCCGTCCCTGGTGTCCCTACCTTTCATTTTGAGAATATCTAAGTCACGTATCCATCCAAGCATATCTAAGTCACGTATCGTCCATTTGAGCACAGCTAAGCTGCATGGATGAAAAGAAGGAGAAGAGAGGTGCAGTGAAGCAGAGATTTAAAAAAAAAAAAAGCATATCTAGATGTGAAGTAGCGATGGACCAAAACAAAAAAAGGGCATAGAAAGCGTGCAATATTTTCCTCATTCTCCCTTTTTACCTTTTACTCTTTTTTTACATTTTGTCGCGATATACTTCTGCCCGACTGGATCTGTAGGGTTAGTCGGGACTGACGCAGTTCATGTGCGATGAAGACGATTTCATTTGATGCACTTTTATTGTTTCCCCCCCTCGTGTGTTTTGTCCAAAAAAGATGATAGATTCTTTCGTCATGGTATTTATTAGAATAAACTTATTCATTGATGACCTCTTTATCCTTCAGCCTACAATGTTCTAGCTGATATATGCATCTGCGACTGCCGCAGACACGCCATATACAGTTCAAATTCTCGGACAGATGTTAAGTGGAAATTGGGAAGTGATTTGTAAAAAATATCAAACCATGCAAGACATGAGGTATATACCGCAAAAGAAGACGGAGGAAAAGACAGTAAACTCCACTTGACGCCCATGAAATGCAGTGGAATACGACAGAGACTGATCAACTGAACGGCACACCGAGTGTAACAGCTACAAGTTATCGTCCCGCCCAGACCAGATCCCCCGCGCGTCCAAAACTGCCCAGGCCGAGCCCGCCTCCGGATCTCGACTCATTGACCGGCCGTTTCGCGACGCGGCCTTGGCTCTTGACGCCCTCGACGACCTTATCGAGCGCTGTCTCGACGACCACGCCGCCGACAATCATCTCGGCGAGCACGGCGTGCAGCGTTTCGAAATTGAAGATGAGATCCAACTCGCACACGTTTTCGAAGAGTCGGTCCAGCGCCTCGACAAAGACTTGGATCAGGTCGAGTAAAGCCAGCGGAGACTCGGTCGACGTCGAGATGATGATGAAGTACAGCGTGGCGTAGTGCCGGTAGGTGATGAGCGAGGGGGTGTCGTTGTGCGGTTCGGACGGCGTGGTGGGTTTTGAAGAACTCGCGAGCAGGGGAGGCAGGCTGTTGTGTTGTTGAAGGCAGGTTAGTGTGGTTTGGGGTTTGTGGTTTGTGGTATTTGGTTTTGGTTTTGAGTGCAATAAGGTTATGAGCAAGAGGGATGAAGGCAGGAGGGAAGAGGACAAGGAGAGGGTACGTACGGAAGAAAATTACAAGCCGAGTCAGGGCGGTGAGAGACGAGCGTGAAGATTTCGGAGATGAGGCGTTGTTGTACGCTCGTGTCCTGTCAATTGGAATCATACAAGGTTAGTTGGTTGGCTTGTATGATTGTGAGTATGGAGGGGGTAGTGAGGCTGTAGGAGCAAGGGCAGGAGGAGCAGGAAGAGCGGAGGTTGAGTAGAAAGGGAAGAGAGAAGAGACATACGAGCTGGGAATAGAATTTGGTCAACCGGGGTTGACCGGAGTTGTTAAAGACCAGAACAGCGTTGATCATGGCTGTATATGTGAGGCCCAAGCGTGGTGTTGATATTATCACAGTATCGTCTGTATATCGAGATGGTTTGGATAGACCTGAGACACTAGGACGGATAGGTATAGGTAGTACAATATGTTACAGAGGCAGTGGATTCTAGGTATAAAGGTACACAGATGCAGGGCCGTCGATCAATGGTAACTTGGAGCAGAAAAACGTTGTCGGACACAATCAGGCGGTGTGATGGTCAAAGAGCGGGGGAGAGCGGGAATAGAGTTACGTTACGGAGTTAGAAAAGCACGAGGACGAATAGACTTCCGACGGCAGGGACGAGGCACTCCGGAACGACAGCGAATCGTAGCAATCCCGAAGATAAGCAGATGGCTTGTGACTGCGGGGACTGTACGCGTACACTTTAATTCTCCTGCTGTCTGAATAACTACCGTAGGTAATTAACTAGGTAGGTAATTATTTAATTCTCATGAATCTTATGAATGGTATGATGGTATAGAGAGATCTTACGTATGACTGTTGCTGGTGGGATGATACAATATTCCGATCCTGTCGGGGTCCGATGAGATGATTCGATACTTGTAACTACACACAGATTGTATTGGGGACCAAGTACAGAAATACAGTTTAACCGTAAATCATAGCTGGTGCAGGGTGGTCCGAGCTCCTCTGTTGAGCTGATTGATTCTCCCTCGTTGGATTCAACTGACCTGCCAACAACTCTCTTCTCTCATTAATTCTCTCTTCTGTGCGTAAAGCATCCTTTCCAATCCAAAGCGTTATTCTGCTGCTTGAAGCTGACCAATTGCCCAAACAGCCCTGTTAAAAATACTCCATCTGCTCAGAGCGTACTTCGTCCTTCGTCATGTTTTCTCGCTCCCTTGCCAATGCTGCCAACCAAGCTCTTCGGAGCTCCGGCATGAGGTCCATCCCACGGTCCACGAGCAGATATGTCTCTGCTGCGTCTCTCAGGACAGCTGGTCCCCGTCTGACTGCTCCCGCGGGCATCCGTGCTCTCCACATGACCGGGCCCTCGACGAAAGGGCTCTCGCCCGAGACGGCGGAGCCCCAGCCCAAGGACAATGTCTTTGCCACGCATGTTGCCGCACCAGCGGACATTTCGCTTGAAGAGTACCACGAGCGGTCTGAGGAGTTTCTGGACTCGTTGCTCCTGAAGCTCGAAGAGTTGGCCGAGCAGAGAGAGGACGTGGATGTCGAGTACAGCGTAAGCCTGCCAGTGTAGCTGATTGCATAAGGATCTAATTTATTTTTACGAGCTCTTTTTCCAAAGCGGTATACTTTTGTCACTGACGTATGCTAATATATAATAGGCTGGCGTCTTGACCCTGGCGTTCCCTCCCAATGGCACCTACGTCCTGAACAAGCAACCCCCGAATAAGCAAATCTGGCTGAGCTCGCCCATCTCCGGCCCCAAACGGTACGACTGGGTGATCCAGGGCGAGTCCATGCACGAAAAGGAAGGCTGCGGTGTTGGGGAATGGATCTACCTCCGTGACGGAAGTACCCTGTCCGACTTGCTCAAGAAGGAGCTCGGCGTGTACATCACCGCTACGGATCCGTCTGCTGCCTGAGCGCGGAGCATCAGTCATAACAACTACAGTTATATTGCCGGAGTTGACACGTCCACTGAGTTGACGTCTGGAGTTGAGGCGGGCATATTGACTTTCAATCCTTGTATCCCATTTCTGATTATTCACACTGAGGATGTGGTACCTCTGTTTATGAGCGAGCATCTAGTCTCTGCAGTCACAAATATAGTGTCATTCTGTCTATGCAAATTCTTGTGATATTGACTGTCATGTCCTCCAGCCTTATCGATCCATCAGACCACGCCATTCAGCCTCGATGGTGCTATCTTCAACGCTTTCTTGCAATCCAGTATCTTGTCTTGCTACAAGATCTAGTGCCGGGCGCGAGCATTCTCATGCTACCCTTTACCCTTGCAATGACCTGACGAGACAATGGCACTAAGTCTTGAAAAATTATATCCAAGACTATCATCCACCAACGACCCAGCCATAGGACAGTAACATCCGTGAATGATCCTACAACCAGACACTCTCATATTCTCATGAGAAGTCGAAGATTGGACCTTGGTCCTACATCGGTTTAAGATCCAATTCCAATCCCATGCCTGTGACGTTTGTAATGTCCGTCGTAGTCCCTTAGTCCCAAGGTCGTGTACTTGCGTCTCTGTCGGATCTATATCATGATCGTAGGTCAAGATACATCTGTCTGCTATCCATTGCCCCATGTCGCTGTCCGCTATCGCTTTCCGCTTGCTGTCTGCTATTTGCCGTTGCCGTTTTCCGTTGGCCGCTTGTCGCTACGCTCACGCAGTCACCGCAACAGCACCAGGCGCTTGATCCTCTGGCGGCGGCGGCAAATCGTCCTATATCTTATTAGCATCTTGTCCCTTCTTGTCCTTTCTTTTCCTTTCTTTTCCTCTCTCCCTTTGGCTCTTTTTCTTGTTTAACAACAGCTTTGAAAAGGCGGAGAGGTTACGTGGAGAGGAATGGAGGGGCGGAAAGTAGGCATCTCGGAGGACTCACCACTTCAAAAATGACTTTAATCATCAGACTGCAGCTGGGACACACCGCGACGTCCTCGCCATCGCGCAGGTCGTCAATCGCAATCTCGAACCGGTCCCCGCACGGGCACGGGTAGTGGTAGATTTGCAGCGCCGGGTCGAATGTCATGTCCTCGATTTCGATTTCGTCGTACATTGACATTTTGTCGGTATTTTGTTGTCGCTTCTTCCAATTTTTTTCAATGTTTCTTCCAGCGTTATTCGGTGTTTCTTTTCTTGCTAATTTTCTTTCAATGCCCTTTTATTGAAAACGAGAACAAAATGCGTGTAGGCGGCGGGCGAAATTCGTGGTCGTGGAAAAGAGTATTGAAAAAGAAGAGTCAGTTTGGAGAGTGGCGATTTGAAGCGGCCTGGTGGGAAAGTGTTATTATTTTTTGGACCAAGGACCCTCGGGCGGTGATTCCCGAGCGAGAGCGCGGGAGATGCGGTACGTCGGGGAAAGAAAATTCCAGGTCACGTGCGCGTGGGACGAGGGAAAGAAAGGTACGGCAATTTGTCTCACCGCTTCACCGCCTTCGCTTGACCAATGGACGCTTTGGACTGGAGCCGGTGAGATTGAAGAAGGAAGCAGAGCAAAATGTTTTGCTACCATAAACTAGGTCCTTGCTGATGAGTATGAGATAATGAGACGTGCGGAGAAGAGAGTGTGGATATTGGACTGTTAGGGAGGTATAGATAAAGTTGCAACAATGGTATTGCAAGAAACACACACACACACACACACACACACACACACACACACGTACATATAGATATATACAAATATATATATAGAAAGGATAACGTGAAATAAGCTTCGACAAATGTATTCAGTCTACTATACCTCATACAATATAATTCCTTTTTTATAGATCCTACACCTTATCTACTCATCTCCAAACACCTCGTCTCCAACCAAATCCTCATCGACGAGACTCCCGAGATCCTCATCTTCGAGGAACTTCCTCCCCCAAAGCTTTTCCGGCAAATACTCCTGCTTGACCCTGCCATCCTTGTAATGGGGATTATACTTATACTCCTTGCCATACCCGAGTTCTTTCATAAGTTTTGTCGGTGCGTTTCTGATATGAAACGGGATCGGGAGTCCGGCGACACCCGGTTCGTTTCCGACCGCGGCCATGGCATTGTTGAGTCCTCTATAAGAGCGAGTGCTCTTCTTGGCGAGTGACAAAGCGACAGTGGCATGCGCCAAGTGGATACGCGCTTCAGGCATGCCGATTTTCTCAACGGCATTGAAAGCGGCCATGCACAGTGGCAAGAGGGAATTGTCAGCGAGGCCGACGTCCTCGGATGCAACGACGACGAGGCGGCGCGCGATGAAGAGCGGGTCTTCCCCGGATTGGATCATGCGGGCGAGATAGTACAGGGCGGCGTCCGGGTCGGAGCCGCGGATGGATTTGTGGAGTGCGCTGATGGTGTCGTAGTGTTGGTCGCCGGCGCGGTCGTAGACGAGGGTTTTGGTCAAGGAGGATTTGAGTTGCGTGGGTGTAATGTGTGGACAGCGAGATATGAGGGAGAGGGAGAGCTCGAGAAGGTTGAGTGCGGTGCGGGCGTCGCCGTCGGAGAAGGAGGCGAGGTAGGAGAGGAAAGGCGGGGAGAGGAGCTCGGAAATGTGAGAGGTGGATGTAGATGTAGATGTAGATGCAGATGCAGATGTGGAGAGGTTAGGGGTATGATGAGCGGCGGAGGAAGAGGAGGATGGAGGGGGAGAGGGAGGAGAGGAAGACGATTCTGATTGTTGTGGTGGTGGAAGAGTGGAATTGGAATCATCATGAAGAGGAAAGGGTAGAAGATGAGGAGGAAGATAATTGTGTCCCTCGCGCTGCAATGCGCGTTGGAGGATTTCAGTGATGGTTTCGTCGTCGAGTTTCTGCAGAGTAAATGTTCGACAGCGCGAAAGCAGTGCCGGCACGACTTTGAATGACGGATTCTCTGTCGTGGCTCCAATGAGCGTCACTTGTCCCGACTCTACCGGTCCGAGGAACACGTCCTGCTGGGATTTAGAAAATCGGTGGATTTCATCGCAAAAGATAATTGTCCGGCGGCCGGTCAAGCCTAGTTCACTCCGAGCTTCACCGAACAATTTCTTGCATTCTGCTACCCCTGTGCTGGTGCTGTTGATTTCGACAAATCTGCGGCCGCACACGTGCGCAATTACGCGCGCAATGGTGGTCTTGCCCGTACCTGCTCCGCCCCAAAGGATCATGGAAGGAACTCTGTCTTGTTCGATAAGCCCCCGAAGTACCCCTGATGGCCCGACCAGCTCTTGTCCGCATACTTCATCGAGTGTACGTGGGCGCATGCGCTCAGCGAGAGGGGCAGCTTTTTGGAAAGCATTGGTGACTTTTTGACGCTTGGCAGCCGATGGTGATTCACTGTGTGCGGGTGTGGTGCTTGCAGGCGTAGATTCGGGTTCAAGAGGACGTTTGTTATTGTTGCTGTCGCCGTTGCTGTTGATATTTGGAGCAGATGTCTTCGTGCCGTTGGTCAAGGCCGTTGGTTGCGGAATTGGAGGTGAGGCAGTATTGGAAGCGCCCAATTTTATCCCACTGCCTGTCAAAGTACCGTTACGGGGTGCAGCATTTGTTCCTCCTGACAATAAAGAGGCTGCTCTAGTTGAGAAAGAGGATGGAACTGGTCTAACGCTCGGAATTGATTCCGACTGCGCATTGGCATTTGCAGCAGCAGCTGCGCGTTTCACCGACGACGGCTGGAAAAATGCTGCAACATTGCTATTGCTTGACCCTGGCTTTTGTGGTGTTTGAGTAGAGGATGCTGCTGGCCCGTTGTCTTCGGCCGATGGCTCTAATGGTGGCGACGATGTTTGGACATGCGATTCGCATCCAGAGTCAATATGACTATTAATGTCCCATTCTTTGACGGGCTTGCTGCATATTGGGCATTCAACCATCTTCAATGTGGGCAAATCCGTCTGTCAGCCGTGCAGGCACGGTTGGCATGACGAAATAGAGGTTTGCGAGTTGCAATGAATGACGCTGAGGCGATGGTTACTAGAACTGTTGACGAGAGCGGCGAAATGGATAAGCGGTGAGACGCGTTGTTCCCGCGCGGTCGCGCTACAATTTCCCTCTTGGGGTTTAATTAAGCGGAACAGTTCGCCTCACGTTTCCCCAGCTATAACTCCACTAGCTTTCACCTGGGGATTGCTTGCGAAGTGACGCTAAGTGGGACGTCTCAACATACCCGTTGCCCGGCTCCAAGTTGATTCAGTCGCTGGGATTTCAACACTGTCCTGAATCGTTTTCTCAGGTTGACGACTACACCTGGAACTACCAGTTCCCACGGACTTCAGAACAGGCATTATCCTGCTCTGCTGTTGTTGGTAATGTCGTGCTCGCTCTAGTTGATTCAAGGGGCGAATCAGGAAACGAAGAACGGCTCGGTATATGGCACGGACAATGACTCACTACATGCACGCCATCTCTTTGCGCAGATTGGTAATTTTCCATGCGTTGCTGATTGAAGATTGGTAATTTGCCATGCGTTGCTGATTGAAAGGGACGATCAGTTAGACTTCTCAAAATGAGTCATTCGCCATTGGGGTATTATGCTTCAGGTAATAGTTCAATTAAAAAAAATTAGGACAGAAAACCACTCCTGGAGATTTGATGCTGCCTGCAATTGATCTGAGAAGGACCCTCATTGCTTCAGACGCAAGGCCGCGGTATTGGGAAGAGTCGGCAACAACATAGCAATTGAGGCGAGAGTAATAAATCTCACGTCCCCTTCAGACAATGCCCTTGGACAGTGAGCAATCGGGGACTGAAACAACAGGAGCCACAAAGCTACAATCTTCTCTCAACACGAGTTCTGCCTTGAATGAGCCCCAAAATCAAGAGCCCAAATCTGCAATTGGTAGACAAGGCCACTTAAAGAACGAATCGACAGTCTTCGCAGAAAATGACGAGGATCTCGAAAATGGGAACAAATTGGGAAACAATGAAAAGGACAATGCTTTGACCTCTCATGGTCAACAAGAAAAAGAAGAAGGAGAGGACGATTCCAACAATATAGTCGATTTCTCGGAAAATGATCCTGGAGATCCACGGAATTGGCCCAAGTCACGAAAATGGACAACCACCATGATTGTCTCTGGTTCCGTGTTTTTGATGCCGCTCTCTTCATCGATTGTGGCTCCATCGTTACAAACAATCTCACATCAAATGCACATGCACTCTGACGTGGAAGCACAGCTTGTTCTCTCAGCATTTGTTCTGACATACTGCATTGGACCTCTTCTTTTGGGTCCACTTTGCGAGTTATTCGGGCGGATTGTTGTTTTGCAATCCGGCAACACATTTTACCTCATCTTCAACCTTTGCTGCGGCTTTGCGCGGAACAAGGGGGAACTGCTTGCATTCCGTCTTTTGGCTGGAATAGGAGGAAGCGCGGGGCTAGTTGTATGTTCGATCGTCCTCCTTCCTTTCGTCTCCATCAGCGCTTGATGCATTAGCATCTTCCCTATCCTTTTTCTTTCCTCAAAACTTCACGCGTCAAGGCATCTAATTTAGACCACTAGGTCGGCTCAGGAATAATATCCGACTGTTTCAATCCTGACGAACGTGGCTGGGCTATTGCCATTTACAACATCGGACCCCTCATTGGACCCTCGTTGGGTGCAGTTGTAGGAGGATTCGTCACACAGTACTCTACCTGGCGCTGGTCCTTTTGGGCCACGTCCATATTCGACGCGTTGCTGATCATCCTTGGCGCGATCTTCGTCCGTGACGAAACATACCGGCCGAAGATCCTTGAGCGGCGGAAGAAGGAGCTCATAAAGCAAACCGGTAACAGGTTGCTTCAGACCCCCTACGATATCGAGAACGCCGCCCAGCACAAGTCGATTGGCCAGCTGTACCGCCGCTCGCTCCTGCGTCCCATCCGCCTGTTTACAACTCAGCCCATTGTCCAAGTCCTTTCCCTATATTATGCCTACCTTTATGGACTCATGTATCTTGTTTTATCGACCTTCCCCAATCTATGGCGCGATAGATATGCCGAAAGCACAAGCATTGGCAGTTTGAACTACTTTGCTCTTGGCACCGGATATTTTATCGGCTCACAGATTTGTGGGCTGTGCGCGGATCGAATATATCGCTTCTTAAAGAAGCGCAGCGAGGCCAACCCCCCGAAAGCAAAACCAGAATACCGTCTTCCTCTGATGTTACCCGCCTCACTGCTTATTCCCTGCGGCATATTCATGTACGGCTGGTCCGCACAGGCACACACTTCGTGGATCGTGCCTGACATTGGCATCGGACTATTTGCCTGTGGCGCCATGATTGGGTTTCAGTGCACGAGCGCATACTTGATTGATGCATACACACTGTATGCCGCGAGCGCGACGGGAGCCGTATATTTGCTTCGAGGCTTCACAGGGTTTGGTTTCCCATTGTTTGGTCCATATTTGTACCAATCCCTGGATTATGGATGGGGAAATAGTGTGCTGGCGTTTATTGCCCTGGGCGTGGGTGTCCCTGCGCCCATTATGCTCTGGTTCTGGGGTGAGCGCCTGCGGAGAGCGAGCGGATATGCAGCGGGGGGAGAATGAGCGGGGTAGTCTGGATGCTGTTTACTTGATACTATTGATCCCCTGTCACCATCTATGCTTTTCTTCCTGCTCGTGCTTGCATTACTGAGAACTGCAAATATTATGATACGCCTCTTCAGCTTTCTGACGCAATGAATTGGGGTCTTCAGCAGCCTAGTTCTCATAAAGGCAAACATCAAACAAGAACGTGCACAGAACCGGAGTTCTGCGATGCAAAGTGACGTGTCCCCTTGGGTTTCCTTGTTGTGTCGTTGCAGCCTTGCCGCCTCGCAGCCTCGCAGCCTTGCGCTGTACATTATACACAGAGATACAGTGCAAAGGTCATCAAAAGGCCGACAGCCTTGCGCGGCAAAAGATGCTGAAGTTTCCTTGTTTGTCCAATCTCATAAAAATGCATGGCTGCCTGATAGCATTACGGGACTGCGGCAGCGGCCACAATTCAAAGCCATGCGATCTTGTTAAATCGCAACGATAGATGCGCTCTAAATAGCGATCTTTCCCGCGCCATTTCTTGTTACTTTCTGCTTCCTGGAATGAAGCTGAGCATATAATTTGCGAAATTTCAAGTGTAAGAAGAAAATGTATGTCAATCGACAAAGCAATCGTGGCTCAAGCTCTACACCAGGGCGAGGAGCGGGACGAGGCTATTTTGCAAGAGGCAGATCCAACTTCAGAGGAAGACCGGTTGAAGTACCACGCGCTGCTTCACCGCCTCTGGGCGAGATCCTGGAAAGAGTCCAGACCCATGAAACCGATCTCATTGAATTCAGTGACAGTGAAGATGAAAATGACAACAAAGAGCAGGAACATTCTGCTTCTCTCAAGATTGTGAACTGCAAAGACGTTGCAACGTTTAACTGGATGAATAAAGCGACCCCCACTATTTTAGTCCCTGGTAAGTCATTAATTCGCTTGAACACTTCAGTTATATTTCCCACTACACGGCACTTCTCATACTGTAACAGCTATAAGAACAATGAAAACGAAATATGCTAATTACATACGATACTATAATAACCAATAGGTAAACCACCAGCCTGGACACCTCTACACTCACCTAGACGACTGCCCGAAGACGGCGGGGCCTACTTCCGCGACAAGAACGCGGCCCAGTATCCCTCGCGACCAATCGAACCAGCCGTGCAAGCACTTCTGACACTGAACCCAAACTTTCCCACGTCATCCATTGACATATTCGCGTGCAATAGCACATTGGGCAACCTCCTACGGCATGTCTTCAACCGGGTCGAACGGCCCTTTCGCTTCCTTGTCGAGGCGGTTGGCAATACCGTCTTTTTCGTCCGGCGAGAAAATTCCCCGACACAACTGATCGATGCGGTGCGCGGGTTTGGACATACTTTTCCCGAGGCATATACCACTTGGGAGTCAGATGTCAGGGGATCAGACACCCATCAGCGTATCGTGCAGTATGAGTTTGGTGGGCTCAACTTCCTGGTCCGGTTTGCCGCCGATGGGTATTATAAAGATTTGGTGCCGAATGATACCACGCCTGGAAGCAAGCTTTCCGACAGTCCTAAGCCGACGGACGAAAGTAGTATCGATGATACGCTGGCATTGGCTTTGGGTGAGAGTACGATAGCATCGCGTCTGTCGACTTCTATTACATTATCATCATCGTCTTCCTCGCCGTCGTTGTCGTTGTCGTCGTCTTCCTCGCCGTCATCAACATCATCACCCCAAGTACAAAAAGAACAAAAATTGACGATCCTTCAAGACGGCTCACAATTAATCCCACGAGCCGCCGTCTTCGACATCAAAACCCGCTCAGTGCGCAAGAAAGACACTGGCATTCTGGCAGGCGAGCTGCCCCGGCTGTGGGCGGCGCAGAATCCAAATTTCGTTTTAGCATACCATCAATCCGGCCTCTTTGAAGACATTGAAGAGACTGACATCCGTGACGACATTCAGCGGTGGGAGCGCAGGAACGAAGACGCGCTTCGTACATACGCGGACCTCCTGAAGAAGATTATTACTTTTGCACGGGCCCGGAAAGACGGCAAGTTTGAAGTTGTCTGTAGCGCAGTTGACGGTCTTGTGTTCCGCGAGCAGGGCGGCGACGACGTGAGTAGTACGCTTTCATCAGCGGTTCAGGACCGATGGCTGGGGAAAAAGCACCCAGTAAAGGAATGATATATTTACGTTGTTTACTTTGATGTCTCACCATCTCACCCGGAGGCGGGAGGGGGGAAGGCCGCGGAGGAATTTCGAATTTCGAGTTGAAAATCCAATTCTTTATCATAATATAGCTTGGCTGTGAGAGCAGCCAAGTAGCGACCTGGTTTAGCATGGTAGTAGTTGTCAATTTACATTCTAGCTTTTGGAATATTGTATTCCAAGTGGAGAACCTCAGATGCATCTTCTGTTACAATAGTGGTAGATGGAATAAAACATAATCATGGAAATTGAAGCTCGGAATATTTAAATCTAGCCACCATAGCAAATACACACATGGTTCACAGTAATGGTGGTAAAATCCATAACACGATAAGACAAAGGGAATGGTACGCCATCACCACAAGAGCCACCATAACATCTTCTTGGTATCAAATCTAGAAAAAAGAAAAAGAGAAAAAGAAAAAAAGAACAGCCATATAAATTCTTGATGCTAATGTAGTCATCTCTCGGGAACCCTCATTGCAATCTTTACGCCTTCGAGGCCAGAGGCCGGAGGATCTCGTCTCGTACCCATGGCCAATAGACATCGGTAGCATATCTGTTGACTCGGCGGTGCAGGTCACGGAGCTTGATTATGCCGTAAATTGACCTGCTGTTCGCCGAGAGTGCATCGATGGGGCCCAGGACACGCTAAAAGATATATCAAAAATTAACATTTCCCCATCAAGTGACACTGTCCAGTTCACTTACCACGACATTTTCTGCCTTGTAACAGAGATACGTGAGCCAGTCATGGCCCACGACGACGTGGCCTACGGTTGGCAAGAGCCAACCAGGCTGATCGGCATTTTCGCCTTGAGCCAGAATTCCAAGCTTCCGGTTCATCTCGAGGCTGGCAGCTAGCCATTTGGCTAGCTGCGCTAGTGCCTCATACTTGCGCCCGTCCGCCGCCTTGACCTCAATTCCGGAGAACAGTGTCACTCTCTTGCTGAAAGCATCGGTGGTGTGGCTGATTTGCATGCCACGACCACCGATGCTCAGCTTTTGATACAGGCCCGAGACTTCCGGGTCTCGAGGGGAGAAAAAGAAAGCGTAGTCGGTCTTTTTGTTAATATGTTTCACGCCATCTCTTGTGACTGGAAGGAGCGACTGATCAATCTGCTGGGATTGCCTGTCGAAATACCATTCAGTGATGACTGCATTTCATAAAATGGTGGGATTGATTCTTACACGCTGATTAAATTTAATTTGCTGTTTTCATGCTTGTCAGAAGATAATATTGGTTGCACAACATCCAGACACCAAGCATTCTCGTCTTTTGCATATGATTCACAATCGATTGCATCAAGGCGCACCCTTTCAAGCTCGCTCCATAAGGTGTTAATAGTATGATCAGACATTTCGCTCGAATCAAAATAGGCAGATTCGGGAATTATTTCGGTCAGAATTGATTGAGGATCGTGAAGCTTTGTCTTCAAAAAAAAAAAATAGTCAGTTCGATTGGTAGCAACAGATTGCAAAGTGTGCTTTAACCAATCTACCTTTAGACCATACGGAATAACATATAACCCAAATCCATCTTGCAGATGCTTCAACAATGATTTGACAGCGTCAGGCAAAGGCATCGTCGGCATAGTTTCGAAGACAATTGACGGATTTGCAAGACGCAGTTCGTAAACAATATCTCTAGACGAGCTTCCCTGACGTGATGAAGTACTGGTGCGCTCAAAAGTTTCAGAGGCGGTCTCGAGAGGGGCAGACTGATCAGAAGGCTCAATGCCAGTTCGGCGCCGTTTGGCGGAACGTGTTCCTTGTGATGGAGAGGACATGGCCGACATGCTGCGACGCAGACAAACTTCTGGGGGACTCGTTGGAGGAGAGGATGGTCCGACTGGTGATCCAGATGTCTCTGACACAGAAGCGCCAGATATTCGCTCTAGCCAAGTCTCAATATTCATCCGGTTTCGTTCTTGACAGCGTGAGGATAGTGGAAAGTGGGAAAGGGAGAGAAGATGGAGTGACGGCGAGAGGAGAATGGAAGAATCAATAGTTGTGATAACGCCTTGACAGAACAAGGAAAGCCGGACAAATTTAATTGCAAATTGAAAGTATGGAGGAGGAGCGAAGCGTCAGAATGGATCAAAAAGATGTGTGTGATCTCACTAGCGAGCTCTTGCCTTTCAAGAACATCGACAATGACGGGGAATGAGTGTAGTCAAAGAGTGTGTCCCTGCAGACGAGAATATTACGATGCTGCAGCATAAACAATCCGTACCTGAGTTTGTCTTATGGGGAACTTTCTTCCCCAAGAAGAGCTAAGTCAGTAATAGTTAATCACTAACTTTAGTTTGGCCGACGGACCGGAGACCTAGCCGAGCCCCATGGGGCCGGGGCCCTTTGGTTAAACCTTATAATGCTATAAGCTAAAGTATAACTAGAGTACTGTGGGGGCAAGGGGAATAGGGAGGTAGTTTATAGCAAGCTGGCAGTAGCTTATGGTTATAGCTTATGGGTAGTAGATTAGAGACTTTTGCTTATTTGTTCTTTTGACCATTAACTAGCCAAGCTACTATATATATAATAAGCATATCTTCTTTTAAAAAACTTAAAGAATAATTATAGTTAGGTAACATGAACAAGTTCTAATCAAGACTATAATATCAAAACAATCATGACTATGTTATAATACCTTTAATCTTTAAGTATAGTTATCTCTATTAATTTAATACTAAGAACTCTAAACATCTAGAAAAGAAATAATTTCTTAGCAGAGGTTAGAGATTATTGTTGTATCAAAACACAAAATTCTATATAAGCAATTAATTAAGAAACACAGAATTAACATTAAGAGGATATATAATACTATTATAATTCTAAACCTGATAAAATACTTTTGTTTTTTACTATATAATATTAGCTATTCAATGGTCTATTTAGAACAAATTTTACTCATGTAGTCATGGATTAATTTACAATTAAACATTGCAGACAGTTAGAATCCTTAATCAGAGATTCAGTACTCATTTATGACCTAGTACTGTATTTCGTTTTCTCCACACGATAAGAAAAGCGATACGCTCAACGGCATCAATGAGGTGACTTACATACGAGTATACCGACTTCCATCCCGGGCACTTCCCTGTCCAATCTTGTCGCTATGTCTCGAGATATATATATATATATATACGTTCAAGAAAATTGCCAGGCATATTTGTCATAAACTCTTTTATTTACTGTGCCACACATGGTACATTCACTTCTGACATGGCGTCATTGTTCACCCGCAATTACCAATCAACTGATTACTAACTAATTGTTTACCTTCTATGTCTCCACTATCTTTTCACCGCATGACTTGTGCTGGTCCTTGTACGTATAATTTATACGAAACAGCGGGGAAACCTGCCTTACCTATTAATAATAGACAAACCTTCAGGTCCTTCAGAGACAAATATAAAAGGACGAGTGCCAATGCATTGACCATTTCATCATACGCTCACTGAGACTCAAGTCCAAGCCCTAGCCATTGAACAAAGTCGTGCTTGAGACAATCATTGACCTAAGACCCAAACAAATAAAATAAAAAGAAAAGGAAAGACAATACCAAAAAACATCATGACCAAAGTCGCCATTTTCCCTGCATCCGGCAAACTCGGAACAAGCATCTACACGTATCTCCTCACAAAAATTGACCCAAAGGATCTCATCCTCATCTCGCGCAATCCGGACAAGACCCCAAAGAAATATGTCGATGCGGGCGTGACGCTGCGTCGGGCAGATTACGATTTCGCAGAGTCGTTGGAACGTGCATTCGATCATGTTGATTGCCTCGTGCTCATTTCTTATCCCACCCTCGAAGACGAAATTCGCTTTACGGTACGCTTATGCTCTATCTCTCCTTTACACTGTTTTTCTTTTCCTTTTTCATTTCTTTCTTTCTTCCCTTTTTTGGTTTATTTCGATGCTGCGTTCCTACATTACTATATTAAAGCCTTTTCTACTACCATTTTATTCCATTACCACCTTATGTTCTTTTGCTTCTTTTGCAACAATATCTACATTTTAGTCCATTACTCCTTTACCATTTTGACGCTTTAGCCAACCAAACCCCCCTCCCTTCTCAATCCTTCTCAAACCTTAAAAAATAACAAAATAAAATCACTGACACAATCAGATCCAAAAACGGACCATCGACGCCGCACGCCGCAGCTCCGTGTCTCATATCTTCTACACCTCCCTCGCCTTTGGCGGGGACTGCACTTCCCATACCGCCGCGCATGTGATGCGAGCCCATCTCAAGACCGAAAACTATCTCCACAGTCTTGCCTCAGATGACACCAGTCCAAAATTCACGTATACCTCTATCCGCGAAGGTCTCTACGCCGAGTCGTGGCCAATGTATACCGGCTTCTTCAACATCAAAGGTACGTCCTCGTCCGAGCCTGGTTCTCATCGCTCCTCATCTCATCCTTTAGACGAGTCTCATCCTTCGGACGAAATACGTATCCCGCACGACGGGTCCGGGCCCGGAATCGCATGGGCGAAACTCGACGAACTGGGCGAAGCCAGCGCGGAGTTGGTCAGGGAGTATCTTACGACAGGGCGGTCGAATACACCGTTCCGGTATACCAACAAAGTGATGCTGCTGAGCGGACCGAGGGCATACAGTCTGAATGAAACCGCAGAGATACTAGGAAAAATAAAAGCCGGGGGAGTGAAACAACAAGTGCGAGTAAAAGAAATCAGTGTAGACGAGTATGCTGCGACGGAGATCGTGCGGGAGGAAGTCGGCTCGCATGCGCCGAAGGGGCGGGAAGCGGGGGAGCCGGCGCGCAAGTGGGCGACGGTGTTTGAAGCGATACGGAAGGGCGAAACGGAGGTGACGGCGGCGGAGGAGTTGGAGAGGCTGCTGGGACGCAAGCCGACGGGTTTTGAGGATGTTGTGAGAGAATCTTTGGTTTGAGCGGGGAATTATATAACAGTCAGTGACTCAGTGGATTAGGGTTAATCCCAACGAGCGCACTGCGGTTCTGGTATTAAATACTCCATACTGGCATTCAATAAATCTGGGACATGACACTACCGTATCAATTTAAACAGTGATGATAATTTTAAATAATGATGATAAGGGAATGTACTGTATCGTCATTTCGTTATTATACATTAACTTGACTTGGGCATTCAAAGGAGTACCATTTCCCGGGACCGTAGCTTTTCGTACATTTATATTTAAAATTTACGACGCCGGGAGCTTCCAGTGGAAGTGGGCAGAGGCACAAATGGCTCCGTGTGCGTGGCATTGGCTGTGCCCGAAGACGAGTAGTTGCCATACAAGGGCACATCGCCAGACGCAATGTCGAGGTTGAGGATGACACGCTTGAAGAATTCCAGACTGCCGATAGGCTGGTAGTAGGGGACTTCGTGGCCGGCTTCGTAGACTCGAAGGAACGAAAAGTTGCCGTATTGGCGGACTTCACCGTATTCGGTGTCATCGACGGTAAACGGCTCGTAGCCCGCGGCACGGAACTCTTCGGCATGCGTATAGTTGACGGCGAGCGAGACGGCCTGGCCACCGAACCAGTTGCAAATGTAATCGGCGTCACCATAGTAGAGAGCGACCCGCAAACCTTGCTGAAGAAGGTATTCGAGGTCCTCAATGAAGTTGGGGTACACAAAGTCACCCGTCTGCTGGAATGCAAAGTAAATCTCGTCATTGGACTCGGTGTAGTTGAGATTGACGCCGATCGCGTCCTGAACATGCGGCAGGTTCAGGTAATCGGCAAAATACGTGGGCGGCGTAGGGTCATTAATGGGATGACGGATATCGTATACACCGCGAGGACTCTCGCCATTGTATCCGACGTAGTAGTAAGGGCCCTCGACATTGTCACGGCACATGTTCTCGGCCTCGGTGCAGATGGCGAGGTCGCTGAGAGAAGTGCGATTGGTTTGCCGGCAGAAGGAGAGCTGGTCGAGACAGCCGTTGGGCATGTTGAGAGCAAACTTGACGAACTCGTAGACAGTGTCATTATACGCCTTGATTCCATAGGTGTTATTGACAGCAAACTCGGGGTAATGAGGAGCTTGAGTTGCTTCATCAATGATACCGTTGCCAACCTGCCTGGAACGTCAGTACATTGTCAATTGAAAATGTTATTAAGAAGCAGATACTTACGCCTAGACTGTGAAAGTCGAGATGCACACCCTGCGCAGAGCCATTGGCAATCTTCAAGTTCTGCTCGTAGAAATAGTCGTAGAAAGCGGGTCCATAGTGACCACCATAGGATTCCTATTCTTGATAAGCTTAATTGCTTATTGGGACAAGGTGTAGACATTAGCCAGGAAACGTACCGTCCACAAGTTGAAACTCTTCGACTTGATCTTGGAATCCAACTGGGGAAGAGCGCTGTAGAAGCCTTGAAGAACGTGGTAAGTAGCAGCAGCCGCTAATTCAGTGGTGTCAAGCTTTGTAGGGTCAATGACAGGATAGCCTAAATTCGTGGTCAATATTGCCAGACAATATTAAGAGAGCAAGGTCAACATACGGCCATCGACGCCGGCAACCGTCGAGTTTTCGAAATCACCCGTCAAAGGATTAAGTGTTCCTTCACCTTCGGAACTGTACGAGAATCCAGTTCCCAATGGCTGTGAGATGAAGAGCAAATTCGACACCTCATTCCATCCAAAGGGGTTCACTTGGCTGGTAAGGTTGGCAGTAATGTTGCAAGGTCCGAGCTCTGTCAAGTGTTAGCTATCGATTTCGAACAGATTTCGAGTCACATGCCTTGGAATAAACCAATCAGTGAGTCTGATCCTGGGCCACCATTCAGCCAGAGCGTGACAGGCGCAGTCTGGGGACTGTGTCTGGCCTCGAAAAACCAGAAAAAGGTGTGAATATCACTATCCATAGTTAAAATCTGAAAGGTTCCGGGAGATTAAGTTTAAGCTTGTGGAGAATTCACTTACTCGGCAAGGTCCACGTATCCAGAGTAGGAATTGACTCCAGGCGTGGTCTGAATGCAAAGTCATTATTGAGCACTTTCACCTGGTAAAATCGATACGGAAACACTAGAGAGGTTTTCTCCCATGGGACCATTGCGCGCCCAATTCGCGACATGCGCAATGGCGTTGAGAGACAACAGTGTATGACAAAAAAAAAGCAAGGCATTGCGATTTTGTGTTGCCACTTACTTCGCAAACACCGGCTTTACCAGGTTCCTTGTAGCGGATGGTCACGCCGGTAGGACTCTTTATGGTTTTGTAGTCGGTAATGTTTGCAGGCAGCTGCCTAGCGGAGAGAGGTAAATTGATAAAAGCATCCGCCCCCAAAGCGGAGAGAAGCAGCGATGTTACTGCCGTCGTGATCTTCATCTTTTCGCCAGAACGCCCAATGTCGAGCCGCTCACACAATTGATTGATGGGATTTTGCGAGCTTAAGCCTGGCCTGAAGCAAAAAAGATGTGCGGATCCCCTTCATCATATAGCTCCAAGGTACCGCAAGAGGAGCTTAGCTCATAGGTGGAGGGGTAGCTGAGTAGTGGCTGAGCAATCCTGAAAGCTGGAGCAGTAGTAGGAGCTTCCCTTGTTCGACGAAGACCAGCTAGGTGCTACCCTTGTAGTCTACGACATCATACACCATGCCATTTTGGATGCAAAATGCGAGAGTGGCTGCCTTCGACAGGTGCATCTGGTGTGACCGTGGTCCATGCTTCCCTGCAACAATCGATACCAAATGCCGGGAGTAATAGAAGCCTGAATTCCCAGTTGATGTTCATAGGGGGGAAGCTGCTGGTAAAGAGCGGCTTTAGTCGGCATCACCTCAGATCAGTCCTGTCTATGCGAGCAGCTGAAAGAAGACTCATGGAATAGAACCCTTTTGGCCAGGGATTGTGTCACCGTAAGCCTTTTTTGCGCTCTCACAAACGGAGACTGATTGGCGAGTGCTAAACCTTGTCATAGTAGTAAACGTTCGAAAGATGTAGCACGATTAATGCAGCATGACCTCCGACACATCCCACCTATAGGGATGGGACAGACCCCATGGGAGGCTCGGCCCGGACAATGTTAGGGCCAAAATCCCCAGTGACGAGAATGATGATCATGCTGCAGAATTGCAGCAACCAGTCAATGTTGCGATGACGGTACCAGCCAACACCTTCCTGAAGAAATGTAGCGCCGTTGCAGTGAAGCCATCGATAAGCAATGACCGGGTAGACCCCCGTCTTAAGATGACAAAGAGAGCCGTAGCAAAAAGCTCCGTTCAAAGACAAATACGAACTGTGGTGCCGTTTGCCTCATTATTGGCAAAATCTGCAAGGGCAAAGGTGATTGCATCACCCATATCGCGCAATCTAGCCAGGTCAGGCACCAAAGAGTTCTGGTGGTGGGAGTCTTGGTTGCTGTTATCGGCCCCATCATTCCAAGTATCTCACCTGCCAATGGCAGACTAGCTCGTCAGTGCGCCCTGTCAATCCTTGTTCTCCCAACGCCTATCTTTGCTGTGTCTCTCACCGCCAGCCACCCCGAAAAGAGCCCGAACGAAAACTCAGGATTAAGGAAAGTCTAGCCGTAAAATTGTACAAGTACAGAGCAGTCAACAAGAAAATACCGATGAGGGATAAGTTAGGTACATTCTCATCCATCAATTCAAACGGAAGGTACAACCATAAGAAGTAGATAGTACGAGGTGTGTCGATGCATGTTTTTGGTGATCAGTGTACAAAGTAAAGTAAACAACTCATTTTCGAACGCCACGCCATGCTTGTACTGTGCATATAAGGTCTCGTGACCTTGACAAGTCCAATTGCAACGTTTTGGAATGAGCCGGTCCCATGAAAGAATCCATGATCAATGTCAAGGGGAGAAGGGTGGATTTTTGCCCGTGCGATCTCTTTCTTTCATATTTGCTTCTCCGCAAGGCAGCAGCTTCTTTCCTTTTTGTTTAGATAGTTGGTGTGCTGACGATGAGCGCGGGCGTTGAGAAGCTAATTCTGTCGGGCTACGGCGTCATTTGATCACACACTGTATCTGCATATCCAATTGTTTCCCATTATCATGAGTGATTGAAATGGCAATGCTTCGTTTCTAGGCATATCCTTCTGACGCCTTGTCGAAATTTTCATTTCCTGTAGGATGCTACGCTCCTAAGCATAGCATGACTTTCATAACCAGATTGCCATCGTCGTCCACAGTTCTACCTGCCATCTCAAATGCTTCACGGGATTGCTCTAGCCCGCGGAAACGATGCGTTACTAATTTGCTGAAATCGGGGCCATCAGACGACGTTTTGGCAAACATCTCAATGCCTTGACTATAGGTGTTTGCGTAGCGAAACGAGCCGAGTAAGTCAACTTCGCGAAGAGCAGCCGCAGAAATGGGAAGCTGCTGGATTGGCGTTCCCATCCCGATTAGCATGACTCTACCTCCTGGTCGCGTGGCCTACGTAAAGTCAGCAACAGGAGCCAGGTGCGCATCAACCGCCGGAGAGAAAACTGACATAGATGGATGCCTGAGCACAAGCTTCTACGCCCGTGCACTCAAAGACAGTGTCAACTTCGCCAACCTCATTCCCTTCGTCGGCCTTGATTTTGGCTATCGATGCTGCCGTGTCTTTGGCTATTTCCAGCTTCTCTTCAATGGTTCGACCTCGCGTTCTCGGCACGACAAAACCATGGGTAGCAAACCCATTTACAACCGCAAATTCTACCCTTCCTGGGTCGATGTCTGCGATTATCACGGTTTTCGATCCATTGGTCTTTGCCGTCGCGGCACATAATATTCCAACGGCGCCCGCCCCAAAAACCAGGGTTTTCGACCCTTCAGGCAATTGCGCCCTCCTGCACGCGTGGATTGCAACACCCAAAGGCTCAAGAAGACCTCCAAGTTCAAGGGACACATTGTCGGGTAACCTAATGGAGAGAAATTATAAGCACTCTGTGGAGCCAAGGATGAGCTTGTCGCGCCGGCTTACTTATGGCACCATGCTGCTGGATGGTTGATTTTCTCTTGCAATGTCCCCTGAAAATGCGGAAATGCCTTTGCAGAACTTCGAAATTTCATCTCTTTGCAAATATTATATCTCCCTTGAGAGCATCGCTCGCATCGGCCGCATGGTAGGCCGACCTCTAACGCTACCCTGTCCCCAACCTTCAACGAAGTAACTGAAGAACCGACGTCTACTACTACTCCGGCCGACTCATGTCCGAGTGCTAGTGGTTCACGCACAAGTATGTCTCCATTGCGAAAGTGATTGAAGTAATGCAGATCTGATCCGCAGAGGCCGGTAGCTTGAACAGCTACTTGCACCTCTTCAGAGCCTGGAGGGCTGAGAACTTGATCTTCCTATTTGAGCATTAGACGACACGGAGAGCACAGAATGTAAAGAACTGGAACGTACTAGACGTAGATCTTTAGCAGCATGGAGCATTAATGCTTTGACGATTCCTTTTGAGCCCATATTGGCCATCGTCAAACAGCGTTCATCCACGTTTGAATCTCGCAGGATGCAAGAGCGCAATGCTGCCTGGGATTAAATATCGAGATAAGTGAGAAATACCTCCGCGCCGTTCCCATAAGGAGAGCCATTGGGGAAACGTGAGCGAATAATGAAATCTTGATTGACGATTGTGATCAGGGCAATATGTGGGGGTGGGGGTCGAGATAACTTCATGGCACGGTAAGTCGACTCGGTCCCGCTCAAAACTTAACCGAATTCGCAACTGTACCACTGGAAGTTTACTGGGGTAATCAGCGGTGCTCCGGTAAAGACTAATGGTGGTGCAGCCAAAGTGTGCGGAGATGAGCCGAGTCTGATCAAAGCATACCAAACATTGCCAGAATATGAAGCACATCAAGAGACCATTTCTAAAAAAAAATTTATTAGGAGCTCTGAATTCGAATACTACCTCCAGAAGGCGAGCTATCACCATTCCTATGATTTCGCACTTGATACTATCTCCCACTGGAGCGATTTGCCGATTAATCGTGGTCCGCTACCGGAGCGTAAAAAGCTCGTGGGGGGACTCGTCTCCTCCCGTGGGGGTCACCTACTTTCGACAATGGATTATTATTATGATGATGCTTCAGTGCCACTTCGGTACAGCGATGAGCCGATGATGATCGTAACTACCTAGATAGTCCGAGATTATTCCGCGGCCTTTCTTAAAGAGTTACAAGTAAGGTCTCCGAGCCCCCATATATCTTCTGGAACGCCCTGACCAAATCCTCGAGCATTACTCTGTCTTTGTACCATTTCTAATCCAAATGGCTTTGCAACTTTTCTCACTTGAGGGCAAGACTGCCCTAATTACCGGTGGAACGAGAGGCATTGGTCAGTCAATGACCGTTGCTCTAGCAGAAGTGGGGGCGGATATAATTCTCGTCCAGGTAAATTAAAATAGCACTGGCAACGGATTTCAACACTAATAACTCGGGATAGAGAGACACCACCAATACTCAAACCAAAGAATTGGTCGAGAAAGCGGGCCGGAAAGCTATCATCTACTGCGCCGATTTGTCTTCCCGAGACGAGGTCAAAAAGGTCGTCCCTATGATCATAAAAGATGGTTATCAAATTGACGTCCTCCTGAACTGTGGAGGCATCCAAAGGCGACATCCCAGCGCCGAGTTCCCCGATGATGACTGGGATGAGGTAGCTCCGTGCAACAACCTAGGAACCGCTCGGAAAAACTAACTTCCCCAGGTGCTTCAAGTGAATCTGACTTCGGTCTTCACCCTTTGTCGGGAAGTGGGTGCACACATGCTTTCCCGCTCGTCCGATGTGCATGGCCGTCGGGGAAGTATTATTGTAATGCTTTCCCCCTCAGTTTCCCTTTGATGATTGTGAATTGGTCTAACTCAGCTACTCACACACAGAATGTTGCTTCGCTTCTCTCCTTCCAGGGCGGCATTACTGTGCCAGCCTACGCGGCTTCCAAAGGTGGCGTCGCGCAGCTCACCAAGGCCTTGTCTAATGAGTGGGCAAGCAAGGGTACCTTGAACGGAAAAACTTTATGTGGGGAGAACTTCGGCTAATCGACATCCTAGGCATTTCGGTCAATGCAATTGCGCCTGGATATATTGCAACCGATATGAATACGGCGCTCATTAATGACCCGAACCGTGCCTCGAGCATCCTGTCTCGTATTCCCGTTGGAAGGTGGGGAAGCCCGGAAGATTTCAAGGGGGCCGTTGTATTCCTTGCCAGCAGGGCTAGTGCCTATGTCTCCGGAGAAATTCTAACGGTGGATGGGGGTTGGATGGGAAGATGAAGGGCAGAATGACCCGAGCCGGGGAACATGGGATATAATGGAAGCACTACATAGTGGACCGGGAGATGGATCGGCATCTCAAGATTTAGTAACGAGCAATGGTAGATAGGCCTCTGGTTGAGACAATTGAAGGGGGTAATACTTGGCCTGGAGAAGAAGGGCCATGAGAATAGGAATAATACCCTGGCAGACGTGATGAAACATTGGAATCCTCTTTACTCTGCGTCGGAAGGTGGTGTGGAGACATGACGAAGATACAGGACAATGAACCAATCCGAGGACCTCCAGATGCAACCTCTTCTGCTGTTGGTGCGGCTTGGCACCGTAATGTTTTTCCGGATCCAAAGGGATCTCCCTTCCGATCCGACGTCGCGGGGAAACCGAGAACGTGGCCTTGCCCTAATGGGGAAAAGGTCCAAACTCCTGGATCATAATCTCCACATTTAGCAGTAATCCAACTCCCCGCTCTAATGACATCCCGAAGCTCCTTTTTGAAACAGAACCCTATTGGCCGTCTTCCCGGCCGGAGGCGGCTGCTTGCGGAGTTGATATTGTGGAGAGTAACATGGCTCCCAGGGCAGGAAGCTACCTCGGAGGCCCTCTCTCCCAGGGAAACTGGTGTGAGCGCCTATCCACCCTCCATGATGGCTCTGATCTGGCCTCCCATTACCTGAGAGCAAGGGGTGAGGTAGTATATTTATCAGCTTGCACTCGCCCACCTGAGCCGGCATAATATCTTCTGCTCATTTTGTCGATCTTCATCATCAAAAATTTACAACAGTCAGTTTTTCCCTTTTGTTTCTTAATAATTGCAGTGGCACCAGCAGAGACCATGTCTCCATCCTTTAACACTGAGCGTGACGGCCAGGCGCTTGAGGCCATCACAGATGACATCCAAGAAGTCAATGTGCTTAAGGCTGCGCTCAAAGTGAAGCAAGGAACTGCGACCGATGAAGAAATCAATATCTATGAAAAATCACAATTCGATGCTGAGAAAGACAAGGCCAAATTTCGAATGTATGAAGACGCATGTGACCGGGTCAAGAATTTTTATCGTGAACAGCACGAGAAGCAAACTGTTGCCTACAACCTGAAAGCCCGCAATGACTTCAAATCAAAGACTCGAGCAGAAATGTCCATCTGGGAGGCCATGGAGAGACTGAATACTGTAAGTTGCTGATGTGATTACGCTCCCCTGACTCAGAGTATGTATTAATCATGTCCTGCAGTTGATTGATGAGTCCGACCCAGACACGTCCTTGAGTCAGATTGAGCATCTGCTTCAAACAGCCGAAAGCATCCGCAAGGATCGCAAACCTCGGTGGATGCAGTTGACAGGCTTGATTCATGACCTCGGCAAGCTGCTCTTCTTCTTTGATGCACAAGGTCAATGGGACGTTGTCGGCGACACATTTCCCGTCGGCTGTGCCTTTGACAAGCGTATCATTTATCCGGATACGTTCAAAAACAACCCTGACTACAACCACGAAATTTATGGTACCAAGTATGGTATCTACTCTCCTCGCTGCGGCTTGGACAATGTCATGCTCTCGTGGGGACATGACGAGTATCTATACCACGTGGTCAAAGACCAGTCGACACTCCCTGACGAGGCTCTCGCCATGATCAGATACCATTCCTTCTACCCATGGCATGCAGCGGGCGCATACCACGACTTGATGGATGAGCATGACAAGAAAATGCTAGAGGCCGTCAAAGCTTTCAACCCGTACGATCTTTACAGTAAGAGCGATGACGTGCCGAAAGTGGAGGAGCTCAAACCCTATTACCTTGAGCTGATTGATGAGTACTTTCCGAATAGGGTAATTAAATGGTAGATGGAGATGAAATGGAGAAAACGACAAAGATGAGCACATTATGATATTTTAATGATACGGGTCCAAACGGAAAAGGACAGGAACGCAATTTTGGGCGACGACGTTTATTGCACGTGGCATTCCAGCATATGATCTACATTCTATATATGATTTATTTATTTTTTTTCATACTCATTCATTTGTTATATCCCGCAGTTGTTTTTATTATATACCTAAGGTTTTAAAATTCTTGTCAAACCCTCGCATCCGCAAGACGCAATCGCATACACTACGGATTAGGGAGTCCGGGGAAACTACCCCGCAAAAATGGATTGGCCAGTGCACGGGCCGTTCGGCGCTAGCGGATTAACACAATTTACCCGCTCCGATGAGATTTCCTCCTCGGACCGACAATTCGCCGGAGCTCTGACTTCGTCAGATATACCGTAGACTGTTATGCGGAGTATTATCTACAAGATTGATGTCATGGGCTGCACTTTTGCATGAAAGATCATAGTAAATAATATTTCCCTCGGGAAACTTTTTTCGTTATCAATAATGGCTTGCTGTATTTTTAAATTCAATGACAGCACCCTATCTTGTAGCTTAGACTAGCTCATGGAGTCAACTTTGTCTATAGCTGGGCTTAACTCTTATAGAAACAATGTTTCTGGGTCAATGATGATACTCCAGTTTATACATGCCTATTAATACCTTATGACGGCAGGGAGAAAAGGAATTGAAGAATATATAGAGGCGTTCAAGCTGTCGGATAACATACAGAATATCTCTTGCTTATGCATGCTCTGACAATTTCTTTCTAATTCGTTTATATGGATATGAGGCAAATATTTCCTCGAGCCATCTCTCGTGAGAACAAATCCCTTTGGTCTACATTTATACCCGAATGGCGAGAGAGAAATGATGCAGAGCTGCGGAGATAGCCGTGGATGGGGAAACGTCAAGTCTTTTTACCCCTGACTCGTCCCAAACGTACCAAGGCCTACGCGAGCGCTCGAGCCCCATCGAATATTTGGGTCGAGTATAGTTAACCAGCGCTTGAGATTTGACAGGTACAGACCTCTCATAGCTGATCGACAATAGTAATCTGCTACCCTTCATTTTGCTCTTGGAAATTTCTGTTCAATTTTGAGGAGAAATTAGTACACTGGCACGCAACGTAAGTGGTGTTGTTCCGAAGCCTGCCTGTGTGTTGTTGATCCCCTTTTGGGTCGTGGGAAGCCGCATTTACTCCGCACCCGCTTCGTGCAACTCAGCAATCGGCCTTGAGTGCTAATTTCATGATGCAGTCTCTCCGCTCTTGATGATAATTTGCTTCCGCTGCCTCCGTTAGCCGCTTTGTCGGTGTCTGACGCCCGCTGCAATCAATCTCTCATTTGTTTACCGCACAAACCATGCCGTGGCGGCCGCTCGCTCGAATCGCTTTTGCCGTTGCGATTTTCCCTTTCCAGCCGTCATCACCTGCCGATCTCCCACTTGAAATTGGTGATGAGCTTTATATTATCGAACAAGGTGGCGTGGACGGCTCATGGTACCGTGGATATCTGGTGGCGCCTCCATCGTTATTGGCAGGCCTGACCAGCGTAAAGGGACAGACCTTGGAGGCTAGAGTCTTCTCTGGTATCTTTCCTAAGAATTGTGTCGAGGTCCGAGAGCTCCTTGGAGAGGCTTATCCGGGGCCTGGAAGGGACAGCGGGCAACGCGAACTGTCAACTCAAAATGTCACCGGACTCATAACCCCAGAAACGGCCGGGAGCCCCCAAAGCAGCCATGGCGACCTACCATACGCCGGGATACAAAGGGAGCTTTCGATACGCCGTCTCTCGTCCCATAGAGTCTCAGCTGGAAAGTTAGACAACTCGCTAGGCTGGACTCCACAAAGGCGCAAATCTACCAGAGGTGACGCGCACGATATAAGCAGACGCCTCTCCCACAGGTCAAAAAGATCCGATCGAGAATCACTGCAATATGTGCCGCTTTCGCCAATCTCCATGGAGCCTCGCGATCCTTCTGTCCCAAAACCGCCGGCGCCAGTACCAATGCTCAAAGTTGGCGACGAGAATCCGACGTCAATGGAAGAGCCTCTCGTGGATGAGATTGCTTCATGTCTTCGCGAATGGCATTCGACTAATTTGCACGAACTCTTGTTGAGTAGGAAATACGACGCAATTAGAGAGCTTGCGGGACTGGTACAAAAGTTGGATCTGGCAAGAAGACAGATGTTATACAACGTTCTCACGGCGCGCGAGCTAACGGCTTTGCGGGAATGGACTATTTGGAACCTTGTTCGAGGAAATAAGCTTCTGGGAACGGACATAATTGTACGCGATCCCGTCACACGAGGCCGAATTTTGACAGGAGAGGACTCTGCAATCGAAATCACGAAGCTACAATCAAGTATGAGTCTGTTAGACGAGCCACCAATGGCTGCTACAGAGGGCGCGGTGCGACACCACTTGCTTCTGGATTTGAAATCATTTGCCAGTGCATCTTCGGATGCAGTCACCGTGAGCTTCCACCTGTGCTCGAAAGGTCCCGGCACACCGCCAGTTCTTCTCTCAGAGGCATTCAGTATCGACCTCCCCGGAGAAAAGCATATCTCAGATCAGCTGCAAAAAAGGAGAACGAGTACATTGTTTACGGATTTGAGTCCTTCGGATATTGGTGAGACCACTGGTGCAGAATCCCAGCTCTTTCTGGTGATGAAAATATTTGCCGCGCAAGAGACGATAAGAAATGCAACATCGTCTACGAAACTTCAATCTTCACATGACTCCTCTAGCCATCGCAAAACCGTTTCAGCCGCAGCTTCCACCGGCGTCGACACTCTGAGAGACGGAAGTCGAAGTTTCATGTGGACACAGAAAGGTCAAGGCGGATTGCAACGCAGCAATGGGGAGGCGTCCCAGGCCGAACGCCGAGATGATCCTGTCAGATCGCACGCTAGGCCCGGTTCTGATCCGCAGAAACCGCTGTTGCTTACGCGAACAGCGGGCGTTGCGGTGCATAGGATTGATCAACTAATGCGACAAGGCGAAGAATCTGAGCTTGTGCTGGACATGTGGTCCCCGGCTTCGGAAACCAAACATGAGCCTCAGGGGCCCGGATGGAACGAAATAATCAGAGAATTAGTCAAAAGTGAGAGTGGACGCTATTCCAAGTCGCCAAGAAAGGATAGAATGTCCGTCTTCCTTAAGCCTCTCGCGAGCTCTGACGCAGGGACCCTAATTAAGCGCACGCCCACCCTGCTTCACAATGTCATCCAATCTAGGAAAATTGGATTCTCTGGCGTCCCGACCTCAGCACGATCAGACATCTACGTTACGTTAAACGGTGCCTCTTTGTCCCGTGAGACGTCGTTGTCTCACCCTAAGCTTGGTGCCACTCCTCTGACGAATACGTCAATGTCAAATCTTCAACTGGCTCTCGAAGTTCGCAACTCTACTGGGGAGCGTCTACAAAATTGCATACATCCGTCAAGCGGCTCTGGTAGCTGCACCTCATATCGTACAGTGGCGGTGGAGAGAGGGGGCTACTGGAATCAGACCGTTCGGCTTGAGATCCCGCCGGAGAACGTAGCTGACTATCACCTCTTCATGACTATTTTCAATCTACCAGGAAATCCGTTCGCTACTTGTTGGGTACCGCTGTGGCACGATGAAGCCTTCATTAGGGACGGACAGCATTCTGTCATCCTCTATAAGCACGCTGACTTGGGCTCTGGACCAGCTGATGGTAGCGTCGCATATTTGAGCCTTCCTTGGAGTGCGAGGGGCAAGCAGAACATTCTCACAGATGAAGCTGTAACAGGGCCAGGTGCAACCATTGAACTTGAGACATATCTTTGCAGCACGTCACTCTTCCAGGATAAGGTTCTTATTGCCATCACAAAGTGGCGCGAAAAGTCTCCGGAAGAGCTAATGGAGGTTGTTAAGCGCCTGGTCTTCGTCCCTGAAATGGAAATCGTCAAGCGGCTTCGCGAAGTGTTTGATTCATTGTTCGCCATTTTGGTAGAATACGCCGGCAGAGATGACCTCGAGGACTCCGTCTTTAATGCTCTGGTAACAGTGCTCGGTATCGTACATGACCGGAGATTCGATTTGGGCCCTCTCGTGGAGCAGTACGCCGAGACTCAATTTAATTATCCTTTTGCCACGCCTTGTCTACTGAGAAGTCTTACGCGACTATTATCAAACGCGGCAGATGCAGAGGTCTCCAGAAAATTGCGGTCCGCATTCAAAGTTGGGCGTCATCTTTTCAAATTCACCTTTAAGGCTAGAGAACAACAAAAGGCCAAGGAGGCAGGTATTGGGATCACTAGCACCCAGACCAACTTCAACCGGGATGTCGGTGCGATTTTCAGAGCGCTGGAGACACTAATGAGAAATCCGTCACCAACCCTTATAGGAACCAAAACACTTGCGGTACAGCACTTCCACACCTGGCTGCCAGAACTGTCACGGCTTTTGGATGGCAATGAAATTCTCCAGATGGCTGTGGACTTTATGGATGCCTGTGCCGACGTGAAAGGGAAGCTGGCTCTCTATAAGCTGGTACTGCTCGTGAATCTCTCTGGTCTTGGCGTATTTAAAAAGCCAGAAGCTCGTCGAATTTTGCATGTGAACACAGTCCGATGGCTGGCTCCATATTGGGGAAGAACAGAACAGGTTACAAGCCAATACCGAGACCAGGTACGGTTGTGCTGTTCGGTTGTGGCTGCACAGTCAAATGAGCTAGGCCCCCTGGTCTGCGAGTACTTACCCAAGGTCATCGATTCCTACATGATTCTTCAGGGTTCTCGCACTCCCCAGAGCCATACCACGTCCCATCTTTTCCCCAGAACTTATCCTTTCCAGCTTATGGCCTCACACAAGCAACATAGGATTGAAGAAGTCCTGGTAGAACTTGCAGCTTTGCTAGCGACTATAGCCAAGCATCCGACTGCAATTGACACTGGGCTGCCCGAGTCTCAACTTTCAGAGTATCTCTCAAATGCGATGTACATTTTGACTTCTGTTCTCAACGGAGACTCCTTTCCGAGCACATGGCTTAGTCTTCATGTATTGCATCATAAATCTGCCATGCGGCTTTTGGAAAGCATTTCAACCAAGCTCAGAGATAGTTTTCTACCTGACCCTGAAAGTGCCGAGGATTTCGACACGGAACTTTGGCGAGCTTTCTTTACCACGTTATTGAAGCTCGTCGCCAGTGACGCGCTTGCATTGGAAACATTCCCAGAGCAAAAACGTCGAGCGGTTTGGAAAATTGGGGGGGATGTCCGGGAATTAGGAGCGGAGATTCTTCGTCGCAGCTGGGAAGCTATTGGATGGAACACTTCACCCGAAGATCAAAGGCGCTACGGCTTAGAAAAAATGGGTGGTTATCAAGTCCAATATGTACCGGGCCTCGTGTCTCCTATCGTCGAGCTTTGTCTGAGCGTCCATGAAGGCTTAAGACGAGCCGCTATACGGATACTCCAGACTATGATAGTTAGCGAATGGAGCTTGAGCCAGGATCTTTCGATCATTCAGGCAGAACTGATCGACTGTCTCGATCATTTATTTAAAACAAACCCTATGAGCGAGAGCATTCTTCAGAAGATGTTCATTGCAGAGATGAGAGAGCTGTTTGAACCTCTGGCTCGGACGCCAGATGATTCGCTGTATAATGCATTCAACGGGCTTATCACCACAGTTGACGAGCTGCTGGATCTCCTCGTTGCTGTTCACAGTACCGATGGCACTGACGAAACTTTTCAAACCATTCATACTCTGCGATTAATGGAATTCTTACGCGACCTGCAAAAAGATGACATGTACATTCGCTATGTCCATCAATTAGCCCAAACTCAGGCTGAAAGCAACAATGGAGCAGAGGCTGGCCTTGCGCTCCGCCTCCATGCAGATTTGTACAGCTGGGACTCAACCGACCTATTACCACCGATTGAACATCTTTCACTTCCAGCACACTCATCTTTTGAACGAAAAGAGCACTTATACTTCGACATGATTAAGTATTTTGAGGAAAGCAAAGCTTGGAATGCGGCGCTAGCCACGTATAAGGAACTGGAAGTCCTCTACGACGAGATTGTATTTGACTTTGCAAAGCTAGCAAGGACGCAGAGGGCCATGGCAAGGATATACGAGTCCATTTCCAGAGGCGATGGCGAGTATCAGCGTTATTTCCGAGTTGTTTATAAGGGGCTGGGCTTTCCGACCGGCCTGCGAGACAAGCAGTATATCTTCCAAGGCCTACCTTCAGAGCGCTTTGTTGGCTTCACCGATCGCCTGCAACAAATTCATCCCACTGCGCAAATAGTCACAACGGACAAGGTGGAAGATATGGAAGGCCAGTTTCTGCAGGTCAGCGCTGTCAGTCTGCATAGGGATCTGCTCCATCCGGTATATCTGCGGCCAAAGGTTCCTCAGCCAATCCGCGATTTTCTTCTTTCTTCGCAACCAAACCACTTTGCTGTGACCTCGCGCAGAAAAGGCGATGCCAACAATGTCAAGAACCAAGTGTTAGAGAAAACGATATTTGTTACGGCTGAACAGTTCCCAAATATTCTTCGACGCAGTGAGATTGTTTCAGTCAAGCAAGTAGAGCTCTCGCAAATTGAGTCTGCTTTGGAACGAACAGTGCGAAAGACTCAGGAGCTTGGTGTCTTTGAGAAGAAGCTTGGGGAAAGCGATGACAAAATTCTTTTCAAGGGCCTTTCGGAACTGCTTATGTACTCTGTCGATCCTACTTCGACAAATAGTGTCTCTCACTACAGAGAATTGATACCGGATTTTTACGCTGATCAAATGATGGAGGAACCGAGAATGTCTGGGCCACTGGAGAATGCTCTACAAACGGCGCTTGTTGATCACGCATGGATGGTGAAACGTTGCTTAGCGCTGTTTTCCAAGGCGGAGCATCGTTCCACCAAGGAAGAACTTACTCGATGTTCGTGACAGATTACTATGATACTGGGGTTTTTGTGAACTAATGCTAATGATTTACAGATTTTGAAATAACATTTGCGCCGGAGCTTGCCATCCTCGCACCTCCAGTAACGGCTGACCAACCTGCACAGCCTGAATGGCTTCCTCCTTTATCTGTTCCCTCCTTAGTAGCAGACACATCCCTGAATCTGAGGCGCTCATTCTCCCACAGTCAACTTCTATTGGAGCAATCGCCGGCACTGATCGCAGATGATAAAGCATTCCACTCAGTGGTCAGTTCTGAATCTGCAGGACAAGGCAGTCGCAGAACAGAGCAGTCGGAGAAACCTGAGAAGATTGAAAAGCCGGAGAAGAATCGCCTCAGTCTTCATTTCCTCACGCGCCACATTACTAATTCCTCCGCCGGCGCCGGCGCCGAAGACCGCGAACGCGACTCTGACCAGGTATCCAACCGCCAGCATGATTATCATCTCTTCCGCAGACCTAGTGCTATCACTACAGACGACGCTGCCACTGTATCCAGTCACGCAACTGCTACTACGACAAGAACGACCCCACGCAACGGCAATCGCGGCGTTGACGGTCCGGGAAGCGGTGATGTTAGAAGAAGCGAATCCACAGCCAGAGGCCGCGACGAGAACCGGGCCAATGGAAGCGGAAGTCGTGGTGGCAATAGTAGTAAAAGCCTTGCCCATAGGCTGAGCAAAGTTTCTAGTGTACTCGAAATGGATCTTCCCACACCTCGGCGTGGTCGCAGTCCTGCTATGGAAAGTGAGAATACTCAACGACCAACGACAAAGGATAGTTTCCTCACAAGATCGTCAAGTCGACGTAAAGGCGGCGCTCCAGGGGCCCTCAAGAATTCCGGGTTAGGGAGAGCGTCAGAAGGTGTCAAGAAAAGGATGAGTTTAATGAAGTTGGGCCGCAAAGGGAGCAAGGCGAGTAGTGTTTTGAGCTGAATAGCGAGGAGCACTTGCCTCTGTCGTCATGCCTCTCATGGTTTTTGTTTCCTTTTCCAAAGCCCTGTCTCTTCAAGCTTCATATCAAAGACCCTTAAACCCATAGTTCACAAAACCCAAGCCTGAAACATTAACCTTCAGCAGGAGACCAAATTCTGCTCACACAGTGTTTGCTCATGCACACTCATTGTTTTGTGTATGTGTGCTTCTTGTCCCGTTTGTTCGTTCTGCAGCCTACTGCAGTGCCTGTTCATGTTTTTCTCTTCCTTGTATGTTTTATTTTCATTGTCCATTCTATTCTTCCTGGCATTCTACTGCTTGTCGTGTTCATTCTTGCTTTCCAGAAATAGGTCACACCCGACTGATTTTCTGGTTCTTGTCCATGGACCTGTATTCAAATACCCCTTTTTTTTTTTAATTTATTTATTGTTTTCCCTCCATTTTTTCTATATTTATTGTTTTCCCCTGCATTGCATCTGCCATGCAGTTTGAATTGCATTTTCTTTCTTCCCTTGTTTAAGTTAACACATTTGTGTTTGAAATTCCTTGAAGCCTTCCTTTCAGACTCTGCTCGTACGTGCATTTTACTCAAGTATCTGGATATCCAAATCATATATTGGATAGTTGTGCATTGTCACATAGGTCTTTTTACTGTCACTGTGTAAATTATTATTATTATCATCATCATCATCATCATCATCATCTCAGAATTACAAAAATTATCTATATCTTTCATCCTTGGATGCTCAGTGATCAGCACATCAGCACATGATCGTTTGCCCATTACAATTGTCTAATAGAAGCAACTGCCAGACATGATCCGTCAGAAAGTCAGGATACGTTAATGCACCTAATGTCCGCCGCTACTGTTGCAACACTTGCTATTTTCGATCGGTCACGTGCAGTCCGCGGAGCGTCGCGCGAAGCGCGAATGGTTGACCTCCTCCAAAAGCACCCCCAATAACTATCCGCGGGCCTCCGAAACCAAACACTTCTTCGTAAAGTACGACGCCGACTCTAGTGTTGGTTGGTCTGGTCTATCAGAGTCTCCCTCTGGAAAATACAGGGCATATATATCTGACTGTTTTCTTCATTTCACAATGCTCCGGGAACTAATTTTCATGTGATCCGCGGACCATTAGAGTCTTGTTTTGGCATTGCAGTACAGAATACAGTGTTTGTTTACAAATTTCTTTTCGTTTTTTTTGTTGGTTATACGGTACTTTTGAGTTTTGCTATGAAATTTGCGCGGTTGGAGTTGTAAGCGTTGCGGTGCCGGCGCGTGATTGCGTATGTTGCAACAGGTTGCTGTGAGGTTTATATACTATCAATTCCAAGTATGAAGCGGCAGCGCGGGGCCGTTGATCGCTCAGAAGATGGGGACCGGGGCTGGGACCGGAGCAGAGACCAAGACCGTGACAGGGGAATCCCGGGGACCCGCGGACTCGATTCTCCGGGAGGCTCCGGCGAACATACAGCCATCACGGGCACTCCACTGCCGCCATTGAATGGTTCGAATCAAGCGTCGAGTCAAAAGAAGAGAAAGTACTGGCAGCCTCCGTTTTCGTGCTTCTTCTGCCGCGCGAAGAAGCTCCGGTGTGATCGAGCACGACCGTGTGGGAATTGCACGTCGAGGAGGCTGGAGTGCAGGTATGCTGATGATCAAGAGGAGGACGGAAGAGATGATGGCGGTGTTGCGGTCGGTTTGGGAGAAGGGAGGACGGAGCAGCGGCAGTGGCAGCGGCAAGAGCAGCAACCTGGGCGTCATGAGCGTTGGATGGGGAATGGAAGTTTGAGTACAGGCAGGAGTAGTGGTAGTGATGTGGAAGTTGTGCAAACGGCAGTGCGTAAACAAGCAGCGCCGGCAGCTCAGGATAGGGGGTCAAGGGCGGGTCTAGTGGATGCGGAGCGTTATGAGAGGTAAGTTTGGGTCGTTGAATATGATCTTGGGCAGTGGGATAGAGAGCTAACATATGAGTAGAGATATTTCCATGCTAAAAGAACGGTTGCACGAGCTTGAAAAGGCAGTCTTCCATCGTACTGTTCAAGGCGACGAGAATGAAGCCCCTTTGCGCGGCGAGGGACAAGGGTCATCTGCATCCAGAGCCCAAGTGACAGAGAGCCTCCAAGGCGAAAATTCAGGAGAACGAGTTTCGAGACTCGAAAACAAGGACACATCCGAGCATTCGGAGCCTGAGAGCGGTACTCTGGATGTCATGGAACGAATGGCGATCAATCCAAACGAAGGCATGAGTATCTCAAATGGACAAGTCCGTGTCCAGGTACGATGTCTCTGACATTTCTTATTTCTCTTCTTTTCTATATGCGTTTCTTTTCCTGAGATTGACCTATGAAACCAGACACAAAATTCCGAAACGCCAGACGTGTCGTCGCCTGAGAACCGACTCTTGTTATCTTCCCTTTCCAACCCAGACTCGAGCCCAAGATTCACTCCTTTTCTGGGCGGCACCAACCTGACAGCGAGCCACGTGCAACGCGAATTTCCCGCACGAGAAATTGCTCGAGAGCTGTTTGACTTTTACATTGATCACATCAATGTCATCTACCATGAACTTCACGTGCCTACCTCGCGAGATATGCTGAACAGGGTATATCAGCAAGTGGAGGACCGGAACGAAGAGATCAATTCCAGCGAAGTGGCACTCTTATTTGCCATTTTCTCAAACAGCGCATATTACTGGCCAAAAGTGACCTCGCCGTCCCTAAAGATATCCAATCAAGTACGAGATTACTGGGGCCTATGGAAAGATATTTCTGTAGCTCAGCTTGTCAGTGGATCACAAACACATGGGCCGTCGACCATCTTGATCCAGACGGCCAGCATCCTTGCCCATCTGTGCTGGAACTCTGAAGGTCCTTCGCCATTGTTACATTTCTTGCGGGCTAGTTACGAAGCCATGGCGCGGCAATTGATGATCCATAAGCAAGACACGCCGCGGCAGAGAAGAGAAAATAAACAAAAGGGGATATCCGAAGTTGAGCTCGAAATCCGCCGTCGTTTGTGGTGGCATCTCGTGTCTATAGATTGGTATGCAATTTCCTTTCTTTCTTTCTTTCTTTCTTTCTTTCTTTCTTTCTTTCTTTCTTTCTTTCTTTCTTTCTTTCTTTCTTTCTTTCTTTCTTTCTTTCTTTCTTTCTTTCTTTCTTTCTTTCTTTTTTTTTTTCTTCTTCTTTTTTGGTAAAACTGACAACCACCAGGCTCCTGTCCGCTCTGGCCGGCCCACAAGAAGGCTTCTACTCGCACAACCCTAAACACATGTGCATCGACTACCCCGCCAACGTCGACGACGAGCTCGTCGGCCTCGCGCAGGGCGAGCCGGTCCTGACATCGACCAAACCAACCGCCATGTCCATCTTCCTGCTGCGGATCAATCTAGCAGAAATATGCCGCGAGATCGTCGACAGCCTGCCGCAATCATCGTTCGATCTGCGGGACATGTCCTACGAGACGCTCCTGCGCCTTGACGCCCGAATGCAAGAATTCAACGAGTCCCTGCCGGTCTTTGCGCGGACCGACCCGGTCAGCATCAAGCAAAGCGAGCATTTATGCAAAGACATTCCTTACTTTTCGCTCGCCCGCACGGTCATGAACCTGGGTTTACAGATCCGACTCAGTCGTCTGCATCGCCCGTTTCTGTTCCGCGGCGCAGTCGACCCGCGCTACGCGTACTCGCGCATCGTATGTATTCGGTCCGCGGAGAACGTTATCGACTTGCAACTCTCTGTGGATGCAAAGGATTTGTACTATGCCGTGGAAGGGTCATATAGCGTCAACCACCACTTGTTTGTCGCGGCGATTATCCTGACGGTCGAGGTCTGCTTTAATAAAAGCAGCAGGGATACGAAACGCCTGACGGAGAAGATTCTCGCGGCCTGCGCCTTTCTGGGCCGGACGCAGAATAGTCTCCGCACGGCGAAGTTGGGGATTAAGAATGGATTGAAGATGCTCGTGGATATGCTGAGAAAGTATCGCATCATTGATGAGGTTGGTTCTGTAGGCTCCACCGTGCAGGATCGTTCATCGCAGTCCAGCTCCACCGCCCTCCTGTCCGGTTCTCCTTCTTCTTCGTCCTTTTCTCATCCCTCTTCTTCCTCCCATCCTTCTTCCGTCCCTGTGTCTGGCGGTCCCTCTTCCATATCCACTTCGTTTCCATATACCCAACTCACTCCCCTTCCGCGAGACTCTAGTCTCTCCGACTTGGTGCCTAGTGTCCTTTCGCGGCCTTTTACTCCATCTCAGTCCATACCTTCATCTACATTTACATCTACTTCTTTATCCGCATCTACATCTACATCTTTGCGCGCCCCTACATCTGCATCCAATCCCACCGCCTTCAATCCCACCATTCCCGACCGCGCCAACACTTCTACCAACCACAGTACTTCATTTCCCAACGACTCAAGCTCCTTGACTTCGTCCTTATCCTCCTCCTCGCTATCAGGGCCATCCGGTTCAGGGCCAGTTGGGCCAGTGCCAGCGTCAGGACCATCGTCAGGCTCCGTGTCAGTGTCAAATCCCACCAACGACGACATCATATCCAACTACGCTGACCTGGACAAATCCTGGTCCGAATTCTTCGACGACATGACCTGGCTCTCATCTACTCATTTAGCTACTGGAACTGGGACCGGGACCGGAACAGGAACCGGGACTGGAACGGGCGACCACCACCAACAACATCATCATTATCAACAGCAGCAGCAACAACAAGAACCGAACTGGGAAGGACTTTTTGCCGATTTGGATTTTCATTTCGGACACGGTCCTCTCGGTCCAGTTGGTGTTTAGTACTTATATCATGTGATCCATTCGTACCTCCATTGGTGTCTAGGTGACCTGTAACACCGGACCCGTTTTATTGTCCTATCCTCTTAACTGTACCGATTGTTCATCCTGCTTCTCCCACTCGAGTCTTGCTTCTTGCGTCTTGCCTCCTCTACTGTCACTTTATATCATCCCACTACTTCAAAGTTGTCTCCGTGAAAGACATTACTCACTGCTACCCAGCACTCGCTGGTGAACGACATTACATACCCACTCGACTATCGTCTGTATATCGGATATCCATCCTATAGAATTACGCAGTCACAATCAACAAGTTCCGAGAGTGAACTTTACGTAGTAGTAGTGTTATACTAGTATACCCGAGCTTTAATACGAATATACTATCCGCGACTCAAAAGGTCCGACGTGCGGGTCCAAGGTGCGAGCCCAAAGAAATCGATACGGCTAAAGATGAAGAGAACATACGACGGATACTCATAATGCGGAGCAATGTAAATGGTTAACAATTGACACATGGTTTGGACACAAAGACGTAAAGCTTAATTTAAGAATTGTATCAAGAGAAGTAAAACCAAACCCGGCAAAAGGGGGAAGATACTTGAAGATTAAAACGAAAGATAAAAAATTGAAAAAAAAAAAAAAAAAAAAAACAAATGGAAATGGAAATAAAATAAATAAATAGGTGAGCAAAAGCGCCGATCCATTCGCCGACCGTCCCATTTTTTGAAAATAGTAGAAAAAAGCTATAAGCCATGATCCGTAGATCAAGATGAACATCCGAGATGAATAGAGAAGAAGCAAGAACGGAAAGAGAAAACAGCAGGGGAAAGAAAGGGGAAAAGAAGCAAGGATGAAACAGAAAACGGTAGGGGAAAGAAAGGGAGAAAGAAATAAGTGATTAACCCGGAAGACAGGAAGGATAGAATTAATGAATAGAAAAGAAACAGAAATCAAGACACCTCTTGAACTATTTTTCCATTTCCCTGGCCAGCAGCAAATACTGTTCCTACTGGTGCATTGAGCCATTCCTGGGGCACGCCGACTCTGCTTCCGTCACGGGAATTGACCCAGCGGACGAGATGGGGCTTTGGTTTCTCGGGGATGACTTCCTGCGCAGCGGCAGCGGCAGCACTGGGTGTCACGTTGCCTGCTGCTCCGCTGGCGGTTTCAGTGACGGTTGCTGCGGCCTTGCCGCGGCGTTTGGGGGCTTGCTTTTTGAGAAGACGATTTATGGTGTCCATCTGATGGTGTTAGTGAGTACGATAGGAAGCACTGGGGTAGGAGAGAACAAAGATAAATACCTTTTCCTCTTCGTTGCGCTTTTCGCTGAGATTCTTTCGCCGACGCGCCATTTCGGCTCTGCGCATGGCGTGTTCTTCTGCCGTGAGGTGCTTTTTCACTTTGCTTTCTAAGTTTCATAAAAAAGGGGTTAATTAATTGGCCAGGAAGGAAATGGGATAGGTACCTGGTAGTGAGTAGTGATAGATAAGGTACTGAGTGAACAGGGGGTGAAAAGAATGGTATATAGAGGACAAACACTCACCAGATGGCAACGCCAACAAGTCCGCATTCATGACCTCGTCTAGTCGGCTTCGTTGCCGTTTGGTCATTCTGCTGTAATCCGGCGTGCTGGCCCGACTGCCAGACATGGGCGTCTCATCGTCACCGCTCTCCGCTTCTTCACCTTCTTCGTCCTCTTCTTCCTCTTCCTCCTCTTCTTCCTCCTCCTCCTCCTCCTCGTCCTCTTCTTCTCCCTCACCTCCACCTTCGCCTTCTTCCTCCTCGTTACCCTCCTCGTCTTCCTCGTCAGACTCAATATCAGATAATTCTTCGTCGTCGTCATCGTCATCTAAATCCATTTCCTTTGCCTCCACGCTCTTTACTTTGCCAGAGTCCGCGGGCGTCACTGTCAACGCCGGCTTCCCTGACGAAGGAGCCGTCATTCTCTTGATGACGGGGGGCGGGGGAGGAGCATCGTCCATTTCCGTGTCTTCTTGTACATCGTCACTTTCACCCTCAGCATCCTCGTCGCCGACCTCGTCTTCCTCTTCAACCTCATCGTCGTCGTCTTCGTCCTCGCTGCCGCTGTCCTCGATAATGGGGCGCTTTGCGCGACTCCCCCGCGGTCCCGTCACAATCTCGCCCGGTGTAAAGCTGTCGCGTGTTCGCTTCAAATCCATCGCACCTCGAGCTTTAGACGACATGTTGACGGTCAATCGGATTGTCTTTTTGGGATCTTCGGGAGACGAACTCTCGTGTCGGCCGGTCGTTGGGCTGGTAGTATTACTGGCAGCTACTGCCGCTGCTGCTGCACGTCGCGGCCGTGATGAAGTAGCTGTGGGCGAGCTGGGAGAGACATCTTCTGTTAGAGCAGCTCGAGGACGGAGAGATCGCCGCGGCATTGTGAAGACGATGAGTAGTGTAGAATATGAAAACAAGATTTTAAAAAAAGACACTGGGATGGATATGGGCTCTCGGCGATGATTTGCCACAAGGAGCATCAGTAATAAGCGTGCTCAGGCATAAGACGGATTATTTGTGTTATTATGTGATGACCCGGCAGCCCTGCAGGCTACCGGGCTGTGTCTGTATGGGGCGACGCCCAGCCATGGATCGTGATTCGCATGGGCTGGGCGTTGATTGGGGGTTTCGGCAGGGACGTATATCTTTCGTAAGGTGGTAGGTGCGTTTGAAACAATTGAAACCACAACAATCCATGGATGAAGAACACTCGCGCAGTACAATAAATTGAATCATCAGGGGAAAAGACACTGGAATATACTTACAAAGTGGTACCTGAGTCCTGTGCTCGGAATATGTCTTGGTCAGGTCGAATCCAGTCGTCGGGATCATCATAGTCGCTGCTCTGCCGTCGCGGCCGCTTGGCTGGTCGCTCCGTCTTGTAGCTCATACGTGTCTGTAACAGTCACACCGATATGACAGTCACGCTTTTCATTCCATTCAACCTCACTCGCCTTGATTGAGAGAGAGAAAGCAAAAAAGAGATGACTAAAGTATAATTGTAAAATGATATCGAATTAGAGAACATAAGACCAAGTAGAAGGTTGATGAGAATCCGGTGTGTCCATAACTTATTGGTGTGTCTTGATTCAAAGGCGGTGAATCGATTGTCCAATCACCGCTCCTCATGACTCAGCAGCCGAGGGTCTTGATAGCTGACATGTGACCGCATCATTCAACTCCACGACAAACCGCCCTTATCTTTCATACAACTACAGCAATGACAGACTCTTCAGATCAAAAGAAATCCTCTCAGGAGGGAGACAGGGAGAAGACGGATATCATTTCAGATTCAGCATCTTCAACTGAAAGATCAGACAACAATGCGCCGGACGCAGACGAGCCAGCTCAACCGAAGCAGCACAACGCTGCTCATTCCGAATATACTCTCCAACTCGAAACAGCTGCCGAATTCCTCAAGGATGACGAGATCAGAAATGCTCCTGATAGCCTGAAACGGAAGTTCCTCTCTGCTAAAAACATAAAATCCGAAGACATTGAAACACTCCTGCGCGATGCACCAAAGGCCGATCCTCCTTCGCCCACTTCAGCCGACAATGTCTCCGAGAACCAGTCGCGATCAGACATTAGACCGTCTTCTACGAAACCCTCAGAATCACCGCCGGTAGTAACGTATCCAGAATTTCTCGTACAGGCATCCAAGCCACCGCCTCTCGTCACACTCAGCCGACTGGCTACAACCCTGTACATCTCCGGTGCCGCCGCCCTGGCAACCTACGGAGCAAACAAATACATTCTCTCGCCCATGTTTAACTCTCTCACTTCTGCACGGCATTCTCTCGCCTCTACCGCGCAGACCAACGTCGATACGTTGAACGAGAAGCTCTCAGGACTCGTATCAGAAATCCCTCCCTTGGCCGCTGTCAAGTTCGTTAAATCCGAGGAAGGCGAAACCGACGGTCCTCAGCACTTAGATACCGAGTCCGAGGAACCGACAGAGCTCTTCCACCGCGACTTTGGCACGCAAACGTCTCGTCGTCAATCAAACAGCCTGTCGGCGCATCCTGTTCCGGGACTATTCCCACCCGGAGTAACCACCTCTGGCGTCCCTGACAGCACTTCGGATCCCACGACTTCGCAGCAACTCCGTATTGAAGCACTCCAGGGACATTTGAACGAGATGGTATCGTTCCACGAGCTTGACGCGGAGACAAATTCCGAAGTGACTACCAGCATGCGCGACCTCTCAACATACCTTGATGGGCTCACGTATAGTTCGGCGTATTGGTCTAGCTCAGGCTCGTATCTCGGCTCCGTTAGCGGCGCGGGACTTGGTGGTGTGGGAAGCGCCAAGAATGACGATGATGGCATTACAAAGTTCAGAAACGAGATTCGTTCGGTCAAGGGTGTCTTGCTCTCTGCAAGAAACTTTCCCACTGGGCCGGGACGAGTAACGCCGAGTTCTTTCGCGAGGTGATGTAGCTTTTTGAGCGAGATTGTACTTTTTTACGCTTTTCTGTTTATTTTATTTCTTTCCCTAGCATTCTCAGCCATAACGGCATCTCATCATATCGTTCCGGCGTTATTGTGCTATCATTCTTTTCGCCTTTATATACCTATTCTTGTACAGTACTGTGTATATCATTCAATATACTTCATCACATTGCATTAAAATCATCAGTTCATTCCAGTAAAGAAACCAGATTCTTAAGTCCATCCCATTTGCTCATTAAGGAAGAGCTCGAGATATCCTTACCCCTCTTATTCCGAGAGGCAGCGACCCAGCTCCGCCGCAGCAGCAAGCACTCGCTCCTCTTCCAGTCGTCTTCCGACTAGTTGAAGACCTACTGGCGTTCCATGGAACAAGTTCGGATCATCTGCAGTTCGAATACACGTATGAGCATTTTTTCCTTCACCTCCTTTTGGAAAGAAGGGAAATGAATCCACTTTGGATGAACTCACATTGTTTCCACACCTGCTCGTCCATCTCACCCAAATACTCTCCCCTCTGACGCCCAGCATCAGCCGCAGCCAGATCACGCGCCTTATCGACCGTCGTGACTGGCACAGAAATAGCCGTATAATCCAAAGCGTTAATGACGCCCGTGTATCCCGGATAAATCGCTTGGCCAGGAAGATATGACGCCGTCGGAGCAATAGGCAGAATGAAAAAGTCGACTGCGCGACCAGTAGACGTCTTCGAGGCCGTGCTGTTCCAGTATTCTAAGTATGCGGTCTGATATGCATTCCGGCGGAGGGCGTAGCTCCAGCTCTCGTTGACGGTCTTGGGTGTCAAATGGCCCGGAGAAGAGCCGTAGATGTTGGCAATCTGAGGGACAACGGGCTCGCCGCTAGACCCGATAGAAGAGTGGATGTCGTTGCCGCCGTCCATGACGAAGAGGCTCCACTGGCGATTGGTCAGTGGTCTGTTAAATGTAGTGGGTGCGAGGGAGGTTTTTGTTCTATATTGGCGAGTTGGAAGGTGATAGGAACGAGGGCTAGGAGTTGATAGGTGTGGGATTATAGGATTTTGTGGGGAATAGAGAAGACTTTGAAGAGAGGGAAAAGACAGATAGAAGAAGGAGAAGAAGGAGAAGAAGGGAAGAAGGAACGTACAATGATTTCAAAAGCTTCTTTGTGGGATGGTGGCTCCCATTCGATGACCTGAAAAGAGATTCGGCGTTAGTTTCAACTGCCCAGATGGACCACGTGTCTTTGAGGGATAGTACACCGGCAAATGAAGTCGGTGAGTAATACGTACTTCGTGTCCATGAGCCTTGAGCTTTGCAACAGTCTCATCAATAGCACGAGTAATGGGAGGATGGGGCAGGACTATCCCGTCGCTGCGGAGGACACCAAAGGCGAGACCTCCCGACTTGGCATGCTTTGCGACCGCTTCAGTTTCGCTCTGACGCCATGGCATGTTCACAACTGTTGGGTCGTGCAGCCATGGTTGTGTTGAAAGAATGGATTTCGTGATGACTTCTAGATCGTCGACTCTGTGGCCCATGGGACCGACAACAGGGCTGACGAGTTCTTGGCCTTCCATCTGGATATATACAGAGTCAGATTGAGAAGATTTCTTTTTATGAGCATTACGGGAAATACGTACGCTGCCGGCAATCTTGGACCATGGTAATCTGCCAATAGATGGTTTAAGGCCATACAAGCCTTGGAAAGCGGCTGGAAGACGAATGGATGCGGCTATATGATTGTCAGTATTGCCGGTCTTCTCCCTCAGGTCGTCAAGTCTGGAAAGAAAGAAAGTAAAGTAAATCAAGAGAGATCGAAATGGGTAAATCTAGCCATGCCAATACTTACCAATATCTGTTCCAAATCCGATAATACTCCCCTTCATTGCCAATAGTGAAGCTTCACCTCCAGATGACCCGCCTGCGGACACCAAACGATTGCGCGCATTCCAGGTGTACCCAATGATATTGTTGTTGGTGTCAATGGCCTATTTTCCTGGTAAGCTGTGGCGTCCAGTGTATGCTGGAACAGTCTGCTTCATCGCAGGCGTTCCCAATTCTCAGGAGAGCCAAGAGCCTAAATCACCCAGGGTTATGCAATTTTTACTTACCATTAGTGCTGTTGGAACATTGGTCTTAGCATAGATGACTGCTCCGAGCTCTCTCAACTCTTTGACCAAAAGTGCCTCGTCCTTCGCTGTTTCTTTCCGGCCTAAGTTACTGATATAACCTACAGTGGTCTCTGCACCTTCGACGCGGATCTGGTCTTTCCAGCTGACTGGGAGACCATGTAGCCTGCCAATTGGTTTCCCATGAGCAGCAATATATGCATCAAGCTCATCGGCTTGGGCAAGTGCTTGCTGAAAGAGAACATCGCTCAGGCAGTTTGTCTACATGCAACAGTTAGTGTGAAATCGATAAGAGCAAGTTTCAAAAGCGGAAAAAAGAAACAATTAATGCAACAGCCTCTCATAAAACTTTACACACTGCGTTTAATAAAAGGAACAAAACAAATCTCGAGACTTATGTACCACTTGATGAGCAATTGCAGCGCGTTTGCAAAATGCTAGAGTGACTTCTTTAGCTGTGATCTCCCGACGTGCAAGCTTTCCCAGAAGCTCTTCGATGGACAGTTTCTCGGTGAATTCAATTTCCCTCGGCTCGAGGTAAGCTCTAGGGAAATTTGTTGCATCTGGAAGCTCTGCTGGAGGCGGAATAGCATCTCCAGGAATCGTATATGGCCCCAGTAGCTTTGCGACCTCAGCCCGCTTGCGCTCGGCAGCGGCTTGCCATGTGCCTTCGGAGGATACGATCATGATCAATGAGAGGACGGGTTTTTGCCAATTAGAATGGAAAAGCACGCCTGGAAATATCGATCATCTGTAATGATTCCCCCGCATATGTATTGAGCACGCTCCACTCGTCATCGTCATGATGGTGACGAGCGGCCCCACTTTCCCCACGCGGTAGGTCTGATATTATATTGTACATGGATGGTTTCCAAGCATGCTATTTATCAGCTCAGCTGCCTCGCAAGTTGCTTTCTGTTGGCCAGGCCGTTGGATTGAATACGAGTAAATCATGGTAAGGAGCTGATGTTGGATTCATACACTACTCAACTGTATGCAGTCGGTTCAGGAAAGAAGATAAAACAGGCGTCTGATGAGGGTAGAGATTGACTGAGGCGTTAATATTCGTGATTGGATTACAGCTGATATTTTAAAGTCGTTAGAGCTCCTGTTCTCACCGTAACAAACACTGTCAGCAAAACCCTTGGGCGAGTGTCTATTCGCGTTGAACTTCGCCACTACAAGGCTGCCGCAAGCCAACGCATTGTTGCATAAATCTGCTTCTGAAGAAATTCGATTTCGCCAAAAATGAGTGGACAATTTGAGCTGAAATTACTCCGATGAATGCAAAGTGAGCCTGTAATCATTCTATTTCCAAGATAATGGGATAAGTCAACGTTTCAGGCAATCACTGCGTATGATTTCTAAAACATACTGCGATGATTGACCACAAGGGTTCACATTCGCTTCACAGGAGAAATAAATAATAGAAATCTTTCAGACAGGTAGTAGAAATTGTAAGGTTGTAGAATCGATAAGTAGTCTTGTAGACCACCGTATTCACTGTAGATGACAACGAACTTTTCTTGCACTAGATCTGTAAACAGGGAGCTGGTATCCCATGTGCCATTTTACCAAAAACGCCGCCCATGCTGATCTAAACAAAACATCCTGCGCCAACACTGGAACCGTGCCGAGAAGGGAAATTTTTGAAGCAATGCAATGGTCTGACAAAAATCCGCCTTAAGCGGTTTTCCTTTCGAATCTTGCGAGAGCAGGGCCAAGCTCTTCTGCCCTCGTTTTAAAGTTTGCCTTGTGTCGCTTATGTGTCTCCTTCCTCAGAGCTTCGATTCTCAGCCGCTTGTCGTCAATAATGTTTTTGCTTCCCTTCTTCCGAAGGTGTTTACGGAGACTGCTGTTCTTTCCACGGCCACGGTTCTTCAGGTTCGCAATAGGATCCTCCGGCTTGCGGTCCAAGTCGGCTTCAGCTCTGCGAGTCTGCTCGGAAGCAACGTCGAGTCTACCAATATAGTCGGGGTTCAAGGAGATCATTTCAGGTTGCAGCTTGTTCAACAAGCCACGCACCTCAGCCTCTTGTCGTTGCTTGCTGTTCTCGTAAGGGTTGACTTCGAGAGCATCAAAGTTAGGTTCACCTGCTCCAGGAACAATGATGCTGCTGAATCCGGCATTGTGCGAAATGCCAAGCACATCTTCGAATGGACACCATCGCACCCGTTCGATTCGGTTTCCTTCACCACCCCATGACATGTACGGAGACTGGATCTTCTCCTGGTCTGCCAGAGACTTGTTGAACAAGCCCTGCCAAACGGAGGTTTGGGTGCCCCATCCCACTGCGGTGAGGCCACGATCACTAATGGCTACAGATGATCCTGGCTGGCGCAAAAAGTAGTTGTTTACTTCCTTGAACATGCGAATATCCCATACTGACATCTTCAAATCTTGTCCAGTTGATACCATGTAACGTCCCTCTCGGTCAACGGCCAGCGACCGAACCGGGCCACGGTGAGCCAGCAACTTCACCAATGGCGTCGTAGAGTTTGGTGACCAGAGCGTCACAGAACCATTCTGGTGGCCCATATGGAGGATAGCATTGGAAGGATTTTGTGTGAGCGATGTTGGTGAGCCCATCTTCGTAGGAATTTCAATAACCATCTGGCCGGTTGACGTGTCTTGATATTTGAGATAACCAGCATTTCCCTGATATAAAGTCAGTTTTACTTGCAAGAGCTGGGAAAGAAACAGCTTGACGCCCACATACCACTGTCGCCAGGAGGAAATGGTAGGGCAGGAACTCCATGTTTGTAACCTCAATATGCTTCTGTAAACAGTGGAGCTCGACGCCGGCATGATCGTAGATGTACACATATTTCTTCTGTGCCACGGCAAAGTATTGATCATTATGGAGCCACTTCGCATCGCGCACTGTTTCTCCCAATTGCATTTCACAGCCAAGCTTGCCATCTCTCCAATCCATGGTCGCAATATGACCCTTGCGGCCAGCAAGCAAGAGACTTCTGCCATTTCGTGTATAATCTGCTGTGTACGGACCCAAACCTTCTAGCTTCAATTCAAATCCCTTCTTCGCTGTTTCCATGGGTAACTCTGCCTGAATGTCGTCTTGGCGGACTTTGTACGTCTTTTCCATTTCATTCTCAGGCTCGAGAAGTCCGGATTCGTTCTCAAGCAAAATCTCTGCATCACGCGCCTTGACTGTCGCATCCTTGTATTTGTTTTCCAGTGCCTTGAGGTTGCTGCGCAATTTCTTGTCTCGAACGGTGCCGGTTTGAATCTTGCGGCCTCGTCCATATTGCTGATGGGCTTCTTCCGCGCGGCGTTTCGCAACTATAGCCTCAGAATCCTTCGACTCCTTGCCCTTCTTGGGCTGAGAGTGTTTTCTCTCAGCCTGCGCCTTTTCGACCTCCATTTTGAATTGTCAACCCTCGGCCTGCGTGGAACGGGAAATGTGTGGTTTGCGGTGAGCTTGCTGTTTCCTCCGACAAAAAGTTCGCGAGCCGGAACGACAAAAAAGACACAATTGATTGGATGATCAGATAAGATTTGAAATTTTCCAGATCTAATCGATCTAATCGTATCGCCACACCGCACAATCAATTATTTGAGTATTTCGATGGCCATTCTCTCGTCCGTGAGATTTTTGTGTTGAAGCCAAAGTTCGCAAAGCACTCCCTCATTTGTCGGCCGATCGACAAACTGGATTCCTTACCGTTTAGGTTCAAGGCCGGTCCGACCATGGCTCCAATTGCGGGTGCTCATCACCACCGCAACACAACCAAATCTTCACATAAGCCTTACAAGTCACGGCATGCCTCGAAGAATGCTCTAAAGGAGAAGTCCAAAGGTGAGTATCTCCCCAACCTGAGCTCTAAATAGTCCATACTGACCCTTGCATAGGAAAGGTTGAGCAAAGCGAAAGAGGACAAAGGCGCACCCCGCACCAGCAAGTCATGTCGAAATTCGATCGGAGAAATCAAGCTCGCCAGAAACAAAATGCAAAGCGTCTAGAGCACACCAAGGCAACCAGCATCTTCTCTGGCAAGGACGGAGCACCGAGGCTCGTTGCTGTTATTCCTCTATGTGAGGGGCTTGACGCAGCAGCGGCAGTGAAATCTCTCAACTCAAGCATCGATATCGAAAGCGACGTTCCTGCTGCCGGACTCTTGCAGGTTTCTGTGGACAGATTTAAGCAGAAAATCGAATACATTGTTGCCAAGAAGGATATTCTATCGGCGCTCGATGCGGCTCGTGCGGCTGATTTTATCGTGTTTCTACTTTCGCCGGAAAACGAGGTAGACGAGATGGGAGAGCTGATGCTCCGTAGCATTGAGGGACAAGGTGTCTCTAACGTGTTGACTGCAGTCCAAGTATGGTTTTGATATGCGCTCCTTCCAAGAAGCTCTTATACTAATTTTACAATAGGGCATTGAGAAAATAGATCCCCCCAAACGCCGACCACAGGTCATTGCTTCTCTCAAGTCATTCATCACCCATTTCTTCCCTACTCAAGATAAAGTCCATTCTCTGGACTCAAGACAAGACTGCGCGAATGTTATCCGATCCTTATGTACAACCACACCAAAGGGTATTAGATGGCGAGACGAGCGCAGCTGGTTGCTCGCAGAGGAGGTTAGATGGCCGGGTGAGGCCACTGAGCCTGATCAGGTCGGCGAGGTCGTCATCAGAGGTCATGTTAGAGGCAAAGGTCTCAAAGCAGACCGAATTGTACAAGTGGGCGACTGGGGTGATTTCCAGATTGAGAAAATCGTCGAAGTTCCCACGGAAGCCCGCAAGAAGAGCAGCCGCACCGACGAAATGGCAGTAGACGACGAGGGCAAGGAAAAGATTGTAGACCAGCCCACAGAGGATCAGGATGACCTTAACGAACTTGCACCTGAAGAGGTCCATATGGACGATACAGATGAAATGATGAACGAGCCGATTCAGGATCGAAAAGGTGTTTTGTTGGACGAACACCATTATTTCTCTGACGGTGATGAGGACGACGAAAAGGTCCCAAAGAGGCTCCCCAAAGGAACTTCCAAGTACCAGTCTGCATGGTACTTAGGAGATGTCTCCGACTCTGGCTCTGATCTGGAGGACATTGATTACCAGGACGATGAAGAAGATGATGAAGACATGGCAACGGACGCCCCCGCTTTGCCGCAAGATGGCATGGAAGGGCTTGATCACTCTGGCCAGCGCGAGCCCACTGAGGCTGCGCCCTCGGAGTATCCCCAGTCCGAGATGTTTGTCGACCCCTCCCCCGAGGAGGAAGCGGAGCAAATAGCAGAATACCGGAAACAGCGCAAGACTGAGGCGGAGGAAGATCTCGAATTCCCCGATGAGATTGAGCTCCACCCGCATATGCTCGCTCGTGAGCGTCTGGCCAGATACCGTGGACTGAAGAGCTTAAGATCAAGTCACTGGGAAACGTCCGAGGATCGTGGACACGAACCGGAAGAATGGTATCGCCTTCTCGATGTGCCCAATTACAAGGGTGTCAGAAGCCAGGTCGCCAGGGAAGCCCTTGTCGGCGGTGTCAAGGTTAGTTTCAAAAACCCTCGGTTGGATTCTTGTGAACCACATTGTCTAATCAAGTTGAAATTGCATATAGCCCGGCACTCTTGTGGACATTCACCTCCGCAACGTGCCTTTGTCTCTGCAAAAGACTTACTCCCCAAGTGAGCCACTGGCAGTCTACTCCCTGCTGCGGCATGAGCATAAGCGCACTGTCGCGAACGTTAGCATGACGCTGTCCACGGATTACCCCAACCCAATAAAGGCCAAAGAGGAGTTGATCATGCAATGTGGCCCACGCCGAATTGTTATCAATCCTGTCTTCTCCGCCATGGGTAACTCGCCAAACAACGTTCACAAGTTTGACCGCTTCTTACATCCTGGCGCGACCACGATGGCTACTTTCATCGGACCTTTGACATGGGGTTCGGTACCAATACTCTTCTTCAAGAAGAAGTCTGCTGGCGCAACTGACGGAGACCAGGCGCCCTCAGCTAATGGCGACGAAGATAAAGAAATGGCCGTGGACGGCGAGGGTGAGGGTGAAAGTGACGATGCCAATGTTCCCTTAGAACTCATTGGTACCGGCACTGCCCAGGCTCCGGACCGAAGCCGTGTGGTTGCCAAGCGTGTCATTCTCACAGGACATCCGTTCAAGATCAATAAGAAGGTCGTCACGATCCGGTACATGTTCTTCAACACCGAGGACGTCGCGTGGTTCAAGGCCATGCCTTTGTGGACCAGACGTGGCCGCAGCGGCTTCATCAAAGAGAGCTTGGGTACTCATGGATACTTCAAGGCCACATTTGATGGTCCTATCAATCCCCAGGATGCCGTCGGCATCAGTTTGTATAAGCGTGTTTTCCCAAGGAGTGCCAAGCCATTTCACCCCGAGATGCTTGAGCAATGAAGGAAATCTTTAGCTTCCTCCTTCTGTCAAGCGTGCAGATCAGAGGGGATATGACATGATACAAAAATTATGACTCGGAATCAAATAGATGGCTTACGGATTACCCTAGTGTTTTGGTCAATGGTCTATGGTCTTTGGGCGGTAAATAGTCTTCTCGGGCTATGCACACCGATAGAGACTGATACTATTCAAGTTTGATTTAAAAGTAAAAGCATCATTATTGTGTAGATTTTAGGTTATGAATATATTCACATTGCCACCGCTTAATGCTTTTAATTCGATAGAATGCTTGCAGCGAACTTGAGGTGATGCGACGCAACAGGTGAGACCCAGTAGCCGTCAGTTCGGTAGACAAGCCGCCTGGCCGCTTCCCTCGTTCGCCTGTTCGCCTCCGCGTTTTCCAAGCGATATCGCCGCCACGCCTTTCTGGGATCTTCACATTCGCAGCACGCAACCGCGTTCCAATAACCAGTGACGCCGCTCGCTTTCAATTTTGGGTTTATCTCGAGATTGTCGCATGGTTATCAGGGCCTTTTGAGTCAAGAGAACTTTTCTGAGCGCTCCCTCCAGTCCGTTTGGACGCAACAACGTATTACGACTCTTTTTTAATTCTCTCCGACAATAACAAACCTCGAAAATGGGTGGCGGCGATCTCAATCTGAAGAAATCATGGCACCCCGTGCTGATGAGCAATCAGCGCCGGGTGTGGGAAGAGGAAAAGAAGGCGCTGGATGAGCGCAAGAAGATCGAACAGATCATGAAGGAGAGACAGGAGGAGCGACAGATTCAGGAACTGCAGCAAATGCAAGAAGCAGCCGGAGGAAATAAGCGGGCGAACCGTGTGGACTGGATGTATTCTGGTCCATCAGATGGTCAAGCCGGTACGACGGAGGAGATGGAAGGATATCTGCTTGGAAAACGAAGGATTGATCCTCTGATCAAGGGCACCGAGCACAAGAAGTTGGAGAAGGCGGCAGACGAGGGATCATTCATGGCATTGCAGAGCGCGAATACGGTTCGAGACACGGCAGCAAAGGTCCGGGACGATCCCATGCTTGCCATCAAAAAGCAAGAACAAGCAGCTTACGAAGCAATGATGAATGACCCGAGCCGGCGACGGCAGCTCCTTAAAGCAGCTGGTGCTGACGAGAAGAGTCGAGATTCAGAACGAAAACGCCATCGCCACCGACACCGTGATGATGACAGGGACCACTACCATAGAAGTCATCGAAGAAGGCGGGAAGACGATGAGGATAGACGCAGTCGTCGCTACGACGACAAAGATGACTATGGCGACTACCACCGGAGCAGTAGACGCAGAAGGGATGACGAAGAGGAAGATAGTTACCGGCGGCGTCACCACCATCGTCGGAGATCCTACACACCTTCTCGCTCAAGATCACGATCCCCCGGCCGTGAGAAGAACGGCTTGACTCGGCACAAATCACCAGATCGAAATGGCTACAGAAAAGACTACAGAAATGGGGATTCATACAGTCACCGTGAGCAGCAGGATCGTTCTGGCGAAAGGGGCCTCAAGGAGAGTTACTCCGGTCGAAATGGTTTTCGCAACGATTACAGGAATGGTCATGATCGTCAGCAAAATGGCAGTGGTAGCTCTGGACCATCGGCCGAAGAGACGCGTGCCGCGAAATTGGCCGCCATGCAGCAGGATGCATCTCAACTGGACACCGATCGTGAACAAAGACTGGCGGCTATTGCAGAGAGGGAGAAAGCTGAGCGCGAGTCAGAAGATGCAGCACGGGCTCGGTCCTCCAAGTTTGGTGGTAGAGGTGACTTTATCAGCGGCCTTAACAGAAAAGCTGGCGAGCTTGACCTTGGAGAGCGTGTCCGACGGGGAAGAGGCGGCCTTGAGCGTGGTGGCCGTGACGAATGACATGCGACTTAGGACTTCTCCATCTTGATTTTATGCGCGCCTTTATGGCAGCTAAACCCAACAGTGATGAGCGCAGGAGTCAGGACCCGAAGATTATCTTTCATCGAGATCATGGACTATAGTGGAGGCTATCCTGTATTTGCTTGCTCAGATGTCACTAGCAAACCAAGGGTCTGAGACCCTCAATCATGGAGTCATTTACACGCCACGAGATTCACATCTGCGGTATGACGAACCTTCACTCCGGTACAAGGTGAAATTTCATTACCGTCATCCTTCAGCTTCATTTGCTTGGGCTATTCATATGTCCAAATAGTCCTGCCGACTTGGAGTGCCCTTCGCTCCATCAAAGGGCGTATTATAAGGTGCTGTCGGCTCCTACATCTTTTTTATGATGAAAAGAGCGACACTACGCTTTGCAAGTTTGGCGTGCTACAATCATTGGCAACCCATATACGACTTGTTACAAATTCTCTTCTCGGCGCAGGGATGAAGACAGATTGCCAGTCATTCAGAATAATAGTATTATTTCTCTCATTCTTTTGGCTCTTGCCCAGGAGGAGCTGGTTAGTACCGTCATAGGCACAAGAAGATATGATTTCTGGACAATTTAGCATGTCTTATTGCATAATGATTCTTGGTTGTTTGTCTATGCTTGTGTGATCGCACGTGCAGTAACCGTTGAGTACAAAAATTAATGTCCCGGCTGAAAGCAAAATATACTCTGGAAACTATTTCAAGCCTCGAACGGTTTTCAATATGTAGAAGAAATGTTAAATGGGTATTGTGACAAATTGATAGAGTACTCTGTAATGCGAGTAAGAATTCGTCCGCGGGGTTGCATTCGATTCTTTTGCATTCTGCGGCGGTCGGTTAAACCTCCCCATTCTTCAGTTATGCGTCTACCCCCACCGAGGTATCGGCGGGTTCAGCCACCATCGCCGAAGCCGCAGGGTCCCTGATTACAGTATCATGACTGAGCGCTGACACAGAGTGATTTTCGAAGTTAATTCACAATCACAATTGCAACGCCCCTCCTGTCAATACCCTCCAATTCTCCACTATTCTAATTTTCAACGCTTGAAGTTTTTCGTTTCTAGCCACAAAAATGAGCGAACAACTTCCAGCGCACGTCTCGCCCGTGCTGGAACCGGTCGAGTATCCATTTGCTCAGACGATTTCTGATCTCCGCCATGAGAATCCCCCGCCAGCACTCATCAGTCCAGCTTTTACGCCGCCCGCGACACCTGGGACAGGGACTCCTGCGATAAGTCGTGAGGCGGAATCAATACCGGTCGATACGTCAAATGAAGAGCCACAACGGCTTCTCGAGGCGCTGCCGGAGGTCAATTGCGTCGTGCGCGCACGTATCCCTACAACTACCGGCACTGAAATGTTTCTTCATCTGTACCAGAATAATGTTGACAACAAAGAACACTTGGCTATAGTATTTGGCTCGCAAATCCGATCCCAATCGTTAGATGCCCCGCGGCCGGGCGAGACAGAAATGGATCGAATGATACGAGGCGCTTACACGGGGAGATTGTACCCTGGACGAACATCCAGTCGATTAGAACCACAGTCGGGGCCGAGTCAGCAACAGAAACTTAAGAGCGTGGTGGATCAGATAGGACACAGTTCTCCTGTTCCTAGCGCTGTACCACGCCAGCCTCCTTCGAAGATTACCAGCGCACCATCATCATCACCATTGTCATCTAATAATCCTACGCCTACCTCTTCAGCAGCAACAGCACCTCCCGCTTCCATTAACTCACCTCTTGTCCGAATCCACTCTGAATGCTACACTGGCGAGACCGCCTGGTCTGCTCGCTGCGACTGCGGAGAGCAACTCGACGAAGCGGCACGGCTTATGGCACTACCGTCTGCGAGCAGCAGCGGCGGCGTTATCATCTACCTACGGCAAGAAGGTCGAGGCATTGGGCTCGGCGAAAAGCTCAAGGCATACAATCTGCAGGACCTGGGATCCGACACGGTAGAGGCAAACCTGATTCTGCGCCATCCCGCTGATGCGCGTAGCTATGGTCTCGCCACGGCGATGCTGGTAGACCTCGGGCTCGGAGGCGATACGGGCATTCGGCTCCTGACGAATAATCCGGACAAGATTCGTGCGGTGGAGGGGCCCAACCGTGAAGTCACGGTCAAGGAGAGAGTGGCCATGGTTCCGCTTGCCTGGCGAAGTCATGGCAAGCAGGGGTTTAATAGTCCGGAGGTGGGCGGATACCTGCGCACCAAGGTGAGTTTCTTTCCGTCTACTGAAGAGTATATTGATTCAGTAGAGTATTATTGAAGAGTATATTGATATTAACTTTTTTGACAGATTGAGAAAATGGGCCACATGTTACAAATGAGCGAGGGCTTTTGATTAAAAGTTGAGCATTGGAGCGGAGCATTTTGTACAGCAATTCTTATAGGCTTTGTTTCTCATTATTTCTTTATTACTTGTGTACATTTATCCCGCAGTACAAAGTACAGGGGAGAATAGTTTCTGGATAAACTTTGTTAGATATCCTTATCTTCTTTCTTATTTATCCTCTTTTTACATGTACAAGGCTTGATCATCCTCGTTACCCCATGTTTCGAATCCATGGGTCGGTATATTGTTTATATCGTTTCTTCTCTGTATCTAAGTCAGGCTTCATGTACAGCGAAAGAGTTGCTGTGAATATATAATGAATATTAATTTCCCTTGTGCTCATCAAATTTATATTCGTTATTATTTTCATCATGTATATGGTCATTGTGTTTTTATTTTATTTTATTTTAATCTATTTCCATTGTATAGCTAGTGAGCGGTATTCAGCACGCAGCCAGGGATGAAGCCATGTAAAACACGTGGGGCTCACCGTTCGCGAACCTGTACGGTAGGTAATCCGGTATCCCCACATTTTACCTTAGTTATATAACCCGCGAGTTCTCGACCCATTGCTTTGAAATGGTTGATTACTACAGTACTCTACTGTATAGCGCTCCCTGCGCTGTAGGCTTTGCATACTGCGGTACTTCTCTGAACATTGATACTTACCTGGTCTTTTAGTGAATATTGTACTTATATCTGCAGCACGTCATTCACGCTGGGCCTCGGACTGCAGGACTGCAATTGCTGTGCACGGATATGATGTGATTTGTGCACTTCGCACGTCTACCTACCTACAGTATTGCAATTCCAGTCCCATAGTACAAAGTTCAAAGTACAAAGTACAAAGTACGGATAGAGAGATAAGGTAAAAGGTGGTGGGAGTAGGAGGTACACGTAGTGCGGCACTGGTTAACTACGGTAGGTAATATTGAGCATGAGTACCCTGTAGGTCGATTGTCGAGGGCGCAGGAGGTGTCTATGGATTACTGTAGTATTGTATCGCTCGACTGCAACGACTGACAGCAGCCGGCAGTATGCCGGTCTGGTGGGAGAGCACAGCATCTAGCATACCGTACAAAGTACGAGTGGCTCTATACAATAGCATCTAACCTTCAAACATACTGCATACACTGCATAGAGGACAAAGTACAAATACAGAACGAGAATAATGCGGATCTTGGATCCTGGATCCTGATATCGGATATCGACTGGGGAACATCAGTTAGCTCATAACTCATAGAGGACAGAGTGTACCTTTGTACAAGTGGTGGATGGTGGACTACGTAGTACCGGCAATCGGCTTGGCATTACGGATAGCAAACCGATCCAAAGTATCTGTACTTGCGAGCATGAATGATACATGGGGTATAGAAGTATAGATACACAAGTCTTATCAAACGGATGCTCAAGGATCCAACCACCTTTGATTTAGTGTGGTGGCGTTCTCGTAGGTGCCGCCGACCGCACCGAACTCGGCCTGACGTACCAGAGAATAGATGATACTGTGTCTGCTATGATGTATATTGTAAAGGATATGAATGTCAATGATTCATGGGAATACCAGATATCTACTGAGTATAGAGTCATTGAGAGAGGGTCTCTTTGGTATGATTAATTGTAAGATGGTAAAGATCAGTAACTGTGGCCGGCAGATAAGTGATAGTGGCAGCAAGAATGGTGTGGTGCCAGGTACAGAGTTTATTCGGCGGATTAGATCAACCTTGTTTTAGTCAGACAGGGGTCGGGATGAGATAATTCGGTCCCGACAGACCACAAGAATCGTCCCTTACACACGTCTCTTGTAGTGGGAGAGGATAAGTTAGTGGGAGCGCAACGCTTACCTCAACATGGTGTTCTGGCTGGGTCGGCTGTTGTCAGCAAATCCACCCGTTTGGTCCCCCGGTGCCGAAATTTATATATGCTATCTCTCCCTCGTCTCGACACTTTTCTCATCATCACCATCATCATCATCATCACCACTTCTACAATTAACCACATCTTCCGTTAATTTTCATACATTTCTTCAAAATGTCTTCCGGCATCGCTCGCATCCAGCACCCCGCCCCGGCCTTCAAGGCCACCGCCGTCATTGACGGTTCTTTTGAGGGTATGTTCCCCCCAGTCCTGGTTGAAGTCAACATCTTTCATCTCAATGATTAAATGGTATTAATATTGAGTGTAGAGGTCCAGCTCTCCGACTACACCTCCAAGGGCAAATGGGTCATCCTCGCCTTCATCCCCATGGCCTGGACTTTCGTCTGCCCCACTGAGATCATCGCCTTCAGCGACTCGGTTGCCGAGTTCCAGAAGCGTGGTGCTGAGGTCCTCTTCGCCTCCACCGACTCCGAGTACAGCTTGCTCTCCTGGAGCACCACTGCCCGCAAGAACGGCGGTCTCGGCGAGGTCAAGATCCCCTTGCTCTCCGACAAGAACCAGAAGATTAGCCGTGACTATGGCGTCTTGATTGAGGAGGCCGGTGTCGCCCTCCGTGGTCTCTTCCTCATTGACCCCAACGGCATCCTTCGCCAGGTTTGTCTCACCTCCCCTCAATCTTTTATCATCCCCCCCGGACTATACTAATTCTGATAGATCACCATCAACGACCTTCCCGTTGGCCGCAGCGTCGACGAGGCCGTCCGTCTTGTCGATGCCTTCAAGTTCACCGACGAGTTCGGCGAGGTCTGCCCTGCCAACTGGAACCCCGGTGCCGAGACCATCAAGGCTACTCCCACCGACTCCAAGGAGTACTTCAACAAGGTTCACGGCCAGTAAATTTACGATTCCCTCTCACATTTCAGTCACACATGATAAAGATGCATGTGTAAAAGCCACGGGAGTTGACTAACTCCTGGTCCTTTGATGCTGCTACGTATAATCTTGCTAGATGGCTTAGAGCTAGATCTCTATTTGCTAGACCTGCATTGGCGCTTTCCACTTTTCCTTTGTTATAGACAGCATAGCGCTAAATAGACTTTTTTTTTTACCTACCACTTGTCAAATGCCATGGTCAATATTGTGAACGTTACATGCATATCAGTCTTTCCACACTGCTTTATCTGTTATCGATATTGACAGTCATCTGCCCAGCATTTCTTCTGCATCACGCCCTCCACGGCGTCGACGGCGGCGCACCCCACCCAGATCCCTCCTCCTCGCTCTCACTATCCTCACTATCCTCTTCCTCTTCCCTCCCCTCTTGTTTCCTCTTTTCCCGTCTTGCCCCCCTCCGTCTCTCCCGCTCCTGGTTCTCTTCTCGCCACTTGACCACGGCAGGCGGCAGAACCGACATATCCGGATCCTGTCGCTTCTCCAGCGGGACCTCGCGACCGTCCACCCGCTGCTCGACCAATGCTTTGAGACGCGCTTCTATTGCTTTACTCGTCTGCTGTCCTTGACTTGTCTGCTGCTGTGTTTCGTGGCTTGACGGGCGCTGTTGTATTTCGTGGGTTCCCTCGGTTGACGAGGGCGGTTCTTCTGCTCCGCCGGCCCGAGCCCAGCCATTGGGATAATTAGCCAGATACAATCTACACGCATGAAGCTGCATGTCCACTTCGACTGCAATTTCGTCCGGACTCAGCGCGTGGTGCGCGAGCACGGTCCCGTCGGGCGCAAAGGCACGTAGGACCCCGTCGTTGCCGAGGTGCGTGGTGCTTTTGTTTTTGCCGTTGTTTTTGCCGTTACCGTTGTTTTGACTATTGTTGTTGGTGGCGGTGGCGGTGAGGGACGTATGGATTGCCTGGACGTGGGAGTGTGCGGGTGTGTCATTGTTTTGAGTACCACTGTTGTTGTTGTTGTTGGTATCGTCGTTGGCGGCGGTGGTGGTGGTGGTGGTGGTAGCGCGAGTCTTGTCCATTGTGCAGGCACTTATTCTTGTCTTTATACAATGTAAGGTAGTTTCTAGTTATTCGACTTGTAGTGTTGGATTTGAGGTTGAGGTCGTTTAAATGTTGTATGTTGTATGTTGTATGTGTATGTGTATGTGTATGTGTATGTAAGGTAGTCTGTAGTTGTCTACCTGTATGCCTGTATGCTGTATGCTGTATGTATGTCCTAGCTCTAGCTCGGGACTCGAGTTGCAGATGGTAGAATGGTACAATTCTGGTAGAATGTGAAATTGGAATGTTGATGTTGTATTTGTTACTTTAATCGATGCAATTGCTCTTATGCCCGTGAGAGCCGGAGACGGGGAGGGGAGGTGGTATAACAATGAGAACGGTGAGTAAATAACAATATGAGGACAACGGATAAATAACAATCAAATAGAAACTTGGCTTGGTTGGCAGACTCTACCACTGGCACTGGACACGTCAAGGTATAGGTCAACGTAACGGTCAACGTCAATGTCAGTCAGGTGGCTCGTATAACTTTATATCAGTGGCCTGACTGCTACCGCTGAGTGCTGACTACTGATTTCTACTGCTGACGCTGACTGCGCGCAACAGTAGAAGCAGTAGACGAACGAAACTAGACTGACGAGCAGGGCAGTGGGGGCTATAACTTGTCTTGTATGTAAATTTATATTTAAATTTTGTCTAGGTAGGTATGAAGGCAGACTTGAGTTTATGCGATTGAGTCAATTATAGTCATCAGCTATATTTCTCAGCTATATTTCTCAGCTATATTTCTCAGCTATATTTCTCAGCTATAGCTATCACTTATAGTTATCAGTTATCGGATGACGATATGTTGATCTGTCGAAATGTTGATGATGTTGATGCGTTAGGGACTAGACATTAAGCGTTATGCGTTAGGCAACAGCGTCATTATTTTAGTCTTTAGAATCGTTGTATTAGTCTTTCGTCTCGTCTTATGTCTTGTATGTCTTTAGTCGACAATTGACAATTGACAAATGACAAGTGCCAAGTGACGCCACTAAGTCCACGTGTGGATTACGGACTACGGACTACGGACTACAGAAGAATGTATCCGTACCTGTATCTGAAAAATAAATTGAAACCAACAGGCATAGAATAGGAATAGAATAGGAACAGAGTATGATAGGATAATAGGATAACAGAGGATGAGCAGAAGAACCGAGGACCAGGACTAGGACGCGTCCAATGGTCCCATGACGAGGCCAGACATCATAGGTCATAGGTCACGATTCACGAGCATACCTGTACCTGGCATATGGCATATGGCATATAACATCCCTCATCCCTGCTGCCCTGCTGCCCTGCTGCCCTGCTGCCCCGCCTGCAGCGCTACGTACAAGTATCTATACAGCGGGACGATGGGACGATGGGACGCTGGGACGGTAGGTTGGTGGGTTGATGGGTTGGATGTATGGAGTACGAGTAACAAGAATAACAATAACGTCCCTGCATGCGAGGAGCGAGGATAGATCTACTACAGAGTACAGTCGATAGACTACAGACTACGATGATAGGGCTCTGTGTATGAAGGCTCTGTATCTGTACCATATATCTGAGAGCCTGGTATATGTATAAGTAGCTTGTCTTCGTCTTTAACAAAAGGGTTAAAAAGGAGGGGCGGGGCTAAATCAAAGGGGGAAAAAAAGAAAGAAAAGAGAAGAAAAGAGAAGAAAAGAAAAGAAAAGAAGCTACCTGATTTTAGTAGTAGAGATGGTAATGAAGGTTATATGAGATATATAGGGATGATGATATCAACAAATGGATTGTATATATAGGACAATTCAGCAAACAGAGGTAGATCCGAACATTGAACGATAGATACAAGGACATGATAAAGAATAGTCAGACATGATAAAATAAATATAATGAATACACATAAATAGATATATAAAGACATAATAAACAGGTAGATAATAAATGACAAAACGAGTAATTAATCAAAATTACTCTGTAATACGCATCTTTTCGTCGACCTCCTTTTGCAACCTCTCCGCTTCCTTGTCCGCGTCCTCCTCACCCTCCCCTCCTGCCCCTGCCTCCGCCTCCGCCTGCTGCGACTCCTTCTCCCGCTCAAACTGCTTCTCGACGACCTGCAACTCGCGTTCCTGGCGCGCGACATTCTCGCCAATGACATCCTCAAAGCCAATCTTCTCGAGAATCTTCCCCACGAGGTAGCGATACTTCAAATGTCCACTGACGAGCTCGCTCACATTGACATTTTCCACGCCGGGGACTCCGGCTATGGCCTGTAAGCCTGCAATGCCATACTGAACTGAGCTCGTGCGGTACAAAAAGGCCAAGATGTAGTCTCGTTCCGAGTAGACATTGACCACGCGGCCTGCCACGACGGCGCGCACGTTGCGCCAGTCCGAGGAGTCCGAGGGGGTCGGGGCGCCCATGAGGACGACAGACTCGACAAGCCCAAAGGCCCGGCGGGCCGCGAGGTGCTGGAGACAGGAGTAAATGACCCGCGCGCCGAGAGAGTAGCCGATCAGCGTGACGGGCCGCTGGCCCTGGGCGCGGTTGATGAGGGCGTCGGCGAGGACTTCGCCGGCCTTGTCGCCCCGCGTGCGCGCGATGCTGAACGGGTTATCCACCACGCGGGAGATTTTGAGCAGTCCCAGTGGCCACAGCGCGGCGGTCAGACTGGCGAAGATGGTGCGTTTGATGATTTCGCTCTTGGCGTAGCCCCATGCCGCGCTCTTGACCATGGCCGTGAGTGCGTTGCCCAGTGAGAGGAGCGCTTCGAGTTCCCATCGCAGAGCGAAGATTTCGGACCCGTGCCCTAGCACGCGCCAGGGCCGAGTTATTTCGTCTTGCGACGTAAGCCAGCCGCTGATCCCGATGGTGATGCGTAGTCTGTGGTCTTCGGAAGCAGAGGCGGCGGGGTTCTTGTTGTCAGACTCGGAGGTAATAGGAGCTCTGGAGGAAGAAGAGGAAGAAGCCTGGGGAGACTTGGGCCCGCGCACAGGAACAAAGGCAAAGTCCGATACTTCTTTTGCGTAATTATCCATCATTTGCCCCGTCATGCGCCCGCCATATGCGCCAAACAGGCTCCCCACGACGACGCTGCTTCCAGCCAAGGTTCCCAGGTATCCTGCGGCGGCGGTCGCGCCGAGCCCAAGTCCGCCCATGACGCTGCCGATTCCGGCGGCGACAAGAGGAGCGGCCAGGCCGCCAGTGACGCCGATGAGTGCGGCGCCGGCTACAGATGCGAGTCCGACTTTCCATTTGCGCGAGATTTTGTTTTCTTCTGCCTTTTTGGCAGTTTCTTCGTCGCCGCTCATCTCCTTGGCTGCTTTCAGCAGGCCTTGGGCGACCTTTGTCTCATCCTCGGCAAGGATATTGATGGGTAGTCTGAGACTGCTAGTCAGGTAGAGCAGAAGAATGCGTGAATCTGCAGTATACTGCTCGAGACTGAGCAAGAGAAGAAGCATCGAGTGTAAGATGAGGATGCGCGTTTCTTCGGGCAGATTGGCCAGCGGAGTGGAAATTGGAGGGAATAGTTCTAATAACGCAGCAGATACGGTCTCAGTGGGAGCGTTTTCTCGGACTTCTTTTGTTTGGCCAGTACTCTCATCGACGTGTCCTGGCTTGGCCTCGTGCTTTTGCTGCTGTGCTTGTTGAGGAGAATTGACTACCTCGCCGACTCGTCGTAGTACACTGTCCCGCCATTCGTCGAATGCTTCTAATGCTGCAATTTTTAACTCTTGCACCTCTGGTTTTGCTAGTTCTCGTGCCTGCTGCTCTTGCTGCTCCTGTCGTTTGCGTAGTTGGTCGGCCGCATCGTCGGGGTTGTTGGAAGAGTCTGTGTCGGTGTTATGGGGCTCATCTTGTACGGTAAATGTATGAGAGATCCGCTTGCGCATTGTCTCAGTAACGCTTGCAATCAGCAGTGTGAGGTCACTGCATTGATGCGCGTCCAGGACGGTCCGCAGAGACTGATCATCGCCTTGGGACTCCTGCGTGTCCTCCTTTGAGGACCACGGCATTTGTTTGAACATGGCGATCCAGATTCCTGTCTTGGTGGTAGATTTATGGGGAAATCTGTACCATGTGATCTTCGTCACAGTGATGATTTGAAAAGGCAGGTTTGGACCATGCCATATATACTATAAACAATGAAGCTCTCAAGGGATGAGGTAGATAGGCGGTTCGCTTGCATGACGTCAATCCATCAACATTCGGACTGCAGTTCGCTTCTTCTTTGGGTGGTAGATCAACATCCTCATCATCGAACTTGAACACATGTATTCCCAGTCACGGCGTCAAATTTCTCACGGAAACAATTGTGAAATGGCACTTGGAGATGAAAGTGGTATTGTAATCTAATTCAAAAGTCTATTTGATTTATTGATTCTTGTCATGTCCAATATGGCCCGAATAGTCGTAGACAAACCTGAGTCATGGTAGGTCTTGATAATAGCCTCTCAATTCTCAGAAAGCGCCTGAGATCCGCTGCCATTATTGCGTCTTGTAATCCAGTCTGGATTGCCGTTTCGCAGAGCCAATCTGGAGTTGATATCTCGCCATTGTCGCTCCGTCATCATTTTGGCATTCTGGTGGAGGAAATGCTGTTTGAGTCCGAGGATTCTATTTTCCACCAACGTGGTTGAAGGAAATGCTCGGTGGGAAAGAGCTAAAGTCGTATTCTTCGCGAACCATTTTCAGCTGAGATTGATCGAAGAGATCGTCGGGAATATGTGGATCAGACATACGTCCATTTTCAATGGAGCTCGTCTTTCCCTTCCGAGCTGCCGTTTCAAGAAGAACAATTATAATGATCTTCCCGAGAGTCTTCTGGCGATGTGGAGGTAGATCGTAGGCGAGACGGTAATCAATAATCGCTCCGTTCATGTACTGTTTTCTTTGGTGCTTTCGACAACAAAAAATCTTCCAATCTTCTGTGACGTAGAACCCAAAACATCCCAGTCTTCTGCACCCTGCGTGTTCACCTTTGCCTCAGACTTTCGGCGTATGCGTCGGCCTCGGCCGACAATCTCTTCCTTGGCGAATGCTTCCTTGAGATGATCCAGACCAATGGTCTGTTCCAGCTCCGCCTCGGCAGTTTCATCGCGTAGGCTACTCAATGGCCTGACTCCATCTGTATTGACACTCTGAATCTCCTTCACAAAGTGTAGTTGCGACCCCAGAGTCTTGAGCATTTCAGCCTCTTCCTCGGGAGATTTAGGGAGCGGTAAAGCGGAGAGGCGAAGCAGGTGATGGAGCTCTTTCTGGGTGATCTCGGCCGTACTATCCTCAGCGGTCTGAGGCAGAAGCGATCGTACGGACCATGTAGGTTTGGAAAGCATCGAGGAGATATCATTGGCATTGGATTTGGACGAGTTGGTGCGCCTACACTCAAATAGAGTGCCTCGGAGTTGCCAGATACCAAGGCGTTGGAGGTGGCATAACGGTTGACGAATTCGTAATGCTATCGACATTGTGCCAATTAATGGAGACACTCAAGAGTAATATATTAATCTCCCGAGGTGTCTTCACAATACTCTTGCAAGGAGTCCGCAATAGTTAAGAGTTGTTGATGCTGGCAGAGGAAGGAGAGGTCTCCGTTTACGCCTAAAAGGGAAGGTTTCGCGACTGTGGCTGGAGTGGATTTAGTGGCTGGTGTAATCGGGCACGATAACGCCCCATGTGTTGATCCCCAGCTCTCTGACAAGCGTCATAACCACCCTGTCAACCAACAAACTCTTCCATCTTCCAGTCGCATATCTCACCCTTGTGTCTTTCTTGCTGGAACCGAAGCGTTTCAATTTTAGATCGTCATCATGGCACAGGATCCCAGAGTGCTACTGCAGCAGGTATAAGCTTAACCCCGCCGCATTCCTAGGGAGCAAGGTTATTAACTACTGCTCTTCCAGGCAGACAAATTAGTATCAAGCGCCAGTGGTGGATTCAGTTTCTTCGGAGGCCGGACAGAGAAATTTGAAAATGCAGCAGATTTATATGTCCAGGCAGCCAATGCGTTTCGAATGCAGAAGCAGGGTATGTCTCCCTCGACGAAACGCTTTCCAACCAAGCACACCTTCTCAGATTGCTGATTATGCGCTTCGATAAAGGCAAGGAAGCTGGACTCGCGTTTGAACGAGCGGCGAGTATCCAAACTGAGAAGCTCAATGAGCCCGATGATGCCGCAAATTCCATGACCGAAGCATTCAAAGCATACCGAAAGTCTGATCCCGAAGACGCTGCGCGGGTCCTAGAGCAGGCCATCTCTCACTACACTTTGAAGGGCAACTTCAGAAGAGCGGCGACACAGAAACAGAATCTTGCAGAACTTTACGAGGTTGAACTCGGAGACCAAAAACGAGCTATGGATGCCTACGAAACAGCTGCCGGTTGGTTCGAAGGCGACAATGCGGAAGCGTATGACCCCTTTACCTCGCAACATACATTTGAGCATTGTATTTTAATCATCAATTTTGCAGACTCGCAAACAAGCTTTGGCTCAAGCTTGCAGAACTTGCGGCTCTCGAAGGCGACTACTACAAGGGCATCGAGAACTTTGAAAAGGTGGCCAAGACATCTGTCAATAACAACCTCATGAAGTATTCGGTCAAGGAATATCTTCTGAAAGCAGGCATCTGTCATCTTGCTACAAATGTATGTGTTATACGAATGCTGGGTATATAATTGCAGCTAACAGAAGGCCAGGACATGGTCGGTACTGGACGAGCGATCGAAGGCTACCGTGAATTGGACCAGACTTTTGCGTCTACGAGAGAGCATCAACTTCTCGTAGACTTGGCAGAAGCGGTTGAACAAGGTGACCAAGAAGCCTTTTCTGATAAGCTATTTCAATTTGACCAGCTGAGTAAGCTGGACAAGTGGAAGACGACGCTTTTGCTGCGTGTGAAGAATAACATTGAGGAAAAGGGAGAGGACTTTTCGTAAATTTGGCGCTTTGAGAGCATATGATTTTGGGAACAATAACACAGTTTGATCATTATACTAATAGTTTATGAATGAGATATCATCCTTACTATCATTTAACGGCTAATAAATTTCGCGTTGCATATCATTTTCCTACCCAAAATACTTGATTCTCACTCTACATAAAAATGATATGATATCATACATTCAGACTCCGCTTGATTGGAGGGTAAAGAGGAAATTGAAAAAAAAAAAAAGAGGGAGATATTTTGGCATTATAGTCTGGAATAGACTCAACTAAAAACCCCATAAATGTCAAATAAGAATAAATTGATAAGGAACGGTAATGAAGGTGTCTGGTCGTCTCACGGTTTCGTGGCGGAATGAAGCGTCTGGAGGATTAGTCATCAGCCGTCACTCGCCGCAGTCGCATATCGGGACCCTAAAAAGTCGGAGACTGTCTGGGACTCTGTCAACAATCAACGAGACACTGAAACGTGCCGCCCGTCGATCGATCCTCAGCGGCTTTATTGCTCAGCTGAGTCCTGCAAATCCGGATGCATGCAGTGACATGGCGCGCTCTGCGGTTGCTGCCCGGGAATGCCGTACGGAGTAGCTGCCGTACCATTGGAGGCCGCCGTTACCGCGCCCCAATCCGTGCCTTTCATCGATCTGCAATTGCGTATGCCAGTCCTCAAGACCCCTCGGATACGAAACCACCGGCATGGAGACAGAACGGAGAGGAGAAACCCGCCGAAGAGGAAGCAGATGAGGGAAGAAACAACCCCGAAGTGACGGAAAACGATGGTCTACCTGAACCGACACCAGAACAGTTGCAACGCGGTCAAGACAAGAACTCAACCTATGGCTCTGCAGCGCGGAGGTCAATGCGAAACCGAAAATCATCTCAACCCCCACCTCAACTACCCCCAGTGGTTCTGCCCGAATGGTTCTTCGAAAGAAGAGTGAAACTCTGGGACAACTTAGAATCCGGAGCGGAAGGATCGCCGAGCCTGGGCGTTTTCAAAGGGACAGAAGGAGACGCTCCGGCGTTCGATCCTCTCAAGGATGGAACACCCCGTGAACAGGATCAATTTCGCTACGTGTTGCCAGAGGATATCTGGAACGAAGTCAAAGCAACGGTTAGAGCTGGGCTCAAACTTCCGACCACGCGCTTCACCGACGATTTCACTCCCGACAAGCGGAACCTCTTGCTACAATGTCCTCACGATGGTGGAATATACTTTCTTGATGAGGTCGTTGCCTCCGTCGCAAAAGCGCTCAAATGTGATGTCGTGCAACTCGACTCGCAAGACTTGGCCGAGTTTGGCGGCGATTACCTTACGGAATCCTCCATTCGTTCGCTCAGCTACGATACTTATCAAGGCGTGTCTACACAGAGTGGAAAGGAGGCAGAAGAGGAGGAAGACGATGACGATGACTTTGCGGGCGAGGACGAAGATGAGGAAGGAATTCCTTCACGGTCAAATTCGTCACGGCTTGGCAATCCGTCAATCTCAAAAGTTAGCGCGATACCCATTGGAACATTTGCTGGAAGCCTAGAGGACCTTTTCAAGGGCGCAAAGGTCACCAAGCTTGGCGATGGAGCGGGCTCCAATGGTGCTCTCGAAGACTCTGCGCTAGGCTTCGGTCGGGGCAGGGGAGGGCCTTTGGAGAACTGGGAAGAATTGAAGTTTTCTGCATTTCTAGAAGCATTGGTAGACTCTCCCCGCCAAAAGAGAGCAAAATCTGGTTGCGAAGTTCAAACATCAGAGGAGAGAGGAACCATTGTACTCATCAAGGATTTCAAAGAGATTCAGGAAACTGCACGGGGCGCTAGAATGATCCACAAGATCCAGCAGGGCGTCGTCAAAAGAAGAAACCTGGGGCAGAAGGTGATTATGCTTGGAACAGTGGCTGCGCAAGAGTTTATGCCTTCATTTACGAAGTGGGGCATTAGAGCTGCGCAAACACAGGGAGAAATGGGCGACAACCATGGCCGAACCATTGTGGTGCCGCCCTCAGGTTATTCCGCCAAGGCAGACGTTTTCCATCAAGACGAGGTGCAACGGACACGGGAGATCAACACCAGACATTTGCGAGATATGATTCGCCGCCTCAGCTCCGATGCAGATCTTACCAATGAAATTTGCGACCAGATTGATGTTCGTATTAACACAGCCGAAGGCGCGTCTATTGGCATTGAGGATTCAGTTTGGTCTTTTGACAGAGTACACCGAGTAGCCGTCACCGTGCTTGGTCTGCTAGAAGATGGCCAGGTGTTGGAGCCGGGCCTGATAGACCGAGCACTGGAGCTGCTGAACCGAAGCGACAATAGCAAATTCAGAATGGCGGCAGAAGAAAAGGAAGTCTCGAAGCAGGAGAAGCTGATGGAGGAATCTGTAACAGGAACACCCAACCAGCGCCCTTCAAAAGGTCTAGAATTGGAAGAACGGATGAAAAGGTTACGAAAGACTTGCAACTCGCATGAGAAGAAGTTATTAAATGGAGTTGTAAAGCCTGGTATGTCTTGCATCCCACAAAAGTTTACGCCCTTTTATCCAGTTATACCTAACTGATTCCACTAGAAAACATCCATACGGCCTTTTCTGACGTCCGAGCTCCATCTGAAACGGTGGACGCTCTGCGGACCTTGACGTCACTGTCATTGATCCGCCCAGAGGCATTCACGTACGGTGTCCTGGCCACCGACAAGATTCCCGGTCTGCTTCTGTACGGCCCACCAGGCACTGGTAAAACCCTACTTGCCAAGGCTGTCGCAAAGGAGAGCGGCGCTACGGTTCTTGAAGTCAGCGGATCCGAAGTGTACGACATGTACGTCGGCGAGGGCGAGAAGAACGTCAAGGCCATTTTCAGCTTGGCCCGAAAACTGAGCCCATGCATTGTCTTCATTGACGAAGCGGATGCCATTTTTGGATCACGTGGCGGGCACTCCAGCCGGACCAGTCACCGTGAACTGATCAACCAGTTTTTGCGCGAATGGGATGGCATGAACAACTTGTCTGCTTTCATCATGGTGGCCACAAATCGACCATTCGACCTTGACGATGCCGTCCTGCGTCGTCTTCCGCGGCGCTTGCTCGTCGATCTGCCCGTCGAAGCGGACCGTGAAGCCATTCTCAAGATTCATCTCAAGGACGAGACTCTTGATCCTAGCGTATCGCTGGCTGCTCTCGCATCCCAGACACCATTCTACTCTGGGTCCGACCTCAAGAACCTTTCCGTTGCCGCGGCGCTTGCCTGCGTGCGTGAAGAAAACGACGCAGCGGCGAAACATGAGGGGCCCGAACCTTACAAGTACCCGGAAAAGCGAACATTGAGTCAGCGCCACTTTGACAGGGCGATGGAGGAAATCAGCGCCAGCATCAACGAGGACATGAGTTCCTTGACGGCCATTAAGAAGTTTGACGAAAAGTATGGCGATCGCAGGTCCCAGCGAAAGAAGGCGCCGACATGGGGATTCGCGACTGCTCCTGAGGAGGTCCGAGACACAAAGCCTGTCCGGAGCTAAATTGGTCTTCTTTCGAAATGGATTGGGATAAAGGACAAGCGGCAAGGGATTATTTATACTGTACATTACGTGTATCAATAGCGCATTATGGATCGGAGCATTCGTGGCTAGATAGATTATTCTTTCAATTTACAGATGAAACATTATGACTATTCATATCAATGGCATCGAACGGTGTGTATATATTGTAGATTGTAATGGTTGAGATGTGACTGCGGAGGACAGTCTGCCCCGCTCTGCTCTGCCGAGGGGGTCCCTCCCCTCGCTCTTTCCGTGATCGACGCCAGGATTGTTGTCGTAACGAGTCCTACGAACCATTGAAGACCGAAATATCCTCTTTTTTTCGCACATCTAAAATTGTACCCAATTTTGACGGCTGATCTTCTTTCGTTCCTCATTCGCGATGCTAGACTATTGCATTTGGCCTTGAATCTCTTTGCGGATGATCCTCTCGCGCCGCCAACGCATTTCAACACCAACCGCCAACGTCATGTCATCTACTAACTAGTACCGGCGGACCCTCGACAAAATAAAATCTCCCCGCAGCTCACCGCAGTCTTATTCTGCCAACCTGCACCCCAACCTGCAATTGAACCTTTTCTCTCCAATTTGTTAATACTGTCAACAAACCACGCTCTCACTCTCACTCGATTCGCAATCGCATTATCCAATTCCCCCAAGTCCAACTCCTTCAAATTGCGCCCTCTTAGCTCTTACCCGTCCTAGCTCTCAGCTCTCCTAGCTCTCTTCCATCACACTACTTTCCCCCCCACCAACATACCCCCCAGCAACACACTATCCAACGTACACTCTACATCCAAGGATCGCACACATGCAGCATTCCAACATCCCCAACCTGCCCAGCCTGTCCGCCACCTCTCCGCTCGCGCTCGCCGCCCTGGAGAACCCCAAATCCGGCATGTCCGCATCCACCGCCGCCGCCGTGCGCCGGCGCTACCTCTCGCGCAACAGCAACAGCAACCCGACCGACCCCACCGGCTCCGCCGCCAAGCGCAGCGAAGCCGGCCGCGCGGCCGCGCGCGAACTCGCAGTCAAAGTCAAAGAGGAATGGGAGTTTACTTTTGATCCCGCTGCGCCGGTCAAGCGCGATGGCGAGGGGGACGATATGCACCTCGCGGGCAGCGAGGTCACGGAGGCCGGGGGAGTAGTACGCGAGTGGCGCGAGCGGGATGCGGATTCGCTGTCCCCTGAGCCGGAGGGCGACGAGGAAGAGGAGAAGGATGCGCAGAACAGAGAGGAGTATTCGTTTTTGAATGGCATTGCGTCCTCGGCGGCGGCTGCGTTGGGGATTGGGCATCACGGAGCGCATGGAGTTCACGGGGCGCATGGAACGCATGGGACGCAGGGTCGTGAGGTATCCGGGGATAAGCATGCTCAAGGGTCAGACGAGGCTAGCTCCCATAGGAGAGACGCTGGAGAAACATATCTCTTCACGACCCCAGACGACGTCGGTCCGTCGCTGGCCAAACGCACAGCGGAGCGGCGGTACAAGAAGCGCAAACTCCTGGAAGAGGAAATGCGCTGGAACGAGGGCCTAAGATGCTGGGCCGCCAGACGGGATGCGTGGTCTGGTGCGAAACGTAAAGTTGCGCGGCTGTCCCGGTCGTCGTCGTCGTCGTATCCTGATGTGTATACTTCGTCTGGATTGTCTACAGGTACGGGTACGGGTACAGTTTCAGGGTCAGGGGCTTCGTCTGCGGGGTCTGCGTCGACGTCTGCTCGGCTTCAACCTACGCCTGACTCGGATGCACGTGTGGATGGCGGAGTTGAGGTCGATCTCGCCGCCGATGGCGTCCCGCTCGGTCAATTGCCTTTGCCGCCTGTTTCTCCTTTACATCCAGACCGTTCGTCCTCTTTACGTCCCGGTCCCGGTGGTCCAGACCCCTCGTCTTCGTCTTCATATCCAAGCACGCACAAACACAACCACCAAAACCAAAACCACGACACCGACACCGACACCGACACAGATACACACAGAGACGGAGGCAAAGACGACACGTCGACGGCAACAGCAACGCAAATCCTCATCCCCCTCGCCCCACCACTCATCCCCCCCTCCAATCCCGTCCGCGCAGCCATCACCCCGGCCGCCTACAGCAACATATACTCCAAGATCGTCGTCCAGGGCCTTGCCCCTTCCATCCCGATTAATCTCAAGGACATGACCCGCTCCCTCGTCCAGGGCTGGAAAGACGATGGCCAGTGGCCCCCGAAACCGACCGCGCCGGAGCCGAGTATGTTTGTTGCCAAGAGGATGGTTGAGCGGGCCGGTCATGGTTCTGCTGTTCCTCATTCTTCTGTTCCTCGTTCTTCTGTTCAACATGGTTCTGCTGCTGCTGCTGGTACGACTGGGACGGGTCGTGGGGCGGCTGTTGGGACGGCCACCGCTGGGACAGCCAGTCGGACAGCGACAACAGGTGGGATGGGGACAGGGACGACTGGCGGAGGTGAAGGTCAAGGTCGGAGGGGAAGTGGACACGGACACGGGCACGGAATAGGACATAATATCCTGCGTGCGTTTGGCGGGGGGCATTTCCATCATCACGGTCAAAGTGCGCAGGGTAGCCAGGGTGCGCAGGGTAGTCAAGGCCATGGTCAAGGTGGTCAAGGACGTCAATAGCAGCGACGGTAGCAGTAGCACCGCCACTACTATCACAAACAATGTAAATGTAAGATAATATCTTATGTAGAATAGGTATGGTAACATATTATGCAGAACATCTAGTCTTGTAAACTTAAATGTTCAAGGTTAACAATAATAAAAAATACTTTGAACCGCGCTAGAGGTGGACATTGCCTGATCGGTCGATGATATATGTCTCTCTGCAAGGCATCACCACTTCTATGCGAGGGTTCTGTAGCCTGCTGCAAGGTGTAAATTATGAAAGTAGGCCTGGATGCATGCATCATGTCATGAAACAGTCCCCTGTGGCTACCCTCCTTCCCCCCCCCCCTTTGGGTGCGGGGACCCAAAATCCAAAACCCCTGAGGTTTGATACAGGTGGTAGTCTGCCATCCCTCCAGAGCTGAAGAATGAAACTCACTAAATTACAGTTAAAGCTTTTAGTATTGTAGTTAAGAATTGTGGTTAAGAATCTATATTTTAACCTATCTAGCTCAATTTTCATGCTATATGCTTCGGGGTTGATACATTTCCAACATAGAATACATAGGTTTATTGTAAAAATCATCTTTATGTTAGTCAAATTTAGGGAGGGAAGGAGGGAGAAGCAAAGCTTCAACGGACTGAATTTTAATTCTTATACTATCTATACTATACATACCATACCATACGTACCATACCATACCATACCATACGTACCATACCATACGTACCATACCATACCAGTAACCCTATACCCTATACCCTTAATATACAAAATAGTTCAAAGTCCACCTCCGAGTGAAACATAGCGTGAAACAAAGAGAGGGCCTTGCATCAATTAATTGACCCTTGCATAGGTAATGAAGCCCTTGCATGCAGCTCAATTATATAAGGAGTCAAGATGGCCCCGGAATCTCAATTCTTTCAACATCACCGTGCTATGACTACTATGCTATGACTACTATGCTATGACTACTATGCTATGACTACTATGCTATGACTACTATGTTATGAAAACAAGCTTCCCCGGCGAGGCCGTGGAGAATACTAAGAGTCCAGACTAACCCTTCAGACTAACCTCTCAATAGGGACCATCCGATCGCCAGACTAGAAGCTCCCAGCGGCCAGCGCCCAGGAATCACACGTTCAACTTGTTAAAGGTAATAAATAATTGATGTTATTATTACTAGAGATATTTGTGAAACAAAGTCCTATGCGATGCATTGTGCAATGTGCGATTATGCCACTATGCTGCCACTATGCTAGTAATGCTAGTGCTAGTGATGTAATTAATACTATTATGCTATAATGCTATAATGCTATGCTATAATGCAATAATATGCTATAATGGCAACCGAAATGAAAGCATTATTCACCGCTATTCGATTTACCTCGTAGGTATGTATGTGTATGTACTGAGGTACCGAGGTAATGCAACACCGGGCGCCGTGAGATGGGAGATGGGAGGTCCTAGAAAGGAAAGGAATGGAAGAAGAGAAGAAGGGATGAAGAAAGGAGAAGAATGGTAGAAGGGAAAAGGGGAAGAAAAGGTAATAGATGTTGAAAGCTAGAATGTTGAAGCAGAAGCCAATGTTTTTGAGGGAGGAGAAGAAAAAGAAGAAGAGGAAAGAAAAATAAGATGATTATATTCATAATATAAGTGTTCATGAGGTTGGATGTCCAAGGAGACAAGGTAGTAAACTGCGCACGATACAAAGCAAGCACTAAGGCTTGTGTGACTCGTGTTCGTGGTGTTCGGGAATGGGCGAGTGGGCCAGAGGAGGCTTCTCTCCGCCAGTGGCGGTGCTTGGCCTGGACACGTCGTGTTGGATTTGATGCGGGAGTTTGGTGAAGCTCTCGCGGCTATTGACGCGGTCAATGTCGTACGGGTTGCCTTCGTACAGCGAGTTTTGCGTGCGGATCGACCGCAAGCTCTGCTTCGTTTGTGTTCGCGAAAGCGGTTCGTGGGTGGTGGTGGTGGTCCCGTGCTCGCCAGGAGCAGCGCTCGGGCCTTCATCATCGACGTCCGAGGACGACGAGGACTTGTCGTCTTCGGCCTCGGCGACCGGCGGTGCCTGCGACTCGCGCAATTTGCGCATAAAGGCTTCGGAAGTGGCAGCGAACTTGCATCGAGCGCGGATTTGCGCGCCGTACTTGTAGAAGAGGAACGGGAACGGAACGCATGCGACGGCGAGGAAGGCGGGAATCGACGACGCCCAGTGGATACCCAGGTTGTGGTACATGTAGGTTGTGAACAAGGGGAACGCAGTTCCAAAGAGCGATCGGAGCACGGCGTTGGCGGCGAGCACGGAGGCGGCGAAGATGGTATAGGAATCAATCAGGTAGTTGAACACGCTGAGAAAGACAAAGACCATGCCGAAACCAAAAGGCACACCGGCAGCGATACTGGCCATCCAATGGACGTGGGGAGAGTTGGTCCACGCAAACCAGAACAGTCCAATAGGGATCAAGATGCCGCCAATCAAGCAAAGCGGAAGACGCTCCTCGGGCGGAGCGAAGCCACCGTGCTTCTTGACCGCGCGCACATATCGTTTATTGTCGAAGATGGAGGTGAAGACGGCAGACAGCATGCCAACCATGACACCCAAAAATGCCAGGCCACCGATACCTTCGTTCCAGTGACGCTCTTCCTGGTACACAATGGGAAAGGCGCCAAACATCATATAGAGCGTACCGTAGATGATGGCCATGTAAATGCTGAGCAAGAGCACAATGGGTTCGAACAAGAGCAAGACCCACGGTCGCAACAGCGAGGTTTTGAGGGCCTCGGAGAGCTTGACAGGACCCCGTTCAATCTCCAATTTGCTCCGGTAGACTTTGCCCGTCATCTTCGACAGGTTCTGGGCTCGGTGACGAAGCAGCACCGGCGCATAAGTCTCCGGCACAAGGACGGAGCAGATGATCCAAATAACGCCGCTGAAAATGGCAAGAAAGCCTTCAACCCATCGCCAGCCAGCATTCATGCCGAGAAATCCTCCAATAATGGGACCAAGTGTCGGACCCAAGAATGGCGCGGCGGCAAAAATGCTCAATGCGAGACCTCTCTGGGCAGCAGGGAACATGTCGGCAATGACACCACCAGCATTGGTGAGCGGCGAGGATCCAAAGGCACCGGCAAAGAATCGAAGGATGATGAGCGTCTGAATGTTTTGCGAGCCTGCAGCTCCGGCGCAAAAGGCCGTGAGGGCGCCATATGTGAAGAAGAAGAGCACCTGGCGTCCAAACAATTCACTGAGCGGAGCCCAGAGCAGAGGACCAATGGCGAACCCCAAGACGAAGAGCGCTACACCCAGCGTCACCACTTCGGTCCCCACGTTGAATTGCATCATCATTTCCCGAATACCGCCAGTATACGCGGACGAGGTCAAGGCCACGGCAAGTGTTGCCACGGCCACGAGAATGGTAATTGCCCATTTTTTGAACAGCGAAAAGCCCATGGGATTGCAAGGATCGTCGGGAATCCATTCCACAACATAGGGATCTTCTTCTGTCCCAGAACCATTGTGATGATGATTTATGACTTCAGGTGGACAGTAGCCCCGCTCTAACACGAGCCGCATGTGCGGCACGTGAGCTGGCTTTTGAGCCTCGACATCACCTCCCTCCGCCTTCATTTTTTTTGGGGCGGGAGAAGATGAAGAAAATAAAAGTTATCCTCGTATACTGCTGATGAGTTTGATGTTGTATCGATTACGCAAAAAGCATTGAAAACGTCGGTGGAATAGGCGCGATAGTCCTGTGGCGCGTATGGAGTAGCTCAGGATGAGCAGGTAAATAATTCAAAAACGAATGAAGAGCTCATTAAAAGCTCGAATTAGTTATGAGGCCAATGAAAAGGATATCAACGGCAAGGACGAGGGGTGCCTCGTGGCGTCTCTGACATCAGGATATTCAAATCAAGAGACATCTGTGCGCTCCAGGGTGGCTTCTTTAGTATTTAAATTGTTTGGAGTCAAAGGAGAGGAAAAGAGTTGGTGTCTTCGGCAAGTCAGATCGGTTTGCCCCGACCGGAATTAAGACCTGGGGGGGGACGGAGATCATCCCGTCCTTCGCTTGGTCTGCTCTCTAGCGCATGGTGGCTTACCCAATCAAGCTAAGTCACGCCCTATTTAGACCAGAGTTGCTTCCTGACAGCCGAGGCATCTTTGGAGACTGACCAATGACAATACAATCTCCCTCGGAAAAGCACAATTTATGCCACGCGCATTACCGAATTATGCGTTTATCCTCGGCATAGCCGGGATCTTAAATATCCGACTCCTTTTGTGCAAAGATGTCTTTCATAACTCTACAATATGCAGATATATGCAGAGATATGCAGGTATATTCCCCAATTTACGGCCCGGGAATCCTTGACAGGATTTGAGACCCTAAAATGTGCAGACCCGCATGGGAAACACAAAACATCTGACACATCCTACGGCCGTAGCATCGTCGTCCTTTACGCAGCCAAGCATTCCCCACGGCCATGAACCAAGATATCCAGATATGATTGAAGGAGGATTTGTGTCCTCTGACTCATGATCCAGGATTTATCGTAGAATGAGTTTTTAAGCTAGCTATACGTTAATTAAAAGGATTGCTGCGACATTGACGATACAGCTGATAATCGCAATCTCATTTAATCTGTCATCTTATCAGATGATCAGAGTCGGTGTGGGCGAGGGCTGGCCGTCCTGGTCCCTAAGCGCCATGGTCGGATATCCCACGTCCGTGACGCGAATCTCAAGTCGAAAATTGTGACTCGGAGTCCAGAATCAGCCTGCCCCGTGTCTGACCCTTTCTCTTGGGACAAGGTTCCAGTTCGGCGTGTTCCCCCCCCCTTTCGATACCCATGTTTTTTTCTTTTGACCCGTGCATCTAGAGCCAAAATCTCACTTGCAATCCCCTTGATCCCTTCTCGCATCTAGCCTTCCTTGGGCATGATTTGCTCGTATCCTTTTTTTTGTTTCTACGAGTATGGAGTATGTTCCCTAGCTGATATGCGCTGCAGGTGCCAGTGGCTTTAGCTAGTCGCCGAGTGAGTAAATCTGACCTGACCATCATCAACACCCCTCATGCCCAAGGTACCTATGCAGATGCGTGGCAGTCTTCTTTCGGCGGATATTTCTCATTGCTTTTTCCAGTCCTTGGCCAGAATTGGAAAATTATCACAATCATCATATTGCTTGTGAGTGGACTATGGTCTGATTTTAGTTGCCGCAATGTATAGCCCTGGCTTTGCGGCGCGTGGCCAGCACTCCCTAGCGCCCGACGCCCCCCTACTACCGCCCGAAAGGCTGCATAACTTTAAGCCGAGCACAATCTCTGTACGGGATAAATGTGCCTCCGCATGCCGGCCATAACTTCAATGGCATCATAAGAAGATATTTTTGAATATTAATAAAATTAAAGGATTGATCGACTCCAATCCACTTCTTATGACTTTCTCTCCTCAATGAGCTGTCCACACTCTCAAATGCCTTCGAGGCTAGCCTTTTGTGCTAATCCAACAATAGAAGTCCTGTTGCTGTCAAAATTCTAGAAATTATGATAGCTTTATCCATATGGTAGAAGAGACACTTGTCAAACATGAGCTGATAAACGTGAAAACAATATACCGTCGTTCGCGAACGACGCTCTCATCAAAACGGAATATTTTGACCTGCCAGCTCCCTTGGCCGGTTTTCCAATCAATAAACGCCAAAAGTATGCCAAGCAATGTCCCCAACCCTTTCAGCGGTATCTTTTCAACGTAATATGTACAGTATTATTTTATATATTCCAGCGCATTTCTAAAATGCCTCATGATCCTTTGTATTCACTGTCGGCTAGTTCTTCTTCACCGAATCGGCTTCGGAGGTCGAAATTTCCCGAATCACCACATCCTTATTATCGTTCTCCTTCTTCTCGTCGCTTCTTCCGCTCCAAAAAGAGCTAATTGACCATCGACTTGTAGATGATTCCTCTGGCTTTGGCTTCTGTTCGCGGATTACAGGTGAAGGATTGTGTGTTGCTGTCGTCGGCTCAGGCGTTGTTTCTGGCTGATTCTCTTTCACATCATGCTGCTTCGCGCTGGAATCATAAGCCAATCAATTCGTTCAAAATCATATCTCGACGTACAATTCAGCCTGCTTCTCCCTCTCCTGTTCTTGAAAAGATGGGCCGAAAGTCGCTACGCCTGGGTGGAAGAGTCAGTATAGAGCTCGAACGACAGTCGAAGAGTTTCCCTCGTACCATTGGCCACACCAAAGCCCACTGCCAAGAGCAGAGGCACGAATCCTCGTCTGCCCATTTCACTACAAGTGGCGGGCGTCCCTCCCAAAATCGCAGAACTCGCTGGTGTAGGCGACGTCGTCAAAGATGTACTGTACTGTAGCGCCTTTGCCTTCCCCACGACGCGCTAATGCCAATTAAGCGATTCCATTACAGTTGCCTGAACCGCCTGACGCGTGGGCGCGTCTTTCTGTAGTTTATCGCTAAAAGCTTTAGGTAAACTGCCAAACATCATTGCTTGAATGTTTCGGTCAACATCTCGTGCTGAAGCAACGGGTATTTTGTCCGCGGAATGATTATTCGGGCAAATGGTGGAATGGAGAGACCGGGGTTACGTTCCGGACTCAGATGAGGAGGAAGATGACTCTCAGCCTACTTTTCCTACCCATCAATTTCCCGCTCAGGATGACGCCGACAGCGAGGACGAGTTGTCCAAGGATTTTGGCACAAGCTCCAATGGCCTCTGGAGTATACCACGTATCAGGTCAAGCGGTGCCACGCTCAAGGACAAAATCGCCCCCGGCTCCGTCACGCGCGAAAATCATAAAGAGTCGATAGATCAACAAGAAGTGGCAAGTCCCCATCGTCTTCCAGACCTATGGTATGCTAATAACACACCAGCCATCCTTGTCCCCGAAGCGGCTACACTCATCGGGAGATTCTAGTCAACCAACACCAAAAACAGACTCGCCATTGGTTCTGCAGCAGAATCCAGAACTTACGAAAGAGACGCAATTGCCAGAAGCTCGTGATGCAATCCCGTTACACCCCGACTGTGAGACCTCTGCTCACTTCGATACCATAGACGGAAATCTCTCAGACTCATCTTCCTCTCTCCTCAGTGAACCGCCGTTGGATTTGGAACAAAATGGAATGTTCGGAGATCTTCCGGCGCTCCCAGAGGAACCCGGTATCTCCGGATTTGCTGGCGTTGTTCTTCCAACGATCGATAGACGGGAAGCCTCTAATGGGCTTTCTCGACGCTCATTGAGGCAGAGGAACCCTATTCAACTTCACCCTTATATGCTAGAAGGAGAGAGATACAGACAATTTCTGCGTGCAAGAGGCTTGAAACCCCTGCGAATAGCAGCAGATAGCCAGCAAACGAGACGAAGAGGGAGCAACTCGTCGGATGTGGAGTATCAGGCGGATAACGCGGAATCGCAGTCTATTCCAGCGGCGAGCTCGCCACCAAGGGCTTCACCATCACGAGTTCTTGGCAAATTTCCTTCCAATCCGCCTCCGAATGTCATGACTGAGCTGAACATTGATTTTGGAGGTGACGATGACTTCCCTGATGTCGATGCGATACTTCACAGAAACCTTGAAGGTGCCGTGCAAGCGGGCCACAAACGCCGAAAAACTCAGACCTACACTCACAAGCAAAGGAAAGTTCCTAATATTGTTGCCCCGCAGGGGTCTCCTGCAAAGCTCATTAGGACAGAAGGGCAGGATGACGATTCAATTTTCAATATTCCGCCATCTTCACCATCGTCTAACACAACGCGACTGACGGACGAAGAACTTCCAATCCGTGCAGCATTCAAATTTCCTCGGGGCGTGTCCATCGACCCGCCTGATACCCCTGCAACGTCATCCGAAACAAGAAATGCGCCACTTGTGGAATTATCAGAAGACTCTGATAGTGGAAATGATTTTGACCATCGCCCCTTGAGACCGATTTTGGCCCCACACTCCCCTGGTCTTCCACCGTCTCCTCCAGTGCTATCGACTGGCCCATCTCATTCGGCGTCTCAAAATGATGATTCAAAACAGTTGAGAAAAGTCAGAAGACGAATAAAGGGTGTCCTCCCCGCCTCGTGGTTGAGGCTTGATCAACAGGCCCAGAAGACCACTCGAGCCGGGCATCCTTCGCATAACCACCAAAACCCACCCACAACTGATACAAACCCGCAACGAGGTGTTGCCCAAAGATTGGCTGGAACCAGAAGGCATGATGTTTCAACTCCTCGAGGAGTATCAGGTCCTTTTCTCTTATCAAGCTCAAGTGAAGATGATTCCGACGATCAGACTATACAATATACAGGGCCAGTGAGGCACGATGATTTCTCTCATCCTTTCACAGAACCTGAAGACGTCCAAGAAGATAATCGGATTGACTTGATGCTTCCTTCTGTGTCACGCCATCGACAGTCGGGCAAAGGCCAGCGAAAAAAACAGCTCAGACTCACAGATATCATTCAATCGACCGTGGAAAGGAGAATCGGAAAAGGTACCCCTTCAGGTTTGTTGTCTCCAGTATCGTCGAAACGGCAAAAGAAGAATCACCTCTCCTCCAAGCTTCAGAAAGCTATTCAACGGAAGTCTGTGACTCCTGCTCCGCCCAAATTGAGCATAATAGATGCTCCAGCGTCTTTGGTTTCTACCCAAGACACACCCAAGTTCATCAGGTTGGCTTTACGTCAAGCACGGCGGCAGAAGAATTACGGCAGACACAGTCCGACAAGTAAAGTGATTCGGCTTCATACCGTAGAAGACACTCAAGATGCGACATCTGTTCTACGGGACTGGCGGCGTGGAAAGATTAGACCGTGGACAAGCAGGGACAAGTCGCCCATCCGCGACGATGCCCAGCACCCTCTCGCACGACTCCCTGAAAATGACTCTCGGAGTGCAATCCAGCGCCCAGCCCCGGTGGCCGAAGCTGAGGGGCTCAGAGGGTCGAGCAACGCGGAAAATTCTCTTAGATTTCCTGAACAACTGCCACTGGTTCCTGCTCAACCAGTAAAACAAAAAGGGCAATTAAAGGCAAAAACAAGGCAGACGGTGTTTGGGCCGCGGATATCTCTCAAGAACAAGCCTAAGAGGCAAAAAGGCCTTCAACCGCTTCTTCAAAGACATCAACCACGTCCGGCTCAAGTGGAATGGACCGAAACCGACTACGGTCAGCGTCACCCACGAGCGGCCTTTCAGCAGAAGCTCGGGATAATTGACCGTCAATTCCAAGAAAAATCGACTAAGGACTCGAAAATTTCGAATTTGCCTCTTGAAAGGTTTCTCGAGGACACCACTGATATGCCCTCAATTACAAGCAACGGCCAGATGCGTACTGCTCTAGAAACGAACAACGATAGTTTCAATGGCCCGCCTGGGCTGTTACGAGTTGACCAGAGCCGTCGTCAACGCAAGCGCATTGCCAACCGTCTGGATATTAATGCTATAAATTTTGGCCAACTTGAAGGCTCGGTTGTGGTGCCTGACGATGGTATCTCAGAGTCAGGTCAAACATCTCGCACCGACTATAGTGGCGCTCTTAGAAACGTAGGAAGTTACGGCACTGTTCATACTACCGACTTCCAAATGTGCCCACTGCGAATAGGAACGTTCTTTCATAAAAGCACGTTTATTGGGAGTGGAGATCTTGCGAAAGTCTTGCATTTTGTGCCGTCAGAAACTATTTCCGAGCAGTCATCTACCACAATTCAATTCCATGATCAGATGTTCAAATGGGGCCCGTGGGACGAATCTACTTCATCTGAGATGGGGCTAGTACTATGCTGGATGGGCGAGAGACTGGGGGACGGCTCAGCTCGGAAAGACTTTGTTGAAAGTAGGGACATCTGCATCTACGAAATAGCTGTAAACCTACTTCGGTCTATTGTGCACTACTTCACGAGCACATTGACGTTCTTAGATCCTGTTGATCGAACGTTTTTCATTCTCAGAATGTTACGCCTCATCGAGCCACTTTCAGTGGAAACGCAGAAAGCTATTTCCCTGGCAGCTTCTGAAGTACAGTCATGTCCGCAACCGTTCGAGCATCTTCTGCACATTCAAATGTTGGTGCTTGTTTCGACTGCGTTCATAATCCAAACAGCCGCTCAATCCCTCGTGGAAACACAACATCGGAATGAAGCCGAAAATGTCCTAAAACGGGTAGCTCAAACCCTCGCTAGATCTCTTGTTGCAAGGGGAGTTGCTATGATCAAAAGGTTTTGCCAAGAAAACAAGAGAGGTCATCGTGTGGAGACAGGTCGGGGAAGTAATAATATTGTGGCAGAGAGTTGGGTCGTTATGATGAAGATTGTTGAGAAGATGCGCCCTCAGGGGGTTACTTTCTGGGAGATTGCTAACGCAGAAATTTTGAGTGTTGATATCGAAACATGCTCCGATGCGCGCATCTTCGAAGATATTTGGGCGAATATATATGCCCTACTCCCTCTTCAAGAGTTTGACGATAATGGCCTTCTTGATGGGGAAGTGAGGCTAGGTCCATCTGAAGAAAACTGGGTGCCTGTTCAAAAAGTTCTTGCTCGACTATTTCAGCTTTATTCCACGTCTTCCCACATTCAGCCTCCTGTTTACAACTCTTATTTACGGGCCAATTTCGCTCGCTGTTTTCATCTCATCACACAATGGAGATGGTACCGCTGCGAGTCCATCGTTCTGCTCATGTTTGACTTTTTGGGCCGCCAGAATGGACTGTCACACTTGCGGAATGAAGAGAGTCACGGATCGCCAGCCTTTCTGGAACATCTCAATGGCAAGTTACAGTTATCTATCGAACCCCGAGATCGCTGTTTTCACATATTTCTCAAGCTTGTCGGATCAGGCTTGCAAAAGCTGCGAGGCATCTATACTGACAGAAAGATTGGAAATATTACCTGGCGGCTGTTACCAAATCATGGACGGCTCTTTTCCAAACACGAGACCGTGCGTCAGGAAGATCTCGATTCCCTGAGAAACCATCATGATCTTTTGAGCGTCCTTTATTGGGCTTGTCCTCCTTCTGTGCGACCCCGACCAGGCAGCATCCAGAGCCTTGTTGACCCCGAGACATCTCATATTGAAGCTTGCCAAATTAATATCCGCACATGGTCTAATTTGGTGCGATTTCAATTGTCCACCGATGAGTCGGCTTCTCGACTCGAACCGTTTTCTGACTGGCATAATGAATTTATTGGACTGCTCTTGGTGCAGCACGCTATGGCCCGGTCTGAAGGGGAGGCTCACCTTTCTGCAGCGACCAGAGAGGGCCAACAGCGTGTTACAGCTGATCTTGTGGAGACTGTAATTAGCAGGAATCAGCGATCAATTGAGGCACTCTTGTCTAGTGCTCTTTCCTTGATGCGAAATGCTATTTCTCTTGCGAGCAATGGGGAGTGTGCAAAGTTGTTGCTCTCCAAAGGTATGTTTTTTTCAATCCACTTGCTGGGGATATTATTTTGACCATCTCATGATGAATAGCTTGCACTGTTGACATCTTCACACTCTTTGATTCGAGGTGCCCGCAAAGGAATAAGATTGTTTCGCAGTCGCTAGACATCGTCCTGGAATACATTGATGTCTTCAATAGCTCTTCCGTTACCCAACATCAGCCGGGTGAGGACAGTCAGGAATATGGAGATTGGTCTGCTTTTGAAGAAGATGCGGCTGCATCGGTTCAGGAGATGTCTGATGTATGTGGCCCTTTTCTCTTGCCGAGATGCTCAAGTCGTTTTTTTGCTCACCCTTGCAGTATATTTCCCCTCAAATATACGACAGCTTGCAGCGTCTCCTTTCCAATTGCTTCGGTGCTGATATACCGCCTGATGAGAACATTCTTCTCAAAGTCATTGAAGTATGGACAACGACAGCTCGCTTTCTTGTACAGAGGAATTTCAAGGTTTGTTCTGGCTCTCTTTTCTATCTGTACGTTTGATATACTAACATGCGTAGACATGGGAAAGTTATATTGGATCATATGGCTCTGATTCTTGGGAATGCCTAAGAGGAACGGAGCAGACGAGAAAGTTTGCACCTTACTTTCTTTCAATGGTTCTTGAAAAGGATAATTCAAGCTACCATGTAAGTGTTACTCGCAAATCTTTTTCTTTTATTCTTTTTTCCAATACAAGTCTGACCACCTCAGGTTCATATGCAATTTTTCCTTTCAGCCTGGATCACTTGCCTAGTCGAACGAGAATCGATGCTCAAATTCCAACATCGACTGACTACTGCACTCCTCAATATAGATGGAGCCAATCCACTACTTAGGAATCCACCTTTCTGGGCAGATGCAAAGACTGGTCTGTTCTCTATCACGCCTCTGGAGTTCCGAGAGAGACGTCTGTCTCTAATATCAAGTATGTTATATCTGGTCAGATCTGAAGTCTCAATTGTCACTAACACCAGCAGCGGTACTTGACAATATGAGAGAAAGCCTGGCAGATGTAGAAGAATCACCAAACAAGGCGATAGCGCTGAGACAACAATATAAAGCGCTTCTGAAACAGATGATGACAGCCATGAGAAACAACTACCAGGAGCTTCGCGAAGAAACGGGTTTCAGCGGCGTCTACGTTGACTTTGTGCAGCAAGTCATCCAGGCACTGCAGCAGCATACTGCCGATATTTGTCCAGTCGACCGATTCTTCACCGACTCCAGCGCGTTCCCCCTTCCAGCCAGCGATCCAACATATGTAGTAGGACGGCTGAAGAGTTACGGGCTACGACTGTCAGACATTAGAATGCCCAAACAACTCGTGACATTCACACAGACTGTATCTGAGCGAGCATCTGTGGACAATCAGCAATCCTACCTCGTCAACCAACTCCGACTAGCAATGAGCGGAACATTTGAAGATGGCGATCCGGCACGGCCTACGCTACGTGCATTCCTTTTACAGGCCGTGTTTCCAGCGTATTTGCAGCTGGCATTCCAAACCGCGGCAGGCTGGATTCTCGCAAAACCTCTTCTGCGCGCCGTCGAATATACCTTTGAAGACGTCCTCGAGGACCTCGATGCAAACAACACCCGCTGTGTCGAATCTGTCATCGCCTTCATTACAAGCATGCTAGACACCTTTCGCCAATCCTTTGAGCTCCTCGTCGATCACTCTGGCCTGCTCGAACAATCCTCCACCGTCAGCCTCCTTGCCTCGTCCTTTGCCACCATCACCGCAGCCCTGTCTCCCATCGACTACCTCCAGCGCTGCACCGGCCGAGCCAACCACGCAGTCAAATGCATTGCCTTTTTCCGATCTTTTGCCATTTTCGTCGCAACTCTACTCCTCGGCCATCCAGACAGTCTTGTTTCTCCATATATTGGACTCGACAACAGTTTTGGGTCCTCTGACCATCTGGATCTCGAGTCCGATTCAGATGCGTTGGACGAGTCGGATAAGTATCATGACATTCGCCGCTTCTGCACGCACGAGCTCCAACAGTCCCTCGCCAAAAACTGGACGCACTATGCAAATCACTATTTTCTTTTGAGAGGAAATATGCGCAAGCAAGTCATGGTCGATGCCAGATCCCTCGAGGACGAAAAACTGGATTTGTTTGCGGCTATTCATACCTTTTTAATGGTCCTCGGTCGAATGTCGGGCCTTGGATTCGCGGGGTGTACGTCTTTTTCTTCTGGTTCTGCGTCCGCCTGGGGTGGGAGTGGTGGGTGGGGCGGTGGTGGGGGACGGGCGGGTGGGTTTGAACCTGGTGGGGTCGGTGACGGTGGTGCGGGTGGGTTTAGCAGTGGTGGCGGGGGCGGGGTGGGTGGATATAGCAGAACTCATGCTCATGATCATGACGACGAAGATGAAGAAGAGCAAGTTCTTCGGGGAAGACCGAAACGGGATCAATCCTTGGGAGTAGCAGAGTTGTTGATTTAAACAACAGTACTACCTTTAACCTTTGTATCTTTTTTTCTTTCTTCGTCGTCTTTATACAACAACAGCTAAGGGTTTGGGGTTGGGGGTTGGGGGACGAGAGAGCAATGCCCGGTCTTACAGTAGAACTAGGATGTGGATTTAGATACCATAGACAATATGGACTGCATAGTTACCTAGGTACGCTAGGACAAAGGATGAAAAACTACTACATACAACATACAACATACTGCATACTACACTGTTCAAGGGGGCTATGTAAAAGGTAAAATGTATGATGATGATGATGAGGATGATGATGAGATTCGGGAAAAGATATAAATAGTTATAATATCAAGGAAGAAAAAAGAAATACACAGGTAATTTAAAATGGCTGAGAAGAACATGACAAGAAGAAGACGAAGAGGACAAGATGAGGTATACAACGTAGTTTAGGTTTACAAAACATCTACGCGTCAATGAGGTTGCCATTGGCGGGCTCGCCGTCGGGCTTGTCCGAGTTGTCGACAGTGTCCTTGTTGCCGGTGCGCTGCTGCTTGCCCTTGCGGTCAGCGGTGGCAGTGCGCTGGTAGAACTCGTTGATGACCTTGGCGGGGATACGGTTGAGCAGTTCCTTGGGGTAGATGCGGAGCAAGCTCCAGGCGAGGTCGAGCGAGTCGTAAATAGACCGGGCCTCGTACGCGCCCTGCGAGATGAAGGAACGCTCGAATTTTTCGAGGAATTCGAGCGAAAGCTTGTCTTCAGGCGACAAGGCTTCTTCACCGACGACGGCCTTCATGGATGCTATATGACAGACAGTGAATTAGCGTTGTGTAGGAGAAAAAAGAAAAGAAAGAAAATATATGGAAGATCTTCAGGGCAGACTTACCGGCATCACGACCAATGGCGTACTTGGCATACAGCTGGTTCGAAACGTCACCGTGGTCCTTTCGCGTGTGACCTTCACCAATGGCAGACTTCATGAGACGCGACAGCGAGGGCAGGACGTTGATCGGAGGGTAGATACCACGGTTGTGGAGCTGACGGTCGATGAAGATCTGACCCTCAGTAATATAACCCGTCAGGTCGGGAATGGGGTGAGTAATATCTGGGTAGACTGTCAGTATACGTTATGATAAGGTGCAGTGGGAGTATCCGGTCATACCATCGTTAGGCATGGTCAAGATGGGAATCTGCGTAATAGAGCCATTACGGCCCTCAACGCGACCAGCACGCTCGTAAATGGTCGACAAGTCAGTATACATGTAACCGGGGTATCCACGGCGACCGGGCACTTCTTCGCGAGCAGCAGAAACCTCACGAAGAGCATCACAGTAGGCAGACAAATCGGTAAGAATGACCAAAACGTGCTTCTCCAGCTGGTAGGCATAATACTCGGCGGTGGTAAGGGCCAGACGAGGAGTAATAATACGCTCGATGCTGCGAGAATCGTCAGTATTGTTTTACAAGCAAGCGAACCCAATGGGTCATACGTAGGGTCGTTGGCCAAGTTCAAGAACAGCGTCACCCTCTCCAGAGAACCGTTCTCCTCAAAGTCTCGGGTGAAGAATCGACTGGTTTCCAAGTTGACACCCATGGCGGCGAAGACAATGGAGAAGTTCTCCTCGTGGTCATCATGCACACCCTTGGTGGGCTTACTGACCAGACCAGCCTGACGACAGATCTGGGCGGCAATCTCGTTGTGGGGCAGACCAGCTGCAGAGAAAATGGGGATCTTTTGGCCACGGGCAATAGAGTTCATGGTGTCGATAGCAGAGATACCGGTGGAAATCATCTCTTCGGGGTAGACCTATCACATTGTTAAGTCTCCGGTAATCGACAATAGGCTTTCCATCTTTTAAACGTACACGAGAGTAAGGGTTGATTGGACTGCCGTTGATGTCGAGGTAGTCCTCCGCAAGCACTTTGGGACCCTTGTCGATAGCACGACCCGAACCATCAAAGATACGGCCCAGCATGTCCTCCGAGACACCCAACTTCAAGCTGTGTCCAGTGAACTCGACTTTCGTCTATAGAGGTTTGTCAATATATGTGCCCCTCAAGCTCCGCGCGGGGGCAGCCAATATACCTTCTTCACATCGACACCTGATGTACCCTCAAACACCTTGTCTCAAAATTAGCTTAGTTGAACTTTTTCTCGACCCTGAAGCTTTCTTAATTATACCTGAACAACTGCTCGGTTTCCTGTACAGTATATTATTAGCGACGCATTCTGGCAATCTTAGAGACAGCTTATCATACCTCGAGCCTCGAGAACCTGACCAGACCGCTCGGTACCATCGGGGAGAGTCAAGGAGACAATCTCGTTGTATCGGGGGAATTTGACCTGATTAATCGATTAGAATATAAGAGAATCGATTGACATCGACGCAAGACTGACATTGTCAAGGATGACCAGCGGTCCGTTAACACCACCAATGGTATTGTAGCGTATTCTTGGCTTGATGGAGGTCATTCGGGGGTCCACGAACTCGGGCGCCATGGTTGCTGGTTAGATCGAGACCTGTTGTCGATTCCGAAACTATCCACGACCTTTATAGCGTACAATTTTGGCAGCAAAAGGGCCCGTTCGAGGTCGAAATTGGGAAAAAGTATCGCTATGACAGGTGGGAACCGGGTTGACGAGCTGGTGGTGATGTTTCGCTAACCTAGAGGACTGACGCTAGATGGTTCGTGCCGTCAGATGGAGGGAAGCTCCGACGCCATCACCCATGGTACGATATGCCCTTTCCCGCGTATTTTCTAGTCTGATGATGATAAAGTTGATAAACCACCATTACAAACGCCAATCCTTTCAGCATAATGCTTGGGTGATTGTACATGCGATTTGATTGCGGGAGCATCTACTATACTGTACATACAAGAGGTTGCTACATCATACATTAAATAAGAACAAAAGGAAAAGAGACAAGTTACAGCTATTCTTGCCCCATCCATGCATCGAAAACCTAGTCGCCTTAATGAAGACATCAATATTCCAGATCTCAAGAACCACAACTTGGAGCAGTCGCCAATATATTATTGTGCTCTTCTTGCCAGAATCGCTTTTCCGGCTCTGCTCTCGTTCGGTCGGCCAAGTTCATCAGAGATCCATGCGCCAATCTCTGCAACCTTTTCGACATCAACTCCAGTTTTTGCACCGAGACTATGCAAGCAGTGGAGGAGATCCTCTGTAGCAACATTTCCAGTGGCGCCCTTTGAGAACGGGCATCCTCCCAGTCCTGCGACGCTGCTGTCAAATACTCTAATACCATGTTCGAGCGCGACCACAGTATTCACGAGTGCTTGACCGTAGGTATCGTGAAAGTGCACAGCCAAGTCCTGATTCTGAATTCCAGAGGCAGACAAAGTACGCAGCAGCTCTTTTGTCCGTGGGGCGGTTCCCATGCCGGTCGTATCAGCCACGGAAATTTCATCCGCGCCCATCTCGAAAAGGGTTGCAGCTAGCTCAGCTACCTTTGAGGCAGACACATCTGGTCCCTCGTACGGGCATCCCAGCGCGACTGATATATATGCCCGGACTCGAATATTTCTTGTCTTTGCAAGTGCCATAATCGGCCGGAACCGGTCCAAACTCTCTTCGATGGTACAGTTGATATTCTTTCTCGAGAATGTTTCCGTTGCTGCGGCAAATACAGACACTTCAATTGGTAGGGCCAATGCCTCACCCTGGGCTGTCGAACCGGAGGGCATCTCATTGGGATCTTGAGTTGATGTTATCGGCGCTGTCCCCTCAGGTGATGGAGGAGGCGTGGGATAATTGTATTTTCCTGTGGAAGATGATGTCTTGGAACCCTTGTTTGCATCTGAGACTGCCAGTAGATTCTCCAAGCCCTTGACATTCGGCACAAGAAAGGAGTACGCATTGCCTCGAGTAATAAGCGGCGAGTCTAGTATATGCTCCAGTATTTCGGCCGAATTCGCCATCTTTGACAATGATCGATTAGCATCCTTCATGGTTGAAGCAGATGGTCTACGCTCGAGGTCCAATGCGACAAAATGGTCAGGGTTATGCTCACTTGCGGGACCCATTTCGGCGAAACAAACGCCCCTGCCTCAATATTGTGCAATCCTGTCCTTGATAACTTGTCAATCAGCTCTAACTTTGTACTCAACGATATTGTGTTTTTCTCATTTTGCAGGCCATCGCGCGGTCCAACTTCGACAATCCTCACATCCCCAGCTGGGCGTGGCGTCGTTGTGGAGAGCGGCCTAGCTAAAGCTTTCCGAAGCCGCAAACACGGTCGATAGAGCCTAAATGTCGACATTGTTAAATTTCAAGCGCTCAGAAGACACAAAGGAAAAGGAATATGTGTTAATCAATTAGCAATATCAGTTCATTCTTGCAATTGTAGCATCAACAAGCAGGCCAGGCACCTCCAGAATGTGGGGAAGCCATTTTGGGCGACAACGGGTGACGCTCAGACCATCTCGGCTATCGGCGGTTCGGACAGCCGACCACTTTTTCATCGTCAAATGTTCAACACCAAAGAGACAGGTTAACCCCACTATTACCATTACCATAATTATTTTCAGCATAGTATTTACATCCGCCCATTATGGAGGAAGACAGAGCCCTGGCCGACTTAGGGCCTACCGGCGTTGAATCGCAACAAGAACCAGAAATCCAAGCTGAGCCTGCGCCTGCCCCACGTCAACCCAAGAAGAGATTCATCGGACGACGAGCCGCTGCGGAAAGGGCACAAGCGAACGATGCGTCTTCAACCTCCGGAGGCAACATTGAAGACAGCGGAGCCATTCAAGGTACGCACCCTCTTCTCTTCTTTACGGCTTATAATTTCTCTCATCTTTAGCTTTGTTCACCATTGATACTAACATTCCCATTCCTCACAGTCTCCAAACCCCGCCGCACGGCGCGAACCCTTAACCAAGTCCCTCCTGAGATCCTCGAAGACCCCGACATCCAGGCCGCGATCTCCCTCCTACCACCAAACTACTCATTCGAGATACCCAAGACGATCCACCGAATCCGCACATCCGGCGCCAAAAAGATTGCCCTGCAATTCCCCGAAGGCCTTCTGCTCTTCGCTACCACCATCTCCGACATTCTCACACAATTCTGTCCTGGCACTGAAACGCTCATCATGGGCGACGTGACGTACGGCGCATGCTGTATAGACGACTACACCGCACGCGCCCTGGGCTGCGACCTACTCGTGCACTACGCACACAGCTGCCTGATTCCCGTTGCCGTGACACAGATCAAAACGCTGTACGTCTTTGTCGACATATCCATTGACACGACCCACCTCCTGGCCACACTGGAGCGCAACTTCGCGCCAGGCAAAACCATCGCCATGGTCGGCACGATCCAATTCAACGCCACCATCCACGGCATCAAACCCACGCTCGAAAAATCCGGCTACAACATCCTCATCCCCCAAATCGCTCCGCTCAGCAAAGGCGAGATCCTCGGCTGCACATCCCCTCACCTACCCACCTCCTCCTCTCGCTCCCTCGACAAAAACAGTAGCAGCAGCTCCTCCTCTTCTGGAGTAGACATTATCCTCTATCTCGGCGACGGCCGCTTCCATCTCGAATCCGCCATGATCCACAACCCCACCATCCCCGCATACCGCTACGACCCATACTCGCGCCGTCTTACACGCGAAACGTACGACCACAAGGAAATGCACACGCTGCGCCGCGAGGCAATCACCACCGCCAAGCGCGCCAAGAAATGGGGTCTCATTCTCGGATCCCTAGGCCGGCAGGGCAACCCGCACACCATGACCCTCATCGAGAACCATCTCCGCGCAAAGGGTATCCCCTTTGTCAATCTCCTCCTCAGCGAAATCTTCCCTGGCAAACTAGCGCAAATGTCAGACGTAGAATGCTGGGTCCAAATCGCCTGTCCCAGATTAAGTATCGATTGGGGATACGCTTTTCCTCGTCCCCTCTTGACCCCCTATGAGGCACTCATTGTCCTCGGGGGTCGCAAAGAGTGGTGGGCAGATAATGCAGATAATGCTGGTGGCACTGGGGGCAAGGCGGGTGAGAGTCACGGCGTTTACCCCATGGACTTTTACGCAAAGGACGGTTTGGGCAGAACTACAGAAACCATTGCCGCTGCTGCTACTGCTCCTGTTGTTGCTGCGGAGAGCTAATTTTTCTTATCTGTTTATATCTTTTTTTTTTTTTTTTTTTTTTTTTTTTTTTTTTTTTTTTTTTTTTTTTTGAAATCTTTTTATTTTTATTTTTTTCATCATTTTTGCGCATTAGGTGCATTTGACGATTCTATATTCCCTTTGTTTTCCGTCCCTTTTACCTATCTACATCCCCTTCCTTCCGCCCGCCTCCATCTTACCTCGATAGTCATGCATTATACCACTCACAGCATCTACCTACCTCCATTACTCCCTTTCTTCTTGGGAACTTATTTATATTTCCCTTCCCTTCTCAATTTTACTTGGTTTTTCTCGCATCATAGATTAAATACTGCGATCTCAACGATGAGCACAATTACGATACAAGGATACGGGCACGTGGTAATACAGTGACGTAGTAGACTTATAAGAACCATAATGAGAATGAGAAAAAGAGGTTCAATTGGGCTGAGAATGCCCATGACATAATCGTATTCTATCCAGACAGTCCAAATGACCAAAAAATGATAAAAGGAGGGAAATCAAAGAAAGAAGGAAAATTAAATCAAGGGGCATGTACATGTACATCATACAATCTAGAATGGCAAAATAAATCAATGATGAAAGTGATAAGTCAAGAACAGGGAGGAAAAATAGAGACAATGAAGGCAATGATGATGAAGGTAAAAACAGAAGAAAAGAATAAGAAAAGCAAAAAGGAAAAAGGTAAACGGCCACCCACAAAGAGACGGGTTCAAATTTCTTGTAAGCTCGCGCTCGCTTTCGCTTGCCATGGATATGCTTGGCATGCTGGAACAATGTATGTATCTTATATATGACCCCCCGCGTTGGGAAGGGGAGAAAAGCAGAGATATGAAAGCTCAAAAAACTATAAAACAAAAAAGAAAAGGAGATGAAGGGGTTGTGAGGGGATCAAGAATGGAATTCGAGTATGACGGTGAACCCCGGAGGCGGGCGAGAGAGAAAAGAGAATTTACAGCCCGACTGCCAGCATCAATCCGTAGCCGAGACTGATGACGATCAGTAAGGTAATGATGCTGCTAGGAATACCGCGCGAGATAAAGTGGAAGACGCGCAGGTAGCGCTGGCCGGTCTGAGAATCTTCCATCATAATGGCAGCTAAAAGAACAAGTCAGTAATCTGGGGACCGTATGTGATAAAAGGAGAGGCATAGGGCAGACTTACTCATGTTGGGGAATCCACTGGTGGGCAATCCCATGGCAGCAGAGCACATGAGGGCACCGCCCATGACGAGCAAGTTCGGGTGCGGTTCTTTCATACCCGCACCGACTTGGTGAATCAAAGGCAGAATAATGAGCGCAGCGACGGTATGGCTAATGAACGTGGCAATGACGAGAATGAGGGAAGCAAAGACAACAAGGACACCGTACAAGCTTAGTCCTTGTACCTTGGCAGTGATGGCTCCGGCAATAGTGTGAAGAAGGCCAGAGCTGTCGACTGCGCGGCCAAGAGAGAGACCGCCGGCTGCTAAGATGATAATGGTCCAGAGGAAGTTGTTAAAGTCTTCCTTGGTCAGGATGCCCGTGCCAAAGAACAGCACAAGCGGGAGGATGGCAATAACGCCCATATCACCAAAGACAGCCTCAAGCTGATGCGACACGCACCATAGCACAATGGTGCCGACGGTGACTGCTGTGATGAACCATTGCACGCCAGAAAATTTGTCCTTCATCGGCCGAATAGGAACAATGGTGGTTCCCTTGCCCGGCTGGAAGGTGACCAGAAGCAGAAGCCAGATGAGCAGAATTGAGATGATGCAGACAGGCAAGGCAACGAAGAACCATACACCCCAGCTGGGTTGGGGCGTCATGTTTTGCAGAGCGATAATGTTCTGCGGCGACGCAATTGGCGACGCTGCACCGCCAATGTTCGATGCCAGAGCAATTCCGAGAATGAGCGCTTTCGTAAAGTTGGAGTCCGCGGGAAGATTGCGCAGAATGGGCTAAGAAATGGTTGTTAGTCGACGTCGAGCTAAGAAAAGAAAATTGGAAATAAAAATAAAAAAAAAACAGATTAAAAAGCATACCTCAATGATAGAAAAGCATAGCACTGGCGCTGCGACGTTACTAATCCACATGCTAGCGACCATGGCAACGAACATGTTCGTAATGAGCACAGTTCGAGGTCGAGTGCCAGCCTTGCTAAGTACCAGCGTCGCAATCTTCTTTGCAATTTGATACTTGGACAGGGCGGCCGCAATGGCAAAACCACCAAGCAGAAGCATGATGACCGGTGTCCACATGGCAGCGAAGGCGTACTTGGCGGCTGATTTAGGGTCAAGCCGATGGTGTGGCTTCTCATCAGACCGGACGATGCGTAAGACGACAATGAGGAAAGGAATCAGGAGCGATGTGACGAATAGCGGAATGACTTCGGTAGCCCAGAGCAAACTGACAAACACCAGCATGGCGAGGCAGTTTTGCTGTTCCGGTTTCTTCATAATCGGCACAATCAGCAGCACGACGAAAACAGCGATAATGGCAAGAAGGAGAAAGAAGCTTGGGCTGAACAGCCATCTGGGACATCGCACGCGGCCAACTGGCGTTGAAAGCTCCTTGGCACCGCCATCTTCAGCTTCATCACCCTGTCGACGAGCCCTGACGGGGTCGGTTGCTCCGCCCAGAAAGGAGCGTCCGATGCCCATGTTGGCGGCTTGTGCTTTGCGCTCAATGCCAATCATTTCTCGCCAGACGGTATTGCGCTCCCAAACGACATGCTCTCGTAGATGGAGGCGAAGTTCTCTCTGCGCTTCCGACAAGTCACCTTTAGTCACGAGATCGGCGTATGCACTCTCAACCGACTTGATGTTGTCCTGAAGGGTGTTCATAGTCTCCTGTTGAAAGGGATAGGCTGGAGAAACCTTCTGGTCCATGTAGACAGGTTTCAATGCCCGATCCAGAATCTTGTCATATTTTTTCAGCGCTTTGGAAAACCCAGTCTTATTCAGTTGAATAAATGATTTGAGCTCGCATAACGAGACATAGAGGCTCACTGTCCGTTTCTTCAATGTCAAGCCCGTATCGTAGAGCGCGGAGAAGGCCTGGTCGTTGAAGTCATCTATGCCTTGGCTTAATCGACGAGATTCGCTGGCTCGGCGTTGAAATCGGGAAAGCTCCCGAGAGGCCCTCGATTCGGAGGCAGGAGCTCCTTCTGATCGTCTCCGTTCCTTGCCGGCCGAGAAGCGGTGCTTGTTCAGGTGTTCTGTCTCGTCCGGATCCTCATCATCACTGTCGCCGTCCTCGTCTGGTTCGTCCAATGACGCACTCATCGTGCTTGCTCTTCTTTGCCTGCCACTGAATCCGATTGAGCGAAAGATGCTCCCAGATCTGGCTCGGCCAGCTCCGGCACTGGTCGATCGTAGAGCTCCATCGCCTTGGTCTTGTTCTAAACCGTCTGCATCCTCTTCAAATACCTGCTCGTCCCGAAGTAAAACTCCAACATCCTCATAGATTTCACGCTCTTTGGATTGGTAAAATGAGCAGATTTTCTCTAGCTCGAGATCCAAAGCCCGCCGAAAGACCGTATCGGGATCTTCGGCATTCCCATTGAGCAGCGGCGACGATTCAGCGTCTTGCGTGTGGCCATGTGTTTGGTTAACGTGTTTCTCTAATTGATAGATTCTAAGCAAATGAAAGAAAAAAAGAAAGGAAACAAATTAGCTTTTCAACTGCACCAGGCGGGAAAATTATTTAGACGAGGGGGGGCATGTCCTACAGCTTCTTCAGGTTACTGTACGAGATGTAGTTGTTGCTCCAATCGGGTACAGCATTGAACTGAATACTGTGAGAGAACTTCATCTCGTCCTCTGCAATCAGGCGATCGAGTTTGGCCTTGCGTTTGAGCTCTCTTTTCCCTTGCAACCTCTGGGCTGCCTTGCGTTTTGCAACGTCGGCGAGGTCGTCAAGCTCAAGGCCGGCGTCGGTCTGGCTGGATTGTCGTCCTAACCATTTAAGGCGCGACTCAGACAAGTCAATCAGGGTTTGAAGACCAGGTGAATTGGTCAGAGCGGACGGGGAAAGAAGCGGGGGTTGAAGTGAGGAATCTATGGTGAAAACCGGTGGTGGACTTGGCCGGGTTTGGATAAGGTGTCAAATCGTCACAACAACGGGAAGACGGATTAGCCAAAGTATACTGGACTTGGTTGGCAGACTTTCGGCCGGGTGGGTAAGGTTAGTAGATTTCCACTAAATAGCAGCATCCACCTTCTCCACTATCCGAACAATTGTCTCTTGTCAGGCTGAAAGCCACACGACAATCTTCTGACCAGGCTGATTGGCCCTCGCGAGGGTTGTGCTCAATCGCAGCCTTTTGATTCGTGAGGCGGAAGTTGATAACCGAGTGACTGTGCGATCCGATTTCGCTGATGCAGACAAGGATGAGGTGCAGCCGTACCCTATGTGAACTTCATGTCAATTGATCACTTGATGTGCAAAGCAGCAGGGGAGGATGGATTCTTGTTTCTTTTTATGCTCATTCATCATGCACCACGAGATCACCGTCCATCAAGGGGGGCTTGTCATATCACCATGTTACCCATTTGGGTGAAGCGGTACAACAAGTCATGCCTACAATGCTCAGCATGGTTTTCTTCCTGCAAGGTGCTCCATCCCTTTTGACTACTGATCCCTGCGAAAACTGCCTCCAGATGACAATGATGCCTTCATTTGATATTTCTGCGTCTTTTGCTTTTCGTCCATTTCTTTGCTCTCTCCTCTTGTCTCTATAGATTGTCATTTGTTGTTGGCTTGATGCTTCTCTTTTGTCCTTTTGCTAGAGAGATGTGTTCCCCCTTTTGCGCTGATATTGATACCACATATGCCAGACCACTTCGCAATTTTAATTCTGTGCATATGCCGCTTCCTTTCTAGCCAAGCCCAACAATGGATTCTGCAGAATATGGTTGAACGAACAAGTCAGCTAAATTTAGGTTTGAACAATGGTTGCGTGAAGGCATTTTCAACTTCTGTCATGTTTAAAACCCTGAATTTTGTGCTTTGTTTGTCAATTAAATTTTATCTTTTAGGAGTGGCTTGGGGTTTCCCGTGTGGACTTCGTGATATTTTTCATCTGAAGTATCCATTTGCAGTGCAAATCAGTCTCGCCTGTTGCTCTCCATCAATCCCTTTGTGCCCCTCAGCGATTTCTCAAGGATGCATGTACCGTGGGCACCATTACTCCTGGCAGTTTCATCCATTGTTGCGACTAGTCTTGCCTCGCCAGTGGACGTTATCACTGCTGCCTCTCGCCAAAAGGTCATACCTCCCACGGACTATGAGGTTATCATCATTGGAGGCGGCCCGGCTGGGCTCAGTGCCTTGAGCGCACTAGCTCGTGTACGCCGTAAGGCAGTCGTGTTTGACTCCGGTGAGTATAGAAACAAGGATACGAGGCATCAGCATGATGTCTATGGCTGGGATGGTGCCATTCCATCAGTTGTGCGCTCGATCGCCCGCCGGCAAATTCTCAGTTACCCTTCGGCTTCCATTGTGGAAACGAAAATTATGGACATTGAATACATTGAGGAAGGACCAATATTTACTGCAACAGATTACAAGGGCAAACGATATACAGCGCGGAAAATTGTTCTGGCGAGCGGTATGAGAGACATTCTTCCCCCCACACCGGGTATTCGAGCTGCGTGGGGTAAAGGCATTTATTGGTGCACGTGGTGCGATGGTTATGAAAACCGTGACAGATCCCTTGGTCTCCTCGGGAACTTCTCCACGGAAGTGATCAAAACAAGCATCTACGTGCAATCCTTGAACAAGGACGTCATCATCTATGCTGACGGGACCTGGTCTTATAACGCGGCTGCAAAAGTCACCGAAGAGTTCCCTGATTGGCAAGCACAACTTGCGTCCTACAATGTATCGATTGACAACCGACCCATAGCATCAATCGATCGGGTCCAGGGAAGCGTGACTGAAGAGGGCGAGGATGAATTTGAGGTGAAATTCAAGAGCGGCGGCAGCACTGTTCGTCAAGCCTTCTTGGCTGGTTTCCCTGCAGAGCAGGCCAGTGATCTCGCTCAAAGGTTGGGGCTTGAAATTTCGGATCAAAAAATCGTCGTAAATAAGGATATGGAGACAAGCATGCCCGGTGTTTATGCGATTGGTGATGCCAATAGCGATGGTATATATGACCTTGTTCCCTTGGGGAAAATACGATCCACTGACTTATCCAAGGCTCTTCAAACGTCGCTCATGCCATGTCAAGTGCCAGAAGGGCAGGCGTTACAATCGTGCGTAAGTAAATATATCCGTCACTTCAATGGTTCTTTTGATAACTGAAACGTCATTAGATGCTCTCGCAGCTGAGGATGCTCAAGCTCTTTCTGGAACACAGAATGCTCCGGGCCACAAGTAGCTGGCGTCACCTAGTACGATGGTTTACCTCTCAAAGACATGCTCTTATAAAGTTGCACAATAATAAGAGAACTGACAAGCTGCTTCCAATTCGTAGAAGCACTTAAGGGACCACTATCTTACACACTCAGAGGTCTAACATTATATCCGCCCATATATTGCTCCGATTGTCTTCGAATTTGAAACTATTAATTTCTGTAAATTAAAATAAAACTAAATTTCATTATTTTAAAATGGCATCAATATGGACACTTCGATGATGTTGAATTAACATAGGGAAAGGCCGCTGCAGTAAACAAATGTTTGTTTTCGGGATGTTCCGCCTAGCTAGGATGCCGCCGGATATGCCATCATTAGCTACCTGAGGTATCATAGACCCATGCACAGGCACTTCGCGAGCTAACCCTGACGTCTCTCAGCTACTGTGGACATTCTTCTTTCGCCCGTCGGCCTTCGAGGCCTTTGCTTGAGGTTTGGACTGAGCCAGAAAATATAGCTGACTCTCATGAGTCATGCTCTCCGCATTTACCGCTCGACCGATTGTCGAGCTCAAACAGCGGGACAAATCGAGGATTGAATCTATCCTTGCCTATGGTACTTGGGCTTGAGAGTCATCGGACCCTGTACATTTACTGATTGAGATACAGGTAATAGACTTCTAGTCGGGCTACACACAGGAAGTTTGCGCATCTACCGCATCAATGAACTCGCCGATGAGGCCGCCGGTCAGGATAGTAGTGGAGTCGCAGAAGAAGGGGAACCCCAGCCAAAACAGCGCGCCGTTGATCTCCTACGGGAGGAGGAGAAGTTCTCTCGACGACCCGTTCAGCAGCTGGCAATCATAAAGGAGGCAAACATATTGGTAGCTCTGACGGACAATTATGTTTCCACTTATGATCTCCAAACCTATGCGCTCCAGGAGCAACTCACGCGGACCAAAGGAGCAACCACTTTTGCAGTCACATCGGACATTGTCAAGGATCCGAGTACGGACATACCATCGATAGTATCTCGCTTGGTAGTAGCAGTGAAGCGGAAAATAATTATGTGGTCGTGGCATGACAGTGAGCTGTCCAGCGATGTCATCGAAATGGCGCTCGCTGCATCTCCCAAAACCTTGACTTGGGCAACTGGGACTAAAATGATTGCTGGAATGGACCCCGGTTACGTGCTCATAGATTTTGAGACTCAAGAGACGACGGACATTATGGGGAAAGGCAACGTGGGAGGGGCGGCCGGCCAGCCTGCGCGGTTTGGAAGCGCTGGAGTGACCGGAATCAGTTACATGGGCATGGCGAGCTGGGTACCAAAGCCACTGGCAACGAGACTGGGAGGAGGTGACCTGTTACTTGCAAAGGACATCAACACCCTCTTTATCGACTCGGACGGCAAGGCCAAGGACAAGAGGCAAATCCCGTGGCCAAGTGCGCCAGAAACTATTGCTTATTCATACCCATATCTTTTGGCTCTACAGGCTCCGTCCAAAGGTAGTCTGGAAGTTCGAAACCCGGATACCCTTTCTCTCTTGCAATCAATCTCGTTGCCAGGTGCTGTTCATTTGCACGTTCCGCAACCCTATGTCAGTTTAGCGCACGCCGGCAAGGGCTTTCTCGTCGCTAGCGAACGGTGCATATGGCGCATGGCAGCACTAGATTACGACTCTCAAATCGGCGACTTGGTCGAGCAAGAGAAGCTAGATGAGGCAATAAGCTTAATTGGCATGCTAGAGGACGCGTTGCTCAAGGATAAAGAGGGAAGATTGCGGGAGATAAAGATGCAAAAAGCCCGAGTCCTTTTCAATTTGAGAAAATATAGAAGCTCACTTGACCTTTTCACTGACGTCGTCGCGCCGCCAGAAAGGGTGATATCGCTCTATCCGAGAGCTATCGCTGGGGAGCTTTCCATTCATGACGATGGCAGTGAAGGCGGAACGGCATCCGAACAGGAAGAGGAAACTACACAAGAGAGCAAGACAGAAGAAGGCGAAGAGAGTAAAGCTGCAATTGACACAAACGATCATCCTTCTCGGACGGTAGCAGGGAAGGTCATCAACTCCCTGAAAAAGGAAGACTCTGACGCTGCTTCAATCCGGTCGACTCGTCGAGGCTTTTTTGGAACAACCAGCGACACTGCGAGCATCCGAGGGAAGCACACGGAAAATGTTCCTATTGAGAAGCCCCTTGGTAAGTCTTCGTTTGCGCCCACTCGGTGTGAAAGTTCCCCCTGAAGCTGATATCCTGCCAGAAGGAAGGGATCTCCAAGAAGCTGTCAACGAGCTCTTCACTTTTCTTGCTCAATCCCGGGTTCATCTACAGAAATACCTCAATCCGGACGGCACTCTTCGCCAGCCACGGGAGCCCACCGAGAATGGGGCTGGGGCGGACGCCGGAGCTCACTCCACTCCCTATGACTATCTTCTCGTACCGTCGACACCCTCGGAAGATGACACTCACCGCGAACACAGGTTGCGTGAAACGGCAAAGCTGGTGGACACTACACTGTTTCGTGCATATATGCTCGCGAGACCTTCTCTTGCCGGATCGCTTTTCCGAATTGCAAACTTTTGCGATCCTGATGTCGTAAATGAAAAATTGCTTGAAAAGGGTCGCTACACCGATTTGGTTGACTTTTTCCATGGCAAGAAACTCTATCGCAAAGCTCTAGAGCTCTTGCGAAGGTTTGGCCAGGCGGACGAGGCAGACGAGGCAGCTCCAACTCTTCATGGCCCTCAACGAACAGTTGGATACTTGCAAAATTTGCCTCCTGAGATGATTGATCTCATTCTAGAATTCTCTGAATGGCCTATCCGTGCTGACTCGGACCTCGGTATGGAAATCTTTTTGGCTGATACGGAAAATGCAGAAACGCTTCCGCGGGACCGCGTGGTGGATTTCCTTCAGGGCTTGGATACAAAGCTTGCGGTTCGATATCTTGAACATATCATACACGAGTTAAACGATCTCACGCCAGAATTTCACCAGCGTCTTGTGCAATTATACTTGGAGCGACTCAAGATGCCCGAAAACGGTGACGAGAAGGATTTTCCTTTCAAGGATGATACGGAAAAAGCCTCGTGGGTCGAGCGAACACTCAATTTTCTGAAGAGCAGCGACCATTATTCGACTGCCAGGGCCCTTGGTCTGCTCCCACGGAACGGTATGCTTTTTTTTTAAAAAAAATAAAACCTCCAACTTATTATGAAACACTAATTCTATTGATCAGAACCCCAATTTTACGAAGCTCGAGCGATTGTGCTGAGCAAAATGGGCCAGCATAAGCAAGCGCTTGAAATATACGTGTTCAAGCTGGAAGACCACAACAAAGCAGAAGAGTGAGTGTCCCCTTTTACTGCTCGATTCTATATATTTTGTGTATTATTCGTCATGAGCTAATGTCCACGATCCATGGGCAGATACTGCAACCACGTCCATCTCCATGGCGACCAAGTCACCTCAGGAGGTAGAACACGGCGTGTATCAGTCTCTGAATCCGACGACTCACAACCGCCATCCATCTACCATACTCTGCTCTCACTCTATCTCTCACCTCCGCATCCATATAAACCCGACTGGGCACCGGCGTTGGAACTTCTATCAAAGCATGGCTCGCGTCTTCCAGCCTCCTCTACTCTCGATCTCATTCCCTCAACTTTACCCATTAAAGAGCTTGAGTCGTACTTCCGCGGACGAATCCGCGCTGCCAATTCGGTAGTCAATGAAGGTCGCATTGTGGCCGGGTTGAGAAAGACGGAAGTAGTGGGATGCCAAGCTGCACTGCTTCTGGGTGACGGGCTTCTCTCGACCACTGGAGGTGGCGGAAGGAACCGGCGTGTGCTCATTGGTGAGGAGAGGGTTTGTGGAGTATGTCATAAGAGGTTAGGAGCAAGCGTGATCAGCGTTTTGCCTGAGTAAGTCTATTCGAGCGCCATCTTTTATCTCTATCCTTAGTCACTTTCTAAGCACCAGGGAGTGAACATCTTCCTATTGTATTCCATCTCTCAAAGAGAAGGAAAGGCCTGATTGACAGAAGATATGCTAACATTGACATCTAGTAATCAAGTCTATCATCTTGGCTGTGCAAATCGCATGCGTGGCAGCAGCGGCACCCACAATATTGGATCGCTCAGGAAGGCTCAGTGGGGCGAGTAAAAGCCCGGTCTCTTGTCTAAATCTTGTGCAATATTACATTGTACGACGCATGAAATCCCATCGATCGATTGATGGATGCAGCACTTTTTCTGTTTCCTTCCTACCCCACTTCCTTTTATTTTGTACTATACAAGAGCATCTATCACCTGGCGTGCCTGGCGCAATATCGACCCTTTCCTTCATATCTGTATTTTCTGTCCGCCTTTCCTCTTTCTCCTTTTTCCTTGCCTTTTTCTCTCGAGAGATATCCTTGGAGTTTTGGTTCACCGAAATAGACGTTCTGTCATTGCAGCGCACACAGAATGCAGTGCAAGGTTCACTAGCGTATATAGCCTTCGTGGGATGCCTTGCATTATCTTAGCAAGGTCCATGCCGTTGAAATGATAACCATTAATAGGAGGTTTGATGGCATTGAAGCAAAGGTAGCCAGATGCTGCGTGATTTTGTAGCGCGTTGCCAAATTATAATCTTTTCCTTACTGCGTATCTTTTATGTTCAAAGGTTCCAGCATTGCGGTTTACTCAACATCTCGTAAACAGTGTCTTCTCCGTAATTGCCTTCTTTAGCATCATTATCGATTTCTGCGCTCGTTGTAGAGCCGCCAGACTTGGAGCATCAGAGAAAAACTGATGAAATTTTTTCTGCAAATGCAAACAGATTCAAGCCTCGTCTTCATCAACAACCTCTTCTCCGTAATTCTCCTCTTCTTTTGCTTCGTCGATCTTCCGCTTATTTCCCGCAGCGCCTGTAGCAGCCCGTTTGTTGTCCTCTTCCATTTGCTGTGTCAGAAATGCATTGACCTCATCTTGCAGCTTAGGAACTGAGGAGCGAAGGTCAGAGAGGTACGAGATCTTTTCTTGTGTTGATGAGGGGCTTCGAGGAAGAGCGGCTGTGAGAGGAATTGACAACGTCTTGTTACCCTCCGGTGAGGTATATTCGGCGCTGATTGTAGACATGTTGAAGCTTAGAAGAAGTTTGAGGTCCAAAAACGACTAATTATCTTGGGCAAGGCAAGATTCGATGCTTTGATATGTGGCAGCACTATGAAGTCGTTGGAGGAGTGAAATTCGTAGGAAAAGGCAATCTCCGTCCAAGGGTTGAGCTCCCTTGAGCTGAACAAGAGACGGCCCACCTTTGCTCCACTATACAGCTGAACTGACTTTACCTAAACCAACTGCGATACCTTAAACTCCCGATCTACGTCTAGGGTCCAGTTACCCGCATTTATTGCAACCTGGATCTGGACCTGGACCGGCAGTGAATAATTATTCAGGGACCCTGGCCCTCATCTTCCCCTCTAAACAGACCATGACGATTGAATGAAATCTCACGCCAATTTCATAGCGACATGTACACTCTCTTACGATGACGTGGTAAGAACTATGAACACTGTGCTACCAGCTTCGGAATTGCTTCACTACTCTGATGCGCCACGGATTTACTATTTTCTTTCAAGGGGACGAGAGTATCTGCTTGACCGACTTTTGGCCCCGCCCTTTGTCGAGCTCCCGAGAGACATCGCTCTTACAACCTGACTTCACCTCGGAATCCGTTCCTCAGCCGGCATGATCAACGATTGAACCAAGGGCGGTTTACGAAATGAATAACGCCTCACAGCCTTCTCCACGCCTTTCCGCCAGCGGCCTGCCCTCTAGCAGAGGGAGTCCTGCATTCCAACCTTCGCTGTCATCGCAGCATCCAAATGTGAACTTACACCAACCTTCGCCGTTGAACCCTTCGGTGTCAGCGTCGCAATATGCTCACTTGCAGCAGCAACGGCGGCCGGGCTCCCGATCCAGCGAATCCTCCGACTCTTCGCAAATAACGGCATTGTCAATTGGTGGACGACCGACCGTGACAGCTACTGCTAGCTCTAGTAGTGTTCATAACCCAACACGACCATCGGCGCAGGTCATCCACGCTGCCACCCATGGATACGGTGACCTGGGCCTACGAAAGTCGCCCCGCATGGCGTCTGCGGATCACCTGGGTCATCGTCCGCGCCAACACTCACAGGGCTTCTTTGAACCTTCTCTGCCGACCGCCTCTGCGGTCTCGGGGAACCTGACAGCTTCTCAGATTGCGGCGCAGGCTGCGATGCAACAGCAGCAACAATCCGCGCAACATGCCCGCAAACGCTCACAAACAGTCCCGAACCAACAAGCACCGCCTCCTGAACCTCCGACCGGACGACGCAAACCTAATTCGCCGCAGCTCGGTCAACAATCATTACAACAACAGCAAGGGCAGTATGTTCAGCCCGGCATCAACACGACGCATCTACATCCTCAATACCAAAATGGCCTATTAGCTCCGCATACGGCTGCAACGACTGCGGCAAATGTTGTCTTCCCTCGTAGCGCAGCATCGTCGCCCGGTATCGTCCCTCCTGATCATGGACAGCTGGCATCCCCGGTGCTGCAGTCGGCGCAATTGTCCGAAAAGGAGACCAAACAGAAGTCGGAAAAGTCGAAGATGAAGCTCTTTTCGAAGCCGAAGGTGATTGGTATATCCAAGGACAAGGATACGGACAAGAAGGAGAAACCACTTTCGTCTCCCAACCGGCTGGGTTTGTCGAATGTCAATCCCATACCACGGATGGCAAGCGGATCTACAATTAATTTGGTCGATTCTGGCTCATCGACAGGCGCACCATCGCCATATATGCTGAGCAATAACGCTTCTACTTCGACACTGGTGCCTGAAAAGGCGGTCACCGCGGAAAAGGAAAAACACAAACATAATTTCCTCTCACGACAGAAACACAGATTAAAGGATGACCACTACAATCTCCCGTTGTCATCTGCTTCGAGCAATTCCAAACCTACTGATCCAAATGCGCCCCAGTCGCTCTACTCTTTTGCACCCTCATCTCCAGGTCCGTCGGCGACTGCATTTGCCAAATCCATGAGTGGGCTAGATTTACGGCACGGCGGAAGAGCACTACGTGAGCGGAAAAAGGAGGAAAAGGCATCCTCGGCCTTGGCTGCGGGAGCATCTAGCTCTAGTCTGGGATTGGATCTCTTGCGGGAGCGGGATACTTCGTTTGACCGGGAATGGGCCAATCCGTCAAGTCATGGCTCAACAACAACGCCATCGCTCCTGGGTCCGGGTACAAGCGGGCCTGTAATTGATACTGCAGGGTTACAAGGGTTTGGGCTGTCAAACATGGGTCCAGATGATGCCTGGCCATTTCTCAAAGCCAAGCTGATGGTAATCTTTGAAGGAGAGGATCTGAGGATGCCGGTGGAGGACTTTAATCGGCTGGTTTCGTATGTTCCCAATCGTCGCGAAAAGAGTACTTCTTTAGCATCCAAGCTCACAATCACTAGTGTTCACTTGCAACGGTGTATCCAGCGTCGGTCCCCTACAACCATTATCGAAGATCTGCGGGAGACTCTTCAAACGGGTTTTGCCTCAATCGACCAAACCTTGCAGCACGTCCCTGATGATAAAATCGTTCCTCACCTCGTCGAAACCTGGTTGTCTCTCTTCAGCACCATCTTACCATATGTGCAAGCAGTCTTTCTCCCTCTGGACCTCGAATTCAAGGGCCGCGGACCTCTGATGACGCCACGGGAGGCCCTCGAGTTCTGGGGCTTGGGCGCCGGTGTGCCCACGCCCGGACCCGCCAACCCTTCCATCACAGCCCATCGCACCTCTCAGAGCAGCGGCAGCGGAAACACCATATGCAAACCAAACGAACCCGTCAACGGGGAAGAGCACTTTCAGGTGCTCGAAGTCCGGCGTATGGTACTCATTTCCTATCGCGATACCATAATCCTCCCACGCTACGATATCCTTAAAGCAATCTTTTCCCGTCTCTCTCTGGAAAGCATCAATGTAGGCGTTCCGGACGATACTTCGTACTCCTCAACCGACTCTAACGCATCTTCGCCTCCTTCTCCTTCATTCTCCTCATCATCCTTTGGCTATGCTCATGGAGCAGGGGCATTTGATTCCGCTGTCGGCAGCTATAATTCGCATGGATCCGGTTCTGGCTCGGGTTACGGTCATCAACTCCACGATCCAGGCTCAGGCCTGTCCAGCGCAGGTATTCTCTCTTCCCCGCATCGCAGCCGTGCCACGTCAAACACGTCTGCTGGAGCAATTACCCGATCTCGTGGCGGTTCCGGCGCTTCGCAGCCTCCGCCACAATATGCCGCTCAAATCGTCTCCCACGTTGCGGAGACTGTTGGTCGTTTACTCCAGTGCATTTCCGTCCTTGCTGCCATCCATAGCGGCGATGACGCCCAGACAAAGATGGAGGCCCTGGCGAGAGAACTCAAGCACAATTGGCTCGGACGTGCTCGGACAGGCCGCAACCGGCGTGGGTTTGTTGCAACAAAAGTCCGCCCCTCGCCCATCATGATTCAATCAGGCTCATTTAATGGAAATGGCGGTGGTGCAGTGTACGCCCCCGGAACCGACGGCATGTCAGATCATCATGACGATCATGCCGATGAAAACAGCACATCAACCACAGATAATAGTGAGCAAGACGGCTCCAGCTACACTTATCACATTCATCAATCCAACTCCGCCGGTACTCGCGATAGAGGCAGTAACTATGCAACTGCACATCGACGACGCGGAGGCAGTGGACCGGTCACTTTTCCTTCCACAATCGGAAGTACACCCAGTCACGACGCCAACAGTGTGGACGTCGACGGTGCCAGCGGCATCGGCAGCCGCAGCCGCACTGGGAGTGGCACGATAAGGGCTTCGAGACGAAATACCAGATCCAGCGCATATACTGACCCCAGTCCCGGGTACAGAGCAAGTGTTTCATCGACACAGAGTCAAAGACAAGTACAAAGACCTCGCGATTCGCAAATCGGCATCGCAAGAAGCCATCAAGACGATAACTATGTCGACGGCAATGACGATAGATATCATAATCATTATCATCATCCTTCTCACTACTCGTACGACGGCACCTATGCGGACGACTACGGCTACGCTTATCATCATGGACCCGGATATACCAGTCATCGCACTACTGGCAGCGGCGGTGCCGGCGGTGGTGGCAGTGGTGGTGGTGGTGATGGTGGTGATGTTAGCCGCAGTACCAGTCGCACAAGGAGAACCAGACGAAGAAGAAGCCTCTCATCAGAAAGAGATGGGAGTCCGACGCCAACGCCAACGCGTATGCCGAGTCTGCATAATTCTACTACCACGACGTCGGCTTCGTCAGTCTCCTCAGCAGGTCAAGGTCAAAATTCGAGTCAGATTCCGACCTCAAGTCCAGGTCCAGGTCCAAGCTCAAGGACAAGGACAGGGACAGGGACAGGGACAGGGACAGGCACGAGCAGTGTCTCGTCGGTAGTATTCGGGAGTATCAATGCTGGCGGTGCGGCTTCGCGACGGAGAGGCGGCAGCGGAGGGAGCGGAGGGAGCGCCGGAGCAGGCGGAAGTACAGCGTCTCCGCGAACGTTTTCGTCAACGCCAGCGTCGTATCATCGGAGAGGAGGGTCGTCTGTATCGTCATCATCCATTTCGTCGCATAGACGGGCATCAGGACCAGGGCCAGGAGGAGAAGCGTCTATCGAGAGTGTCAGGAGGGGAAGTATGCTCTAAGTTAGATACCACTGCCGAGAGAGATATAACGGGAAAACGGCGTTGGATGGGTTATCATGGGTTCATTACGATATCACGTTCATATTTGACAGCCGTTTTTCATTTTATTTTCATTTCTTACGAAAGCACGAAAAAGGATTTTTCAATCGAAAAGGCAGTTATGGTACATTTGTTCACATTTCATAGGGACAACATATGGTTATTTTTAAACAAATCAATTTGATTGTTTCTATTTACTAATTGATTGGGTATCACGAGAAGAAAACCTATTGAGACTCATTAGCGACTGCGTTGATAACACAAGAGTCAAACAATTAAAAGAGCGTGGGACAACAAATCAGACATCCAAAGGAAGGTCCTATAGCGCTCAATGACCGCCCTAAAATAGGTTCTAGACGGACGGCTAGCGTGGAAACTGCGAATGAAGGAAAGGTTTTCATCATAGTGCTGTCGGATATACATTCGTATGGAAACAAAAAAAAGTACTAACCATTTGAAGAGACGCTGGTGGCTCAACGATCTGTTAGCTGGCTGAGCGAGTGTACGAAATGTGTTCATTATAGAAATCGACAATAGCTGAAGAGCTATAATCGTTCCCTGGCTAAGGATTCTTGGCAAAGGACATGGCAGAGATTATATCGAGACAATCCACTCCTAGATCTGATGCATATTAGCTTCGAGCTCGAACAACAGCTGCGAGTAGAAAAGCAAATGCAAATTGGATGATGGTCAGACAAGGTGTACTGGCAAGTAGCAGGCCATCAGCGACGATGGCCCGAACAGACTGGCTTCTTCAAGGACGACTCAGTTGGGAAAAGAAGACTTTTAAAAAGTGTCATCGTTCCAAGGCGAGATGTAAAGGTCTCGTGCAGGAAAAAAAAAAAAAAGTGAAAAGCTGCTTTAATACTCACCAGTTGAATTCAGGAGCATCGATGCAGGCAAGCCATCCGAGTCTTTTACAACACATTGTATCAAGGACAGATGGTTGCAAGCATCGATGCGATTGTTGATACAACCGATGAACGGGGTGAACTGGAGTTGAATGAAGGATGAAGAGGGAAGGAAAAAAACTCAACGATGATTGAAGACAAATTTATGTTTCGCGTGTTAGCGATTACGTAACAAATGTTCTGTTTGTTTCTTCTCCAGTTTTTTTCGCTACCAGTACGTCCACTTACCCTGCTCGCTTCCTTTACTTGCCCTTGGATAAGGGTTCAGGGTGCTATCACGTGAGTATTCCCCCCTAATTGACCACAAATCTGTGAAATGGGGGGAATTGCCGCAGAACTTACTTGATCCGGCAACTTTGTGACACCATTTCGCCGAATCAGGGCAAAATCCCGCTTCCTCAATGGCGTGTCTGGCCCGCTGTAACTGGCAATTGTGGGTTGGAGGTTATTCAACGACATGAGATTGTGCTCTAGAGAGATATTTACACAGAACAATTTGACTACATCAGAATGATTGGAGTGAAAATAAATGTAAAGAATCCAAAATATCATCAATTCAAAATTGACATTCGTGCGACGACTAGAGGTGACGCTGACATCACAGATCTTTGGTCAAGCTCCAGCCATTTTTACCAGCCATAATTTTTAACGTGACCCCAAGTATCTGGCAACTAGACGCGTGCTGGCACGGTACCTCCGCTCGCTCGACCTTTTCCCACTCCGAGCGCCGTTCCCCCCGTATGTCCAACACTTGACCTGGGCCTGACCTGCTCTACCATACACTCAAACTCACTCACACCTGCTGTACCAACTCCCCAGTGCAGTACCAACTACACCTGTGGTCGACAAACCCAGGCCTACGCCCACGCCCACACACGTCCACCACCACACCACCCACCATTTACTACTATTACCACAACTACCACCTTTCCTCTTCTCACGATCCCTCGTATCGTTCCTCATCGCTTCTCACGCAGGTTGCGGTTTTCGGTCCTGACGTTCATCTCCAATTCAGGCTCTCATTGGGGTGGAATAAGTGGAGCTGTTAGCGTCCTGGGACCCCCCCCCGGAAATTCCTCGTCGCGATCGGTATCTTGGAATATCGTGATGCAAAGACAGTGTCTGTCTGAATCCACATTGCATCTTGCAGTCATTCGTTTGGGCTATTTTGGTTTACACGGGTTTGGTAGACGGTGCCATTTGACATTATAGGAGTGTGCTCGTGGCCGGTCCGCCAACCTATTGAACGAATTCGGTCACCAGTTATAGACTCTTACAAGCGGGCCCTCAAAACGTTCGATCGCCCCCAAAACTCGTCCTCTTCGTTCGTTTCTCCCCATCAATCTGGCGACACACGGTCTGTCATACCCTCTTCCATTCTAGAGGCCGTGTGAGACGGAACGGGCTGTTGCTACCCTGCATCGCTGGGGCCGTAGCAACATACGCGGTACTTTCCGGTTTCGCGCCTGCGCTCAGCGGCTTCTCTCGCCGTCAGGGTCTTCGCGTTTCGTCACCGCTGCTGATCATTTCAGTAGCCTGGCCCCTTCCGCGACCGATTCAAAAGGCGCACTGCCTTGAAGCATTTTTTGCCAGAGGTCGCCATTCGCGCTATTTGACACGGCGCTTTTCACGACTGGCCTGCTCACCCCCGGGGGGGAGCGAAAATCCGGCTTGCCGGGCAGCACACAAGCGCATCCGACTCAATCGGCGCTTGTTGACAGCTTTTTAGCGATAAGACAAGTCCTCCACGTATATAGACCTCGTCGTTCACGGTTTGGAAAGTTCACGGTCTCTGCGCAAGCGCGAGAGCCGTGCCAAAGGCCGCAATGATGGCTCAGACCTTCTCTCCGCATCCCGGCGGTCTGCCCCAACATCACGGCGTCGCTCATGGCCATCCCATGGTCCCAGGACACCTTTCGAACCATGGACAACCCGGCGGCCAGCCTCCGGGCCAAGGTATACCTCAACAGATGCATCCTGGAGTTTCAGGACCGAATGGGCCTCAAGGTAGCCCAGCAGCGCATATGATGGGCGCCATCCCGCCGGGCGCTGCCCCAGGCATGATGCCAGGTGCAGGCCCAAATGCGCATGCTTTATCGCATTTAAATCCGGCAGGACAGGCGCAAATGTTTCAACAACATCAGCAGCAGCAGATGGCTCAAGCGTGTAAGTTCGAATTTCCTTTTTTTTTTCCCAATATTTTATATCCTTTTTCTGGCGTGTGATCCCCAAGCCAGCAATTCACCGTGCCTGCCTAAAGGGGAAATGCGGTTCTGAGTGAATGGTGATTGTCGAGTAATGATGACAACGACAGCGATGACAACATCCTCTCACCTCTCACCTCCAGATCTTTGCATCTCTTCCATTTCAGTCTTCACCTTCCTATTGAACCGTTTCATCAAAAATCATGGCGTCCTCTCCTTGGTCTCTCTCATCTCTAATCTCGTTTCCCCCTTCAACTCCGTCCCCTGTGCTTACCTCTCCTTCTCCTGCATCTTTGCCTGCGTCTCCACAACGTTCATCATCATCATCATCTCCTTCCAAGTCACTGGTACTGTCTGATCACCTTGAACATGGAGGTCTGTGAAAACCAGTTTACACTTGAAATTATAGTCGTTGAAAACAACTGCCAGGCCTATATAGACTCACTTCTAGCATTGCTTTTATTGTTGCTTCGTTTTCTAAACTTTAGCGGATAAATTGCTAATCATACTCTGTTAAATTTGCAGTGGCCGTTAATCCTCAGCTCTTTCAACAACATCAGCAGCAACAGCTGCTTCGCCAGCGACAGGCTATGCTTCAACAGCAACAACATAACAATGGCATGCCAATCGCTCTACCGAATGGTGCTAATCCAGCCGCTGCTGCGCAATTCGCAGCGATGCAAGCAAACCCAAATATGCGGCCGGTAAACCTTCCTCAACACATGCAGCAACAACAAATACAAATCCAGGCTGCGGCCGCAGCTCAGCATCAGCAGCAGCAAGCGCAACAGCAACAACAGCTCCTCGCTCAGCAGATGGCATTGCAACAAGCGGCAGCTGCACAGGCAGGCAATCAAGTACCTCCCGGCCAACAGGCGCCCATGCGGCCCCCATCGCAAATGGCTGGTGCTCATCCACAACCTCCTGCATCGGCGGCAGCAGTCGCCGCTGCAGCGGCACAACAACATGCTGTTCAGCAGCAACAGCAACAGCAAGCGCTGCAACAACAGCAGCAAGCTCAGGCTCAGGCTCAGGCCCAGGCTCAACAGCAGCAGCAGCAGCAGCAACAACAACAACAACAACAGCCACAACCACCTCAACAGTCAGCACCCTCTCAACAGCCACAGGGAACGCCTCAGCAGCCCCAAGCACCCCAGCCGCAGCAGCATACGCCACAGCAGCAACATGCACCTACGCCTCAACAACAGGCTCAGCAGATCCCGGCACAGCCGGCACAACCTGCGGCTCAGCAAGTGGGACCGCAGCAAGCTCCCCAAGCGCCCGGCCAACCGCAGAATCCGCAGCAAGCCATGCAGCAACAGGCTGCCGCACAACAACAAGCGCAGCAGCAGATTCAACAGCAAAGGCAGCAACAGCAACAGGCCCAACAAATGCAAGCTCAACAGCAACAGCAACAGCAGCAAGCAGCTGCGGTCGCGGCCATGATGCAGCCTCGCTTGCCGAATGCTATCAAGGGAAATGCTGTCTTGAAGCTTATGCATTTTGCGGATCATCTAACAAGAGCTGTGGTGGGTTTTGTCTTTTTTGCATTCCAGAGTTTGACGAACTAACGCAATACAGTCCCAAAGTAGGCACACTGATCTTGGTTACTGGCAAGACTTTGTCGACAAATTCTTCTCTCCACTGGGTGTAATGCGGCAGTCTGTTTGGAACTCTGTCGACCGAGCAACAAAACAATTTGAGATACCCAATCCTGCTTTGCCGCGGTTTTATTGGACCCATTTTGACAGTGGAGTCCGCAATCTTCAAATGATCTTGGAGAATGCTCGAGAAATGGAGCTTCCCAATGGCTATCACATTGTCGAAAGCAACAAAGCTAGCTATATATACTGGTTTGATAACGACTGTCAATTGGTATCTACTGGACCATTACGCGGACTTTTTGATCAAAACGGCAAGCTTGAGCTGTTGGAATTCATCAACACCGAGCACCGGGAATATGTCGCTCGATCTCAGCTGACGCCCACCACACCGGCCGACGCTCAGGAAACAAAGCTGTCTCCAAAAGCAATGAAGTCAATGAGCAAGCAGCAACGGAATCAGCAGAAGCTGCAGCAACAACAAGCGCTGCAGCCACAGATCCATGTTCCAGAATCTCAAGTCAATCCATACGGCATGACGGATGCCGTTATGCAGTATCTTGAGGTATGTACGGTATATGCAGAAATTCTGTTTACAATTAGCAAGGAGCCTTTTCATCTAACGAGATTTCCCGCAGCTCAACGAAACCCTTTCTCAAATGCAACAACTCTTCTCATTTGCTCAGCAAAATCCACATCTCTCACCAGTGGAATCCCTTCAACAACTTGTCGGCCTTCAGCAACAACAAGTCCATCAACAACAACAGCTTCAGCTTCAGCAGCAACAGCAACAGCAGCAGGCGCTGCTATTCCCTCCAAACAATGCCCTGGTTCTTCAACAACCGCCTGGGCCTCGGACTCCCGGCATGAATGGGCCTAATCAGTTTGCTTCACCATCGGCGGGTCCGCATCTTCAGCTTCCCACCTCTGGCAACCCAACTCCATCCCCCGCACAGGCTCACATGCAGGCACCGGGCCTAGTTCCGCAACATTCGCAACAAGGCACAAACTCAAGTCAAGGCACGAGTGCCAACACCAGTCCAAACGCTACCAATAAACGGCGTCGCGCGAGCACTGTCAAGGCGGACCCTGATGACGGGCCTGGTGGAGCACCTGAAGTCAATGGTGCAACAAAGGTGAAGGCCAGTCCACGTGTTGGCGGCAAACGCCAAAAAGGAAGTTGATGCTTTTTGATTAATGGAGAGGAGAATCGAGCTCGCTTGGGTCCAATCGGAACGAATATATCTAATCAACCATACATAGAGACGTGTTAATGAAGGCGTCAGTGTCTTTGGTGTGTTCATGATGGAGAGAAGGCAGGAAGGTGAAAAGAATCATCCTAATCATTATTATTCTTTTTTTTTTCCCTCCCTCTAAATTTTTCTTACGTCAATTGGTGGAGAACAAAAACAACAAGAGGACGGCGCACGAAACCTTTTATTACTTTGCGGCTCTTAACGCGCTCTTCTATCCACTTTTACTTTCATTTCAGGGCACGACTTGGTCGGATTTCGACTTTTCTTGTTTTGGCTATCATCAGTGCGGCTTTGCGTCATTTTTTTCACCTTATTAAAGGGCGGCTCGGCTTAGCGCGGCGTTTGCCATTTTTTTGTATTTGTTTTTGTTTTTGTCTTGAAAGTTTTGCGTACAGTACCCTTTTTGCCTATCTTTTTTTTTCTCTTTCTAATATGCTGGAGTTTGGTGTATACTCTTTTCTTTTTTCCTCTGTCTACTGGTTCACCGGGACATGTCTTGTCGAATTTCTTTTCCTTTTTTTTTTCCTTCCTTTTTCTCTTTTTAGTCATTGTCAATTTTGTCACTATATATCATTATCGTCCCAAGGGGGTTTTCCACTATTTCTGGGCTATCAACCGTCATTATAATCAACTTTTTTTTTTCCTTTTTCCCTCTCCCTTTTTTTCTTTCTTCTTTCAACCTTTTTTTGGTTCGTGGCCCTTTTTTCCACCCCTCTTCTTTCAGGGGAGAAGAAGGTCATGGTACTTAGGTTATTAGCCTTTTTTTTTCTCACATATCTACCTACCTGACTAAATCTTTTACTCATCGTTCATCTCCTTTTTTTTTTCTTTTCTCTTCTCTTCTCTTCTCTTCTCTTCTCTCTGTCTTTTATTCCATCATCATATTTTTTTGGATTCTTAGGTTTCTTAGGTTTCTTAGGTTCCATATCATACTCCACCATTTACTCTTCATTTTTTTTTTATTTTTGTTATCATAGTAGTAGTAGTAGTATGTTATATCATATACGCCTTTTCCATGGGGGTCTAGACCTCCATCAATTTGATCTCAATTTCTTCAATTTTCAGTTCTCATTCAGTTCCCCATCGATCAGATTTCAAAATCGGACTTGACTTTTGATATACTCCCCATCAGGACTCTCTTATCTCCCGTGTAAAATTGAAAATGTGCTTGTCTTATCCGGGTTCAGTCTTATATGTGTGTCCTACTTGGTCGAGTGCTAACGTTATACGTTTCCTGCCCCTTGGCCCTTGGGTCCTATCCGTTTCTTGCCCAGTTGGGTCCTAGATTTGTGTGTTACTCGGTAGGGTTTTATAGATTGGGTGTCAGATGTCCACCTGATCGTGTCGTCCGTCTCTTCCTTCCATTTTTTTCCTTCCTTTTTTCTTCCCTCGTTCCTAAATTTATACTGATAGCATTGGGAGTCTGGGACGTAAGAAGGGAGGGAAAAGGCATAAAGTACATGGGTCTCACTGTCTGCTCTTTTACTCCTTTTTCACGTTTCATGTCTATGCTGGATCTCAATCATCCTCCTGAATTGGTTTTGGCATAGTCTTTGATATAGATTTTGTCCCGTTCGAGAGTATTTTCTCACTGGAACCGCCATATTTGTTTTTAGACCCTTTGGGCGATTTGTTTACCTTAATTATTCTTTTGTTTTTGATTCTCTTTGGTGCCGTCGGGTTGAAATTCTATGAATATTTCTCGTTTTACTGTTTCTCTGTATTATTACCGCCAATGGGTTTATTTTCAACATGGTAAGTACATGTCCTATAATCAGTGTAGTTAAATTGACAAGGAGATTGCCTGATTACTTCTATTGCCAAGCGATTCCACAATAATCACTGCGTAACAATTTGTGCGTAGCAAATCAGAGCCAGGCCTTGTGAAACGCGCCTGAATGTTCTGTCCACAGAGTACAGGCCAGAGCGCCAACTCGACCGCCACAGCCATCCTACTTCCCAGCAATGCGGACAAAGAGAGATTCGAAAAAAAAAATATAGAAAACGCGTGGAACAACGCAGACATCCATCCACTAGATAAAAAAAGTACGATGGGAAAAAAAATATTGGTGAAAAAGGTCAAAAAGAAACTCTCCCTCGGGGAATCGAACCCCGGTCTCCCGGGCTTGCGATTCCGTATTAAGCAGAATTGACAAGCGGAAATCATAGCCACTAGACCAAGGAAGATGGTTATTTGGTATGATCCGTTGGCGGATCACCTTGAGCTAAGTGAGCTGTTGCTGTGGGACAATTCTCTTAATTAATTTCATATACCAATAACATTCTTGTATGCAACGACCACCGAACCTCGCTCAGAGGAAAAGGTGAGAGAGTCGCTGTAAGGAACCTGTCGCTGATAGTGTGTCAATATTTACAAAATAGTCGGGTCAGTCGAGAAAAGATTGTATTCCCAGGTAGGACCATTTGCAATATACAATGTATTCGGTTGATTCGAGAATATCTCTAGTGTGTGAGCTCCGTGGGATCTACTTCAGATGCATTGATGCGCGGGCGACAGTGCAACACCAAGAAATATCCCAATCATACCTTACTTAACTAACGAGCAAATGCTGATGCATGCTTTGTCATTTTTATATACTTTTCTCTGAGTTAAGGAGTCTCGCGTTCTTTTCTCCTTTGGTCTAGCTATTTTAAAATAGATTCTGAAATGTTTTATTTTTATTTTATTTTTCTATTTCTATATCAATTTTCTTTATTTATTTTTTTGTCTTGTATGATTTCCATGAATGCATTTCCGCTTGTAACATACTTTCTTTCGCAGATCCATCTACTTCTTGCGACCAAATCCCTGAGTTGCCTTCGAAAAAAAAAAGTGATCTGCGATTTCCAGATATTTGTTGTTTTCCGTTTCTCGTTCTGATGTCCTCAGCGTAAAATCTAAACCACATCCAGGACGATATTATCCTCCTTTATTGTGCCAAATGCCAGTAGTAGATATCATTGTGCACCCGACTACAAATTTGCACAAGTGTATTCTTTCATTATCTTCAACATAGATATTGCATTCTTGTCTTCATATTTCGAATCAGTTATTACAACCATGATATTCGAGTACTTTGAGCATCGTTGGTGGACATTTTAGAAAGCAAAGTTGCGCAAGAAAGCAACAATACTAGCGCTGACAGCATATATATTACAATAACAGCCAGTATTTCAATAATCCGTGATGGTGTAGCGGTAACATCGGTCGCTCTCAAGCGATTACCTCAGGCATAGCCTGATTCAGTGGTGCTCGTAGTCCCGACCAGCCCGGGGTTCGACTCCCCGTCACGGAATTTTTTGACTTTTTTTGTCTTCTTATCCTTTGTTTATTTTTACTATCCCCTTTTTTTATTTCCTTCTTCTTGATGTGTCTGCCCCCGTATTCTTCAATTGGGTTTATACTTTGTACTATTCCATTTTATTATTGTTTTCCTCCCGTTGTTTTGGTCCTCTTTATGTATTTTCCTACTTTTTTCCCTTTCATTCTTCTTTTCTCTTTCCTCTTCTCTTTCTTTTCTTTCTCTCTTCCCCCCTCTCTTTTTCATTTTCCTTTTTTATTCTCGAAAAGTTTGCCTTCTATATATAATTGTATATCTTCCAATACTACTTTCCATTAAAACCAAGTAAAAAAATTATTCCACTCGAGAGATGGATATTTGTATGCAGTAGAGAAAGTCACAACTGTGTCTTGGTGGGTATTCCAATAAAGCAGAGATATAGGATTTTATCCAGAGCGACACAGGCCAGGTGCCATGCCTTTCGGTCTGGAAATCAAAGTTCTATGCTCCTAGATAGGTAGGGCCAGGAATCATACGGAGTACGGAGAAATTTGCTGATCGGATACTATAGTACAATCTCGAAGGGTCGAAAGTAAAACGAGGTTGCTGCAGCATACAACAATTTGTTGAGGGGGTTCAAGTAAAGGACAAAGATTTCATTTTAGGTTGGATTATTGGATTATTGGGAAGCAAGTCACACGGCGACAAAGAATAGACGCATATAGTAGGCTCATGATAAGTCAGAGTTTATGTTGAAAATATGTGTGATAGAAAAGATAGAGGGAACAAGTATAATGTATATATTCCAAGAGCAACCACGGGTGAATTCGCCGGAAAAAAAAAAGACTGATAGAAATTTCGGGAAATGAGTATAGTACTGTAGATGAAACAAGAAGGAATAATGAATATATAGAAGATATATGTCGGATACCCACAATTCACGACTCACGAGTCGAGTCCGCAGAGCTACAGAGATAGGACTACCGCCCTACTTGCCCATAAAAGTCACGGACTCACGGGGTTCTCAACCCGTCGCCGTTCCCCATCAAGCCACCAGCTAGTCCAATCATTCTGCGATTCAACAGGTCATCTTCGCTTGCGAGGCTGACGAGGCTTACTTTTCGGCGCATCTGGATATTACTGTTGTTATTGTTATCCGACGTGGGAGGAGGAGGATTGTGTTGATGGTGAAGATGGGAAGGAGGAACAGGATGGGAGGTTTGAGAAGCGTAGACGGGGGCTGAGCCAGGACGACCTTGTTCTTGGCCTTGAATCTGAGCCAGGGCGGCGTGTTTGAGGGATGAGATGGATTCGGAGCCAAGTCCAGATTTAGTTCCGCTTCTTGAACCCGCATCGGCGCTGTTGGTACCATCAGTGCCTTCAGCGGCACCAACGGGAGCACCGCCGGCGCCGCGAGCTTGTCTTTGTCGACTGGCGTTGTTACTGCCGCTTGCATTGGGATTATTAACGGGAGTGCCGGTCCCGCTGCCGCGCCGTCTGGGCGAAAAGTAATCTCCTCTTCCGCGGCGCGCAGAGATGATGCTCATTTCCAAGGGACGGTCTTCGTCGCCGGAACTCTCCATTGTGCCTGTCCGTCTGTGATGACGGCCTGCACGAGAAGTGTTTCGATAATTGTAAGAGTTTGGAGCACCAGCAGTGGGATACCCTGCTGCGGTCACACCAGCGGGGGCATCTTTCTGGGTGGCAGACGTTGGATATTGCCCTCTTCCGCGATCATCCTGATTCGAAGACGACGCAGATTCAGCGCGGCGGAAGCTTTCTTGCATCCATGACGCGCATTTGAAAATGTATTTCCAGCCTTCGGAGAAAACACCGACAAACTGCATAAAGCCGTGACTGATTCCAGGCACGAGCAAGACCTCAACAACGTCCAGCTCGTCAAAGACGCGTTTCTGATTGATGAGCCCAAGTTCCTGCCGCTCGACAAACACGTTGCGCTTGGCTTGGCGAATCCGCCCGGCGAAAATGACAGTGTCGTCAACGAGAGGATCACGTTCGCCGGTGAGAAAATATGTCTTGGGGAACTGAGCAAGGAGAGATTCTGGTGCGAGCAAAGGCGAAAGCAAAAAGTCTGTTCGAAAGTCTGGTCGGGCGTGCGGACCGACGTACAAGATAATCATTGCACGCATCATCTCGGGTGTGAGAATTCGGTCGTTAAAGTAGGATATCATACTCGACATGGCAAGACGGGTGCGGAGCATCTGCGGCTTGGACTCGGCCACTGCTTTGGTGTTGGCTGCGACAGATATACTTGCTGGCTGAGTAAGATGCGCTACTTCAGGTGACGGTCGCGTTGAGACGGGGGATTTGGTAAGAGGTTCGTGGGTTATTTCTCCGACTTCTTTGGCGGGCGGTGAGACTATAGGACCAGAGGCAGGACCCATGCCGTCGGGACCGTTGGGCTGCGGACGCTGCGGTGGAGATGTGATTGTGCTGGTTTCATCTTCTTCATCTGAATGATGGGGCGTAGAAGGGGTAAGCTTGTTGTAGTCTTCGCTCTTGCGCCGGAGTATGTTCTTGTTCGTCTTTCGCACACGGCGGTCTTTGATTAACGACATTTGCTCATCCGTCATCCAGTTCCCAATGTTCATGTCCAGCCCAGGATAAATGAGAACAAGCCCCTCTGGCATAGCTAATGGCTGCTCCTCGCCGGGCTTTCTGTACCGTGCGTCAATAGTACTGGCAGATTGAGCAATCATGAGTACTACGCCAGCAGCAAGAGTCCCGCCTGCGCTATCACCGGAGATGACTACTGTAGGTGCCTTTTCTCCAGACATGCCAATGCATCGACCCCGGCTCGCAAGCAGGGTATGGTAAACGTCATAGCACTCATTGAGAGCATAAGGATACGGATATTCAGGTGCTTTCTTGTAGTCCAAGCTCAAGACCGGTCGCCCAGTCTTGCCCGCCCAAGCGAATAGTTTATCATCGTTGGTTCTGGGATCCATGGCAACGTATCCGCCACCAGGGATATCGAGTACCAAGCACGTATGATCCTTTAATGCAGAAAGCGGGCCATCAAAGTATAACCAAGCGTTGACAGATTCCTTATATGAGGATTCTCGGGGGCGCGGTATCCTCACTGCACGAGGCGGATACCGACAGAACCTAGGACGAAGTAGTTTCCCAAGCAGGGAGAGATACGGTGTCGTTGATTTATTCCAAGAAACTCGAAGGTGGTCAACACTGAGGGCGCCTCTGACTTTTCGGACCTTTTCGTCGGCTTGTTCGGCCGCAAAGAGGTAATAAATGGAGAAGATGATGCTGGCTAGGTCGCGAAGCCATTTTTTACGAATGCGCATCGCAGTCCAGAACCCCGCATCCAGAGCGGTAGTGACCCACGTTGCTCGAAAGTATGCTCGGGTGTACAGGTTTGCCAATGGTTCCGGACATTCGAGACCAGTCAGCTTGGCGAAGTTGCGAGCTACATAGAGCCAGAGCATCGTAATAACAAATGTTTGCCATGCCGTCAGACGGAGCGACAAGCGGTTAGAAAGGAATCGGACTGCGGGAGGTCCATGAATATTGCCTCTGCGTACCTGTTAGAAAGATTACTTGGATGCGTAAAAGGTGGAGGAGAACATACTTGAGGAGATATAATGACCAAAATGACACCACAGCAAACACTTGTATCTTACGAAACTTGACCGACGGTCGACCGAGGACGTGATCTGACCGGTTAGTTGAGAACCCGCCTGAGGAAAAGGATACAACTTGCCAATCATGGTGAAAAGCCCTTGTTAAAGGCTATGCAGGAGAATGCAGAATATTGAAAAAGAAAATATGATACTGATGAAAGGAAGCGGATATGGAAGTTGTCCCAATCATCGACTCCACCAAACCTCTAGATGCTGTTGAACATGACCTGAGAGATGTTTCCACATCGAACTGCGCTTCTGAGAAAATCGCAGATTACCGTTCAAGAGGCACGCTTGTCATGCATCATTAAACCCTGAGAGATTTTGAAGTTGGCTCTCTTGTGCTCTCGGCCTGCTGACACGAAGGCAAGGCCATAATCTGCTCAGCGATTCGGTACCTCAACCTTCAGCAGACGCATGCAACATTCACAGTCTTTCGCGAAAGCAGACAAAGTTGTTTAAGGAGACCTTCAAGAAACGCAGTGAAATGAATGTTAGTGTAGAGATTACTGCAAAAAAAAGAGGTGCCCAGCGAGCAAGAAAAGCTCTCTTCCGTTATGTGTTGTGTTACTTTCGGATTCGGAAGTAGATGTCATATGGGGCTTCGCCGCATTCCTTTTCCGCTTCGCTCCCGCTTCCTTTCAAGCACGTGAAAATAATCCGCAGCCACACCCACACTCGAGTAAGATTCCGCGTCGGCAGCTAAGTTTTTGCATATACCGTGTAACTGTAGGTCACGGTACGCTGTACTGCCGGGCTGCATGAGATACCAGAAGACGCACGAGGTCTCGGATCTGACAGAAGCTGGCGTCCTAGAATAGAAAAAGCCGGTGAGATCCGACGGACTCCGAGCTGAAAGCGAGATCGTGTTTCTGGGAGTTATGGAGCACCAATGCAAGGATAACGTATGGCCAAAGCATGATTTCAGCATTGTAATTAAGCCCTCAATTTGTTTCAACAAGCACTCTCATAGTTTTCATTTGGATCATGACATTTCGTAAGCAAATTTGTTTAGCTATACGCTTGTCTCATCTCTAAGCATCCTCAGATCAGCAACATCATCAACAACAGCTGCTGTCAATTTTCTCGGTCACCGATAATAATCCAAAGGCTGTCATATGATCAGGGCATTGCAGCTCTTCCTGCTAAACCATTTGCTGCTGAAAGGCAATGTAAAACATCGAACTTTGCAGTTTCTTTCAAGGGACGTGGTCGTTTAGGGCACGGTGTAAGGATTACAGTACGGGGAAAACTTAGATCGCTAGCCGACGCTGAACCGAAATGCCGAAACCAAGCGGATCGAAATGCAATTGTGGGGTCCCCACAATAAAATCTCAGGCATGTGACAGCCATACGTCGGCCGCTTTTAACTATTCGCTAACGATATCCCAAACCTCTCTCTCAATTCTGATCCAGAAGTAATTTATCACAGCATTGTAAATACATTCCAAGGCTGTTAGTCACGTGCGCGTTGATTTCGGGATACAGTTATGTGGATTATTACATGATTTGCTGGAGATAGAATTAAGATACATGTCGGTTGGGGTAGTGATTAGGGCATTGAATATGGCGAAAGTGCTTATTGAGTATCGAATTAGCATCTCGCTCGGAAAAAGGGAAACGGGGAAGGTGTAAGGGGAAAATGTCAGTCCATGTTCATGTGCTGTGATGATAAGAAAATGAGGACATGGATTTAGAAAAAGATAACAGCAAGCAGAAAACAAATCTTTCCAGTCAGTATCTGCCGCCGCAGCAACCATATGGAAAAGTGAAAGGAGAAGAGCGTGGGAGGAAATTGTGACGACACAAAGAATTTTGAACTCCCTTATTCCTCTTCATCCTCATCCTCATCCTCATACTCTTCCTCCTCTTCTTCTTGATCGTCATGCATGGCATGGTCATCAGAGGAAGTCTCCTGAGAAATCTTTGGTGAAATAGTTTGGACGGCCCGACCATTCGTAGCACGATTGATTGCAGTGGCCGCCGTCGATCGTGAAATGTTCTGCTGCTCCGAGATAGACATTGACTGACGAAGAGGACTCTGCACTGCGGGCGTAGTGTTGACTCTAGTCAAAGCACGCGCGGCAATCATGGAACGTCTGGAAAGCAGAGTAGTTGAGGACGAGCTGGTACTCTTGCGCTTCTGTGGAACGATCGATCGATTCTGAGACCGAGCATGGCTATTCTCTGACTCGACTGGCTCAGGAACAGAAGATCCGGTATGCTTATGGGTACGACGCCTCATGTCAAGGTGACCGCGGTCATCGCTAAAGCTCGAGTCATCGACGTTATTCGAGACATTATCGTGGGGTTGCAACGCCAAAAAGGTATCGCTTGGCTGTAAGAAAGCCGCAGAAGCCGCAGAAGCCGCAGAAGCCGCAGAAGCCGCAGAAGCCGCAGAAGCCGCAGAAGCCGCAGAAGCCGCAGAACGAGCCTTGTTGAAGGCGGAGAATTCATCCGATCCCAGCTCATTGAAGGAAGGCGAACGCGAAAATCGAGACCTATTGGTGTCGCCGGTAGGAGACTTTCCAGTGAAGCCCATATTGTCACCGTCGGCATGAGAAAGGGTAGAGAGATCTGGAGAGCACTCCCTGAAGGTCAAAGGTGAACGATTTTCCTTGTGCTGGAGAGGAGCAGATTCCTTGAGTGCTCCAGCTGACCCGTGAACTGAAGAGGAAGCCTCCAAGCCATGACAATCCATTCCACCATCACCATCCAACTCATCTGTAAGCAGCTTCACGCACTCTTGAATCTCGTCTTGAAAACCACCAACCGCCGCCTCCATTTTACGCATGAGCAATGTCTCAGCCTCGGTCAGACGCTGATTGATCCTCAGGTTCTCAGTGTCATCGTCAACCCCAGACGACCGAGCTTTCCTTGCCAGAGCTACCGCGACAAGCGTAAACTTGCCCTTCAGTTTATTAAAGTCCGAAAGGACCTCTGAAAGAAGTGCCACTTGAGCCGTGATCTGCTTTCTCTCGCAAATCTTGGCTCCATTGCCCGAGGCTTGACTGTTTGAAGCAGGTGCATTCAACGGCATCGGGTCTTGACGAGTCGGCGAATTCATAGAAGAATGCCTACGGCGAGGTTCAAGAAAGCTGGGAATTGTGTCCAAGTCAACGCCTTTAGAGAGGATCGAAGAGATTGACTTGCTTGAAGTGTCGTTCTCAGCAATTTTTGGTGTGAGGGTAGTACGTAAGCTTCGACGCAAGTAACGACCAAAGGTTGTGTGACGGATCGAAGCAGGAATATGGGGGGTTCCCCGTGCCCTCATGTTTCTAGATGAAGCGAAAGCGGGCATATCTGCTAGAATACCCAGACGAGAGAGCTTCTTCACATGGATATAGCCCTTGTCTTCGGCGTCGTTGCAGAGGAGTTCGTCAATAACGATCCGCTCTTCTGCTGTGGCGTTGTTGATGCGAGCTTGTTTGCGAGGCCGTGGCGAAGGAGATGGCGGTTCACTTGCCTCTCCCTCTTCCGCTTCATTAAACTCCTCTTCGCTTACCAAGTTTCCTGTTTCCCAACGCTTCATAAGCTTGGTTATCGGAGACAAGTCCAAGTCAATTGGATTTGACTCGGAGCCGTTGCTCGGTAAGTTAGAGAACCGTCTACTGGGCGGCGATCCAACTTGATTTGGCTCAGAGCCGGTGCTTGATTTATGAGAAATTCCTCTGGTAGAAATTGGAGCACTTGTTAATTCCCTAGGCTGAGAATGGACTGCAGTGCCAGCAACCGGATCTGCGGACCTTTCCCGGCACTCATTAACAGCCGAGCGCACGTCGGCGAGGCTAAGTCGCAGAGTCCTGGCAGAGGCACCGTCCCTGTTAGGAACTCTTCTATTTCGGGCATTCAGGAGAGCTCTCCCTGCAGCAACAGGATTACTCTGCAACTTGGACAGCTCCTTCAATTGCGGCATTACTCGAATCAGGTTCGAGATTTCATCCAAACTAGAAGGGCGAAGTCCATCCACGTCAGGGATAGTTTGAAGCAATGGCGCGTGCCAATTTCTCTCTACATAACTTGCGGCCTTGGCAATGGTCTTTCTTGCCTTTTCAGCTCTCGACGATCCAGGCTAAACTAACGCGTCAGAAAGGCTTCCTGATTGCTGAGAATTTCGAGATCTATTACTCACAGATGCCATGATGTCTTCAGTAAACGATGCGCCAGTCAAAAAAAGAGTGAAAGAACAGCGAGACGGGACTCAACAGCGGAAGGAATACCTTCCGACTCGATGCAATGGGTGATTGGGAAGGGGAAGAGGTTGATGAGGCATCACTTTATGCTGAACGTGAACAAGGGGCTCGGCGCCGAGACCAACAACCGCAAACGAGAAAGGAACATAAGCACAGTGAGATGAGCCGTTGCACGCAAACAGCAAAGCAAGTTCCAAAGGAGCAAAAGTAGCGGGAGGCAAATCAGATTCAGTCTTGCAAGCTAAATACTATATCAACGTACCTCTAGACCCCTATCTTCACTCTTTCCTGCAATATGGGCGTCCCCTACTAATTTGCCAGTCACATAGCCAAACCTCGAATACCATGCCCAAGAAACCGGCGATACAAATTCCTCCAGAGTCACTAACACTCGTTGCTCCCAAGGAAAACTCTCGGTCCTCTTCAGGTATGTGATCAGTGATTTCGGCGAAGGTGTTGACATAAACTAAACCGCCCAATAGACCTTCCCAGAATATGATGGCAAAAATGATATAGACATTTGGAATAAAATCGAACAAGGCATGAAGCGTCAAAAGCAAAAGATTCAAAATCTGAAGCAGCGATGGCGCATACAATGAATGAACCCGGAAAAAAGGGGTCGAGGAACGCGAAATGAAAACGCCGACTTGGTACATGGCATTATATGTCGGATAAAAGTCACGATACTCAGTGAAAGGCGTCGACTTAAGTGGAAAGAGAAGTGTGGGAGCCACGCCCTGATTGATGGTATACTCAGCGATATAGACCATCAAAAGAGGAAGCATACTATAGGTCGTCAGCATCACAAGTCAAATTGAACGGTCTCGATCAAAAGAATCTTTGAAAGGAAACATACTATGGGAAGAAGAGTCCACGAGCCCGCCGCAAGTTAGCTTTGAAACTACTCAATATGCTTTGCGGCTCTTGATGAGACCTTTTGACACAGTGCGCCGAATTCTGTGGGGATTGCATAAGGGGGTCTTGCTCAGGCTGATGGCCGTGAAAGCCCTCTGGTTCACTGCTAGGTAGTTCATTCTCAGTATCCTCTCGTGCAATACTTTCATATCCGGCTTGTGGACTTGAGGTGTATTTCAATGGTCCTCTTGGGAGAATAATGAAGAAGCTCATAAGCATAATCACGGGCAGACAAGCAAAGACCAGGATGCTCTTCTTCACTCCAAGCCCCAGCCAAGTTGTTGCGGCGACATATGCACCGGCACCAATGAGGCCAGCTCCGCCGGTTCCACTGCCCCATGCTGCCAAGCTGAAATGACCATAGTAATGCGTCAAGCCCAGAAAGCTCAGTTCTCCACCACCGCTGCTAAGGCTTGCCAGTGCAACACCAACCATCTTCGTTGCGATAGCGGCGCGATCAGTCGTTGTGGGGGTCACGGCAATGATGAGCATTCCTGCGCTGGACAAGCAGGCAAATATCACGATTCGCAGCGAATAAGGAATGGCATGAATAAAATATGGCGCAACAAGCTTTGTGAAGAATGAAGGCAGAACATCGGCGAGAAGTACGACGCCTTTGGGCACACGCGGGCCGACCAGGTCAAGCGCAGAGGAGAGAATGATCACATAGAGCACATTGTTGATAAGACCTACGTCAAGTCGCTGCAATTAGCATACATCATCTACAAGACCTTTTGGTTATGTTTCACATCAACTAAACTTGACAGGAGATTCAGCAATCAAGCACCCACCAAAAAGCCAAAATGCTATGCAAACGCGCTTATCGGCCCCTTCGAACAGTCTCCTTAAACGCTCCTTGTAGACAGGCCATGATGCTGCAGGAGAGCCAGGGACAGGGAGCATTCTTTGCGTCGATGGGGCCGAATGTTCAGGTTGTCCTCTCATTCGATTTGCCCTCAAATTTCTAGGTCAATCATGGTCGCCGCAACGTCTTGCTGCTTTAAATACTTTGGGGCTTGCTGTATCTTAATGGGAGATGAGGTTGGCCGTGAGGTTACATCGAAGAGATAAGGCTGGCGGCTCTTTCCGTGGCAACAGACCAGACGGGTCTCTGACTTGGGACGTCACCGCCTAGCAGGTAGCCGCTTGTGGAAATTAACTCTGCATGATAAGAACAACACAGCAATAGAGAAACGACGAATAGGACTTATTTCAATCATTTACCATAATTTTATAAATGATACATTGAACCACGCTAGAGGTGGATGTCCAAACGAAGTCCTTTCAATTATCTCATTTAGTTTTGATCAAACTTGAACCCCGACCCTATCATCCATCTGTTGAAACACGCAATTCCCGACCGACTAGATTATCAACCTGCTCTCCGATTCGTAAAAATAATTGTCCGGGAGGTTATATCGACTTGGTTTCCAATACGCGAAGCGCTACGCGGGTAGTCCCCCAGCAAGATAAGATCCTTGGGGATCAGAGGCCAGCATCCCCAAGTACCACAACGCGAGTATGACAGTCATTTGTGGCTGGGCTGGATTTCCCTGAGCCTCCCATGGAATTTGTGGAGAGAGCAACAGTCGTCCAGTGTTGTCGGGCTTCTGGATGGCAACAAGCTCCCGATTTGTCAATAGAAACCCGTACCGAGTATTGTTTTGGCGCATATAGAAGTTGACTTGAGACAGCGCTTGTTTGAACTGTCTTTCGGTAGCTGGATTTGGACTGTTTTCAAAGTCTCTTGACCATTTGTACGATGGTTTGAAATCACCGGGAGCCCGATTCGGACGAGTCTGTGCCACAAGAAGTGGATCGAAATAAGCGGTATCAGGCGTATAACCGTGCTTCAAGCAGGCCAAATTTCCTTCGCCGAAGTCAAGCGCTGTGCGTTGACCAAGTTGATCGGATGCTTGGAATTCCTGAAAGCTTCTCTGCATTGCTCTTCTAATATGTCTAATGAGATAAGTATCGAATCGTGATCTGAGCCCAGCTTCCGCATTTATAGGCTGTGGAGGAGAGTTTGGTATCGTCTCAAGATGGATAGACGTGTTTCTTAGATGATGACCGTATTGTGACATGATTGTCCCAATGTTGAAGCTATTCCAAGTATAAGTTTCACCGATATCGCGTGCCCCGTATTTCGAACTCGTTGTATTGTCATGTGTTTGTCCCTGGCTAATTACAGACAGAGTTGGGGGGCCTTGTTGGAGATATGCGAGTAGGCTGACTTGAGCTGCCATGGCTGTGTTTGAAGAGTAAAGGATAAAGATGTCGGATGGGAGATTTGGTTGATTAAATAGTAAACTCAAGCAAGCACATCTAATATTCACTTGCAGATATATTCACAAAACAAGATGTAGGTCTATATTCATATGAAGGCGAAACCATTCAAAATATTGCATTCTTCACGATTGGCTGATTCTTCCAGCGCCTATTCAATCGTCCCAAGAGGAGAGCGCACATAGTGACACACATTATGACACAAATACTGATTCATATCAATTGCATGGAGGAAGCTGAAACAATTATTAGCCGTCAATGTGAGGCTAGATTCTATCGAGGAGTCAGCAGAGATCCACTTCTCATACGGCGAAGATAAAAAAAAGATACTTTGCATAAGAAGAAAGCGGGAATATTTCGAACAACCCTGGCGTCTCTTAATTTAGCCTGAATTGTAAACTTGATATCTGCAAATCACGGCTTTTAAAGCCCCCGGAAGAAGCGCGGTGGTGGTGTTAGCCGCTCTTATGGAGCATTCGTGCGGAGTGTTGGGTTCGCTTATTTTACTCCCGTTTGCTCGGCCGTAGGGACATGCCGAGATGGGCGCTTACCCGAAACTGCAAGAATAAAGTAGCTGCGTTTTACTACGTACCTAGATACAGCATTCGATCGAGTTTGTGCAGTATTTCAGCGCTTTCGGGATTCATTTATTGCCACATAAATAACATCAGACTCATCTACAGGAGGCTCGAATATCTGTCTCATCATCTCTGCTGCTTGATTTTTCAACGTTCTTTTCAAATGGTGTGCCTTTCAGAAAACCTCATCTCCAAGATCTCTCTCTCGGACGTAATCTTCATCGAAACGCTGAAAGAGAGTAAGCACTCATGTGTTTTTCACGTGTCTGTACACGGGGCGCCATGCGTAATGAAAGTGGTATGAAAATGGCTCTCATCGCCTGTCAAATGAATTACTAATTGCATTAAGTATCATCGAGAATTGTGGGGGCCAATTAACGTCTTTAAATCTGAGAGCAACGCATATCGACGACTAAAAGAAAAGGGCCTATGCGAACGAGGAATTGTACCAGACTTTTATGGAATGATTGAAGACATCGATCCGGCCCTCTGGCAACCACATCTGAATATGTTTCGAAAAGACGAAGCTCGACCAAGTGCTCTATTCATTGAATATATCCCTGATCTGAGAAAGATTGACTTAGACAACTACACAACAGAACGAATTTTGAAATTAGGCACCATTCTTCGAGAAATTCACAAGGCGGGTGTGCTTCATGATGACCCATATCCTCGAAATATGATGGTTCAAGAGAGCTCGGATAGGGTTTGTTGGATTGACTTTGATCGTGCGGATACTTTTGACTTTCCTCTGAATGAAAGACAACAGCATTGGGTAGCTGAGGAATTGGAAATGATGGATTATTTTGTGAAAGGACTGGTGAGCAGGTTTTTCGATCTATCAGCTCGCAGTAACTAATGGAATTTTTTTTAGGAGGAAGACTATAAAGAGGGCAAAATATCGCGAACATGGGAATATTATTACACTTATTATTAACGACGAGGATGCACTGGGGCGACAAAGTCTACTTTAGATCTAATACTGCTTTCTGGTTCTGATTAATCTGGCTGGAACTTGAAAATTACAATATCTAAGGTATGCTAAGAAATTTAATGGTTTCAGCATCGCTAGGCAATCAATGTGTTTCCGATGGCCATGTTTGTCACATGAATTGCCCTGTGCTTTCTACTCTCCGACGCTTGGAAGCGACGATAAGTTAGCCAAAGGGATGGCAGCCGACGGAACATTGTCAGCTGCTTCTAGGGTATGGAGCAGGGATTGAGAGATGCACGAACGTGTTTCGACGGGTAAGCGACGTCAAGATGCGCTATTATAATCATGATCCACAACCGGCGAGGCTGGTTAGTAGTCGTCCTGTCCAGAGAGAAGCAGCAATCAGGCACCGCCAACACAGCAGCAATCTTGTTTATGGGCAGTGACTACCTTATGTGTTCGACGTTGGCAGGGATTGTTGTCCATGATTATTATGTCGTCAATCCTTACTTTAATTCTGTCATTTTTAATATGTCTACTCAAGCAAACTACTCCCTCCTTTCATTTTCCATTTTTGCTAGAATATTCATGCAAATTTCTCTGCTTGAGAGCATGAGCGTTGACCAGAAAACGGTTTCATGGTAACACCTTATTGACAGTTGGGATTGAAGAGTACATGTACAGATATCCTCGCTGTGCGACCGTGGATGATGTACGCATGGGTATGCGGTACAGAAGAGGTGGTGTGTGGGATTGCCCCGGAGCCGTCATGTCTTTTTCATGTTCCTTTTTGAGGGTCATGCACGCTGTGTCTTGCCTTGCAGATGAGGTACAAGAGTGGTAGGGTTTACCTCTGTACACAATTGACCTACGTTATCCTTACAAAAGTGTGTTGGTGACATGAAGACAAGAAAGCAGGAAGCTAGACAAGGATTCATAGCTGCAGAGTTGGTACAGTAGTGGCCGATGAGCTAGACAGTACTTGCCTCTTTCGTTAAGCATTTGACTAATGAAGCAACTTAGCTGATACCTAAAGCTACCAATGAGCGAGCCCTTCTATCAAAGTACCTTTTAAGTCTAGCAAGCATTCTTATCCTTATAGAGCAAGGGGCCACCCTCGTCTTCGGTCCCTTTTCGTCTCCAAAGCGATACTTTTGTCTCGAACCAGGGTTTTCTTCTTCCTAGTCTCGACCTATCTTTCGTTTAGTTGCGTCTTGGGCCAAATGACCTAACTGACCAGACAGAGTTCTGGCTACGAGGGGATCATCATGCTGGTTGACGGGGTAATTCTACTCTACTTCTTGCACAAGGCAGCCGGATGGACGAGAGACAAATCCAAATGGAGATGAAACAAGGTACCTGATGAATGAATGGACCATTCCGTCACTCTTCGTTTGTTCTTCCGTTTTTCCTTGGTTTTGGATCATTTGCCTTTCCTGGCTGGCCAAAGTCCTTCTCTTCCCACCCCTGCCGCTCTTTTCCCCCACCGCCTTCCTTAGCACCGACACTCTAATCTTTCTTTGACCCGCTCCCGCACGCACCCTCTCTCTCTTTCTGCTGGCGCCCGCACTTGCTCACGCTCTGCATCTCCACTCACTAAATCTCCTACAGTACTCGCTCTCGCCGTTTCCCCTACGATTCTTACACGACCTTATTTCTTTTCTCTCTCGCCCTCTCTAACACACTCTCATTCCCTCTCTGTTTGCACCTCTTCCTCGACGCATAATCCGCTTTTGGACTTCAAAAAGTTGCGCGACCTTTCCATGACTGGTTTGCTATCTTTATCGTGTCATCATTTTCCTCATGAACGAACGAAAGGACGTGACGTAGATAATCAGCTACGACTGCAATTTTCAACCTGGGCATTCTAGCTACACCGTTAGTCCGTGCTCCAGAACGAGCGGCAGCAGCGGAAGCCCTTTTCTTCTTCGCCGGTGCGACACGAGCTTTCCGCTCATTTCTCATCTTCTCTCTCTCTTCCTCCTGAGCACGCGCTCCTCGCTATCGCCATGGACCTACGTGCGCCGCCTTATCCTTACCCGCGACCGGCCCAATCTCGACCCTTTTATGAGCCTCAACCACAAGCGCCGACATTACAGTCTGCTTCTCTGCCTCCTCCGCCGCCACCACCGCCGTTCTCATCCGTCTCTCCGCCGGCCGGCGCTCGTGCGCCACCTGCTCTCGATCCATATCGTCCGCGAGAAATCGAAGAACAGCTGAGGGTCGCAACACCGCCTTTTCCACGCAAAGACGGGCCTTATGCTCCCCCGGGCCAACCACAACCTCCGCCTCCCATCATGTCGCAGATTCCTCGACGGCCGACACCTGGTGCTCCTCCATTTCATTCGCGACAGAGCAGTTACGGTTCGTCATCAATGGCCCCATACTCAAATGGAGAAACTATGACAAGTCCTCGTACTGAGCGACCGCCTCATTTTGGTCGAAGTTATGGTCCGGGTACGTCTACATTATTTTCTTTATCTCTCGCCACAACTATTCAGTTTTGGAAACTTTTGCGTTGCGCTGTCTGTCTTTTTTTTTTTTTTTTTTTTTTGTGGCTAGAGAAAGGGCAGCCTCATTTTGGTTGGTGGATATAATGCATTCTGGATCGCAAATGCCGTCTGTTATTTTTTCGCACTCTGCCAGCATCGCTGAAAACATGGTTCAGCGTTGTTTGAAGTAAGAGCAAAAAGAATAGGGACGAAGGCCAAATTTGCAATTCTGAACCATATCACCACTTGATGTTTGCACCTTCCTCTAGATTTTGAACTCGCCAGTTTCAATTTTTGGACCAATGGCGATTTTGTTCTCCCCAGTTCGAATCTGTTCAAACGACTATTTCTTCGTTGCGCTTCCCTGCCCTATCTGGTCGGGTTGAGCGCGTCGGGCGCTAATTCGCTCGCTTGCGGCATCCTGACCCGAACCAACTCCGCGAAGCGATCAAGGGATGATGCAGCATCCGCTGACACGCTTCGTTTCTTCTCTCCTGAACCTGCAGCTTCGCCCTCATCCGCCACAAGCAATGCTTTTCCCCACCATCCACTCTCTTCCCTTCCCCTCCTGCTTTCTTTGTTTCCCTATTCCATAAAATCACAACACATGTCTCATCCGTCTGATCCCCCGCGACGGCACTCAGTGGGCACAAGCCCTCCGAGGTTCTTTGCCGGTAAGCTCTGTTTCTCGCGTGGGGACGCGCAAAAGAATTCCATTCTTTGTTCTGCTTCATAGCTTCGACTTTAACGACTGCTTCATGCTTACTCACTACTGCGCTTCTACTGCGCTTTCTCATATTTCTTCGATTTTTGCAGCTTAACTAACAGTCAATGACTACTGCTAGGCCCCGCGCATACCCCGCCTCCACCGCCTCCGCCGTTCAGTGGCGGCCGATACATGCCCCCGCCGACTTCACCTCAGCAACAGCAACCGAATAACCCGCCTTTCAATTTTCCGGCACCCATGTCGCGCGGCCCACCCCCTCCGCCTCCCTCGTTCACCTCTGGTCGTGACCTGCCGGCGCCCATGTCGACGCCATCCATCCACCGACCTGGAAGTAGCATGTCCATTTCGGCAATGCTAGGTGACGCCCCTGCGCCTGCAAGAGAACCAGCATCACAGCTATCCCATCACTCGCCGCCGTTTTCGACTAAATCTGCCCCATCGCCAGATATTGGCTCGATGCCGTCGCGGTCCTCGCGACATTCAGATCCAGCCAGCGCCGAAGGTTTATTGCGACGACCTCGAAGCCCGGAGAAGTTTGGCAGTGCGGGCTCCGAGTTCTCGAGGCCAGCTCGTTCCAGCTCGATCGGCTACTCGCCTGCTCCATTTGCTGGCGAACGAATATCTCCAAATCAAGACCAACGTCGCTATCCGAGTTTCTCTCAGCCTCCCACCTACGGTGGAAGTCTCAAAACTTCGCCTCACATGCCCGAGCAATCGATGTCGGGAAATGGCCGACCTACAGAGATGCATGGGCCCACTTCAGTGATAAGCCCGCTCGCGACGCCCATGGCGGGGCCACGCGAGGGCGTGGTGGAAGTTTCACGGGCAAGTGACCCGTCGCCGAGACCAATGGGCCCTGAGTATTTCCGTGGCCCGCCTGCTATGTTTCCGGGAGAACGGGAAAGGGCCGTGGAAGAAGCTCGGGCCATTGAGCAAAGAGCAGCAGAGGATCGAGCAGCCTTTGAGGCTCGACAAGAGGCAGAGCGAGGCGCAATGTGGGGGATGAGAATGCCGCCGCGCCATTCGTTTGACGAGCAACAAATGACTGGACCCTCAACTCTAAACCGCCCTCCTGGTCCTGGTTTTCAAGCTTATCCGCCCACGACGCGCTCTCCGTTTGTTGCGCCATCCCCGCCGCTCCGAAATCAAGGTTTGCAGCCGCCTGGAAGTTCGCAACCACCGCATATGGCCGCGCCCCGTACAGAGTCGTCTGGCGCATTCGAGCCCGAAAGTATTGATCGGGGACGCCCCATGCCGCAATCTCTTACTGCGTTTGGTGGCATCTTTTCACCTCGGCCTCGCATTGTGGAACAGCAAGCACAGCCACAGGGGCCGCCACCGCCGCCCAAGCCTGTTGAGGAACCGCCACCACCGACGGCTTCGTCGAGAAACTATCTTGGTGTGAACTCAGACGTAAAGAAGACCGGAAGGGTGTCCCCTGCCCCACAAGCAGTACAAGGAGCCCAGGGCCAAGTGAATGGACCCGGAGAGCCAGGAATCAAGAGCGAATTTGGTCGCATGTTCTCTGGAATTGGCAGTGGTGTGGGTAGCGTCATGACTGCTGGACCTGGTAGCAGCGGCTCGCAGACACCGTTTGGGCAGAGTCCCTCGAAAAAGGATGATGCTGCTGCTGTAACTGAGGGGACGCCGATCCCAGGTGTTAATGAGCCCGAGCCGCCGCGTCCCGCTAGAAACGGATCACGGGCAGGCGGGAAGCGTAGTCGAAAGGCGAAAGAGGAAGCGGCAGCAGCAGCAGCAGCTAATGCAACTGCCGCTACCACGAGCACTGCTTCCGCTGCGGCGGAGCAGGAAAGCATCGATGGCAGAGCTACTCCTGGCGCAACTACCGCTCGAGGCACAAAGCGACCGAGACCTCACACGCACCACCATCACCACCACCATAATCACCCGCATCATCATCACCATCATCATCACCGACATGAAGATGGCTCAATTTCGCCAATATCTGCGCCTGGTGCCAGCCAAACTTTTGCTGCTACTAACGGAGCCAAGCGCTCTGGATCTCCTTTGCCATCGGCTACAGCTGACGCTGCTCCGCTAGCGCAGCAGCAGCAGCACCACCACCATCATGCTCCTCCTCCTTCTCACCATCACCACCATCATCACCATGCAGCGCCTAAATCCTCTACTGCAGGGCAAACAACGACAGCCCCAGCAGCAGCAGCCACTTCTACCTCGCCTACACGCAAGCCGAAACTCACTGTTCTCAACCAAGCTGTTATCAACAGCATCTCCAACCTACCTCGACACCATCTTGGATCTACACTCTATGCTCCACGAGTGACTGTACCGTCAATATTAGCGTCCTCCGAGGAAGCGAAATTTGGCTACGCATCGACAGGTCGACCTTTGCCGCGATTCGAAGGAAAGAGCAACTGCACGTTTACCGTTCGAGTTCCGCGGTACTATCTGAGTCGAGAACACCGGGAAGTTGTCTGTCGCCGACGAGCGGTCTGGGGTACGGGAGTGTATACGGACGACTCGGACCCTTTGGCCGCAGCGATCCATTCTGGTTGGGTACGCGGCGACTGGGGCGACGATGTCGACGTGTCGATGCTTGACTCGGGCGCAGAAGTGTCTGAATCAAAATCCGGTACTAGCTCATCTACCGTCGCAACAACAAATGGCGCGTTCTGGACTAAACCGCCGTCATCTGGCCCAGCGGCCCCACCGGAAGGTTGCGATCTCCACATCACTCTCCTCATCCTTCCCGCACTGGAAAAGTACGCTTCGTGCGTTGGGAACGGTGTTCGCTCGCGCAGTTGGGACGACAGCCATGACGGAGCCAGTTTCAAGATTGAGGGAGTGACGTGGGTGGATGAAGGCGTCGAGCGTGGCGAGGAGCGAACGGGCGAAGCACGGCGCAAGCGACTGCGCGCGTTGATGAATGTCGGCCTGGCTGCCGCTGCGACGGGCACAAGGATGCGCCTGAAGGGGAAAAGTCCAGAAACTGGACGTATCGGCGCCGTTGCTGCTTAGGATATTTGATCCACCAGTCTATGCTATTTTCACTTCTTCTCATTTCTTACCTACCCTGTTTTCTCATCTGCCATTTCACCCTATCTGACCTAACACTTGTTTTTCACACTCTAACGCCCCTCATCGATGACTGTTGAATATTTTACGTCCCTCGGTGTCATGTCTCATAACTAACTACCTAGCCATGTGTTTGTTTTTCATGTTAATCATACCTGGACAATCTTGATGTCTGCAATGTATGTCTATCTGTATGTTTATGTATGTGTTGCTTGATTTATTTAATCAGCAAGGCGGTTGATTTAGCTGGGGTTGTTCTTTTGTAGGCGTGTGCGGCCGTTGTCCTTTCACCTCTTCACCTCTGATCAAAATTTGCATCTAGTCGGATATAGTCGAATGACAAAAGAATATTTTATACTCGTGCCACTTATACTCATTTCACTTGTCCCATTTTACACATATCATGTTCACGTTCACGTGCATATTTGTCTGCTGATTATCTTATTTATTTGTATTATTTATTCGTCTTGTTTATTCATCTTGTTTATCTGTCTTATTTATCCGTTTAACTTATACCATCTTGTTCATCCATGATATTCATTCATCTTATTCGAAGCACATATACCCCTTGTCCGCCTCCGCCCCTGCATAGTCTTACTCATGACACCGTTTAAAGAGTTCGTGCTTTTATTTACTAGGTATCTTCAATACCGTTTCACGTTTCGTAATCCACCGCACCCCGCGCAACGTCTTCTTAGGGCCTAATGTTCGTCTCAGTTTTCGACATTGGTAGTCCCATTCATTCGGTCTCGTCCTCTGTCTTGCATCGTTGGCCTTGAAGACCGGATCTCTACTTTAGCATTCGCCTCATTCTCTCTCTCTCTCTCTCTCTCTCTCTCTCTCTCTCTCTCTCTTGCCCTTTTTTATTTTATTTTTTTTACTTCCTGACGTTCTTCTCAAGTTCCAATTTCGGTCCTCAAGCCCGGCGCCTCCGCCCATGCTTCCACCTCTACTTCAGCCTCAGACTTCCACCGTTAGCCTTTAAGGCCGGACTTCTAACGTTGGCCCTACCCTCATCCTTAGGCCCGGCGCTTCAGCCTTGCATCCTCGGCCTTCATGACCGGATCTCGGCCCTAGACCTCCGCGTCAACCTCCGCCTCAGCCTCACCTTCCAGCCCCCGCCCTTAGCCTTTAAGACCGGACTTCTAACCTTGGCCCGGCGCCTCCGCCTCAGCCTCAGCCTTCGGCTTCGGCGTCGGCATCAACCAACCTCAACGCCTCCTCCACAACCGCCAAATCCCGCTCCATCATCTCCGCCCAATTCTGCACATCGCCAATCTCCTTGAGCGCGTTCCTGCTATTCGTCGCCAATTTCTCGTACGCACTCGCACTGTTGCCTAGGCTTGCAGCGTCGCGCGCGAGCTGCGTTTCTTGGGTCTCGAGGATTGAGGAGTTGGAGTGGATCATGCTCGCGCGTTGGTGCAGGGCCGCGGAATGGGAGGATGAGAGGGAGTGCAGGGTGGCGTCGAGAGCGGCGCGGGCGGCGCGGGCGGAGGTTTCGGGGGCCAGAGGGGTAGAGCTTTGGGGGTTGAGGTTGCTGGTGGTGGTGTTGGACGTGGAGGAGAAGGGAGAAGAGGAGATGGTGGAGACGGCGGTGGTAGAGGAGGAGTAAGGTGGGTCTGTAGAGGAAGAAGGGAATAATGTAGCTGAAGAGGAAGAAGAGGAGGAAGAAGCAGCAGGAGGATGAGAAGGAGGTTCGGCGGTAGAGGAAGTCATTGCGTTTGTTTGTTGTCGTGTATGGTACTCTGTATGTGAAGATATTCTGAAACGGAGACGAAAGGGACAGAGATATGGAGAGAAACAGAGCAGAGACTCCAAAAACGATTCGATGCCTGACTATAGAGTATATCGCTTTTAAATATATTGCAGTGATGATGTTTGATTTGAACCTTATTGTCTCAAGTTGTATAAGGAAAGGTCTGTTGTGCAGTCTCAAGACACAAGATGCGTTGATGCTCATTTGAGACCCTGTGGTCGTAGCCCCGCTTCAGATAACTGTACCTTGCCCCTCGCCCCACGGACACTTTTCTAACTGGCCAGACTGCAGCGAATGGTGTAGTGTCACACAATCTGTATGGACGGGTGCTGGTCTAGTCCTTGCTGCAAGCCTGCAGGAAGAGAGTACCTCGCGCTTCCAGGTCTTCCCGATAGAGTGACGACCCACATATCCTGGGAAATGTCCTAGTGGTACAGTGTACGGAGTGCAGTGTAGGTATTATCTGACGGTTAGACACGTGTACTAGAGTATACCTGGTAGGTACTATCGTACTGTTAGTATGTGTTGTGGTAGTGCCGGCATAGAGGTGTCGGGCATGATATTGTGAGGAGTACTTGGTGGAGTATTATATGCAATGAAGATTAGTAGATTGTGATAATTCACGGACAGTCGACATTTGGAAGGGTCAGTATAGAAAAGGTTCTATGGAGTATGTGTGAATAGAAGATTGAGGGGATATTGGGCGGAACTCGTGATTGAGGTAGAATGTAATCAGTGTTATCTCGTGATATTACTGCTTATGGTATATGTTAGTTTTGGTAATTTGTATGAATTGCAAAGAGCTATTAATTTTAAATGAAGTATTAACAGTCGAATTATATCTACGAATTTATTAAATGAATGTTAAAAAAGTCAGAGTAGGGCTGTGACTATATTGCAGGTTGAGGTGATGTTGATAGCGGAATATTCCGGGAATGACGTACAAGGGCAAGACGACAAAGTCAAGATGCTTTGATAGATGCTGAACCTACAGTAAACAAAAATAATAGTTTACATGAATCCTTATCTAGCAATGAAAGGAAAAGAATGAATTAAATATCAAGCTCTTAATGAAGGACAAACGACAGAATGTGGTGACGGCTGACAACCTCGGCACGGGAGATTCACATGGTCGCCAAACCCCGGATTTCGCGAATCTGCGGGCCGGACCCTTTTCTCCATTCTCCATTCTCCACACTGCCCTCATTACTGTCAGCTTCCACTACGAGATACCGTGTGTATAAGTCAACCAATTTAGAGCATTACTATGCTTTATATACCGTCATGAAACGAAAACTGCCTTTGATATCATCATAAAGGAAACACTGACTGCCATGGCGGTCCACTCCAAGCTACTCCATCCCTCGCTGACCTCGGAGCGCTCCATCAAGAGCTTAGTCTCAGAGTTCAGCAACCTCTACCTGCGCAATCGAACAAGAATTTCTCGCGCAGTCTACCTGACCTTGTTTGTCGCCTTGGCTCATCGCATACGAAATGCCATTGCCGAACAAAAAGCTGCTTCGGCTCGTCTGGCGCAGTCCCGTCGGCGCCCGAAAACCGGTTCCACCCCTGCCGAGGGAGATGCGAGGAAAAAGGTCGAGATTAATCGCGAATTCTTCAGGAACCTCTTGCGCTTGCTCAAGATTGTCATACCGGGATGGAAGAGCAAAGAGCTGAGGCTGCTCATCAGCCATAGCATATTCCTTGTCATACGCACCCTGCTCAGTTTATATGTTGCCGAGCTAGACGGACGGCTTGTGAGTAATCTTGTACGAGGCAGAGGCAGGGATTTCTTGCTAGGAATAGTATGGTGGATGCTTGTCGCGGTTCCTGCTACCTTTACCAATTCCATGGTGAGTTCCAATACATTTGAAAACTAAGCCTTTCTTGCTGGAGGACACTGTAGAACTGATTTGGTTTGGACAGTTGTCTTATCATCAATGCAAACTTGCGCTTCAGTACCGTACCCGACTGACTACCTATATACACGACAAATACCTCTCGAAAATGACATACTATACCCTGTCGGCCTTGGACGACCGGATAAAGAATGCCGACCAGCTTATCACGGTTGACGTTTCCAAATTCTCAAACAGCCTCGCCGAGCTCTATTCAAATCTGGCAAAACCGATTCTTGATATGGCAATATACAACTACTCATTGTCAAAGAGTGTTGGCGGTGAAGGCCTGTTCATGATGAGCTTGCTCGTGCAGATATCAGCCAATGTCATGCGTGCATTGACCCCGCCGTTTGGAAAATACGTTGCAGACGAGGCGCGGCTGGAGGGAGAGTTCCGCTTCCAACATTCGCGGTTGATTGACTATAGTGAAGAGGTTGCGCTCTATGCCGGCCACGAAGCGGAAAAGGATACCTTGGACAAAGGCTACTTTACGCTGATCAAGCATGTCAATCGCATTCTGCGAAAGAGATTCTATCATGGAGTCATGGAGGATTTTGTCATCAAATATTTCTGGGGCGCATTGGGCTTGATGCTCTGCAGTGTTCCCGTGTTCTTCAAAATCCCCGGCGCAGCAAGTTCCAGCATGGGAGATCGGACAGAAAGTAAGCATCCCGTGCAATTTTTTTTCCCCCTTACGTAGATGGCAATACTGATTGAATCTTGCAGACTTTGTGACGAATCGTAGAATGCTACTCTCCTCTTCTGATGCCTTTGGTCGAGTCATGTTCTCCTACAAGGAAATCACCGAGCTGGCGGGCTACACCGCCAGAGTGTCGAGCTTGCTCAATGTCATGGACGATGTTCGGGCAGGCCAGTTTGAGAAGAAGCTCGTCTCCTCTGCTGGCACTGAGGAGAACGCGGCCGTCCTGCAAGGCCGTGGAGAAGTTTCCGAAGGCGAGGACATTGAGTTCGTCAATGTCCCAATTGTCTCGCCCAATGGTGATGTGCTCGTCCGCAAGCTCAGCTTCTCAGTCAAGCCGGGTGAGCATCTGCTCATCGTTGGTCCCAACGGTTGCGGAAAGTCTTCGCTTTTTAGGATTCTTGGTGGGTTGTGGCCCGTGTATGGTGGCACCGTACGAAAACCACCCTTTTCAGACATTTTCTATATTCCGCAACGGCCATATCTTTCACATGGTAGCTTAAGGCAACAAATAATATATCCCGACGGAATGCGAGAGATGCGCGACAAAGGTGTCACGGACGACGATCTGTACCAGATATTAATGAAGGTCGAGATTGAGTCGATTGTTGAGCGCGAAGGCGGCTGGGATGCTGAGCAAGAATGGCGTGACGTCTTATCGGGCGGCCTGCAACAGCGGGTTGCAATGGCCCGGCTCTTCTACCATGCGCCAAAATACGCCATTCTCGATGAATGCACCAGTAGTGTCACGCTCGAGATTGAGCGCGTCATGTACGAAACGGCCAAGGAGTTGGGCGTCACGCTCATGACCGTCAGTCATCGACGAAGTCTCTGGAAATATCATTCCAATATTCTCCAGTTTGATGGGCAAGGAAACTATATTTTTACCCGCCTCGATGCTGAAAGGAGATTGGAACTCGAAGAGTAAGTATAGTTGCTTCTCGGTTCTGATTTACTGCCTGTTTCAAAGCTGACAGTTCCTATAGCGAGAAAGAAGACCTTGAGCTTCAACTTCGGGCTGTGCCTGAAATTGAACGAAGAATTGCTGAACTCAGCAGCTGAGATGTATGAGCGTTGTTTTGAGATATACCTGCACGGTTATATATGTGCTTGCGACATCCCTCATTCAACCACGCCACGCGTTAAGAGTTCTTGCCGGTCAGAAGCATGGGAGTCATTTTGGGAATATAACAAATTCATCTGGCGTCGGATTTGGATTAGCACTTGAAGCAGGTCTTTGGACCGTGACATATCATTAGGAGTATATGGGCTTGAATATTTGAAAGCGTTGCGGATGGGTGCAAGGAAGGGATGACAGCATATGAAACGGGAATAAATTTTTGTTGATGTCAGAGTAGAACTCAGTCAAATATTGTGATTATAATTTTTTTTGGTAAAATAGAATATTATTGATCTGTTCTGGAATTGAGTGTATGTAGTGCCGATAATGGTTGGCTTCCTCTTGTGTCTTCGGTCGTGGTGACCAAAACACGGAGTTTTGATGGTTCCGAGCTCTACGGTTCGGCCCATACCGCCTTCTTCAATCAATCAACATCAACTTTCCATTTTGAGCTCCCTGCTCCCTCTGTTGTCGCGTCTATCCCAGGATTCCCCTGCGCATCTATCAGCATTTATGACTGCTATCAATCAAATGTAGCGAATTCTACATCGGACGCTCCGTCAATTTCATTTTCATTTTTCGTGCATCGCATTGCATCGCACCGCATCGCGCATTACATTGCATCAACTGGACATGAACACGCCGGCGTGAGCTCCTTGTTACGACCATCTGACTATTTTGTCCAGCATTTCCGCGATACCAACACGCATAGCGGCTTGAAGCATCCTTTTCAGTCATTGACGCATTTCCGAAATCCACTGCTCGAATTCAGTGTAAACACTATTTGTGTATAACCACGACAGATTGAATACAAGGCACTTGTCATCAAAAGAAACGGCTATACGAACCTACTTTTGCAACGCGACCAAGCCAGCGGGCGCCTGAGCTGCTGTTGCAGTCAAAATGGCTGATGCCACGCCCCTAGAACCCGGACAGACGGTCGAGCTGTCCGATGGACGCGTCGGATACATACACTTTGTTGGCACCACGCACTTTGCGCCTGGAGAATGGGTGGGCATTGAGTTAGAGGAAGCCACGGGAAAGAATGACGGCGCTGTGCAAGGACAGAGATATTTTGAGTGCGAGCCTGGGTATGGCATGTTTGTCCGGCCGACAGTTGCACGAGTTATTGGGATGGCACCTCCCACGAGAGAAATGTTACCACTTGCGCAGCCTTCGCCATCCCCAGCACCAAGACCAGCAGCCTCTTCGTTGAATTTAAAGGGTAGACCGCAAAGTTTGCAGGTACAAGCCTCAAGGAAGCCAAGCGTGACAGACCTGATGGCGGGCAAGAGGCAGAGTATGACGGTGAAGTCTGCCAAGGGAGCAGCGGCGGCAGCACCGCCTGCGGTATGTCTCCTTTTATTGGTGCCATATAGCGCAAGATAGATTACTGACTTGTGACCGCAGTCGCCAACTCGGCCTGCTTCGAAACCTCTTGCTCCTACTCCGAACCCACGTGTCCCGTCTACTGCTCGAACAAATACCCCTAACACGTCGCGAACGACTAGCCGCGCTTCGACCGCTGCTGCGCCGACGTCCATGGGCCCCCCGTCCCGGACTACTCGGCCAGGTGCAAACCCTGTCCTCACTGCTCCGCGTACCGTTTCTACAACCGCTGCTCCGTCATTGAGGACTAGGACAAGTACAATAGGCCAGCCTGCGCTGCGGCCTGAGGCAGTTCGGCGACTTAGCTCATTTGATCGTCGAAGCCAAGCCAGCGATGGAAGCGCACGAAACTCTCAGGATGAACAAACCGTTTCAAAAGCAGCGAGTCCACGCGAGGATCAGGTTCCTGAGGCACCAGCACCAGCATCAAGAAGAGCTATCCCGCCATTGCTTCGAAATTCATCCGCCGTAAGCCGCCAGACGAGCTCGTCAAGCATCAATTCCGCCGCCCAGGATAGCGTTGCTTCTCGAAAAGTGTCTGCAGATCATACAGCGCTAAATAAGGAGGTGGAGGATCTCAAGACGAAATTGCGTCTGATGGAGAAGAAACGGATGGAGGATAGGGACAAGTTGAAAACCTTGGACCAGGTTCAATCAGAACGTGATCATTTTCAGACCATTATTCAAAGACTACAGACCAAGTACCAACCTCAGCAACAAGAAATTGTGGAATTGAAGCAGCAGATCAAGGCACTCGAATCGCAAGCCGAGGCGGCAGAGACGGAGCAACAAGAGCGTGAACTTGCGCTGGAGATGGCCACCCTTGATAGGGAAATGGCCGAGGAAAATATGGAAGTCTACAAAGCCGAAGTCGAAGCCCTGAAACTCAAAGTCGAGGAGCTCGAGGTTGACCTGGAAGTGATAAAGGAAGAAAAGGCCGAAACGGTCGAGGATGATGACGAACCCGGAGACATGACCCACGATCGTGTGGCATTCCTAGAGAACAAGAATGAGAGGCTTCGAGAGGCTTTATTCCGACTGCGAGAAATGACTCAGCAGCAAGAAGCTGAGCTGCAAGCTCAGATCAAGACGCTTGAGCAAGATGTCACCGACTATGATTTTTACAAACAAGGCTACGAGGAGATCCAGGGCAAGTTCGCACAGGCCGATACCAGCATTGAAGACCTCAAGCAGCAGCTTGATAATGCACTGGGTGCCGAGAAGATTATTGAAGAGCTGACAGAGACAAACCTTGGCCTGAATGAGCAAATCGAGGATCTCAAGGCCGCCGTGGATGATCTTGAATGTCTCAAGGAACTGAGCGACGAACTCGAGTACAACCACGTGGAAACCGAGAAGCAGCTCAAGGAAGAGCTCGATCACAAGGAATATATCATCACTGAACAAAGTTCTCACCTGACGACTCAACTAAAAATTCTTCAGGAGAATGAAGATACGATTGCGCAATATCGTGAACTTGTTGCCAAGTTTGAGCGTGGACTAGAAGACACATCGCTCAGCTCTGGAGCCGAGGCTCAATTGACAGAAGATGTCTTTGAACTGAAGCGCAAACTCGAAAAGTCCGAGTCCAAGTCTCAAAAGACCATTGTCGATTTGGAACTCAAGCAGCTCGATGCCGCTCAAGCCAAGGAGCACCTCGAAATCATCACGCGCTTCTTCCCGGATGCGTTTCAGGTGGAAAAGAATTCTGTGCTGGCTCTGCTTCGCTTCAAGCGTGTCAGCTTCAAAGCACATCTTCTCTACAGATTTGTCAAAGACCGCGTATCAGGCCGGGGCCCGCCAGGTCTCGAGATTGATGTCTTTGCCGGTTGCGACATGCTTGGGAAACTCATGTGGGTTGCCTCCATGAGCGACCGGTTTGTCGAGTACATTTACGGATGCACTGTTGAGGAATTTGCACGTCTCGAGGGGGCAACGTATGAGATTGAACCAGTGGAGAAGGCCCTGAGTGGCTGGATCCATGGCTTGACGTTTGATGGATTTAAAGAGCAGGACTGCGTCGAGCCATTACAACGGTAGGAGCAATCATGGTCAAAGTCTGTATTTCTCTCTCTTTTGCTAACAGATCCAAGGTCGATTGCGGTACTCTCGCACCTGGCAGAAGTGCACATTACGGAAACCCCACAGAGATACGCCGACCGGGTGATTATGCAGATGCATGTCGTCCGAAGCCATCTGGATACTGCGGCCACAGTATTGGCACACGCAAGACAGCTTGCCACCGGCAAGATGACGGAAAACAGCGAACTGGCGGACGACTTCTCGAAGCGGTTTGACACGGCAGTCATGCAAGCACGTAGCGCCTCTGTCGTGGTAAACAAGAATGTCAAGTCCATTCAGGATCTGCGGACACGGCACCTGTCGGTTGACACTGATAGCACGACAATGTTTGACCAGTGCGAGAAACTTGGAGGGGAGATGGCAGCGTATACTCTACGAGTCGCGGGCGAATTACGACCGCTCCTAGTTGACAGTAATAATAATAACAGCGTAAGCTACGCTGAGATCGAGTCAGCAGTTGCGAAGATTACGCAGCAAGTCTTTGACGCAACCGAGTCGGACATGCTGGCCGAGTTCAACAACAAACTCCGCAACGTGGGTACAATGCTCGCGAGCATTGGCGATTTGGCATGGGATCTCAAAAAGACGGTTGAATTTGAAAAGCCCACTGCGCCATGGATTCTGCGCGCGCAACAGATCCAAGCCGAGACGCAAGCCGCCAAAGAAGCTTCTCGCGCAGCCGAAGCAGAAATGGTTACACTGCGAGCTGAAGTGCAAGAACGCGCCAAAGAGCTCATGCTCCGCGACCAGCAGATTGACTTGTGCTCAGTCAAAATTGAGCACCTTGAAAGCCGCATGCACGATGCAGAGACAAAGGAAGTCCGCATCTCCGAGCTTGAAATTACCATTGGCGAAGCATCTGCGCGGGAGAAGGAACTCGCCGACGCGATTGAAGCCCAAAGCCGCGAAATGCAGACTCTTGAAGCCGACCGCGACAAGTGGAAGAAGCTTGTTGGCGAAAACCCAGTCACATCAGGTGGTGGCAGTGGTAGTGGCCAACAGGGCAAATCTCCAGGGGTTTTGGGAGTCACATCGAGTGCTGCCGGACAAGCCATATACACAGACCACGAGTACCGCGATCTCAAGAACGGGTTCGAAACGCTGCAAAGAGTCGTGCTGTATCTCAAACAGGACAACAAGCGCCTCCGCATGAACCTGAGCGCCCGCACAACCACGTGGCTGGATGCACCACTCTGCGGGGAAAAGTCTGCCGTCTCACGAAATGGTCATCTCCGGTCTACATTGCTGCCTGGCACGGCCACTAACATTCAAGCTCGTGGCGGCGGTCTTAGTAGTAGCGAAAAAGGAGTTGCCGCTAAACCAGCCTCGACCGCAAACCCAACAACAGCAACGAACAAGTCCCTGCTCATATCCGAAAGCAAAGACGTCGTCGACGCGCTGCTAAGTTTAGCGTCCACCGCAACGGTCCCCGACCTGCGCGCCGTGCCCAAGGAGAAACCCGTCTGGCGGCCGGCCAAGAAGAGCGTCCAGTTCCAGGCGCTGAAGCAGGTCTGCGACTACGAAGCCTGGCTCGAATGGAAGAATGATCTCGTCAGTCGCGCATGGCTGGCCAGTCGGACGAGTGTCAAGCTTGATGGTCTATCGGCCTTGATGTCTGCCGGCCTGATGTCTGATGATGCCGGCGACGGCGACGATCCGACCGGTAGCGGTGGCAGAGAGTATAACAAGACTGAGAACGATGACAATGCAGAAGAGGAGACGTGGTTCAAGCCAGGCCTGTTCAGGACAAATGACAAATTCGTACCCCTCGCGCTCCGACATCTAGGTACGCCGAAAAAGGGCTTCGGCGGTGTCGGTGATGGTATCTACTCGCCTATTGAGCATCACCATCATCATGCGCGTTCATCGTCGTCGACTTCGCCTGTTCGTGTTACGTCGCCGGTGCGTGGCCCGCCTGGTACTAGTGATGTCAGCGCTACCGGTACTCACGCCCCGTCGAGCCACGACGACAGGAAGCACGATATGCATATCATCACAGACAGTCCGTCTAATACCGGCCCGACAAGCCCATTAAGTCCATCGATCCGTCCGCATTCAAGAACCTTTGCGTCCTTTTCGTCAAGTCTTGGCGTATCGTCGCCTGTACAGACGGAAGAGGGTAACAAGGGTCTGGAGACGGGTGGTGGTGGTGAGGACGGACGTGGAGAGCAAGTCAAGATTAGACGGGACGGTGAAGATGAGGGTGAGGGGTATGGAGATGTGCAGGTTGATTAGGTTATTGTTTTCTTTTCTTATTATATTTTTTGTTTTTATTTTTTTCTTTTCGTTTTTTATTGTTTCGTAGGGATTTTGTGTTGCCTTTTCTTTTCTTTCTTTTCTTTTCGATGTTTTGTCTCGAATGTTTTGGCGTTGTCTGTACAGTTTCATTTCTCTTTTCTTTCTTTCTCTTTTCTTTTGATTATTTTTTGTTATTATTCTATTGTTTTGTGGAGCTTGGCTTTACAGTCAAAACATGCGATTTCCTTTTCTTTTCCTTTCCTTTCTTTTTGGGAGTCTTTCTTTTTTTTTTTTTTTTTTTTTTTTTTTTTCCCTCTCTGAATCGTTTGCGGGCATGGCTGTATAGTCAAAGCTTGCGATTATCATGGCGAATATCCAGGCGCAGGCGCAAGTGCATTCGGCGCAACTGGCGCACTCGGCATACATACATACATACCTAGGGTACTTTATTAAGACTAGTAGATGTTGATAAGTTGTGTAACTTATGGTATTTTGGTCAAGTTAGCTATTTGGCTAGCTACTAGGTAGCTAACGTATTGAGTATTATCGAGCATTACTACTATCTAGCATTGTATATGATAGACATGCACATGATAAAAGTGTATAATATAGAAGTGTATAATGATAGAAGTGTACGTGATAGAACTCCACATAGTACATGTGTACATGATGACTATTTGGCACGGACTATTTTTTTTGGCATGGGCCTTTTTTTTTGGCATGGCAGCTCTTCTTATTAAAGCATATAGCATCACGAGGCAAGGACAAGGAGAATCTACGCCCTACATTCTGTCCTCTACACTCCACCCACTATAGCCTGCCGTCTACACTCAACCCTCTATACTCTGTCCTCTATACTGTCCTCTACACTGTACACTCCACCTGCTACACTGTACACTGCTCACTGTAGACTGCTCACTGTACAATCTACCACCTCTAGGAGTCTAGGACACGCAGGAGGTACGCACACAGTACGCACACAGTACACAGTACACAGGACAAGGCCAAAAAAAAGAAAGAAAAAAAAAAAAAGAAAACGCATGCAAAGATGATAGATTTCACGTGAAAGAAGACGGATAGAGAGAAGACGGATAGAGAGAAGACGATGGGAAGAGATGGATGGGAAGAGACGGATGGGAACAGAAGACAATGGAACAGAAGACAATGGAAGAGAAGATGGAAGAGAAGATGGAAGAGAAGATGGAAGAGAAGA